GTATAACACAAGGCGTAGATGTATAATAACAAGCCCGTTTTACGTAAAATTTGGTTTCAAGGATTCCCATTATAGCCAGATGTGCGCTTCGATCCGCATTCTATTTGGACGAGTAAGGACAGGAGATGCTTGTGGATGGAGGTATATCGTGAGGCGAGGAGTCCTGTAAGCATTATCGTCTGGGGCGTGTCGTTTTCAGGCGAGTCGGAGTATCCTGGGAGAGGATGTGGATTATCGTTTCCGGAGTTTGTTGGGTGAAGACGGTGTCAGAGTTATCCTCCTTGTCGGCATATGGATATGGGGGGTCGATTCGTGTTTCCCAAGTTGCCAGCTAGAGCCCCAATAATATCCGCAAAGCTCCATCGTGGGTGAGATTGAGGCGTGCTACTAGTTGAGGGTATCGGGATTGGGAAACACTAGTAGGTTTTGTTGCTGACTAGGTAGCCTGCCTACGTAGGAATGGTATCCTTCAAGCCGGTATGGAGTAATGAAGATTGTCCTTTCGCTGGGGAAAAGGCCACCATGAATATGTTCATCGGAGCCCCGCAGAGGTCCTAGTTAATGATCGACACCCCCTACCTAGTTGCCTTGTTGCTACTCTACCAGGCTTTGGGTAGTCTAGCAAGGGAGACTCGATGGATGGATATTGTTAAGAACAGGGAAGATCGGAAGTAGCAGTACAAAGACGGCTGGGCAGAGGAGGCGACTGGGACTTATCCAACCTAGGGCCCCGTACTTTTTCACTACCGGCCCTCTGCTCAGAAACCAGCGCAAGGGTGAAAACGCACACGGTGTCAAGAGTATGGGGAGTTGAGAGGACGGTCGTTTATGGGCAGGCTATTTACGGCAAGAATTATTAGCTGAGCTGTCCATTAGGTCGTGTCACTCCGAAAAGGCTGTGGGAGGCTTGGGTAGACGCCGAGTGTGGTTATGGATGGGAATCACCGACGCCCGTGGAGGGAATATATTGGCGCTGAATCTGTACATACTTGCATTGCTCATCCTTCGTATATGCGTCCTTAGGTGAAGGTGTGCCTGTGCCTAGCTCGACCAACCGAGTGAGAGCTGACCACAGCCATCTTTTACCAAGGAGACACACCCTAATAGGTCGCCACAAGTTGCTACCGGATCTGACACTTATAAGCACCAGCCTGTATGTATAATATGGTGGGCAGGGGCGCTGGACGACCTCTCGATGAGGACCAGGTGGAAGAAAGTCTAGGTCCCGCTTCGGCTTGGGAAAAAAGACAACGTCAGTGGAGCGAAACAGGCGCGTCGTCTTCGAAAGTGAGTAGCAGTACTGGATCGTGGAAGAGCTGCGTTAATAGAGCAGGGTCCAGTTGGTGTGAACGTGTCTCACGGGCAGCCTCGCCTCCTCCCCCTCTCTGGCGCTTAGTTACCTCTCATTAGCCAGGGGTAGGGGATGGGGATAGGCGGGAGAGGGACTGTCGTGGTAATCGATGTTTCCACCCGGCTTGCGCCTTGAGTTGGAGGCACGGAGAGAGAGGGACCCTACGTACACGAATCCCCGGTCAGATGATTTGTCGATGTGTAAGCGAAGCAATAATCAACAGCTGAAATCTGCTAGCTAGAGGCGCATATTCTTTCCGTCTGTGACAGGGCCTGTTTCGCTTTTTTTTTTTTTGATTAGACAGGCCGTAGACAGCTGTACATCGTTACACGTTATAGTGGTCCCCTCCTCGCTCCCGTTCGTGTTCCGCCCATGGTTCCGCCGAAGGCGGTCGGAACGGAGCCGCACAAGATTAAATCGGCACGTCGTCGCATCGTAGGATGCGTGCGATAATCGACATATGAGTAGAGAGATGATATACCTACAGACAGACTTACACACGCACACGCAGAGACTGACAGAGACGTTCCCACATGCATACACAGATACGCACGTATCTACGTAGGCTGGCCACTCCCCTCTCCGCCTCGGCCGAGTAACATGCCTACATACGTGTAGAGTGTAGACGTATGCATATATACACACCCTTTCTCTCTCACCCACACTTACACGTACACATAGACATCACACACGCATAGGCGTATGCGAGTATGTATACCCGAAGTGGACAAATGAGAGAGACGTCAATCATGCGCCAAATGGGCCACCGTAATCTCTCGCGTTGGCGATCAAGTGAGGATCGAAACGTTGCGGTCTCTAACAGGTCCACCGCACCTCTGGGATCGCATACTTACCTACATAGAAGCCTCGGGTGTGTGTATGTGTGTGTGTGTGTGTGTGTGTGTGTGTGTGTGTGTGTGTGTGTGTACATAACCTCTCTTTACGGAGCATGCCCCAGCATGACTTATCTACGGAGCCACACGCCTACATAACCTGATAGTTGCGTGTGCGTGTATGCCCGTATAGCTGTGATATGTACCCATATGAACATATGTACACTAGGTAGGTAGGTAGGTGTGGACGATATGTTCATTCTCTGGTGCGATGACGGCTGTCATTCCCGTCAGTCCTGACCGGAGATGGCACGGGTCGGTAGTACCACGGCGTCGTGTATCGCTACGGCTGATGTCAGAAAATAAACCCGTATTAATCGACGAAAAGCCGGAGAGGAGGTGAAGGCGGAGTGGGGATGGAAGGGTGGAAGAAGGGCGAAGGAAGAAAGGGCAATAAAAAAACACCAAAAAAGGAGGTGACCATGGATGATCATGTGCGCGATCCATCATGCGGTGAGCGAAGCAAGAGAGGTTACAACGCGCAAGTGCTTACGTCGAATGTAGGTGTGTGTTCGTGGATAGGTGTGATGTGCGGTGTATGTGTCGCGGATCGCCTACGTGGAGAGAGAGAGGGAAGAGGCAAGGAGAGAGAGAGAGAGAGAGCGCGCCATTTCTGGTATCGGCGCGGTGGTATGTTGTGTACGGAGTGCGGCGTCAGCGTTGAGGTTGTCAATAGCAAGGCGACTCTCTTGCAGACATTGATAACCGGGAAAGACGCCCAGCAACTCCACTGGTGTTCACGGATAGATTTGCGCCCCGGCCAGGTATATCCACAAGCTAACGGTGGTCTGTGTCGAGATGTCAAAAGGACATGAGTAGGTGCGCAGGAGGCAGGTCTTCATCTGGGGAATGAATCTATTCCGCGATGTCTGTTCGCGCCCCATCGACAACTGGTAATACGGGCGCTTACCCACTACGTACATACATGCATATATGCAACCACATCGAGGTGTCTGGATGGGAGGTAGGTACCTGGGCAGGTTACCAAGGGTGACCATCTAAATGCGATTCGTATCCTGCATAACTACATAGGTAGCTAACAGATAGGTACTCGACGCGGGTGAGCGATAATATGCAAGTAGCTATGGGGATCGGGAAAGTCGGAACATTGCATTGAGCGAACCCGATAGCTCCGTGCAGGGCATATCCATACTAGGTATTTACATATGATTATCCATATGTATACACACACGTACGTATATATGCATACACGATCCGCCGCGCAGCTCAGCTCTCTCGTGACGATAACTTTGACGAACATGGACGGCCGGATCGACGCAGCGCATAGGAATTGACGTTACGGATAGGCAAACGAGGCATGCACCGGTATATAGGTGCCTAAGGTACCCGACATACCTACGTACAGGATGGCACCCACTAAGCCATCGGGAGGCAGATACCGAGGGGACCTGGGGATGTTCTCCAATAGTCCCGACGCGACAACCACTGAGCGAAGTGCGTGCGACAGCATATACATGCACGAACGGATAGGTAGGTAGGTAGGCCTAAGTAGGTATACACGCCGGGTGGGATACGGCAAGATACCCAAGAGGGACCGTTACATAGGCCCGATGTTGCGTATGTATGCGCGTACATGGAATCTCCAGTATTTTCCATGGGAGGGCCCGTCGTGACCCATCCACGGGGAAGCAAATCGTCAGAAGTGACAGATCACAAAATGAACAGCATATGAGTTATGACAGAGGCAGGGGTTGGTCCATCCGAGCCCTCCCTCTCCCGTGCCCTGTGCTGGATCGTCCCGTGCCATGGGAGGGTCTGGTATTGTTGGGGAGCTTGGCAGCTCCTGGGAGAAGGGGAGGGGGGGTGTGTGAGAAACGGGGGATGGGATCTTCAAAAGCCTCCGAGTTCCCGACCCTCTGGTCCCAGCCAGCTCCTTGCTTTTTCCCACCTGCTTTCGCCTTTTCTGTTCTTCTTCCTGTCGTCGCATCTTTTTTTTTCTTTCACTCGCTTCACATACGCTCAAGTTCTGCTCTGTCCCGAGTGTCTACGTGGAGGATGCACAGAGGGGGGTTTACAGGGCTTGACGTACTATTAATAGTACGATTCTATGTCGCTAGCAGCTAGCAGATGGGTGTGCATTAATCCATTGAAGCTGGCTAAGCTAGCTACCTAGGTAATGTGGTCGGTGCTAGCCGTAGCCCAGCCTCACAGGTGTATTCGGAGGTACCTCGTAGTACATGGGGAGGTACCAGTAGGCTACTTCCGGTACCTACCTAAGCTAACCTACGTCCCTACTTGCCTAGGTAGGTAGGTACCTATCTGGGTACCTGGGAGGTGGTAGGCGACTGCCCCGGCCCGGGCCTGCTAACATGGAAACTATAGGTACCTGGCAGCCCGTCGATGCGGGTCGGTGACCTGCCTACCTACCTAGGTACGTACTCGAGACGGTAAGGGTGTATGATTAAGCATAAGCAAGTAAGCCCACATCCGAGGCCTTTTTTCCGTGTCATTTTTTATCGCCGTCGGTTTTTCGCGTCCCGCACTCCCCCAGTGTATCGCCGCCGCCGCCGTCGTCGCCGTCCTCGTTGGTGGGCTTCAATCCCGTCACTTGACTGCGCCTCGATATTAGGCCCGTTTGATCTATCTGGGATTCCGCTAGCTTCGTAGCTTATGCCGTGAGCTTTCCGCTAAGCACTACTACTCCTCTCTCTCCTTCCCCCCTCCTCCTACCTCTCCCTGAGGTGCACCCCATACCTCGAGGACACCCGCGATACCTGTCTCGTCCACCGCTCAACTACTGCCGCTTTGCCAATGGGGTCAATGGCACGCGACAGCGCCTAAGTAGACATGTAGTGCGCTGCTACACACGCATACACACCTACACACCTATATGCACCACACAGCCGGACCGTTGCCGATCCCATGTCGCTCCGCCACATCGTGATCCCCTCGTGGCCGCACCACACTCCGCCGAAGTTCCCCACATTCGTCCTTGCTTCCCGCGTCCAGGCGAAGATACAGCGGGACCTGCTGGACTGGAAGGTCGCCGCCACCCTGGCCGCTGGAGCTGAGCCGCCGTACACCCCGACGCCACCGCTCCCGACCGTTATCTCCTTCACCCCCGAACCCACGTATACCCAGGGCCGCCGCCAGGTTAAGGCTCCCAACACGGTCCAGTCCACACGCTTGCGCGCGCCTCTCCACGTAACCCCCCCTTCGGCCCCCTCCTACCTCGGCGACAGCACCGGCGGCAGCAGTGGGAATGTTTTCCGTCCTATCATCGCGCGCACGCCGCGCGGCGGCCTGACGACGTACCACGGGCCGGGCCAGGTCGTCCTCTGGCCCGTGGTCGACTTGTGGTCCCCTTCTCACCCCCACTTCCTCGTCGGCGGTTACATCAGCCTGCTGGAGGCCACCACTGCCGCCGTCCTGCGTAAGGTCTTTGGTCTGAACGCCTTCACCGACCCAGAACACCGAGGTGTGTGGGTCAACGGGTTGAACACGGACATTCCGCCTCCGCCACCCTCCACCTCCTCGCCTGGCGTACCCACCGGAGCGGACCAAGGCGGCGACGGGGTGAGGAGCGAGAGCAGGAGTAATAAAGATGAAGTAGCGATATTACGTGAGAGCGAATTATATAGTAAAGAAGCGTACAAGCGCGGGGAGGAGCCACGCAAGATTGCGGCTGTCGGCGTACACCTTCGCCGCCATATCACCTGCTTCGGCACCGCGGTCAACCTCTCGGTGCCCGTCACCGGCCCCGAGGACATAAATCCCTGGGCGCGCTTCGTGCCGTGCGGCATCACCGGCCGGCGCGTCACGAGCGTCGCCGCGCAGCTGCGAGACGTCGGCCTGCCGCCGCCGCCGCCGTCGCCGTCATCGCCGTCGCCCTTGGAGTCGGAGGGGTTCGCGTCCGCGTGGGCGGCCGAGTTCGCCGACCGGCTGTACAACGACGCAACGGGCGGCAGGAGAGCGACCGCCGATCCCCGGATCACCGTTCGCACCACGGTGGAGCGGGTGGACTGGGAGCGGTGGAAGCAGGAGGAGAATTTCGACGAAGACGGGGACGACACGTTCGGCTGGGAGGAGACCGAGCGGCGCTCGCAGCTGCCCTCTGGCCGGTGACGGGGCCGGCAAGGCGGGCGGGGACCCGGTGGCAGAGCGAGCCTGCGTGCACGTGATGCTACGTGCGTCCCGCAGGCAAGGCGAGGAAGTCCTACCGCCGAGACTCTTACCAGAGCATAGAGATGAGAAAGACAGAGAGAGCGAGTGAGAGAGAGCGAGTGTGAGTGAGAGGGACTAGGTAAATAGAGCGCATGCCGGCCCGGCGATTGCCTAGACCGCGGGGACCTGTTGGATATTGCCTGATCGGCGGCGTCTAGAACGCACGGCGGGCTTGCAGCTGCGCGCGCACGCACGCACACACGCACACGCACCACCAGAGACCGAGACGCTTATTGCGTGCCTACATGCGTAATGTATATGCAGACGCAGAGATAGGCACCTAACCTACCTACCTGCCGCAAGGAGGAGGTAGCCCGGGTAGGCACAGTAGGGAGGTAGGTAGGTAGGTAGGTAGGAATAAAGGCCGCAAAAAAAAAAAATTATACGTTGAGAATACCACGAAGCCGCCGCCGTTACACACCCACACACGCACGCCCCGAAACCGCTAACGCACCGTTGCTGGGATCGAAGCCGGTTTTGCGGGACGTAGAGAGGGGGGGGGGGGGGTGAGGAAGAAGGTCAGTGTAAGCGGGAGCAACGCACGCAAGCGCATGAGTACCAGGAGCGAAGCCGGTCAGGTCGGATAGATAGGATACCCAGACCGGCCAGCAGAGCAATCAGATCAGTCGAATCCGTCCTTCGGCCGATCCATCCCGCCTCGCCTGCTCCTCGCCACGCCAGCCGCCGTAACGCCCGCCTGCCTGCCAACGAGGCAATTGCTTTTTTTTTTTTTTTTTTTTTTCGCACGAGCTGCCCGTCCCTCATATATATATATATATGTAGACACACACACATACATGTAATAAATGCGCGTGTATACAATAATATTAGAGAACGAACCCCCTGCATGCATACACGCGCGCGAGAGCACACGTATCCGATCCGCCCCGTCCGTTCGTCCCGTCCAATTCCCTTCCCTCGACTGCCTATCTGAAACGTTCGTGGCCGCCGACTCCCCGCCTCGCGCTGTCGCCCATCCGCCGAAGGAAGGCGGATCAAGTGGTGCGCGCGGCCGCCGGCGCGTCGCTATGCATCTACCCTAGCCTGCCTACGTGGGTAGGTCCTGTCAGGTACCTCCCTGCCGGCCATGTACCCGCGCCGCAACGTGGTGGTTGCCAATCTTAGTAAGCACAGATCAGAGACGGCAAGTCGAGGGGTGGAGCGGGTATAGCATCTACGTTCCCTACGCACCCAATCCACCGTACCCGAGGTAGGTCGACACATAACCACGACGGTAAAAGCCATGCAGTAGATGTAGCTTTGCCTTAGTTAACTCCTCCGATGCCAACTCGACCGGCCGAACCTATACGAGATGTAGGTGAGGAATGCCCGTGGACCATCCGGCATCCTGCTGCCACGGCATCCGTTGGTTCGGCGTGGCTTCATTATAAATCTGGTAGCAGATGGATAGAGCATAGCTTCCCCCACCCCCCCCTCTCCCCCTCTTCCCCCTCTCTCCCCCTCCCCTCCCCTCCCCATCGCGCGGTTCAGCAACGCCCTACAATGCCGCCGGGAGAGCATGGTGGTATGCACCGCACCCTTGCACCACGTACGTAGGATGAAGACATTCGAATTAATAGTTATCGGCTCCAAACTGTATCAACCTATCTCTCTATGCTCTCAGTCTTGGCCGACCATGATGCTGTGCGTGTGTGCGTGTGTGCGTGTGCGCATGTGTGTGTGTGTGTGTGTGTGTGTGTGTAGGTGTGTGGGTGTGTGGGTGTGAGAGAGAAGAGCGATCTGCGCAGCACTATCTCCTGCTGTCTCACGTTCAGTGTCCTGCAATTAGGTACCAACAAAAATTCCCTAGCTGTCCCCGTCTGTCCTCGACATCGACGGATCACCTCAGGGCCTGCATCTCATTATCTCATCTCTGATGGTATATCGTTACCGGATCGGCCGTGACCCAGTGCCGCGCGCAGTCTTTCATTACCAAGTAACGCCGTTTGTCATAATAAGACGAAGTAGTAGACGAACAAGTGCTGCCGACCCCGAATGGAACAATGCTCATGGGACCACGGGGAAAGAAGAGTTATAAAAAAAAAGGCGGAACGCCTCTAACCCCTGTTCTCTTTTTTGATGACCGCGCAATGCTGCTCACCACTACTTCGTTTCCGACCACCGCTGCTATTCTTCGCGTGAGGTACCTCCTCTTCCGCCTCGGGCCGATACATCTCGGGCTGGAAATTCATGTTGTTGTAATGGGCGACGTTGAAATGGCTGTTCTTGAAGGTGTTCGTCGTGAAGGAAGGCTCGGGAAAGGTGCTCGACTCAACTAAATCGGGGAAGTTGTATTTGCTGAAACGGAGGGGGTGTACAGTCATCGGCGTCGGCGGTTGCTGTTGCGGAGGGCTCGGTTGTGGAGCGGGAGCAGGACCCGTTAAGGTATCCGAGAAAGGCTGCGGCATCCACGGCGATTGAGGAGAAGGAACATAGATATCCGTCATAGGGGACGGCGCGGCCGGCGGTGATGCTAGAGGCGACATATCTGGCGGCGCGTAACCCGGTATCATAGCCAGCGCGCTCATATCTACTGTCGAGAAGTCTTGCAGTGACGGGATAGTGTGCTCAATCTCGGGGGGATGCGTCAAGGACGTCGCCCGGTGGATTTGTAACGAGGTTGGTGGAGGAGGGATGGGCGCCGGTTGTATTAACGAATCGCGGTACAAAATGTCGTAGTGTCCGGGACGGTAGAGTAGGTAAATTATGGGCCCCAACGTGGTTGGATCTTGGTCGTTGGCCTCCTCGGGCATCCTGTGCGTGTTGACCTTAGACCCGTCACTCCTATCTAGGTAGGCGATCTCCAGGACGACATTCGCCGGCTTGAGCAGGACGCCGTGGAGTAATACGACACCTATGTGATCGATCTCCCTGTCGATCGGCATGATGATATTTTGCACATAGTTCTCGACGCCGCCCTCTATCCAGGGTTCATATTGAGCGTAGTTGCCTTTCAACCACGAAGACGCCAGTAGGCGTTGGTGGTAGACGATGTTCTGCGAGGACTCGAGATTGTTGAACCTATCCGTCACCAGCGGCATGGCATCGCCGTCGTTCATCATGGCGGCGATGATGGCGCTAAACAGGTCGAACGTCTCCGACACCATATCCTCGAACAGCCAAGCATTATGCCCGCCGACGTTCTCGATGAGGGTGTTGAGGCTGGTCAGTCGAGCCAGCTCGCCTTGAACATGGGCTAGGTCACCACATCGAACGAGGGTCTCGAAGTAGCCGAACACGATTGCTAAGAAAACGATTACAAGTCAATTCAGTCCTTGAAAGCCGACAAGAGGGAGACGAGAGAGCCGAAGATCCAATATCGGCGCCCCGGAGTCGGATCGGTCTTCACGATGGTCGATCGCCGATCGACTCGTCCATCCGATCGAGGAGCATCGTACATAAACAAAGTAGACCCTGGTAGGTATAGCTCTACGCATGAACTGCGGGGTATGCGTACGTGGTGCAGAAGGATCATCTGGATGGGTGAGGCGATAGAAGCGTCCGACTCACCTCGCCAACCGCAATTGCCGTCACCCTGAATAGGGCGATAGTGCGAATACGTCTGCGGCAACGCCTGTGATAGAATGTAGGAGTCAATTGGCGGGGTTCGGGTTGGGAGTGGGAAGCTTAGATCGATTAACTGACCATCGTCTTGGTGACGTAGATGGGATCTGCTTTGGCGTACTCTTCCGTGATCGCCGTGCTCGGCCTCTTCTCGCCGACCAATGGGCCCTAAGGGTAGTTTTAACGTGTGAGCATGCTGCCATTTTACCGGGGAGGGGGGGGGGGAGAGAACGATCAACATATGCGGATGAGAGAGAGAGGACAGAGTGGAGGGCAGCGAGAGAACAACAGAACGACGCAAGTGGGTAACGCTACTACTAACCTCTAGCTGGGGCTTGTAATCGCGGGCAGCGGCCTCCTGCTGGGCGATGTCGTTTGGATGCTGTGGTTCCATCTTGACGGTGCGATGAGTTTGGTTATGATTGTGGTGGTTATGGTGTTGTTGGTGATTATTGTGGGGTATCGCGGAGTTGTAGGAAAGATGATGGCTGGGATTTCTGGGATTGCTGGCGGGTAGTATGGAGCTGTGGTGGTGGTGGTGGCGGTGGTGGAAGACGGGGGAGGTGAAGAGGTCGGCGGTTGGTCCACCTGCAACCACGCCCGCCCCTCCAACGTGCCCCGTTCCGATGTGCCCCAGCGGCGTGGGCTGGAAGGCGTACTCGGGGATTTCTGCGTTGGCTATGGTGATTCCATAGGAAGAGTAGGCGAACGGAGTTGGTTGAGGCTGGAACATGCCTGTGCCTGGGCTTGCTGAGCCAGAGCTTGACCCCGAGCTTAGAAGCGTCGGGTCATAAAAGCTCTACGATGGAATCACGCGCTCGCGAAGGGGGGGCGGGGGGAGTTAAGGAAGCCTTTCCCGGCGTAGCAAGCAGGCAGATACGGAGAGCTTATCCGAAGACTGATATCTATGCTCCCACGGCCGCTACCAATGATCAACGTCTCTCCTCGAGCTGTAACCAGCAGCAACGCGGTGGAGAGAAACGAGGACGGACGGGAGCGGAGGAGAGAAAGAGAGGGCGAGGATAGAGACAAGAGGACGGGTAAGGGGGGGAGGGTGCGAGAGGGTGCGAGAGAGGAAGAGCAGAGAAGGGAAGAATCGGAAGAGAGGACGGAGAGAGGGGGAGAGGTGGGCAAAGTAAGAGCGAGAGAGAGGAAGAGAAGAGGGAGAGGAAAGGGAAGAGAGAGAGGGATAACTGGAAGAGATCTAGAGGTCTGGCTACGGGCGGGCTGTTGTCTAAAAGAAAGATGAGAACCGAGGAATCGATTAGTTGGTCGATCAGGAAGCCGGGGTTGCACACCAAGCAGCGGCAGTAGTACCAGCACCCCTGCACCTGCTAATATGTGCGTAGAGTGGTATTCCCTTGTGGCTACATCACCCACATCACGTAGGTAGCGGACGTAGCCATAGCAGTGGACATGGCCAGTGCTACTTTGGCGGTACATTATGTACATTGCCTTAGGTACGTTAGGTACATGCACCCATCCTACCTGCTTCCTGCGCCCATACACCGTGACACGCCCACCTACAGCGACGACAGGTGTACGCCTAGGCGCGGAGCCGTGGCCATAGCTTTCCCCGTATGCCTTGCGCGCTGCCCGCCACCTCGACGACCTGCCCGCCGAGCGTGCTCGTGCCCAGATGCTGCGACCGATTCCTCTCTGGCCCTGCCGCGTACGTACCTGTATATACCTACCTACCTGCCTATAGCCTCGCGGCCCTGTCGAGCATATAGGTACCTAGGTAGGTAGCTTCCACGGCCCTGTATGCAGCTTTCTGGAGGTGACGAGATGACGAGGTAGGGTGTGTGTAGCACCAATGGAGGTTGCCTGCCTTCCTCCCTGGATGCTGACATATCTGTCTTGGCGGTGATGGGCACGGGGTTACCCAAATGCACATGGCGCCGTCGTGCTGATTGGCGAAGAGCATGCCCGGATAAGATGAGAAAACCCGTTGCTATTATAAGGGAGAGTAAGAGAGCAAAAACGTAGGCTGGGAGATATGTTGTGCAAATTCGGGGCTAGGTAGATTTGCATGCACCCTTCGCTGCTGGAATCTTGAGGGGTCCATATACCTATGTAGAAGGGGAGAGCTAGGAGACGTGTGCAGGTTGCAGGACCTCTCTCCAGCGACTTGTCTGGCGCTGCCCAGGGACGAAGTGCAACACCTCAGGTAGGCAGGTAGGTACCTATATCTGCGCATCGCTGGAGGCTAGTGCCCTCTACCCCAGGTGCCTAAGTAGGCGCCTAGAGCTGGCCGGAGGCACCTAACCCAAGGTCAAGGCAATACCCTGCTCCCCGCGAGGATGCAGCATCGCTCTATAGTATGTTGGGAGTCGGTAGGCAATGTCCGCTCTCGTAGGCGTGTGTTTCGGTGCAGTAGGTACCTGGGTACCCACGGAATATACTGATGGCACATAGGCAGGTACCTACGTTACCCTTGCCAGGTCCCCTAACCCAATGGACCGGACTGCGCGCCCGTGAATGCGTCCTTCGTATAATAAGTGTTATGTAATTGGGTGCGAACGTCTCCAGGATACTGGCATCGCCTCTTAATTGTAGGTATGCAGCTTACTGCCCACCAGAAGCCCTGCCCCCCGGAGGTTTCTTCGACGACGAGCTATAACCAGCCCATGGTATGCCTCGGAGGTAGGCCCGTTATAAGCCCGTTATAACTGGCGGAAGGTGACGGCGTAGGGTCAACCTTGAAGGGGCAACCTCCGGACATGAATCCACGGATGGACCCAAAGTGGGAACGACAACCAGAGAGCGAGGGCGTAGATGTACCCGGGTACTTGGAGAAGAGGTACCGGGGCCCGCCATGTACTTGCCGCTTGGCTCTGTGCCGCGTCCACAAGAGAGGTATCGAGATGTGCACGCAAGAGGTACGGCAGGTATCCACGGGAGGTATACAGGTACCGGTAGCATATTATGAGCACAAAAAGAGAGGAGGCAGAGAGAGGCAGAGCATGTTGGCTCGTGCTCTCCCAGAGAGTTATGCACCTAAGATACTGGATGTATCGACCCACATGGACTCGGAGATGGATTGCAGCGACGATGGACGCTGGCAGCGCTGGCACTGGTACCGGATCGCACCACATGTTGGACTGTCTGTCTGTCATTTGCACAAGGCATGGAGCCAGCTCCATACATCCCCCATCTCCTGCTGCATCCTGCAGACACGCATGTCGAGATAACATTACCCAGGCCTCAACTTACCAATACCAACCTTGCCCTACGTCCATACCGATATGAGGACTAATATGTACAGGCACACTAATGCCAGCGCAACCCGAGAATCAAGTTAGTCCCGTGCGAAGCCGTCACGGCTCGGCTTGAACCACATCACCATCTCCAACGCGTCTGTCAGCCAGCCAACTCTCGACCACCTCCCCCCGCCCCCTTCTCTCCCTCCCCTCTACGCATCCCTACACACCCTCTATGCCGCTTCTACGCTACCTGCCTATACTTGTCTTCTGCTCTGTGGGCAGCCGTCTTGGCCCTCCGCCTTGGATGGCTTCAACCTCGGTCGCCCAGTCCCGCGTTCGTCTCCCCGACACCCCACGGCCGACAGATAGTACCTGAGCTTGGCGGGGCAGAAAAAAACCTGGATATGGTGACGGTACTCGCATCGGGGTGCAACGACCTACGTCATGTACATACAGCGGCCCCGAAGCGGAAAAGCTGGCCGAGAGGCTATCGATCTTGCTGGGCACTTGTTCTCGGTGCTGACTATGTATCTACGAGGTACCATGCCGTGAGCGCTGCTGGCTCTTCTTGTCCGTTCAGATATATCCGATACTGCCACCAATGGCTCCCGGTCAGCACGTCATATGAACAGCAGCAACTGGCATGACGTTCCACTCGTTGTAGCCGGCTCAATGCATCCCGACCTCGGGTTCCGGTGGCTAAAGGGGCCTATCTCGTCGCCGGGCACGCACTCCGGCGCAGCTTGGTTCTCAAACCACCGTTGTCTGACATGCGGCTGTCCTGCGGCTTACCTTACGGCCATGTTGCCTCTCCAGGATCCTGTACGCTGTAAAACTCGAGGGTTCTCCTAGATCTTTCCTTACCCCAGACTGGTGCTTACGGTGGAGGCGGCACCAGACTGCGATGGGTAAGGTATATCCAACGGCCAAGGGCACTACACACCTGGCATGTCACGCTCCTGGATAGCTGGGATGGCTTCCACGATGTCATGATCCTCAAACGGCCTCCCGGATCTTGCGAGCTCCCTTTACGGTAATAGTCGCCAGTTCCATCCCAGCTTACGGCGCGGTTGATCATTCGATCAAGTTGAACTAGCTAAGGCGGGATCGACCTCACAAACTCGGCACGACGGCGTGGCCAGCACGGAGTAAGCCGATTCGTGCTGGTCAACTGATGCAGCAATTCCGAGTCTCCGGCGGCGGAGAGGCGTTGTAGAATTCAGCAAGGGAGACGCAGAAAATCAAGCATGGTAGACGGGCCGTGGCGACGGGCACGTCACCTGGTGGCAACCATACGTGGTGGATTTGCAACGAGTAACGTGCTGCTCTCTGCTTGATGGCTCTCACTAGCGTACCTATCTTAAGACGCATGGGTCGGGGTAACATAGATGTGCTGGTGGCACAGGACCGACAAGCAGTATAGCCACCGTAGCACAGCATCACAAGCGAACACCCCAGCCATTGGTGTTGTCTTGAATGGCGCCGACCCAGGCTGATCCCACCCAAGTGGCATTTTGCGTTAAGCCTTTAAACGAGCGACAGCATCCGCGCCCAGGTCAGCCTCATCATAATAACCGGTACTATAATCCTCGTCATAATCGTATGGCAGGAGCATGACTGACGACTGATTTCTGCTGATCGACGAGGCTCGTAAGCGATGTCGTGGACCCGGGAATAGTAGACTGACGCACACACGCTCGACCGCTACCGTTTCCTACTTCTAGAGACGTCGGAAACAAGGCCCGAACGGCGGGCCCAATTTACGTCGTGTTGTCACCCGAGGGGTTCGACAAATACATCCAAGAGCTTTTTCCTTTTTCTTTCTTCCCTCCTGGAAAAAAAAAAGGCGACAACACAAGATGAGACCGTCTCTATTATGTGTGTTTGTTACGTAGGCCATATTTGAGGTTAGGCCGGTCCTCGACGTTAAGTAGAGGTACGTGAGAAAACAATTCTACATATACCTAGCTATATTCAGTAGGTCGGTATTGATAACAGGCACAGGCATATGCGCTCGAGAGCTTCTTGAAAGCTTTACGGATCATGGTCATGACAATGATCGTATCCGATCTGATATCCGTTCAGCGACGGGTCATGGATCAGCCCCAATGACCCATGCCAAAGGCCGTCATCGCTGTTGTATTTTGGCATGACCCCGCCTTTCCTCTGCCGCCACGACACGGTACTGGGTCAGTCTAAGACTTACATAGGATGGACGAACACCGATATGTACGCCAAGAACTCGCAAAGCCTGGGAGATTTGGGGTGCGAGCCGTTACTGTCGGCGCCTGAAGCACCACCGATACGGCTGTTTAGCTCTGATGATATTCGGGGTCGCCGTTCCGGTCATACTAACCGAGCTGGAGAAGACCCCCCGCAAGGTGTATGTCTTGTACGCATGCGTCCGTCACCAGACTTGTTACCGGAAAGCTGGGGGGACTTGTCTCGGAGAGGTTTCTGCCTCGAAAGGGCAGATACGTCTACGCCTCACTCATACCCTCTTGGCAGATTCGGGCCGGTAAGACAACTTCGGAACATGCCTACACCAGAGCCGAAATTCGGTATCTCCCGAGATCTCAAATTAAACCCGCCAAAATTATGGTAGGAATAAGGAGGAAGATGATCTTCGTTAACTACATTACCCATAGCGTCGAGGTATTCCTCATGGGATTATCGATCGCACCCTGTTCGAGTTGCCCCCCCCCCCCCCCCAAACGCCCCCTGTTTCCGACGATCATGCCGTGAGTATACGGGTACCCGCTCGAGCGCCTGGCTAGTCATAGGCCCATTCGGACATCACGGCTGCTCCGCTTCGGCCTTAATCTGGGCCATCGGGGACTAAGCGGTAGTCGTCGCCATTCTACGTATAGCCGTCGGGTCTCTCGGGTTAGAGGTAGGTATAGCATCGCCAAAGGCGCGAATGAGTATTGGGAACTCAAAATTAAGGAATACCTAAGACACGGAGTGCCCCCGCCCACCCTGTATCGCCCGTGGCCGTGGTGACGATCATCTATACAGCATCGATGCCGGCCCCTCTCGCGACAACTATGCATTGACCACATCCTGAGCGAATTCTGGGGGGTTCGTGGATGTCCCCGGACTTGCCATGGGATCTGCACACGATCGAAAAGATCGACAGCCGGTCTTGGCCATAGCACTGGAAAAGCCGATGATGCTCATTGGCTACGGACAAGATTATCGAGCCGTTCGATTGCTCCATTGCCTATCGCCTCCCCGCTTCCGGACATCTGAAACGCGCTTCCTGCTGGAGCTACCTGTCCTGTCCCCTTCTCACAGCTATGCGATAGGAGACTATAGCCCTCTGTCTGCCTGCATAGGCATGTGGTTGATATTGTACAACTCGGACGCCGTCTGTCAGTCCCTCCTGTTGTGCGCGAGAGCGCATACTTGCCGAGTGCCACAAAGCGCGCTTACGCCATCCGACGGCGAGATAGACACGATGAAGCCGTATAACCCTGGACAGATATCTCCTGCAAATCTCACCTGCCCTGAGGTGGCTTTATTCTCAATGTTAGGGTGTCGGTGCCCATGACTACGGCGGTCCCTACATGGCGTCCCCACATGCCTACCGCCCTCTCCGTCTAGATTTGGGTGTAAATCATACCCGAGGCTACGAGTACCCAAATGCGATAAGGGGGGTCGAATAGGAACGTAAATTGCAACGAGGCGTGCTGCGCTCCGTCGTTCTTCGTATCCAGAATTGAACAGTCTACAGCCCCTACCGAGCAGCTCGATACATAACAGCAACTTTTCCTTTCTTCACTCCCTCTCCGCTCTATATACACCGACCGCGCAAGGCAGGTTCAGCCAGTGGCAGGGCGCGGACAAGAGGGATTTGTGTTACGCCAAGCCGGTGAAATAGTGCGAGTCACCCGCGAAACAAACTGAGGGTCGCCAAAAGCTGCAGATAGGACTATTCATCGGTCTTCTAACCTCCCGCAGGCGGAGACGATGGGAGCGGGTCGCACCCAGACCAAACCATCCGTCAGTGTCACCAACGCTGCGACGCAGGCTGAGCGGTGCCTGTCGCGAGCTGTCACGTAGGTCGAGATGGAGTGAGGAGATGGATCTCCCGACGAAGTCCTTCACATACGACTCCTATGCCGCCTCCCTCTCGGCATGCCTTATTTGTCAAACTAGGTTGCTCTGCAGCGATCCCGCAGCCGAGGAGCTCGTCTGGCAGCCCTTTGGGTCACCGCGCCGGACCAGCCCTCTGAGGTATCAACGCTAAGCTGAATTCCTGTCCTTGCACTCTATCCCATCGCGGCGACCGCAAGTATTGTGTTGTCGGTAGGCGGCTTTTTTTTTCACGCATCAAAGGCATACAATCCCGGCGCCAGACAATGGCCACGGAAGCTATCTCGGCTTAGCGCAAGTGATTCCCGAAGGACGACTTGTCGTCTTTTCAGTCATTGGTGCGAGGGACGTTGCGCTCGCTTCCGGGCCGTCCCACCCACCGCAACCGCCTCGATAACTTGCCCTCGCTGGTCTTCTGGGTCGGCGAACGGGGATGAGGGCAACGGTTCTAGACGAAACCCCGAAGCTTATCCTTTCCCAAACATGGTACTGAGACACCTCCCTCTCCGTTCAGCCTGAGGGATATGCGGAAAAGCTTGTAAAGGTCCAATCATCTCCCCACGATCACCTCTTGTCGATCAGGAAGCCATTAGCAAGATACCTAGGTCGTAAGCCATCCAAGACACGCATCGCGTGCAGCTAACCACATTCTCCTCGCGCGCCGGCTGGCCAACCAGCAAGTTAGAGCGAGACAGAGGCGGCCACCTAGTCGTCGCTCGGGCCCTTCCTACGGTGACATGATTTTCTTTAATCTATATTGCTCATTCGCGCCATCATGTATGGACCTACCCTTTTTACCCTCACTCCTTTGCCCGCAAGGACGCCACGGATAATATGGGGACGACAGGCAGAGGCACACTCATCACCACCCACCCATTCATGCACTATACACTACACAGACAAATGTACATATATATATATATATATATACATACATATGTATGAAAGCCTGTTGCGGTTGCTACCTCGATAGACTCGTCCCCATACCCAAGGCATCCAGGGTACCTCTCTGCATGCATGCCTATGGCTCTCGCCTACCTCTCGCTTCCTGCCCTGGCGGTGCCCTTTCGCTGCTCCTCACTTTCCGCGCCGCGCTGCTCATTTCGCTAAAACGAGGTAGATGGACCGATAGGCTGCCTGCTTAAATACGTATAGATATACATAGGTAAACCGGTTCTACCGCGCATTTCCTATGCCTTGCCGCGTGCGAGAGAGGGGAGGGGGTTGTGGATGGGGAGAGGAAAGGGGGAGTGGATAGACAAGCAGATAGGCAAGTAGGGGAAGCGCAGGGAGATAGAGTGTGGCCGGTAGATGGGTTTTCTGCATGCTATGAGGGCTCGGCCTTGCTTCCGATTCGTAGAAGCCGTTCCGGAGGGATTCGGTACGCAATATATTGACGTCGCGCGCCCCAATGATGCAGGTCGTCTCGGGCACGCATGTCAACGACCTCATACCTGACGGGCAATTACGTAAGTCGGCACGTCCTCATGAAGCAGACAAGTCGGCGGCGCACCATGCAGGACTACTTGATTTTCGGGAAGGGAAGGGGGGCGGAGGAGGTTCGGAGGGATGGTCGAGCGAGTAGCCGGCAGGTGGTCGCCTAGTCATGGTGCGAGGAGAAAGGAGGGCAGCTGAGAAGGGGGAGGGGGGGGGGGGGGGGGACGAGAAGATGCCTTGGGCCGTCAGCCGCAGGTGTGGCCGCGGACTACGGCGTATGTTTCTGTATGTACGCAATATAACATGGCGTGGTAGAATGCGATACACCCGAACCCGCGGCCGACTCGCATAAACTGACTCACCCATCCGCGCCGGACCTGCACACGACATGGCACACAGGAGAGCAGGCAGGCAGGACAGCGCAGCCCAGTGCAGGATCTAACATACGACCTATCACGCCCCCCTATCCCTGCTTGTGCAATGGGACGATGGCTCGCTACCGAGGTCGAGACGCCTGTGGCTGGATTGGGGGGACGTACGGGGGCCGCTCGCGTATTCTCCGGGTCCAGAGACCTTTTTTTTTGGAGGGGGGGGGGGGTCTGGATACAGAGAGAGAGGTGCTGCTGACACCGTTTCTCTCTGCCTGAGGAGAAAGACTCTGGGCACACGCGAAGCATGCCTTAAACAGGTATCTCTGAGCTCCCGCCGCCAGAGGGAAACGCAGGTCTGGTCTGTCAATCGACCCATCGGGGCCTGTCTACGGCGTGAGACGCTCCCACTCGGCCTGCCCTTCGGCTCTCGACTGTGTCTAGAACTTCTCTCTCTTGGTTGAGGGGAATGCGCGTTGGGAAGGGGACAGCGCGCGTGCGGGGTGGGACGACGTGGTCGAGACGTTTGCAGCGCACCAGACATAGCCCCCCCTCCTCCTCCTCCCGGCGAGGACCGACCGACCGACCGACAGACAGACAAACAAGCCCGACGGGTGCTGTGCGCACCTGTTGCCTTGCCTTACTTGCCTGCCAGACACACAGCCAGAGGGCCAGGGGTGCGAAACGGGAGGGGGGCCGAGAGATTGGACGAGCCGCGCATGCAGCCTCCCGCCCGCCTGCCGGCTGCCGTTGGAGACGGTGGCGGAGAAGGCGGCTGGGGTCCGTCTGGGCTGGATTGAAAGGAAGAAAAAAACAAACAAACAAACGGGTGAGAGGCAACGCGGCCGCCCGCGCCTCCCGGCGGCCCCGGAGCTGAGTCCTCCTCGAGCTGTCATCGCCGCGGCGGCGGGCGGCGGGCGGCGGGGCGCATGGTCTCTCCCCCCCCCCCCCTCCCGGGGGAGTTATACGTCCGCGCAGGGCATCGCGTGCGTACGTAGGCGCGTCGGGGCCAGCCAGGCTGGGCTAGATTGCGGCAGCACATTGGTGCCTGCGCGGCCCCGCCAGTCCCCCGGTCTGCCCGCGTGGGCGCCTACATAACATGCAGGGCCTGCCTGGAAGAGTAGACCGAGCGGGAGAGAAAACGGGGTGAGGTTTTTCGTGGGGTGGGGCCGAGAATGAGATGTGACGGGGGAAGGGAAAGGAGAGGCACAGGGTGGGGGCTGGACGGTGTTTCTGATCCAGTCAGTGCTGCTGGCGCTGCCCTAGAGTAGGAGGGGGGAAGGGACGGGGGGGCGCGAGGAGGGAGGAAGCCGGGGTGAAAGACGGCGGATGGTGGTGAGGAGTCGAGGTGAGAGACATAGGAGAACATAGGAGACGCCGTTTAGGAGATTGGAACTTCTCGTCTTTTTTTCTATTTGTCATGTAGCTCTCACGCTCGGTATCCTAATAGTAGGGTCTACGACTGGTGGGTTGACTTTTTTCGACCAGGTCGATCTCCGGGTATCGGGATCGTGGGCTATCTATCGGATATGCTGGATGTTTGAGCTTCGTGCCATTCGACGAGACCTCACCTCTATGTTCTCCGTCTAGAGGTATCAGCGTGGTAGCTTGCGGTCCTAGGTTAGACAACGTAGGTATTCTCTTGAGTCTTTACCGACCTCGTCGCTGATGGGTTACGGCCTTGGGTATCCCCGTCTTAGATATCGAGGATGTGTTGTTCTCGTAGGTATATTGCCGCCTGTTGATGCTCGCCTCATCTCATTACCTAGCGATGCCGTACTTATCTTAGGACGTTTTCGGGCGCCCATCTCCAGACGTTATGGTTGGTCGGTCTAGTGAGGTTCCAGTCGACCATCACATATTCGGGTGTGTATCTGGATTGTTAACTTGGAATTTGACGCCATAACCCGCCTTTCTTCGCCTAGGTAAGTCTCCTTATCCGTCTTTCTTTTCGATATTATGCTCTCTGAGCTATTATGTCGATCTCAGGGGACGACAACCTGACTAGGGGCCGAGATAGGGACATTGTACTCGTCGAATGGCCTGTCGTGTTCCTCCCATCCCTCTCAGCGCTGCCCCATGCTCCATATTGCGAAGTTCTCTTTGTATGGTTATTGATTCCTTTGCTAAGCCAGGCTTTATACACCGCGTGTGCGACAGGCCGCTTACCTCCCTTAAGGTATGTTGGCATCTAAACCCTGCCCTTCCTTGCCGTAGACTGCGTGCGCACGAGATAAAATTCTTCCCTTAAACACCAAAACCCTGCCTAGTGAAGACTATATCGCTTTGTCGTTGACGTAAAAACCCTGGGATAGAAGTCAGTAGTGTCTTCTCGGGGCCGTGCGGGGGATTGGGAGACCCTTCCGGAGAACAGAGCCTGAGGGTAAGCAGTACGAAAGGGGTATGAGTTTTTATATGTACCCTTTATTTCACCTGATGCCATTAACCGGTGTGGCGGAGTTGCTGTCGGGCACCAAAACCCAATCCTTCACGCCACCCTTCCAGTCGCTGGTCCGTATGTCTTTGATGTGGACAAGGATGACCCTCACCTCCTCGCCTGCCACGAAGCACTCCCGGCCGCCATCCTCTTGACCAGACCCTGCATGCCCGTTGAACATGACGCCGCCCTCGGAGTCGAAGGTATTATTCTCGAGGTGCTGGTCACGGTAGAAGGCCTCCTCGTCGGAACCGCGGGCTACTAGCTCGGCGGTCCCGTTTATGGTAGCGCTGATGCTGGAAATGGCGCTGGTGTTGAGGTTCAGCAGTAGAGAGGCGAGGCTGGATCTGTTCTCCGGGCCGGGGGAGCCGCCAGAGAGACGACGGCCCTGGGTCGGTGGCCTATGCGAGACCCCTTGGAATGGGAAGTTAGCACACGGCTGGCCTGCTCGGCTCTGACATTTGGATGGAAGCGCGGGGGCGCCTCTCACAATCGTGAACCAATAACGATACGTTGGGGTTGACGACCAGGTTGTTGGTCTTCTTGGAGGAGGGGTTCGTCGTCATGACGATGACTGGCGCAGAAGAGTACTGCGAAGAGGGTATATAGGTATAGTTCATCAATGAGACATGTGGCTGATTATCTACGCAGGTCGCGAGGTGAAGCTATTTTTGGGCTCGGTCAGCGCCTGGCAGTCAAATGCGACGTATGGGTAGATAGGAAGGGTTGAACAGACGAAGCGGGCGTTTTCGAGACATTGGACTACGTCTGGTGGGAGGGAGGAGACTATTTGCTTATGCGTGTCGCCGGCCGAGGCCTCGTAGTTGAGGGTTGCTTGATCCATTGCGTTAATGTCTACGCTCCGCGCCACGAGAGGCCGTTCAGGGCTACCGATGGGTTGTTGAAGATGTGTAGGCAGGTATGTACATATGCGGCATGTGTAGTAATCTGCGAAATGCTGTTCGTCAATTTTCCTATCTGTCCTTGGTCTTATCGCTTATCTGTGTGGTGTATGCATGTAAATAAAATATCGATATACTACGTAGCACATGGCGGTGAGCCCCGCCAAATGAGCCCCATGGTGGGAGCTTGGTCACAAAGCCGCGGGTATTCACGGGGTAGCACCGCTTACTGACGGCCCTCTCTTTTACGTCCATGGCGTAACAGGAGAGCTGACGATCCTGCTTTTCTTTCCCCCTTTAGATTTACATGTAGTCCTTCGCCGCGTAGGAAGAGATGCACTAATTTCGTTCGCCAGATCTCTTAAGCAGTTGCTCGGTTTAACAAGCTCGCCCCCTAAGATGCGTTCGATCAAACCGACGCATCTCCGTCGACGCGCCTTTCCCCGCTATCTCTCGACCACCACCTCCGCCCAGCCACACATTGTCCCTATAACGTCTCTGCTTATTGCGAATCGTGGCGAGATTGCGTTGAGGATTCACAAGACTGCTGAGCGGCTAGGAATCAAGACGACTACTCTCTACACCGATCCGGATGCCTCCTCACAACATGCCTCCTGCTCGCCGCATTCTGTCGGTCTCGGTGCTGCCGACGGATACCTCGATGGCGAGAGGATAGTGAAACTGGCGAAACAGCACGGCATCCAGGCATTGCATCCTGGTTATGGCTTTTTGTCAGAGAACTCTGCCTTCGCGAAACGGTGTGAGCAGGAAGGGGTCGTGTTCATCGGGCCGCCAGCACAGGCGATGGCGGATATGGGAGACAAGGCGCGAAGTAAAGAGATCATGACGGAAGCCGGCGTACCATGCGTACCCGGGTACCACGGAGGCGAACAGGGCGAGGCGGAGCTGCTAGAGCATGCGAAGCTGATCCAATTTCCGGTCTTACTAAAGAGTGTACGAGGAGGTGGGGGTAAAGGTATGCGGATTGTGATGGAGGAAGGCGAGTTTCTCCAACAATTGAAAAGTGCGCGAGCAGAGGCGAGGGCGTCATTCGGAGAGGGCGGCGAGGTTATGCTGGTTGAGAAGTACATCGTGCGTCCTAGGCATGTCGAAGTACAGGTATTCGCAGATAAGCACGGTAACTGCGTAGCGTTGGGAGAGCGAGATTGTAGCGTGCAGAGGAGGCACCAAAAGATACTAGAAGAGTCGCCAGCGCCCGACCTAGACAACGTGACAAGATTGGAATTGTGGGAAAAGGCTAGGACGGCGGCGTTGGCGGTAGGTTACGTCGGCGCGGGGACGGTGGAATTCATATTCGACAAGGACACCGGTGATTTCTACTTCATGGAAATGAATACACGGCTCCAAGTCGAACATCCGGTCAGCGAGATGGTTACGGGGACCGACTTGGTCGAATGGCAATTCCGGGTCGCTGCTGGTGAGAGGCTGCCCCTGACGCAGAAAGAGATCATTGAGCGGATACAGGAGAGAGGAGCAGCCATCGAAGCGAGGATCTACGCCGAAAATCCCGAGAGGGGTTTCTTGCCCGACTCCGGAAAGCTGGTTCACCTCAGAACCCCTAGGGTCAGCGAAGATATCCGAATCGACGCCGGTTTCGTCGAGGGCGACACGGTCACTGAAGCCTACGACGGGATGATTGCTAAACTTATCGTCAGGGGCCAGGATCGTGAGACCGCTATCAGGAGAATGGAGCTTGCGTTACGCGACTACGAAGTCGTGGGTTTGAGCACTAATATCGAGTTCCTGAAACGCCTATGCCGGTCGCCGGCATTTATAGCGGGCGACGTCGAGACCGGGTTTATCGAAAAGTGGAAGGAAGAGCTCTTTGATCCCGTGGTGGTAAACCCTGAGGTTTTCGTGCAGGCGGCTCTAGGTGTGTTTACTTCGCATATAACGAAAGATGCTGAGCCCCATGGCGAGAGCCTCGGTTTCGGCACGAATAGCAGCGAACGCAGATTCCTTTTCAAGTCTCTCGACGTATTAGACCCAAAGGGGGGAGAAGAGGTGGAAGTCAGCATCACACAGAAGGGTAATAACCTATTCGATGCCCGAATTCTTCGTAAAGATGAGAAGGCTCAAGTTTTCGAGAATCTCGTCTCTTCGTCCGCCTTCGCCGCTGGCAAGACGGGCTTGACCACTTTCTTTCCCCACACACGAATAGAGACAACAGTCATCGAGGATCCTAATAACGACAACAAACTTACCGTATTCCAAACCGGCGCAAAGACGGAACTTTCCCTGATATCCCCTGCTTGGTACGAAAGGGCACTCGGGTTGAAGGAGCTGAGGGCGTCAGTTGCAGCTCCCATGCCCTGCAAGATCCTCAAGAATGAGGTCAAGGAGGGCGATAGGGTCACGAAAGGGGCACCCCTTGTTGTGTAAGTACTCATAAGTTGCGGCTTGCCGGCGACGGGCGCACCATACTAACACCAAGCCCCTAGTATCGAATCGATGAAGATGGAGACGGTGATCCGATCTCCACAGGATGGTGTTATTAAGAAACTTGCGCACAAGGAAGGGGTAAGTTGAACCCCGTTCGGCACAGTTGAGGCGCGAATTACAAAAAGCTAACGCGAACTAAAGGATAAATGCAAGGCCGGGACAATATTGGTAGTGTTTGAGGAGGAGGAGGGTGCTGCTACTGCTAGATAAAGGCAGATTAAAGTGCCCGTAGAAGGGAAGAGATCCGTGCGAAATATCGTGATACGAAGGCGAAATACGGTCATATAGAAATTTGAGGAACCACATGATTGAGCCGTGGAGTAGTTGGGAGTATCCAGATACATATCTTATGAGATGAGCAAGGTATTTATTTATGTATAGTGTATAAAAGTCGGAGATCGTCAACTGTCTATTCATGGCCTGCTGATGCATATAGAGTTTGTCTTCATCGAGAAAACTCAGCACCTAGAGATGGTAATGAGCCTCGCATCCCTGGTAGGACGCGCGGAGACGATTCCATCCCACCGCATATACGAAGTAGCTAGGAACGCAACTCTTGTAGGCGCCTCCCATCTACCATGCTTACCACATACCTCTCTCTAGGACGATGAATCGTGGCCGCTCCTTATACTTTTTAAAACCTCGCCATTGAACCTGACGCCTGGTGAAACGGTCCATGTCCAGCTCCCCAACGCCGCGACGCTCAGCTTGGAGAATCTGACTGTCGTTATGTGTGCTGTACATGCAAATATACAGATGAGACGACAATTGGTTTACACGTTGTAGCCTATTGTGGATTGCCGCTCGGTAGAACTATGAACCCTTCTGGCAAAGGTGGTGGCACCCGCGGTTGGTTGTTTCGTGGTTTCGGTTGTAGGATGCCCAGCTGTGTAGGATGCTTAGCGAAGCGCGAGAAAAATAGGCCTGTGCCTGCGATCTGAAGGGAATTGGGTTGAAGTGCCCTCGTACCATTGCTAGGAGCCTCCAAACGGTGTCCGTCGGCTGTGCGCCAACGCCGATCCAGTACTGCGCTCGTATCGTGTCTATATTGATATCCTTGTGCAGCTTCCCCGAGTCGTCGTAAGGGTCGGGCTTCGGGATGGGGTCGTAGGTGCCAATAACCTCGAGCGGCCTGCTATTCCTCGCCGTTCTGGAGCGGGTCATGGTTAGCATCTTCGAGATCCCGGACCGTCGAATGGTTGGTCGGCCAGTCGGTTGGTCGGCGGCATAAATTCTCTAGAAACCATCACGAACCTGGCATGGGTGACGACTATGTTATAAAAGGGCGCATTTCTGCGCCCGAACCGCGCCAGCCGGATTTTGATCACCATGTCGGCCGCGATGCTGCCTCGTTACCTCAGCGTCGTTCTCGATACAATTTGGAAGGGTTCAGGATGAAATTCTGAAGACAGTGGTTAAGCAGGCAAGGTACTGGGGCCAATACCCTCGATACCTGCCTATTACATAATGGAGGGGAGGTCGAGGATATAGCTTTCTCCGCCCCGACCAGGTCCGCTGAGTCATCAAATGGACCCTGTTGATGTAGGTAAGTACTACGTACCCACGTTGCAGGGGAAGCTTCCCATGTGATGTCAGTCGATTGACCCAACCCACTTACACCCCCACAGACCCGATCATACCTAGGTTACCTATCTACCAATTCATCCCCAGAACATCCTCGACATCATCGGACGAATACGAGAACCATGGCGATCAAGGTCAGTGATCAGTATTGAGCCCGCGAAGACGTTGCCTAGAGAAGTATGCAGCTTAACTCACAGTGGGATAGACCTTGTCGGCCAAAGCGGCTGCAGCTCTGGACAAAGAACTCATGGGTCCCGGAGCTTTCTCCATCGACCAACTCATGGAGCTTGCCGGATTGTCCGTCTCTCAAGTTGGTGCGATGCCACGCCCTATATGATCTGGCGTCCGCGTCTGCCTAACAGCTGCCACCATCCAGTTTATCGGGTTCACCCCCTGACCAAGGGGAGTCGTGTGCTTGTAGCTTGCGGCCCCGGGAACAATGGTAGGTTCTTCGACAGCTAAGCCTACGGCTTAAACGCAGATGTGCAGGTGTCCTAATAGGGTGAAGGCGGTGATGGGCTTGTTGCGGCTCGTCACCTTCGCCATTACGGGTACCGACCGGCGATTTACTATCCCAAACGGAGCCAGAATCAACTCTATCAGGTATATGCCGCCCGCCGCTATGCCTTGTCCCGAACCTCTAACACGAGGATACGCCGTACTGCCTCGTAATTTATCCACTTACGTCTCGTCACTCGGTCTTGAACCCCTTTCAGGCCGGAATTCGCCCTGCGCAGCAGTGCTGATCGACTCAACCCGTCCTACGTCACCGTAACCCCTCCCCCCCCCGCCTCTCTTCCACTTGTTGAAATAATGAATCGCGCAGCGTGTATATACACTTCCCTTCTTTCGGATGGAACCTTTTGAATGCTCGACACTGACAATAACCGCTTCTACAGCGACTGACAAAGCAGCTAGAAGACTTGGAAGTGCCGTTCGTGGATGACTTTCCGGCAGCTGTTAAATCGGCGGATCATATCGTGGATGCAATATTCGGTACGTGCCGTCGTCACGCTTCGGGGGGCGGGCATCGGGCTGATTCTGGAGTCAAGGTTTCAGCTTCTCAGGAGAGGTTCGCGAGCCTTTTCCCGCCGTGATCCGGGCCTTAGAAGAGACCGAGCTGCCTGTGACATCCGTCGACGCCCCCTCGTCTTGGAATATCGAGACCGGGCCACCCAAATCTGGCGTGGGGAGCAAGTTTAACCCTGAGTTTCTCATCAGTCTGACAGCTCCCAAGCCGTTGGTCCAATACTTCAAAGGCCGTCATTTTGTGGGTGGGCGGTAAGTACTTTGGCGCCGAAGGTGTTAAGGAGAGCCTCCTCGGCGGTGACTGACGTACAAGCAGCTTCGTTTCCCCGGCGATCGCCAAGAAGTATGATTTCGATGTCCCGGAATATCAGGGGATCGACCAAATTGTAGAAGTCGGTGTCGGCGGTGAAAGGCTCTGATCGATAGGATTCGGTCCACGGAATGGCTTCGGGGTCGAGAGCCCGGGGATGGTACTACTTGTCGAAATGATGCTCCCTGAATCAACTGACACTGCACCCGCCGGTGCGGCTGTATGGACAAACAGGACTGGGACATCGCCCTTCTTGCATGTCCTCGCTCTCCTCGATAACCCCCCTGGGGCACCACAGCAACGGGGGATGATAGCTGCTGCAGAACTCAACATAGACGAGATATTGTTTCCCGCAGACAGGGCACTCGGAAGTATGCTCAGTGCACATTAAAGATGCAGGCCTGGCTCTTTGCGTCGAATAGCAAAGAACACCGAAATATAGGATGGTCCCTGGAAGGACGGATGTATCGGCGACGACTATCGAGGATTGGCATACCATCCGTATAAATCGTGGCTCGTGTAGTTACTGGTGTGGCTTCACGGTTTATAAAGTAGTAGTAGACCGGGATCCTCTCTCGGGGGGGCAGCGCTACACGGCTGTTGGAATTGCCACCGCGGGACTAAAAACGGCCTTACGATCAACTAACGGGCTGCTGATGAAACCCCTCGTGGCGAGTGTAGGACACGGGGACATAACGTAACTGACCACCCCCTAAGGATGAATACGGGAAAGAGGAGCAGTTCCTTTTCTTTCCGCTACCGTAGTCCACCCACCGTCCCGCTGCCTTGCTGGCGTTTCTTTTTGTTTTATTCATTCCTTCACAATTTCCCGTTTATTGTTTTTTTTCATGTGCTGTTTTGCGAGCCAGCACACATGCCCAATTAAGAGACATGTTTACTCTCAAGCCGTGGTGAGCCCGGAGCAAAAGCTCCTTATAGCGCCTGATAGGCCGATATGGGGTCTGCGGCGCTTACCACGTTAGTAGTACCAGCGAGCAGCGTCTAGTTCTCGCTTTTCCCTCGATCTCTTCCGCCTTCGACAGCTAGTCAGGTGACAGCCGTGATTCTAGAATCATTTACCCCGTTCTTCCATAGAATATCCGGAACGAGCTAGAACCGCGATGACCTTCGCTCTTGGAATTTCCATTCTGGCCCCCCCCCCCCAGGAAAAAAACGCCCCTATTGTCGACTACAGTGGGACGAGAGCGGCCAATTCGGGTGGGCTCGGTACTGGTACCGGATGGAGGGAGCACAGCCTGTCATGTCGAGCAGTCTCAATTCCGCCCGCGCGTTGTTAGGAACCTCTAGCAACGATCAACCTTACTACATAGCTGCGTGCTGGGCGGTGCGGTGAGAGGACGGGTGACAGCCTTACAGACCCATATCGTCACCGATTAGGGGGGGGATCGTCGAGCCCAGACAGACGCCGAGTCTGAGTCCACGCCTCTCTACCCCCCTTCAGCATATACACATCACGGGGGCTGGAAGGCGAATATCTCGCATCTAGTATGGCATGTCCTTTGGGATCACCAGTACCGACGTGGTGGCGCCTAATAATGCAGCTACGATTCGCCGCATAACCTATTGGTAATCAGCTGGTGCACGCTTGGGAGGTTGCTCTTGTGTTGCGTATCGCGTAGAGCAAGGGAGAAAATAAGGGCTCGACGAGGAGAAAAAAGGGGAAGGCCAGGCAGAGACTAAGAATCCCGCGAGACGAGTCGATTGGGGTCAATCCCCCACTCTACCCACTTCGTGTCTACAAGACTTCACCCATCCCTCATCGATCCATCCCATCGCTAGTCGCTTCGGGACGTGTCCACACTGTCTCGACTCCCCCACGATCCGTATTGGAGACGTGCATCGTCAGTGTGCTGCCATACGGATTGTGCGTGATTATTATTACCCACAGGATGGCCGCTACCTCTTCTCTGACCATACTAGCTAGAATCTTGGCCCAGGGGGTGACTAGCCCGGCCCGGGTAGATCTCCCAAGTGCTCCATACGCTACCGCAAGTGACCACCGCAGTTGGATGTGCGTGTGCATATGGATGTAGGTACACAAAGCATAGGTACTCGCTATACCTACCGCCTGGCCGAGGCTATTTCATGAGGGTTCCACAGCTCAATATCAAGGTAGGAGGAGATCGATCTATCTCTCGCCCGCGTAGGCAATAACAGGTTTGATTTGCGATTGTGGACCGCGACAACAATAGCTGCCCCCCGAAATACAACCCTCTCGGGGTAGAAAGACCAAGGGTACGGCACAAACATTGCGCTCTCTATGAATAAAACAGTCTCCCAACGAGAATAATCCGTATATTGACCTCGCATACTCGTGCCTACGATTTGCATCAACGTCGTCACCCATTACACGCGCCGAGGCTTCGGGGTTCTCGAATGTTTGCCAGGCCGTCGGCTACCAGATTTCTTGTTATCGCCGTAAACCCTTTCTAGCCAGCCCGGCTAGTTTTAGCTACGGGACTTGTCTAGCCTAAACCTGCACCATGCGGAAACTCTGCCCTTCGCTTACGCTTCGCTCGCAGGTTAGCCGGCTTGACGGCCCCTCGTTATTAACTATCAGCAGTCGAAGACACTCTGAATAGCATCGTGCGATATTTTCCAACCGGTGAGCGCAGACCTCATACTGTTCAGCTAAAATCCCCCGAATCTTGACAGTCCCGTAGCATAACGAGGATTGAGATGGGGTCTGTCAGGCACCAACCGGAGCCTAACCTTGAGACTAAGACCAGGGGTCCCAGTCTGGGTAGGACGAGGGCCGGCAAGAATTTCTTGTGGCCGTTTGAGATCTATCATGTCCCTACATACATACACCCATCTCTCGGCGTAGTTGCCACGCAGGGGTCTTTTCTTGGCTTACGAAACCCGGATAATGCTTATGTGCAGACGGCAGGCGGGCATGCTCGTCACCAAGACGGTGGGAGTTCTCCGTAACGGGCAGCGCGAGCCGTCCATGCCAGGGACCCTGCGAGGGAGACAGCAACGCAGCAGCGATCACGGCCACTCATGGGGTGAAAGCCCGCCTGACAAGACACAGCAGATTGTAAGGGTTACATACATAGTAATGTAGGTACCTAAGGTAGGTAAGCATAGGTGATAGGTAAAGAGGTAGGTCCCGGCTGGTGGCGGCAGGCCACCATAGGAGCCTCGCCACCGTATCAGTCCCGCTGGGTTTCCGCGCGGAGGCTGTCTAGTAGCACTCATCCGCCACCACCGCCGCCGCGTGCCACCGCGCGGCCGACTAGCATGGATGAGCACAGGGTGGTGTCTTCGGGAACATTCACCAGTGTTCCCCCCTTTAGACACCGCGACTCGATTGTTACATAGGTACTGTTACGTAGGTACTGTCGTATACCGAGTCTCTCTCTTGGACACTTGCATCAAGATGGTCACACTTGCCTAGCTAGGCTAGTCAGGGGGGATATGTTGATTAGCCTGTTGGCTGATTGGTTCTCGGCTAGCCACTCCTCCGTGCCACATGTTATGCGGTGCTAAGCCACATACGCCATCGACTTACATAGGCACATGTTGTGGCTGAAGCCCCTCTTCGTCACCTGATCCCCCCTAAATCCAACTTCATTTGTGTCCCGAGACACGCCTCTTTTTGCCACTCAGCAACTTCACATCTCCCACTCACTTGGTTGGATCCGCGAACCTCGAAAGTTCTGGACAGTCCCTACGCATCTACGGTTAATTGTCACCCCTAGCATTATCCCTAGCGGTGCCTACGGATACGAATATCGACGTATCAGCTGGTCATACCACCTGACGTAGGGACTAGAATGCAGGTAAGTTAGGTACCACGCCGTCGTGGCCGAGGCGAATTCCGGAGCTGATAATCATATCAGGATGGCTCTCATTTCTCTTTCTGCCCATCGCATATACCTGTAGGCATCTACTAAGGATGGGAGGCCTCGTCGGAAAGCCGGCGCCTCCGTCGTCTCAGGTCGCTACGTGTCTGACTGTCAGGCCACCCTGACCCGGCGCTGAGTTTACCGGACGTGCATCGGCTGTTCTGCTATCGTACCTGGATCGCAGACAGGCCTGGGAATCGAAGGTTCCTTGTTCTTGATAAGCTGTAACTGCCTGGTTACGAGCGGTTATATGCGATAGCATTTGCCTCCCAGTCCGCCAGTTCCCTGTTTCCTACCATCGGAGGTTGATCTCGAGGCTGAGCGTATTTATCGCCTCTCACAGATGGTGCTGATGCTGACGGTCGCCCCCCGCCCCGCGCTTGGGATATCTCAACGCCACTATCTGGACACGTTATACGGGCTCGCCGTCGTGGCGCGGGTAAAGGAGGGGGGGGGGGAGAAAAGAAGATCTTGGTGTACTAGACGTCATGGACCGGAGCCCTCATTAGGCAGCAACGCGAGGCGGGCGCGAGAAGGGCAATGATATCTCCTTGCTTACCACCGTCGGATGGCAAGGGACGAAAGTGGAATGCGCATTCACGTTCCCTACTCGTTTCTTTTATCGGGTTCGGTCCCCGGGCGAGTCACGTATTCGACCGTCTGATATCCTACACGCGCGCGTCTGTGTATGTGAGAGTGCTAAGTTCCATCCCGCCACCATCTCTTCTTACGGAGTAAATGGGGTAAGCTTGAGCTAGCGGTTTAGATCGGCTCACGGGGGCGAAGAAAATAGGGAGGAATGCAAAAAGAGGCTCCTTTAGCTCTCCGAGGAATCTCACATCACCGATCTAACAAATATGGCCACCGAATCCAAGTGGACCTTATGAATGCGCCAGTCCCGTGGCGAAGTGGAGAAGGCGAGGAGCGCAGCAGTGGTGGGTGCAGCGAAGGAGTAGACGGGAAGAAGCGAGGAAACTAACAACTAGTAAGCTCGGACTTGGGTTCGCTTCCACCAGGCCGTCCGGTCATCTGTCTGCTCGCCTACTTGTCGGTACTACTGATTGGCATTTCCGCCAGAGTACCGGCAAGCGACCAGACCTTGGCTGACTTTATCCGAGGTGGCCGACAAGCAACATGCACACACAGGTCGAAGTATCTTTACTTTCTGCTTTCATTTATCTCTCGCCTGTCTTCTCAAAACAAATCCTTTCCATTGATAGTACACATCAATACACGGCGAACTTCCTCTAAAAAAAGGAAGTTCCCAGAAGATAGAGAGACCAGAGATATCTTCTAATTGCGCATGGCTACTACTTCTAAAAACCACCAGTCCGGACTTCTAGAACCGAAACCTCTCCTGGCAACTTTCCGGTCTTTGGAGGGAGGGGGTACGGGGTAGGCGACAACAGCCTTGTCTACCAACCTCCTTTGTCGTTTTCCTAGATAACCACACTCTTTAATCCTTTTCGCACGAAATAAACCTGCGAGTGCGTGAAACGGAACGCGAAAGATCGAAAATATAATTTCGGTATGCTGTGTGACGTTGGTTCCTCGATCGACCAATCAGTCTCACAAACCAATGAAAGATGACCAAGTAACAGCTTCAGTGGTGCGGATTATTTGGGCCACTTAGCTGATTCTAGTTCGAGGATTAGAGGGAAGCTCGTCAATAATACCCAACGGTATGGGTAGGGGGGGTGGGGAGGGGGGGGAAGGGAGAAGGGGAGAAAGACTTGTGATGCTTTTGATGGCTGTAACGCGCCAAGTCTGCTCCTCAACTCTACGTTGTTGAGTGTAATAACACTCTAACAGACATTGGCCCAAATAGCGAGCGACTACATCCGATGTCGCAAAAGGGACAACTTTCCGAGTTCGGCCTGCCTAACTCTAGTTACGCGGAGGGCGGCGAGCGCGGCGGGCCACCGTCGTCCAACCGTCGTCAACCTGCGGTTGTAGCTGCGACTGTGGCTGCGGCACGGGAGGGCTGGTTCTGTTGAGCCTTTCACTTGGCTTCTTCTGTGGTACAGCAATGGCCCTGCTACCGGCGGCAGGTGGCTCTTCCTTACGCGTCCGCTGGTCTTCGCCTCCGCTCGCACTCCCGTAGACGAGAGAGTAGCCACTAACTGGGGCAGGGATACGAGGTGCTGCGTAAGTCGGTTTTGCTCGCGGGCCAGGTGCCATGGAACCTATGGCCTTGCTGCCGGCGTTGGGGTTTGCGGCCTGCGCCTGGCGCTTATTATCTCGGGTTGCGTCGCGTCGACCTCCGCCTTTACTCGGGAAGGATGCAGTGGCCCCGGGGGCATGAGGAGGAGCTCCAGCACGTCCAGCGGCGGTTGCGGAAGGGTGACCTTTTGCGCCCGGATTGGTGCTGTGACTCGCGTTTGCATCAGGTTTGACGGCGGTCTCTTTGATCTGATTGTCGTGCCCGATCACGTATGATTTCACGTATGGTTGGGGAGGGAGGGCGGACCGGGCCCACGTCGGCGCGGTGGTGCGAGCGGTAGCTGGAACTACACGCGCCGTAGTAGGCGGGCCTCCAGGGGCGGGAGGTGCGCCACGAGGAACGGCTCGGGAATGTGTAGACGAAGACGTGGTGGGGATGCCGTCTTGAGTATTTTGTCCCTCGTCCAGGAGCTTAGCTGCAGGCATGCCTGGTTCACGAAGAGCTGTCGCCGGCTCGATATCAGGTTTCTTCCTGAACACGAGATTCCCTTCCTTCTGGCTCGGTCGCTGAACAGGCTCTATTGCAACGCGTGAGACGGTGGCATATGTGCGTTCCAGTGTTTCCTGCCCATTCTTCGCGGAGTTGGGACCATGGCCCTTAGCATTATCGGAAATCTTCGTTGTGGCATCATGGGGGTTCATCTTGTCTGCGCTCTCAGACACGGTAGAAGTGGTCGAGGGACGCAGGTGGCGGGCACTAAGGGCGGTGCTTTGTGTCATCTGTGAGTCCGCTGCCGGCGTGGTAGAGAGAGGTCCGGGAATCAAAGACGGCAGACTGCCTTTGGCAGCTTCTCCGCTTCTGGCGACCTCTTCCTCAACCATATCGCTCCAAGATTGTTTCGAAGAGTCTAGGATCGAGGAATTGGAAGGCGGCTTAGGATCACGACCTCTCAGCTCTTCTCTTGGTTTAGCTTCCTCGTTCATTTCCTTGATACCCTCGCCCTCGCCCTCGGAAGTCGACTCAGGGACTTCGGCAATCGGAAATGTTGAGGCTAGCTCAGGGGCGCCACTCGGGGAGGGAGATTGCAGATCGTTCGGGGCTCTCTTCTTCTGTCGGGTCGTCTTAGTCTTTCCCTTTCCCCGCTTCGCCTTCGTCTTCCCTCCCAGCGAGCTAATACCCTGCTCGTCCTCATGAGAGACACTTTGGTGGTATGTCACCTGTCTCCCGGGGACTGGGTATGGACAATATACGACGGGCAATGGCGCCATCGGCGCCAATAGGACCCCTTCCGGAGAGTACCATTCATCTGGTACTGGAGGCGGTGAGGTTTGTACAATCCTGACAGGGCTCGGCTCAATCACAGTCCGGATTCCACTTGACGGAGCTTGCGGGGGCAATAAATTGTGGTTTTCGACCGACACTGGCTGTGTGCTCTCGTTCATACTGCAGTACGCCCTTATCATCCTCTCAAGAATCGTAAGATTTTCGAGGTATGGTCTGGGACACTGTGATACTGTCCGCATCCCTATATTCGGAAGAAATTGGTTATCTATCCACACGCAGGCCGGGGGAGGGAGGGAGGGAGGATGATGAGACCGATGCCGCTCCACTGGAATCCCAAGGCTCACCTTGATAGCTGAACATGTGGTATCCTTCGTTCGACATGCAGAGGTTACAGGCAGCCAAATCCACGTAACGCTCACTGTCCTGGGTGTCTTGGCAGGGTGTTGGGCAAGACAGTCGGAAGACCACGTGGGCCACACGACAATTGGCACAACGCCAGTATTCCACGCGACACATGGTTGCCGGTGGCGGGATCGTCGTTACGAGTCTTTCCCCGGTTCCTTATCCGCGTGATTGTGACAACAGACTTGGCTCTACTGGAGCAAGGCTGAACTGGCAAGATGAGAATGAAGAGGAGACTTGCCCCAGCCTTGCGAAGATGAAACGAAACGAAACGAAACGACGTGGAGAGGTTTGGAGGTGAGTGAATAAAGAGTGCAGGAATATAAAGGCAAACGTGGACTTGTGGGAGGAAATTCAAATGGCTGCTCTGGGTGCTTGTGAGGAACTTGATGTTTGTGATCTTGGTTACTGGCAGCGATGTCAGAAGGATGGAAGGGATGACAATCAGCCAGGGCAACTGATTCACGAAGACTTGTTGGGTTTGAGGTGAAGAACGTGAACTCTGTTGTTCTAGGAGTCCTGGACTCGCTTGTGACCTGGATTTCGTCACATAAATTCGACAGGGACAAGGTGACAAAACTGTGCTGTTGTTATAGGCGATGGCTTTTCAACAAAAGAGGACAGCGTTTATGTGAGGCTCACATTTCAGGTGTCGATCTTTCTTGATGAGGGCATATTGGTAGGTATATACTCTTGAGTGAGGCCTTGGGATACTATTATGTAGCCATTTTATAACAACTTAAAATAAAATATGAATCTCGTTATTAAGGGGTTTTATTTTCGTAAGTAGGCCTATGCGTATGATTAAGTTGCTCATCCAAGTATTATAAAATTATGAAGCTCAGTTGAGAAATTGATTATTATTTCTTAGGTTAGGATCTTTCTTGAATTAGAATGTTGAACTGACGGCGTTCGAAAATATTTCTCTAAGGACACCTCCTCGTACTAGAAAGCTCAAATGAGCAAACAAATACTATGGTGGCGGCGTTCTAGGCTCTCTGATGCAAGAGTGATTCTCGGACGAGACATATAATTCTATAATTCTCAGAGACAAAACTCAAGTATTACTAGGTTCTGTCTCCGTCTTGTCACGTAGGCATATGCCTCTAGTGGAGAGCAACCTAGCTTACCTCGGCTGGTTGAGCACATCTATATATGTGTGCTAGCTTCGCACTCTTGTGTATATTTCCTCGTTAGCTATTCTGTTAATATACCTTTCCTCGCCTATGTTCCCTTTCTCTCTCTGCGCGCAACCCACACTACGATACATTACTGGAGTTAGCTACGTGACACATCTTCAGTTGCCCTAAATATTAGCTGAGTCAGACTGAGCTCAGGCTGAGGCGGCTCAATTTTGAGATTTTAAGAGTCAAGTGCAAAATATACCTAGTAGTTAGATTCAATATTCTGGTGGTATTTGCCTAATGATTGAGAGGGCTTAATAAAGAGAAAAGGAGAGAGGACCCTCGAGCCGTCGTCTGCTAGAGAGCTTTCAACCACTCATTCTCCTCCATCCTCTGTAAGATTCCAATATACCATAATCCTCTAATAGCTTTATAAATCTTAACATAGCTAGTTTGCCTTCTATTTCCACAGTTCCTCTCATATACCCTGAGCTCAGCTATCGTATTGTTATAGATCCTACGGTATCCGGGCTGTAGTCCTCCAGAACTTCCTGTCTGTATAGCTAGACAGTGATACCTCCCTTTATATAGTATCCTGGCGGTGGTCCTGGCGGACTGCCTGGCTGCTTGGGCCGGCGGCAGTACGTACAGGTAGCTGATGGGCGCCGCTCCCCACAACCAATCAGCTATTAACACGATTACCAAGTAAATGGCCAAAGAGAGCCTTATAATTAAACTATTTTGTCTTATCGGGATAAGATGTGTGGTTGATTCTTTAAGGTAGACTGCGAGATCTTGTAGGGTGGCTATTCATACGGCTACTCCGAGCCTTAGTACGCTTAGCTAACAGACCATAACAACCAGCAAGTGGTTCAGTAAAGCTTAGCTCTGTGTATCTTGGCCTTTTATAGTAGGTTAAGGAGTGCTTTTATTAGTCTCTAGTTTCTTTCGGCATTGAAGCAGATTATTTATCTCTCCGCCTTCGTTATTATTAGCAGTAGAGTACTCTTGTCGCGATCTAAGCAAGTAGTAGGTAATAGGCGCCTAGACTATGGCCGTGTTATTTGTTTTCTGATAGAAAGAATAAGTTGCAATAATGGACCTGAGTCTAGTAGAGTAAATCAAATATCTTTTAATAGGATATACTTCCAAGTTTTCCTAATACGATACGGTCCAGGCAAATAGGTTATCATAATATACTTAAGAGAAGTGGATGTCTTATAAATTAGTATCTTAATAAGGGCAGAGATATTAGAAGGCGAATTAATCGCGATTTCTGAGTCTATCCAAGTATATAAGGGGTAGGTATAGATGGGAAGTAGAATGACTTATTAGGAAGATATCATTGATCCTTATTGCTTCGATATTACTTCGAGTATAGTATGAGGTCCCTGCCTTGTCTATGATATATTAGGACGCTAAAAGTAATTCAACTCTTATTAGCACTAGCCTCAGTAAAGATCTCATCAAGTCGCCGACTCGCGGATGGATGGAAACCCTGTCTAACTGGCTCTGTATTAGTGGATGTCCAACTTGGATCAAGACTGTGATACTTGCTTAAGTGGTAACCCCTTATCCCGGACCGAGTTGCGTCTCCGTTTTGTTGTCTCTAGTTTGTTTGTTAGTTCTCAGCTTTACGAGGCGCTTCTTCAAGAGAAGGCTTTCTTACTAAAACTGGCGTCTGCGCCATCTTTGTGTTGCAGCCAGCAGAAAATGGACCTTTGCCTGGATTTCATACCTCCATCTGACTGCCATTCCATTTGCTCCGGGATCTGTTTACATAACTCACCAAATCCATCACAGACCAAGCGCGTCTGCTCATAGCCCGAAAGTGCTTAGTGATTTAAGCCGATGAGGTTGTGGCGTAGGTAGGCACATTGCAGGAAACAAAACCTTAAGTCTGAAATGAAAATCACTTGTTCTTGGGTAAGAATTTGAACAGATTTTGCTTTAATACGTTGACTAGAGGAACACAGTTTTCGTCACGGGGTAGGAAGTCATAGTATCCATGCAAGTCTAAAAATGCCCTCAGAAGTCCCAAATCTGTTTTTGGCGAGTAGTACGTGGGGAAGATTGTATCTTGAGATACTCCCACTTACTGGAGCGTCGGCGCAATTTCGTGTGCATTCATTTTGCTGATTTTCGATAATGAGATAATGGAAATACCGCATTGGATTTTGATAGACTTAGACTCTTCATGAAAGGGTTCTCCCCTAAAGAGACAGAAAATACTTTCAGGTTGAAAATCCATGCCCCCCTTTCAAGGAGTTCGTCACTTCAAGATAGACTTGACATGCAACGGAGGGAGAGTTCGGTTGATATCCTTGTACGCTGCGAATGAAACGGGCTGTATCTAAATCAATTATGACACCCCAAGGACTTTGTTGATTGACCAGGTTCTCAATGATAATTTCGGAACTGATACATGTTAGACTTAACGTAACAAAACTGATCTTCATATCCTCTCTAGTCTCTGCTTCGTAGAAGTCGTATTAGCCATCTAGATTGTAAGCTCAATGTATAAAATTAATCTACTGTACTGAACAGCATTACGGTCCGAGGTACAGAGGCAATGTCCTTTCGAAAGCATGCCTGTCTCACAGTTTTCGAGTTGTTCCTCCAAAGACCGAAACACAAGCTCGTCTTGGATTCCGATGTCCTTAGGTAGGGATGGAGACGTACCTTTAGAATCGTAACCCTTACAGTTGCAGAATAAAGACTATGCGAAGTTGTAGCCTATAAGAAGAGAGACAAGTTAAAACATGATAGAAGAGCCTGAATGGGCAGGTATTTCGAAGAGCGTAGGGTCAACAACAGATACGAAAGACTACGCAACGCGAGTGAGAGGGAATTAGGGGGATGAGAACGATGGTACTGGGTACGCACAAGTACCTAGGTACTTATTCTAAGTAGGTGTAGGTACCTAAATTGGAGGTATCTCCTCCGATACAGGTACCTACATGACCCCTACTCTTCAGTTGGACCTTATCACCATGTGACCCGTTTTATCGCGCTGACCCAGCCAGCTCGACGCTTGGGCCAATGAATTGGCAGGGGGAGGCAGCGGGAGCTTCGTCGCCTCGCTTCAACCTGGAGAGCAAAGGTGCGCGGAGTCGAGGCATCTCATCCATCCCCCTCCGGCCTTCCGACCTTCCAAGCCCTCCGATCCCGCTACCAAATACGCCAAACATTCCAAACACGCCAAATACACTCAGCTAGCCCTGTCGAGAATCCGCAGCCGGGCATTGCCTGCATATTCCTCGTCAGATCCACCGTCGACAAAACCACCCCGCGCACCATGGCGGACGCTGCTCTGAAGCCCGAGAGGGACCTCAGCAAGGAGGCCGATGTGCAAATCCCCGAAGCTGAGAAGCTCGCTAAGGTGTGATGGCCTCCGCAGACTGCTCGCGAACGCCCGCCGTAGCTAATGCGACATGCTAGAGTGATATCCAAGCTGCCATCGAGAAGCTCACCGTCTTCGAGAAGCAAGCCCGCCAGGTCGGTCCTGTCTGCCATGGGTCGCAGCCCACTGCGATGGGGATAAAGCTGATGACTGCCTCTACAGGCCTCCGACCTTCCTTCCACCTCCCGGACCTTGGTCGCCATATGTACCATCTGCAAGGACGCCGGGAACTGGAACCTGCTCAACGACCAGGTCCTCGTCCTCTCCAAGAAGCATAGCCAGCTCAAGCAAGCCATCACGAAGATGGTCCAGACCGTCATGTCCTTCCTCGACGCCACCCCAAACCTGGAAACCAAGCTTTCCGTCATCGAAGCCCTACGCACCGTCACCGAGGGCAAGATCTTCGTCGAGGTCGAGCGTGCTCGCGTGACCAGGATCCTATCCGACATCAAGAAGCAGCAGGGCGACCTCAAATCTGCCATGGATATCCTGTGCGAACTGCAGGTCGAGACCTTCGGCTCGATGGAGAGGCGCGAGAAGACCGAATTCATACTGGCACAAGTCGCCTTGTGCATCGAAAACGGCGACTGGACCCAGGCCGGCATCCTCAGTCGCAAGATTAGCACGAGATACCTGGCCCGCAAGCCTATCAAGACACCAGAGCAGGTGGAGAAGGAGAAGAAGGCCCGCGAAGAGAAGCTCAAGCGCGGCGAGGAGGTTCCCCCGGAACAGGAGGATGACACCACCGACCTGAAGCTGGCGTACTACGAGCAGCAGATCACGCTGGCGAAGCACGACGACAAGTATCTCGACGCTTGCAAGCACTACAGACAAGTGCTCGACACCGCCGCTGTCGAGGAAGACCCTGCCAAATTACAACCGGTATGTTTGACGGCTTAGCTTCCCTCCTTTCCCTCCCAGGTGCTTTCGCTGATAGTATCCAGGTCCTGCAACGCATCATATACTTCGTTATTCTCGCGCCTCACGACAACGAGCAGCACGATCTTCTCCAGCGCATCTTTAGAGACACCCGAAACACCCAAATCCCCGTTGATGCTTCGCTACTGAAACTCTTCACGGTGCACGAGCTTATGCGATGGCCCGAAGTTGCTAAACAATACGGGCCACATCTTTGCGGGACGGACATCTTTGACGAACAACCGAACCAATCCGCGGACGACAAGGCGCATAAACGCTGGCAAGACCTGCGTGGGCGCGTCATCGAACACAACGTTAGGGTCGTCGCCAAATACTACACGCGCATCGGCATGAAGCGCTTAACCCAACTGTTGGACCTGACGGAAGACGAGACGGAGAAGTATATCAGCGACCTGGTATGCTCCAAGACGGTCTATGCTCGTATCGACCGCCCCGCCCGTGTCGTTAGCTTCGCCAAGCCTCGAGACGTCGATGATGTCTTGAACGAGTGGAGCCACAACATGAAGAGCCTTCTCGGCCTCTTGGAGCGCGTCGATCATCTCATCACGAAGGAGGAGATGATGGCGCGGATCCAGCCCGGAGCGGCGAAGGAGAAGAAGGGCAAAAAGAAGGCGTGATGACGTTTCTACGAATAAGTCGATATAACCAGGGGGGGGGGGGGACTAAGGTAGTGCTTTCGGAGCTTAGACGGCTTTGGGTTTCCTCGGTAGGGGAAAAAGGGGCCAACAGACAGGTTAGCATTCCGAAATAAAAAGGCATGCTGATTGTACAATAAGGTAGATTAGGAGGCGGCATGACGCCATATCGTCCTAGGAATGCCCTTTCTACGTGTTGATGTCTCCTCTATTTGCTATGATGATGACCTACCTACCTGTCTATGATATTCGTGCATACGTTAATGAGCATATCAAAATCTCGCCTTCCCTCTGCTGCCCGAGCACGACCAATGATATCTTTCGTGATATGTTCATTTATCTCCCGTCTCCGCTGCTCCGCCATTCAGCCTCAGCCTCCTTCCTGCACTCGCTCGCTTCCCTTCATCCGACCCGTTTGCCGTCGGCCTCAATCGGTGTCCTGAGAGTCCTCTTCGTCTTCGGCGTCAGCGGTGCCGTCGTAGCGCTGGCGGAGCCAGCCGGCAAGGGCGACAGCCCAATCGCGGGCGACAGGGACGTAGTGGCCACCGGGGTGGACGAGGACGACGGGGCGGCGGCAGCAGGCGACGAGGGCTCGGGAGCGGGCCTCGTCGACGACGGTGTCGAGGCCGCCGAGGAAGTGGAGGGTCGGCGTGACGATGGGCGGGTCGTAGAGCCAGCGCAGCGACGGCGGCGGAGCGTAGAACCCGGAGTACACGACGCAGAAGCGGAGGGGCAGGCCGCGGTTGGCGGCGCGGAGGGCGGAGACCCAGGACCAGTCCCCGCCGTCGCCGGCGGCGGCGGCGGCGGGGACCTCGCGGTGGGGGTGCTCGAGGACGGCGGCGACGAGGGCGGCGACGGCGCCGCCCTGGCTGAAGCCGATGACGCCGTCGACGGGGCCGTCGGCGTCGCGGATGGCGGCGGCGATGGCGTTCATGCCGACGTCGAGGCCGCGGTACGTGCCGGTGACCTCGCTATTGCGGAACCAGCACCAGCTGTCGATCTCGTCGTCGTCGTCGCTCGCGTTCGCGGACGGCACGTAGCCCGGTATGTCGGAGGGCCGCAGACGGCACGGCCCCGTCGGGAACAGCAGCGTCGGCTGCCGCGAGACCGGCGCGGCGCCGAGCACCTTGTTCAGCACCTTGGCGAGCCCCTTCGTCTTGGACGAGAACAGCGGCCCCGACTGCGTGAAGCCATGCAGCATCAGGATGCGCAGCTCCGTCTTGCCCTGGGCGACGCCGTGCGGCTTTGCGCGGGCATCGCGCGCAGCGGGGGCGGGGGAGGGTCGGGCGGCGGCGCCCGACGTTGGCAGGGTGTCGGGCATTGCGTGCGGGATCTGGTCCTCGGCGGTAGGCCGGGATGGTAGAGGGCGACGGTACTGTTGGGGGCTGTGGTGGGCGTAGCGCGCGGTGATTGCGGTGGCGGAGGGGTGGCGATGGCGGGGTGATTGACGGCTGGTGCGGAGGAGAGAGAATCTCGCGGGACTGGGGTCTGACTCTGACTGGTCTCTGCTCCTACTATGTCCGCTTCCTCGCGGCGGGTCCCCCGTCCTTAAAACGACGCGAGTCAGCGCACACAACGGAGCACGATGGAGGACAGGATATAGTTCGCGAGTGTTCATGTTGGGAATTTTTTTTTGTCCTCACGTAGCACTGTAGGCGATCCGGTGCGTACGCGTACCTAATTACTACGGCCAACAACTTTCTCCGCGACACCGAACCTCTGCACCCCGAGAGAGAGAAATTTGAGCGCTCTGCTGTTGGATTCCCACGATGCCCAGTGGGAAATACTCTTCCGATATGTTCCTTGATGCTCTAACTCGTGGCTTATCCCAACGCATGCATCGATGCGCTAGAGATGACAATCACGCCACCGCGGAGACTCCGCCGTAAAAGCGCACGATGCCTCCAGTCATCTTAACGACACCGTGAGCCGAACCAATGTGAATACGTGGCGGGGATGGAGTAGACTCCCCATCAGCAATTCCAATGGTCTCAGACTGTGGTGGTGCAGGAGGAACGGTAATATGGTGCCCTCTCGCCGCTCGCGACTCTACTGCCTCGATGTTGAGACGCTAGCGCACAGAGCAACAATATCCATGGGGCAGCCTGATGCGAGGGTAAGGTACGTTCACAACTAGGAAGCGGCATTCTGCTGGGCAGACCGGAGAAAAACGAAAGGTGGTGGCACGAGTCTCCTGGGTTGGCAGACAAACGATCGCGGCATGAGCGGATATTAGATGTACATAGAGACGACGCGAGCTCGTAAATCTATGATACAAATCCCGCCTGGCTCGTGTCACGAGCGATGCGCCAGCTTATGAGGCTCCTCGCCGGCCGTCGCCCAAGTTGGTCCCCCCCTCTCGATCGCCGCCATCGCGGAGATCCATCTGACTAGTGTTGCGCGCGCGCTCTCGCATTCGGGTGGCGCGGATCGTCCTTCCACTCGTCGGCTGTCGAAACTGCGTCAGCGCGTTCCTCGCTCTGCTAGAAGAGGCAGGGTGGCGGATACGAAGACGAGGGAGAGAAGGAATGAGAAAAGAGCACGCACAGTTCATCAGAGCCGTCTGCGCAGAATTGACGCCGTAGAGGACTATGAGGCCTATAGATCCCAACTGTTAGCGACGGCTTTGTGCGTAATCGGTACAGCAGCAGCAGCAGCAGTAGCAGTAGGCAGCGCGCATGGGCGGTAGGGGAGAGAGAGGCTCGTCGTACCGGCGGCGAAGAAAGGCCAGAGGGGCCGGACTAGATGGTGGCGGGTTAGCGATTCCGCAGGCGGCGGAGGGGACCAGTCCAATTCACATACAGATGGGTGTGTGGAATTTCTTGAAAGGGGGGATTCCAAGCCAAGACATCTTGGGCGGTGTATTCGGAGGCTGTTGCGTGAAGTAGAAGGGGCAGCTGAATTGCGTGTTGGTTAGGAGTCTGGGAATATCGAAATGAGTGGTTATTTTTTTCGGAACTGCTGAGCTCTCGTCGTCGCTAGGAACCGGCACAGATTGCTTAGCTAACCGAGCGACGGGGGCGCCCCGAGCAGATTCGGCCATACGTACCTCTGTACCTTAGGTAAGCTTGACACGGATTATGTGATTGACTTGTTGCCTGAGGCTTCAATTTTCTACGTACCTAGGTTCAGTATTGCACGGATCCACTTCGGGCCACGGTCAAACAGCTGTGCCGACATGGCGAGGAAGTCCAAGGCCGGGCTTTGCCCAACTTTGGAGGTGCTGCCGGAATGACATCATGTTTGCGAGAGGCGCACCTTCCCCTACCACGTTCGTGTGCCGTACCTACCATTTTGCCCTAGTTAATTGATCTGCGCTAGAGCTTGGAGGTAGCCAGGAAGTAACCCGGAGTCCAAGTGTACTGCGCAGCAGAGCCACTCTCGCGGGCAAATCGAGGTAAAGCTGGAGAGCCGAGTACATCGCTACAGGCCTAGGGTGCCGACAACCTCCACGAACAGGGAGGTACAGAAGGTAGACTTAGGTACCTTCGGGGTCTATTATAGGCACATTAGGTACCCACCTAAGTTCATCGCTCCTCCTCCCTGCCCTTCTTCGCTCCCGTGAAAGGTGAATGCGGGGGAAAGGGGGCAGTTGCAATCCGGTGTGTCCTGTTCTGTCGTACCTACCTATCGTTGTCGATATTCCTAACCTCCATCACCACCTCTGTTGAACCGCTTCTCTCTCCCTCTCCCTCTCCTCTCCGCCTCTTTCTCTCTCTCTCCATCTCCTCTTCCCCGGTCCTGCACGGCCTGTCCTGTTCGATTGGGCTGTTGTTCTGAACCCTCGACTGCTTCGCGGAACATCCATGCCGCCTGATATCTGCCCGCACGCGTATCTGTTGCCTGAGCATCAGGACCTTACCCCGCGAATCACGTCCACATCCATCCATCGATCCATACACATCTTGCCCATCCACCCCTACATAGCAATCAATCATACCCAGCTCGCTCCGGCACGATACGTAACATCACATCGCACAACCTGCCCGATACAGGCATCGTGAGCTGTACCACTCTTACCACCACTGAGCACCAGTGGCAGTGCTGCGTGCTGGTGAAAGCGACCACCACTACTGCCGCCCTCGACCTTCACATACCACCACCACCACCCCATCTCTGCCGTCCAATCCCAACTACAGAATTCTTCAGCACCGACCACACCACTCCCTCACCTCTCTGCCCCCCTTCCCCCCCTCCCCTAACAGTAACCTGTTTCGAAATCAACGCAGTCGCCGACCTACCCTGTCATATCCTCCCTCCCCCTTGCTCAACCCGACTCTTCGCCATCCTTTGTCCTCCTTCGTACGCCATCCATCACGCTCCCGTACAAAACACCAGCGCCATCACAACCAACATCCATTATGTTAGCCCGACGCATCACACGAACAGCGGTGGTAGCTCCGCGCTCCTTGCGAGCTTTGAGCTCCACTGCCGCTCCCCAGCGTGCGCCGACCCTAGCCGACATTACCCACGAAGGTGTAGATTCGTTCAATGCGAAGCAGAAGGAGTTCCGTGAGCAGTTGGTGAAAAGGCAGCAGGAGAGAGAAGCAAGTAGGTTCAGTATCAGTTCTTCTGATGACGCGTCTTTTACCCCTGCCTACAGAGTCACCCAGGGACTGGGCTCATTGAGCACTTCGACAGGACAGCGAGCCGAGCTATCCAACAAGGAACCCGATCGACCAGATGGCCTCCTCTCTCGTGTCATCTACGGTACCAAGGAGGGGCGCGAGATGGATGCCCAGCTCGAAGCTAGTTTCTCAGCCGTCTTGGCCCGAGGGAAGTACGTCCACTCTATCGTGTTTCATGAGGTGAAGCCCGACAAGGTCGAGGAATACATAAAGCTGGTGGGCCACTGGTACCCTCGTATGGCGTCCTTGGAGGAGAATAAAGTTCACCTCGTCGGAAGCTGGAGAACCGAGGTGGGCGACTGTGACACATTCGGTAGGTGCATCGAGAACGCCATTGTTTCGTGGCCGTCCGCAAAGATGGTGCTGACCGAATCCGAGTTCATATTTGGGAGTACCAGCGCTACCAAGGCTATCACCAGTCTCTGCACTCGATTTCTAGGCATCCCGACTTCCCCGAGTTCGATAAGAAATTGAAGACGCTCATCAGGTCGAAGAATACATCGATCATGCAAGAATTCTCTTTCTGGCCGACCACCTCCCCCCGCCGACTGGGCGGTCTCTTCGAGCTGCGTTCCTACACTCTCCAACCTGGAAATCTTCTCGAATGGGAAACGCACTGGCGACGAGGTCTCAAGGCGCGTAGGGAGGTCATGGAAGGCGTCGGAGCTTGGTTTGTCCAAATCGGCGACCTCAATACCGTGCACCACCTGTGGCAGTTTGCCAACTTGGAAGAACGCAAGGTTCGGAGAGAGGAGAGCTGGAAGCAGGAGGGCTGGGCCGAGACGGTGCACAAGACGGTGCCCCTGATTCAGACGATGAAGTCGAGGATTCTGATCCCGATGCCGTGGTCAGCTGTGGCATAACACCGTCTTGTTTATTTTCTGTCTAGGAAGTGCGAGGTATAAATAGGTAAACTAGCAGCCAGTGGATCTTGAACCGCGATGGAAAGCATTTGCTACGGAGAATTGGAGTTTGGAAGGTGGATTTTCCCTTTTCGCGGTCGAGCTGCGAGCTAGGATAGTGAGAGTAACTCGATACTTATTAAGCTAAGGGTAGGGGGTCGAAGGGGTGGAAGTTGAAGAGGAGAGGGAGGTATGAGGACGGCAATGCAACGAGTTCCGTTTCGAGCTTAAACTATAACCTTTGCCACAGGTTTGTTACCTGCTTAAAGAAAAACCCGGGTGAGGTCCGCAGCGAGGAGACTTATGTCAGATGTATTTATCTAAACCCATACCGAACCGACCGCCTCTTAAGAAGGCAGAGTGAATAAAATAGGCCATGGTGTAACATGCGTCTGATAACTTTTAGTTAGATCCAATACGTAGAGTGCTTAGCCTTCCAGCCCCTCATCTATGCCTACCCCAAAATACCACAACTCCAGCCCCCAGCATCTTACGCAATGCGAGGACACATGACAACGCCACCCACGCCGCTTCCAGGCCCGGTCGAGGCCGGGTCCAGACGGGTCGTCCGCCAGGCTCGCTCGATGCCCCCCGCGCCTTTGAGGCGTGCGTCGGCCGCGGCTCAGTCGCGCGCGCTCGCCGCGTCGCCCATGACGGCGGCGAGGTTGCGCCGCGCCAAGGCCAGGGTGCCGGCGAGCGCGCCGAGCTTCGCCGAGAGCGACAGCAGGCTGGGGTCGGCGCTCTCGACGCAGACCTTCTCGCGCACGTAGACGTCGTGGCCCTGGGGGCGCGCGGCTGCGGCGCCGGCCGCGGGGGCGGGGGCGGTGCTCGTAGCGGATGTGGCGGCGACGATGCTCTCCCTGCTCGCGCGGCCCGGGGGTGGTGCTCGCCTCGTGCCGGAGACGTCGGGATCGGGGTCGCGGGAAGAAGGAAGAGAGGAGAAGGAGGAGGAGGAGGCGGCGGCGTCGTCGTCGTCGTCGTCGCCGCACCGGTAGGCGAAGACGCGGTCGGCCTCGTCGTGGTCGAGGCGCCGCGCCGTGCCGATGGCGAGCGCGAGCTTGGTCCCCAGGTTGACCGGCGCATCGGCCGGCTCGAGCGCCCGCAGGTACAGCACCAGCGACGCGTCGTGGATCGTCGCGAAGAGCGAGAGGTTGCGCCCGAGCGGCGGGGAGAAGTGGCACGGCGCGACGGAGGAGGTCGTCCAAGGGGGCGCAGCCGCGTCGGTCTTCTGGGGGGGGTTATGTTGTTGATGGTCTTGTAGCTGGCGGTGGTGGTGTTGGCGTTCGCTGGGGAGCGAGGACGAGGCGGTGCCTAGCCGGGTGCTGTGACTGCTACTGCTGCTGCTGCTGCCGCTGTCGGGACGGGGGCTGGGGGAGCCCTTGACGGCGGCGGAGGCTTCGGCGATGAGGTCGGCCAGCAGGGAAAGCTGCGAGGCGAGATGCGGGGCCGAGGGCTCCTGCTCGCGGCCGCCGCCCCCTTCGATAGCGAGGCAGAGGGCGACGGCGCGAGCGAGCAGGGCGTCGAGGCGGGCGAGAGCGGCGATGCGGACGGGGCGGGCGGGGTCGAGGGCGAAGGTCTGCGGGGGCAGGGTGCGCAGGCGCAGGTGGATGAGCCCGCGGACGAGGCAGGTGCCGACGCGGGTGGCGTGGCCCTTGACGGTCTCGTGGCGCGGGGTGGTGAGGGCGAGCGTGCTGCCGGGCTCGGTGGGCGCGAGCAGCGCGCAGCAGTCCTGCAGGCCGAGCCTCAGCTGCGCGAGCGTGGCGCGCAGCGAGGCGAGAAGCCAGGAGAGCTCGCGGTCCTGGTCGCGGCGCGGGTCAGCAAGAGCGGCTCTACCGCAGCTACTGCCGGTGCCGTGGCGTGGGGTGGACTGGAGAGAGGGCGGCGGGAATGCACGGGAGACGAGAACGAAGTCATCTTCGACGACGAGCATGGTGTTTCCTGTGCCGTGGCTATGGCGTGGGCGTACACCTAGTAGGTGCGGGTATATGTGATGTGTGATGGTAGGACGACGGGCAGGAGAAGGATGGATCGCGATGGATATCATACCTGCGTGGCATCTTCCTGGACTTTAAGCTCGTCGGGCGGGATGGGAGGCCAGATCTCGACAGACATGGCAAGTCAACGATGGCGGGTTCTGGGTTCAGGGCCTACACAGGCAGCCGCATTTCACCGGGCCATCTGGTGGAAAATGCTGTCAACCTAGGGACGACGATGTGTATGCAGACGGCGGAAAGCTGCAGCCTGGTCGCTAGTTCGAGGTCGGTTCGATGCCGCGTCGATTTCGTCGGTCAGCCGCAGATGGTGGCGGGGAGGGAAGACGAAGGGTGGAATGTGGAATGTGGAATTGTTGCGATGGTATCGAAGCTTTCTGGCTCGGCAGCCCTGGCTGACAGGCCGGACGGGCTTGACACCTGACGGGTCCCCATAGGAAAGATGGGGAGACCGGCTATTGGTCCTGTTGCCGTATGCATGCCCACCCTGCACCTGTCAAGACGGAGCTTCTATGAGTAAACGGTACATATGTACATAGGTACACGTGCCTACGTCATCCTCGCGCTGTTGACACGGAATTGTTTACTTGCATAATTTCTTCTGTTATTCATCAGACAACTCTGAGCGAGGGCTTGATCTGGTTGCCTTCGATTGACAACACGACATCTCTAAATGTGGCCACCGTGTTCCGTCCAGACTCCAGCATAGTGACGACCATGGATATCGACAGCGCCCCGGACGCTCCCGCCGCGCGAGAGTCCCAAGCTGCTGCTAAGCTAACGAAGCTCCCCCCCATCCCGAAAGGTCAGCAGCCAGCATGCATCGCAGGTTTCCCGCCCATCATCCCATCGTCACGCCCACTTACCACCTGTCAGGCGCAACTGTGCGACGACGCCCGACGCCGGTCAAGACGCCGTCTACGCGCTCGACGCGGCGCATCTACGTGACGGCCAACACGCCCTTCCGCTCGGTGACGGCGCGCGTGCGCAAGCAGCTCGACAAGAACCTGCGCACGGCCTCGGCCTCCAGCGGCTCGGCCTTCACGAGCCGGCTGGCGGGCCGGAAGCACGCGTCCCTCGACGAGCGGGTCCAGGCGATCCAGCGGCACCAGAAGCAGCGCCAGCGCCAGCGATCGGACGACGACGACGACAGCGCGACCGGCACCGGCAGCGGGATCGGCATAGGGCTCGAGGACGCCGGCGAGGTGGTCGTCGTGGGCACCGGACGCGCGATCCAGCGCGTCGCCGAGGCGGCCCTGTTCTTCCAGAAGCAGGACGACTGCGTCGTCCGCCTGCGCACGGCCAGCGTCGCGGCCGTGAACGACGTGATCGAAGAGGACGACGAGGAGTGGGGCGGGGAGGGCGAAGAGAGGACGAGGATGATGAGTTCGCTGGAGGCGTCCATCCGGCTTCGGTGATTCGCCGTGGGATTTTTTTCTTTCCCGACACAGAGTGCTTCTGGGGGCAGCGTGGGCTCGAGGATCGATAGCCACCTATCGGCGATCATAGGTATCCGTTGTAAACTGCTACATGTTCGGGCTAGCCGCAAGGGGCACATACACGTCTCGAGAGACCAATCTACATGGTACCGCAGACGGTGTGTTGTTTTCCCAATCTATAGAAAGGGGATTTGGAGAAGGTGATCGTTGGCTGAAGTAGAGGCAGCCGTGGTGATGAAGACTACCTACATGTAGGCAAAGCATAGCACTATGCGAGACGGCAAAGGAGTGGGGTGAAAAGCTGGCCGTGATGCTACAGAGCAGCTGTGAGATCATAACTATCGACGACACATCGAGGGGGAAGTGGTCAAGTGACACGCCGAACCTATGGAAGACGTCGCCGTCATCTCAGCGACAAAACATCGCTAAGATTAATGAAGATCGTTATACCTAAACAGCTATACCTACGGTCTTTTCTACTTGGGTTAACAAGAGACTTTTCGTTCTTTGAAGTAGCTATATATTAACCCGCTCATTCCTAGCCGCCAGCGTCGCGAGGGTCTATTCCTCTAACGACCAGAGAGCACCCCCACACCACCCCGACGCCGAAACCCTACACAACCACAAAGGCATTATCTCTTGGTACGCCGATCGATGCCGGGTCCTCGTCGTCCCGCTGAGGGGTACGTCGCAACGTCGGGAATAGTCTGGACGTGAAGTAGGTACGTGCTGATGATGTAGCGCCACTCGCCACGAGGGAACCTATTCTCGCCGTAGATAGGCGGGAAGAAGGCGAGGTCGCCGTCTCAGTCGACGTCACTAGAGCAAAGCTGCATACGCCGTGCTCGGGCGCAACGGCGGCACGTATAGGTATGTACCTCCACACTTGTTGAAATGAGTGCAGCAAAGGTAAAAAATATAGACCACGTTACTGTTGCCCGGTAAGGGGCAATTGTAAGAGCCGAACACAGGGCTGCTATTACTAGAAGCAGCATATAAACAACTTGTCTTTACGCGTATTGCCTATCGTATAAGAGCCCACGTTGGCTGATGCCAGCAATAATCTTGGCGGGCACAGGAGAATAGCTAATTTGTATTATACCGTGATTTTCTACCCTCTTTGCCGTGCGAGTACTGAAGTTTCTATTTTCGTGAACGGCGGGCTGTTATGAGTGTGTATCCCAGTGATGTCTGTCTCCAAGAAAACAGGTGTCAATTCTACGTCAACTAAATGCTCCGGACCCGGGATGCCCGATGCGGATGGAGCCCATGAATCGACCGACTCCCCGTTGGGTGAATAACAATACCTAGGACGATAGCGGCAGACACCCCTAGAGTATCTCGTTATAGCGGGCGTTTTCATTCCAATTGTAAAGGTTCAAGTTAGGTATAATTGATTCCCCTAGGTCTGACGCGAGATACCTGCCTGATCATGCCACAGTCGCCAGCATCACCGCGCTTGGAAATCTGCACTTTGCCACCCGGCTAATTCACCTCGCGGCTTGGCCAGCTCTGCATCTCTGCAGCGCCCAGAGACGATACGCTGTGATGCGAAGTGCTCGACGTGGCAAGATGTCAGGAATAGGAACACGATGTATTGGGGTTGGTTGACTGACCGACTGCGCGTCCGCCGAAACACCATCATCTTTCCCTCGATTTCGCCCCTCTTCCCACCCAGTCCTCAGCAGCCATTATCTCCCGACGTCGCCATGAGGCCTTCCGCATTAGTTCTCGTGCTCTGGCTACGCTGCGTCGCAGCCGGGGCGGCCGGGGCGGCCGGGGCGCCGCGGCCAGACCTGTCGTGGCTGCACGACCACGACTGGGACGCGCCCAAGCAGTGCCCGTCGCGGCCGGCCGGCCCCCTGCGCCCGGACCCCGGAGACCTCGCGTGCGCGCGGCTTGTCGACGACGAGACCGCGTTCGAGAGGCGCGAGTGGAGCCCCTGGACGTACCCGCCCGCGTGCGTGGGGCCCGAGGAGGCGGCGCAGCCCAAGCTGTGCGTGTTCACGTACCTCGGCCTGCGCGGCGAGTCGGGCATCAGCATCGTGACGACGCCCGAGGTCGCGGCCGCCGGGGTCGACGTCCTGCGGGACCGCGACCCGCTGTGGGCGGACTGGGCCCGCGGCGGCTCGCTGGCGGCCGCGCCGGGCCCGCCGCCGTACGAGGTCCGGGAGCTGGGGCGCAAGGGCCGAGGGGCGGTCGCGCGGCGCGCGCTCCGCCGCGGCGAGGTTGTCCTGGTCCAGCACCCGGTGCTGGTGCGGATCATGGACCACCGGCGGTGGGAGTACCGCGACACGATGGCGCTGCTGCACCGCGCGGCTCTGCAGCTCCCCGCTGCTGAGATCCGGCCGGTGATGGACCTCGCTAGGTCCAAAGGCGGCTACGTCGTCGATGACATCATTAACACCAATGCTTTCGGCGTCCTCCTTGGCGGCCAGGACCATTCCGCCTTGTATCTCGACGTGTCGGTAGGTGGGAAAACGTCCCCCCCCACCCCCCTCGTGGGCCAAGCTGACAATCAACAATATCTTGTGCAGCGGCTCAACCACGCATGTAAGCCAAAGTGAGTCTCCCACGGGCGACAGTGTGGACCGAGCGAGTGTGGGGCCCGTGTACTGACAAGGCCGTGCAGCATGTTCAGCCGGTTCTCGTCCGCGACGCTGGCCATGGAGGTCGTCGCGTACCGCGACATCGCGGCGGGCGAGGAGCTGACGTTTAGCTGCGAGTTCCCCCAACCCCCTTTTCTTCCCGCCCCAGCTGACAGGCAGCGCGAGCAGACACACCGCTCAACCTCCCATCGGAGCCGCGACAGTCGCTACTGCGCGAGTGGGGCTTCAATTGCACGTGCGCGCTGTGCGCGTCGGCGCGAGAGACAGCGGCGTCGGACCGCCGGCGGGCGAGGCTCCAGGTGCTGCTGGAGGAGCTGGACCAGCCGCGGGTGCGGACGCGCGCCGGGGTCGGTGCGCGGGTCGACGAGATCCTAGCGCTCTGCGACCGCGAGGGGTTGGCGGCCCAGGTCGGCGACGTCTACGCGATCGTGGCCGACGTCTACGCTGCCATGGGGGACCTGCCTCTTGCCAGGCGCTACGGCGAGCGGGCGGTGGCCGAGCTCACACACTACGCGGGCCACGACCACGAGCGGACGCGGAACGCCGTCGCGTTTTTGGCCAAGCTGGGCGCGGAGGCGGGCGCCCAAGTCGACCGGGGGGGAAAGGGGAAGGTGAGCTGACTGGGCGCATCAAGTGGCGCCCCGTCCCTCCATCTCCTCACACACCCATAGGTTTTTTGCCGGCCCGAGGTTTTACGCGCCCACTTGAGCAACTATGGTGGATAGAGGGCAGTTGGTGAAGACGGCATAGGCACAGTAGCATGTATGTAGGTACATAGGTAGTCAGTTCTCCAAATTAAGGGCAGGCTGCGGACATGATCGACCGATCAACAGTGAGTGTTGTCATGTGCTAAGATATTATTTTAGTCGTAACATCGAGACTCCTGTGCAAAAAAAGAGAAAAAAAAACAGGTACAACTTTTGGGAGAAGGCCGGTGTGGCGGTAGCGGCCTGCAAGACTTCTTTTGCCCAATCCGTCGATAACTCCTCACCCCATTGACCGCATTCGCCGCCGCCGTGACGCTGTGTTACGGGAACATCTGCAGCGTCGAGAGGCGCTCGTTCCGTTTCCCATACGTCCACCTGTGTATTCGCTTCAAAGCCCAATTCAGCCCGGAATGTAGAGAGAGAGAGAGAGAGAAGATCCATCCCTTACCGCTCCCTCTGATCTTGGTGTCTCCTGCTCCGTGCTCCGTACGTACATGCCCCCCCCCCTCCCCTGTAGCCCTAATACAGCCCGTGCGCAGCAGCTGGCACCCTTGTGTTGGCGGGTAAGCAGGTCATCACTTAGACCCCGAACTGCCGGCTCTGCCGGTCCCGCTATCGATGTCGTCGATGGGGAAAATGAGCTCGTCGTCTAAACTGGAATCACCGCTGCTGCCGGTGTCGGGCTCTCCGTCATCGGCGTACGGGCGGCTCGTGTTGCGTGGGTCGCTGCTGTGGAAGCTTCGCAGACCGGCGTTGCCGGGATGGCCCCCCTGGTAGGCGGGGCCGGAAGCGGGTCGTTCGTGGCTGGTCATCATCGTCGGCTAGAAAGCGTCGAAACGGCTGGCGAGTTTGCTTGGGTCTGAGATTGGGTCCTCGCGAGGCAAGATGATGAGGCGAGGGGCGCGCAGCTCATGAGTGTATGCGGGGGCAATGTAGGCAATGCAGGGTGGGGGATTCCTCGGGTGGTTTGTCGCAGCTTGCGATGGCTCTATGCCATTATCACCAGCTCTATAAGTAGGCGCGGGCGTGCGGGCTGGGGGTGGTGCATAGCCAGGCAAATAGTGGTGCGGTGACCAGAGAGCTGCTGCATGCGCGTGAGGAGAAGCTTCCAGGCTATATAATAGTCAATGATTTGCAAAATATCGTCGCACCGACGGTTTCACGGCGGGGATCGATGCCGTCTACGGAGATATTGGCCATCGTAAGCCATCCCAGTCCTCGACGTGTCGGTAGTACAATGGGCGAGCCTCGAGCCAGCTCGAGCCAGGCCTAGGTCCGGAGCAGGGCCAATGGAGGCGAGCAGGTTGTCGGCGGACATGGGCAACCCCGCAGACCAAGAGGTGCGGGCGCATGCCAAAACCGTCGCGGCGCGGACGACAGGGCTTGTATGGAGGCCAGAAGGCGTGATGCGAGTCGAGAACCATGGGCGGCGTGGACATATCGTGGTCTGTCTGCCTGCGACCGTCTCTCGACATGCGCGTCGCCTACGTAAGGGGAAAGATTGGGTGGATGGGCTGCCCTATAGATCAGGCACACGCCCACCTGGGTCATAGGTTGGTGTCGACGCACACCTTCTCGGTCCACGACCAAGCTCTGACGAAGGCGGCGTCGAGGAACTTGCCGGCGGGCGCTGCCTGCCTTGCTCATAGGTACCTATATAGGGACCCGTTAACGCGGAGTTGCGCGCAGGGAGCCGGCCGGGCTCGCCGCAACGAGGTGAGGGGGGGCTGTTTTATCGATGCTGGGCTGGCACAATTATCGGCTCGGGGATCTTGGGTGGGGTACCTGACGTCTCGATTTGGCGTTGTATGTACATGTACAGTAGGTAGGTACCTACCTTAGGTACCTCTTCTACCTCAGGTACCTCCTCTAGGTACGCGGAGTGACAAGGCCCCGTGTGTCCCTATTGTATGTACCTAGTACTTTAGGAAGCGGGAGGCTCGGTAGGGACTACCTACCAGGTATTATATGTCACCGTCGCTTTTCCATTGCCTTTCTCTCAAAGCAAGGGTCAGGCAGTAGAGGTAGGTACCTACAGGTTAGGTACCTGCCTAGGTATAGCTACAGGTACCTACCCACCTAACCTAAGGTACCTGACGTAGTAGATGGATGCCGATGGAAGGTGTACTCGGAGATCGACAGACGAAAAAGGAGAGGGGGGAAAGAAAAAGGAAAAGAGAGACGTAACCACCTCACCTAACCGGCATCCCTGATCGCCGCTGATATCGCCTGTCTTATTTCTCGTTCCGAGTTCCTCACCTCTGCCTGCGACCGAAAACGTCCGCCCCAGGAAGAGACGCAGATCCTCACCAGATGTCGTTCAGAGCACTGCCAGTATACCACCGGACCGACATTTTTCATAGGGGGGCTCGTCAAGATCAACGTGACGTCATTCGCCGTGGACGGCTCTACGGATCAGTCAACCGCAATCAAGTTGCTCCGACAGTTGGTGTGTACGATGAAAAGATGAGTGCGAGACTCATATAAATACTCATCAAAAGGCCTACGTAGCCTAGTCCCACCGCACCATTATACCGTAAGCTAGATTGAAAAAATAGAATTACTATACCCAATTTCTCGTTTTTCGATGAATAAGATTATATCTTTTTATTTATGACGGATTGTCGTACGTATTATCGTTGCCGATAGAGCACATTTTCGTGTTCACTATCCGGCTTTCCTAATAGCGCGTCTGCACAGTTCCTTCTCAATATCACCTCTTTCCGTTGTCTGGTACACCGGGAGGCGTTGGTTCCTAATAGTGTCCACCCCTATAACACCCCAGCTGAGTGTGCGACCCGTGGCTACGTGATGGATGGTACTGGAATCCATTGCAAAAAATGCAGTGACCAAAACTTAGGTACATGCCCCGAGTCATCAAGGCCGTTGGCTCTCCTTCATTCTCGAGCTTGGCCCCGTAAGCGTTCCCGGAGTTATGACAGACGTCACTGAGCCCTTTGTTGGAGAAGACGAGACTTTCTCAACGATAACAGGGCTTTGTGTCTGTATGGTGGTGGCCTGGGGTTCGTCGTTATCGCCTGGTTTGTCCTCATCGCCTGGTTTGTCGTCGTCGCCTGGTTCGTCAGGCAGGCCAAATTCGAGGTTTTCCAGCCACCCTTCCATGCCTGCCCTATCCTCGTATAGAGTATACTCCCCCGGCGGGCCCAAATCGTCGTCGTCGTTGCCGGTCTCATCATCAACATCTGCCGCTCCAGATATGGCAGCGATCCGGATCAATGCCCACTGAAAATCTGTCACGTAGAGAGCCACCTATACATGGCTCCCTACTCCTTCTCTGGTTGCTCGCTGACCTAACCTAGCTCCTAGCTCGCTTATGTAACATAGCTCGCAGCTCCCTATCGTCTATATATAGGCAGCTCGCATCTCCTTTGTTCATTTCCTTCCTTCTTAGATGGGGAGTCAATTCACTCTCTTCTTCCCACTTTCCGTTGCTCCCAAGAAGCAACCTCAGTGCCTACGTAGCTCTCCCGATCTACGTAACAGGAGATATTTCCGAAGGGCATCTTCATCGCGTTCGTTGCGCTTCCACTGTTGAACGGCCTTTGGCAGCCAATGGAGTCGAAGTTGAATTATCGAGTCCCCACCAGAAGGTCCATAAACAACTCCGAGACATTCGAACCCGAAATACGCCTTTCCCCACCAGACATGTAGTTGTGGGTTAAGACATATCATGTTCAATGCCTTATCAGACCCGACGAGCCGAGTGAAGTCATTCCATCGCTGCAAGCCCAGGCTGCCGTCCACGGAAAGGAAAGGAAGACTAATATGGAGGGAATTCTAAAATTCTCTCCGTCGTTCTTCGCTATTGCAAGTCGAGAAGGGAGTGGTATGGCATACTTGGGCGTTGGGGGTACCGAGGACCACGCATTTTCCTTCGTCGAGATCCTGCCGAGCCTTGAACTCCTTTTTGTTCTGTCACGTAGCAATTGAACCAGCCCTTATATGCCTACATACCGCAAAGAGTAATGTAGGCGTCTACGTTTTACGCGACATGTTCCGAATTAATTTGCCATTCTCGTCAAACTTCGCATCGGTGTAGTTAGCATCGTCGCCGTCGCTTGACTTGACTTTCTTCCGCGAAGCAGCACTGGACCCAGCAGCGCGGGACCCAGCAGTGTCCTTCTTTCTTTGGATGCTGAGGTGGCCGATTTCGACTTCGTGACCAATTCCAAGTCGAAGATGGCCTCCTCTCCCGTGTACCTTTCCTTAGGCCTTAGGAGAACTATTCAGGTTAGAAAAACTCCGAGAAAGACCATACAGGGTCGGCCAACATACATAGGTGGACAAGGTTCTTAACCGAACCGGGATCGCTTCGAATAAGTGCTAACGATGTTTGTTCCGTCTCTTTTGCTACAGCCGACCGTAGAAATCTTAACGGAGCAGCAAGTAGCATGGCAAAGCCATGACTCCCAAGCTCGCATCCGACGAGCTGGTCTTCAATACTTTCGATAAGCTCCAGCCGTTCCTTGAGCTCGTGGAAAGGAAAAATGCCATCCACCCCTCCAAGGGGCGGATCGGTTTCTAAGAATCGTATTAAAGTACGCCGATCACAGGCTGGAAACATCGTTTTCCTTTTAACAAACTCGAGGCTAAGTTTAAGGACTTTTTCGTCTTCCTTACTAACATTCCCGCCTAGAAACTCGGAGAGCTGTCCGAGTAAACCGCCGTCGACACCTTTGGAACTTGCCATGTTCGTTATCGTAGGGGTGGGGGGTTTGTCTATTGGGTACTGGTCGAGGAATTCAATTAGCATCGCCATTACCGAGGTCTAGGTACGAGAGGCTCACTCCTCAGGGTTTGGGTTCCCAGGGCTTGTTGTCCGCTCTGCCGGGCTTTGCGACTAGCCCTCGCACTGCAACGGCGGGCTTCCGCTTGAAAGTCCAGTTTTCTTCACGCCTAGATGCCACGTCCAATTCCCCAGGTCGAGTAATCAATTAGGGATGAGTTACTTAAAGAAAAGAAGTCAAAACCCGAGAGGTTCAACGCTTGGTGAGGAGTCTTTTCGGTGAGAGGATGTCGCGGGTTCGCCAAACACAATCGAAGCTTCCGCCCTGACGGCAGGGAAAGAAGAAGACGGAAAAGAAGGAGATAGATCGAAGTCCAGTGTTAGAAATACCAGCTTTTTCGGGGGGGGGCCAGCACAGAACAAACTGCGATCGTATCGCGTAACAAGCTTGATCTTAGGTTGCCGGCGTCGCTATTGCTGGTGGTGGCACGTGGCTTTTCGGGAAGGGCTACGTTTGGAAGCACGTATACGACGAGAGAGAAAGGTGCAGAACGGGAGAGATCGAACTATCTATTAAACTAGCATGCCAGGCCCCCCTTTTGAAGGCTGCGAGCCTTGTATAATCTTTAAAGCAATAGTAAGTTTAAAGGGTTATTCAATATTGTAAGTAATTATTTTTAAACATTATTTACATAAAGTTTATATTATTGTTCAACTTTGTCATTATTAAAGCTTTCGTTTAGTTAACTAATTATTAAATATTTTCTAAATTAGTATGCCAGTTTGGTATCATGCGCCGTAGCTCAGAATAGTGACTGCCAACAAACTCCCCTGGGCAGGCAACGCCGAATCTTTTCCATTTTGTCGTAATCAAGCACGGTACTACCTACCACCAGTCACAGCGGGGAGAGAGGCGATGAAGTAGTCGTGGAATCGGCGAAGGTCGTGAGGGATATTGCAATGTCCTTTTCGGGACGGGATGAATCCACATGTGTTGAAGCTCCCGGTACTTACAGCTAAGCAGGCCCTGCCGGACTTGACTAACCACACGCTAAGCGTATTAGAGTAATTCAAGACGTTATCGAAAACAAGAAAAAGAGGGAGGCAGCCAAGGGAATCTCTCCTCGTGATAACCGTACGTGGCTAACCGTGGCTAACGGCGAGATTTAATGAGATGCCAGGGACCTCTTTATCGCCGTCGAGAAATAAACGAGAATTCCGCCTCTTTCAAGAGGGGGAAGGAGCTGTAGAAGTGGGAGGCCATTCATTTTCGGACGGCCTGACCTCTGGAAGTCATGACGATAGCGGGAGAGATCTCCGGAAGGGAGCATGGCGTGGATAGCAGCCTCGGCGTTTTCTGGCTAGATGAGATGTGATGTAGTTAAAAATTATTGCGTGGAAATGTAGACGCCTACATCACCCCCCTCCCACGCTATGCAGGCTTATAATGTACGATTCTAGACGGGACACGCTCTCTAGTTAATATTCGTGGATATCTCTATCGGACAGCTAATAACTGGCTACAACGGCCCTGACACTGATTCTCTTCAGATACGTTAGCCCGGCCTTCAGTTGTAGCCTAGTTACTCTCTTGCGTGCCTTGGAGCGGTGTTGAACCCTTTCCCTCCCGTGGTGCCTTACTACTAGGCCTCGTCTAGCACCAGGGCTGTTCTGCCAGGGGTGGTCCCAAAATCGTACTATCAAGCCGGAGGCACCTTCGAAGCGGGCCGGGCTCATAGGTGTTGCGTAAAACATAAGCGCCTACATTCTACGACTTTTAGATACGGGCTTACCCAGGTAGGGCTTCCTACGTGACAAAACCATTGGCGCTGACCGTTTGGGTTGACACCTCACTTGTGCAAAGGTTGCGGATACGCGAACGAACGCGGATACTTGGACAGTATACGTCTGAAATTTAAGAAAGATTGGGGTGGTTTAGGATAGGTTTGTAGTCCAGATGACGGAATTGATATTTCATCTCGTTCCAATGGAGAATTCGCTCGGCTCTTTCGGATCCGGTTTCCCTTCATTTTCGCTTGTCGCCTTCCCGTGTGCCACGTAGCTAGTTCTAAGCAGCATGCGGACTGACCGGCTGTGCGGAGAGCAAGCAGTGGATGGGGACCAGATAGGCTAACTGACAGGCTACTAACCCAGAGGGAGGAAAGAGAGAGATGAGAGTGTGGGCCTAGCTAAGCTATATATATATATATATCCTCAATCCAGCATCGGTGAGTCGGGTTGCTCTCGCCTCAGGGGGGTATCTCTTGTCTAACGACCTAGCTATCGGAACCGTAGGCGTACGTGGGGTGATGCCTTGGAAGGAGGCAACTGAGAATGTTGGAGACAGAGAAGAGATTCCTGAATGGCACCTTCTAGCTTTAGAGTTGAGAGCGCGAACGGAGAGGTCTAGAGATCTTGGATGTGTCGTTATGTTGCAGTTTGGCCAGTTGTCAGCCCCGGTTGGCCTCAAGTTGAGATTCATCATTGTTCGTTTTCCCCGTCTGCCTTTCCTGCGTGCTGTGATACTATGGTCGGTGTCGCAGTCACTAGCACTGTCATCAATTGGCATGACTATTAATACGAGAGCCCGTCTCACGCTTCTTCAGGCTCTACGATCCCTATCACGGATCATATCACCGACACGGGCAGTCTTAGACAACAATGGACAGATCTGATCTCCTGGCGGTGCTAAGGATGTTGTGATTACAAAGCAGGAAATGCCATTTAGTACTAATGAAAGTGGTATAATACTATTGGTTAATCAATTGACGAGTTATTAGTAAACCGAGTTGACTGATGTCTCCTTTCAGTGTGCGCACCAGAAGTTACTCCCTTGGTTCCGGCCGAATCGGCAAGTGGGTACATTTAGTATCTACATGGCCTAACGCTCTATGACGACATTGGCAAGTACCTGGACGGAAAGATACGGATTTACGCAAGTAGCAGGTCACCTGATCGCTATCGTTGTAACGGAGTCGAGGGCGGGGAGGGGGGTAACAAAAACGACCAGGATGCGATAACAAGACGCAGCCAGCAGAAATAGTGCTGACTTTTATTTCTAGCTACTCTTGAAGGTTACAACTCACGGGGCCGAGCGGACATGTAGGTAAGACTCCGGGCCTACGACGGCTTGACACCGCCGGCAAGCACGCTCGCGATGAAATCCCCCAGGTGCCTGTTCGCCTCGTCCGGCTTCTCGACCAAGACCCAATGCGACGCGTCCGGGACGACTTCCTTCTTGAGGCCCGCCGAGAAGTACTTCTCCTGGCCGTCCGCGAGCGAGGGCACGAGCACGATGTCTTTCTCGGCCATGACGATCATGGCGGGGACGCCGAAGCGGAAGCGGGCGTAGTCGGCGGCGATGGGCAGCTCGTCGCGGCCGTTGAGCTCGCGCGTGCGGTACCAGTTGCAGGGCCCGCGCAGGCCGCTGCGGCAGTACTCGGCGGCGTAGTGGCGGACCATGTCGGCGCCGACCAGCGGCGACGCGCGCACCCGGTCGAGCCGGTCGGCGTGGACGCCGTGCTCGGGCGTGAAGACCATCTCGCCCTCGGGCGTGGTGCCGCCGAAGTTCCCGTGCAGGAAGGCGGCCACCTTGGCGGGCGCCGTGCCGACCGCGGCCTCGACCGCGCCGCTGGCCAGGATCAGCTGGTAGCGGAACGTGGGCACGCGCCGGACGAGCTCCTCCGCCGCGACGAGCACCGCCGACGGAGGCGTGTACGGCACGCAGAACGAGAACACCGCCGCGACGAGCTCCGGGTAGTACATGGCCATGCGCCAGACGAAGGCGCCGCCCCAGTCGTGGCCGCCCAGGATGACGGGCGCGTCCGTGTTGGCCTTGATGACGGCGGCTATGTGCGCCGTCATCTTCTTCATCGTGTACTCCTCGGCCGACTCCGGCGCCGACGTCTGTCCGTAACCCAGCATGTCCGGGACGATGACTCTCAGGCCCAAGGCGACGAGAAAAGGAACCTGGTAGCGCCATCCCATTCCTAGGTCAGGCCTGTGTGCGAAAGTGTTAGCGGCGAACTGTGAGATGCAGAGAGACTCGGGCGGCCTTACCAGCCATGGATGAGGACGACGGTGGCGATGGGGTCACCCTTTGGCTTTGCGAGCATGTAATGGTAGACGAATTGACCGATGGGAAGGAACTTGTGCTCGACCCTGCTGTCGTTAGGGGTAAGGGCGTCGGCGGCCATCTTCGCAGTTGGATATGGGTGGTTTAGCCGGCCAAATGAGCACACCTTACCCTGAGATTTGGTTCTGGTCTGTATATGCCGTTAGGGCTGTGTTACACAGGCTTATACCCCCATTGCCTCCGGAAACAGTTCGGCCGTGGCACCGGAGGTAGGTATGGCGACAGGCACATTAGGATCAGGACGCGATCTCGATAGCCACCCCTGGGGATCCCGGGGCCAGCCAATCGGGCATCAAGTACTGCTAATCGCTAGATACACAGCCTGGTGATTACTACAGGCTTCATCACCTTCGGGTAAAGTACCTATCTTACTCCGTACGACCCTACTCGTCAGTTCGCTGCTTGAAATAGAGAGCTTGGGTCGTGGTTTAGACCGGTGCCTTGACGATACTGATATCCTTGTCTGACGTGAGACTCCGGCTGCGGGGTATAGGACAACGACCCGCGAGTGATCTCTGGCGCACTGACAGTATATTTTCCCTCACATCAGACTCCCCTGTACCGTGCAGTCTCAACTGCATAGTTAGTTCTGCACGATTATCACACCTTCTCACGGCCCCTTGTGACATAGGCGTTTCTTGTTCGCTTGTTAGTGCTAGGTCCCCCATTAACGGCCCTCGTTCCGGAGCTGCGACCCTCGGTCTACACCAGCAACCCACTACGATATCCTCGTAGGACGTGGGCGTGCCAATGATTTTGTTCCGGGCGCTTTGGCACGCCGAACGAAGCATGGGAGCGGTAGCTGTAACATCATTATCAAAACTCCGATCTTGCTCGGTGTCCACGATATCGCCCGTGTGACCCCCACTGCCAACGGAGTGCGGCCAACCCCCCTTCTTTGTCTCCTCGCGCCGGGAAACCCGGCTGGCCTCGTGGGGAACTCATTGGAACGGTTTTCCCCGTTTCTATCTTACGCCTGTGTAGCCTCGCGTAGAGCGGGAACCAACCACGCAGCAGATTCGGCGTACTTAACCCTCCTCCTGGTACGGCTAGACGGCAGTCGAGGGCCCGACGTCGGCAGGTCTGCTTCAGTCTGCGATGGTTGGGACTACCGGGGCTTTCCCTATCGAGAGCAACAATCCCACGCACGTTACCACTGGACTCACACAGGACGCGCAATAGACGTAGGACATCAATATGATTCACGTGGCAGCATGAATATGAGTCGTCAGCAGCGATGCGGAAAAACACCCACAAATTTACACATCTCATTGGTTCGTCTGTGGGATAAATTTTGCATATATTCTGTTTCAAGAGGGAGGTAGTATAAACGACCATGACCTAACATGCAGCGAGTGCGTATATTGCCCAACCCGTGCGCCTATCTCCATCCGCCCTGAACCGTCGCATCGGCCTATCGTCTTACCAGGGCATGTCGGTGCCTTCGGGCGCGTTGATAAGCTTGCCCGAGGACTTCTCGCGAGTAGCCTCGTCAACCTAGAGAGCGCGGAGGTAAGCCAGGGGTACATCCGGATTGCGTGGCCCTCGCCGCGTCCAAGTACTCACCAGCGACGTGATGCGCTCGACGCTGTGCTCGATCGTGTAGGGAGCCTTCTCCAGCCCGATCTGCTGGGCAACCCAGTTGCCGGGGCCCGTCTGAACAAGACTGTTACCCACGAGGTTAGCGGTTTGCCGAACGTCGTCGATCGGGCGCACTTCGCAGGCTGGTTTCGTAGCACTTACCCAGGGTGTATGTGTAGGGTGGTTAGCCACTCGTTCGCGCAGTAGAAGGCACTAGGTATCCCGGAAGTTAGCCGTCCGCTTCCCAAAGCCGCGGAGGAAGTTGGGTGGGTGGGTTGGGGGGGATAGGGTTTGGCAGCTAGCTTACAGGGTGATCCAGTTCAACGCGGCCTTAGAGGTGCCGTAGGCCGGGGTGAGATCGGTCCTCATCTGCGGCATGATGGCCAGGGAGGAGCCGACGGAGGAGATGGAGACCCATTTAGGCTTCTCGGACTTCTGCAGCAGCGGCTTGAAGGCCTGGAACAGGGCCAGGGGGCCGCAGACGTTGGTGCGGAAGGCGGTGATCATGTCGTCCTGGCCGACCTCGTCGAGGGGCACGACCGGCGGGCTGCCGCCGGCGTTGGCGATGATGATGTCGACGTGGTCGATGCCCTGGGCCTTGACCTCCTCGGCGGCCTTCTTGGGGTCCTCGGGCGACGTGTTCTCGATGTGGATGAAGATGAGCTTGGATCCCTGCCCCTTCGGCGACGCTTTCAGCTCCGCGACGCCGGCGCTAGCGGTGTTGCGGACGCTGCCGATGACGGTGTAGTTGGGGCGTAGCAGGTAGGTTTGGGCCAGGGCCTTGCCAATGCCTGTGACGCTACCATGTCAGCAGAGTAACCTACTAGTAATGCCACCTTCGCGCCTCGGCGCGTCAGGTTCACGGGGGGGGTGCAGGGCCGGTGCTACCTTGGCTGACACCGCTGATGAGGACGACAGTAGGTCCGGCCATGATGCAATACTAGATGGGGGGTATCGTGCGTGTCGAGAAGGAGATCCTCGCTAGGCTACGGGTAGGTATCGAGATTGCGAAGTCTGCAGAAAGGCTCCGAGGTTTGCAGATGCAAGAGTGATGGGGGCTAGTAGGGCGAGTAGAAAGGTGGCAGATATGCGCTCGCAGATCAGCAACCGGGACGTCGGATGTGTTCTACTGGTCGATTTTTTCGTGTGTGGAAAAGCGGGAGTAAAGAGATGTGTGGTGAGCAGAAAAGGTCGAGGGCGGCTACTGGTCTGCCGCCTCTTAAGGAGGTCGATTTTTCCATAGCAAGGCAGATGGTGCGGTCAGCTCGCTACAGCCCGCTTACAAATTGCGCACATTGCAGCCCTTGAACAATACAGCTTCGTATTTACGAGGAGTCCACACCGACGACGTCAGGGCTACCCGGTAGGTAAGATGTGTTCAGTCGCCCTGGCTGGTCTTTGCTGCGCCGGATCTGTACGGACGCGCCCATGGGGTGAGCCCAGTAATCGACCCCGGTTCGGGAATAACCCGCCAAAGGAGATACGGCGGCAGACGCAGGATGTGGCCAGGACAAGGGCGGAACTGAGAGGATCATGTGTAACCTTAATTCGACGACGGCGCATCCCCGCTTACGTAAGGGGCAAGGGGCAAGTACCTACACGTAGGTGAGGGAGCCGATCCCGGGTGCAGCCCGCAGCGTAGGTAATTATGGAATCGCGCGCGCTGTAGAATGGTGCAGGTTGGGATTCCCATTCCCTACCCACCTATCTACGTCCAGCCTCTGCTGCCTGCGTATCTTCACAAATCACATACCCATCTACCTACACCGCACAGCTGGGCCTGTAATTAGAACACGCGATAACTGCATGGAAGTTTCCACGTTCGTGTGGTACCTGGGCGCCAATGTGGCTGGAATGCACTGGGCTGCTGTTGCATAACCGCCCACGACGGCGCATTGCTTGTTTCAAGAGCCCGATTCAGCATCTGCTGTGCCTCCGGGGACGATCTCTGAGTCGGCCTAATAGAAGACCCGTCGTCGACAAGGGCCGGTACGGCTCCAATGACAGGGCCAGGTCATCAGGTCGGAACGCCATACTCTTTCCGGCTTCATGTGACCGGGCGTTCGTGGAGGGCTGTCAGGAATGGAAATACGCCACCTAAGGCGGTTGTCCGCCTTAGGTGGGTAGAGAGTGTAGGTAGCACCCGAGGTGGTCAGTCTATCCACGAGTGACCTCGGGCCGCTACAGGAACAATAAACTCTCTTAGAGGACCCTAAAGTGATATTAATCATCACTAATGCATGTCTGCAATGTGACTGGTTTCATTTTTAGACATGGAATTTCTGATATTATCGAATTCCTTCAGCTCGTGATCCGCTACGTCATCCTTTACATAGGTGCTGTGGAATAGACCTTTGGCAAGAGAACGTGGTAACACTCCCGAGGTCGTCACGGCTCGCCTCCCGCCCGTCTGAGCCAGGGGACTGCGCCGTGCTTCCCTTCAAAGGGCACGTACGCTAACACCTGGCCCGATCTTATGACCATGAGGGAGACGAAGAGGCCCCTGCCGATAGCCTCAGTGTCGATCCAGGGCAGCACGTAGCTGTCCCAGAACCAGTTCGCCCACGACTTCCGCGTGACCTCGCGGATCATGGTGAAGCCCCGGGTAAATATCTGCCGGGCCTCGCCTCGGCGCGACTCCCGGTACCGGGCGAACGCTTCGGCGAGCCGGCCGACGCTGGGGTTCGCGCCGTGCGCGGCGACCAGGCCCTGCAGCTCGTTGGCGAGCGCGGCGGCCGAGTGCAGGCCGCAGGTGAGGCCGAGCCCGTTGATGCTGGTCATCTTGTGGACGGCGTCGCCGAGGAGCACGATGCGGTCGTAGCTCCACCGGTCTACGAAGCCCTCCTCCTGGTTGAGCATCCTCGCCAGCGCCTTGTCGGTCCTGGCCCACACGTCGGAGAACTTGACCCCGGGACCTACCCAGACGTCGGACAGAGACTTGGCGTACTCCTCCATCTCCGCCGCCGCGTACTTCCGTCGGCCCCGCACCGTCTCAGGCAGCCGCTTGAGCGTCGCGTAGTTCAGCATGCCGCCCGTCACCGTGCACTGAATCGCCGCGTCGCCGCCCCGCGACTCGAAGAAGACGCCCTCCTCGAGGCCGAAGTCGTTAGGCGCCCGCGCGACGATGCCGTAGAACGTCGAAACCATCGGGCTCTCCCCGGCCGCGGCCGCCTCCGAGTCCCGAGCTAGCCTCTGCATTATTGTCCTCGTCTTGCTGTGCACACCGTCCGCGCCAATAACGATCGAGCCCTTGTGCACGCTGCCATCCTTGAGATGGACGTGGACTTCGTCCGCGTAAAGTCCGATATCGACGACCTCGGCGTTTGTCTTGACGCAGGCGTCTTTATTGGGTAAGCTTTCGTACAGGATCTTGACAACGTCACTCCTTAAGATAGGCAGAAACGGATACCCGTGGCTGATGGGGTTTCCCCAAAAAGATGAGGTCCAATTAGCTCTCCAAATCCATTTTATTGCGATCGAGATCAGGGAAGAGGGAAATGGGCTGGAAAAGAGGGAGGGGGGAGGGGGGTAGCACAGGAATCGTGATGCTCACTTTTGATGCATGTGTTCCCAGAAGTTGCTCGTCGTCAAGACGCTGCCGTCGCCACCAAAGACGCGCTTCTTCGCGTGGATGGGGACGGACACCCCCTTGGCCGCCTCATACAGGCCAATCTGGTCTAGTAGCCGAACGGTGTGCGGCCATGTGAAGACCATGGCCCCGAAGTAGTTAACCACGGATGGCTGCTGTTCGAGAACAACAAATGGAATGTTCGCCGCTGATAAGCTGTGCGCCACGTACAATCCTACGGGGCCTGCGCCAACAATGATGACGCGGAACTCGTTGGAGGCCATAGCGAAGGAAGGAGGCACGATGGGTGTGAGATCTATGTAAAGCTACGGTATTAATCGCTCGATGGCGCCCTATACTTGTGGTTTTCAAAGTATTTATCATGGCCTTCGGATCAAGCCTGGGCCAGCGTCCCCGACCGTATACCCGCCCACCCGTCACAACTAGGAATTTGCGGTCGACCCATGATAAGGTGACCGCGTCTCCGACGGGCATAGGGACAGGTGTTCGTAGCTGTAAAATACGGGACGGTGCTATGAAGACATAGGTACGCTTTCTAGCAGCTAGGCCACTAGCATAATGTGCGGTAGCTGGCAAAGTGACTATGTAAGTGTGTAGGATGCAAGTGGTTTCGGGAGAGAGGTCCGGGTTCAACAGCGGTGTCACGCCAATCTGATCTAATCAAATAAGATTACCACCTCCGTCCCGCCCCTTCGAAGAGGCCCCAGCGCAGGACTGAATGGGCCAGTTTCTGGATCGGGACAAGAGGTTTCGATATCGCTGGGAAGGACGTCCTTTGTGGTGGCCGGCCCGCCCTCCCGATTCGCCCTAGGGCTTGCGCGGGTTGTCGAGATGCTGACAGCCTCTTGTACGCTGACATGCGTGCGACACTGTTGGCCGCCCTTTTACCGTGGCGGGCCACGTCACGCGTGGCTGTGAAGAGAATCCCGACACCGCTGCGAGCTGGCCGCACCGGCGAACCCATGGCCGGGTTGCTGGGCTGCCTCGTTGTCCTGCCCCGGAAAGCCGGCCGCGCATGTGCCTCCGGTTCCACTGCGATACTCTCTCGCACTGGCTGGCCTGGCGTGGGTGGTCTCGGGGCCACCCCACGTGTCGGCCTGATAGCAGCGGCAGCGCCGGCGGAAGAGGACGCGCATGATTAATACCGCTTGCGTGGGATATATATTGAACATTGACTTTATCTATCGACGATCAATGCGCGGGCATCAAGTCCCACCGCCGCACCCACCACCTACGGGCGAGAAGGATGTGCCACAACTGCATTTCACGCCGCTGACCGCAGGACCGCCGACGCGGTTGGCTGCCTGCGGCTGCTTGGTGCGACATGCAAGGAGAATCATACGCCACGTCGGCGCATTCACACACAAGTCAAGCCGGGCAATCCGGGTGCTAGCTCGCGGACTGTATAGGGGTCAGGGTGTGGCGTGCATGCCTCCGTCCGATGTCCCTGCGGCGCTGCGGCGCGGCAGTCCACAGGTTACAGGGGGTGCACTTAACGGCTGCGGATAACGCGGTATTCACGGCCGGGACGGTTGCCGGGAGCGTCTTCTTACTAGCAGAACCCCCCCCGTCTCCGCCATTAGGCCGAGGCATTAACGCAGGGGGGGTTCAAGAGAGGGCTGTGTGACGTGTCACCTATTGGCGGGGACCAATTTCGGGCGCGAAGCCATCGTGAGAGGCGTCTCGGGCATACATAGTCAGCCGCCTGGGATGGGACAGTCGGGTCGGGGGTACGATGTGAGGTTAGGTAGCTGGGAGGTGAGGAGGAGGTGGGTAAAAAATGCATAAGTGTGTGAGAGTAACGCCTTGCGAGGGTACATCTTTACATTGGTGTTACACGAGCCCGTCGTTTCGTAGGATTGGGGGAACATGTCGGAAAAGATGGGGCAGGTGGGGGCGAGGGGTAAGCTTGGCAGCAACTTCCGCCCCCTGCATGTATTTCCATTGGCCCCAGATACGCCTCCGCCACAGGGCCCACTCCCGCAGGACCGCGCAGTACCTTAGGCACCTAACCCCAGGTAGGCGGTACCTGTATACCTAGTAAAAGGATTCCTGTTCATGAACCTCCCCTCCATCATCTACCGCCTACCTGAAATTCCCACATCCCTCCAACCCGTATCCGACTGTACGGAACACCCGTCATCCTGCAGGGGGAGGGTGTCGTGTCCAAGCCTAAAGTTGCCTGAAGACAAGCATTTCTCACGCACCGCCGCGCCTGGGCGTGCACATCATCTGCAGGAATCGAGGATGCCGTCGCCGCACCGCCAATGGGTGAGCCAGGCCTACAAGGACTAGGCTGGTAGCATGTCTCGTAACAATACCTCGGATACAGTCCTTCTCTCCCTCTCTCTCTCTCTTCTCCCCCCTCCCCTCTCACTCTCACTCTCTCACTCTCTCTCTGTCTCCCTCTCCCGCTTTCTCTCGGGGTAGATGGATCGATGGGCCTTAAGTCCTGCCAGTATCTCCGTCTTGTCCGGCTGACAAATTTCCACGATGGCAAGCCGTCGACGCAAGGGAAACAAAGGCGCCCTAGGTGATTACCAATTCAACCCATGTGTAGGTACAACCCGTGGCAGTTAATTTTTTGCCTTGCTGGTGCTTTATTATTTGTACAGACCGTTGGTGCTCCCCCCGCAGACCTCCCTCTGCCCCTCTGCCTTTGCTCTGCATCTCGCATCTCGCATTTCCCATCCCTTCTCACGTCTTGCATCTCGCGCGCTTGCTTGCTTCTCGTTATCCCCACTGTGCCATCGATACTGTGTACATCTGCCAAGCCGGGTCGGTTCAGCATGGCAGAATTCAATGTGACACCCGAGCAGCGGGCGTCGCAAGGTGCCTTCTTCAGGCGCCAGCTCTTCTCCAAACCGCCGCACACGTCGCGGCGCGAGGTCGACCTTGCCGGGAAGACCGCCATCGTCACCGGCTCCAATACCGGCATCGGTCTGGAGTGCAGCCGCCAGCTCCTCGGCCTCGGCGTAAGCAAGCTTATCCTTGCTGTGCGCAGCGAAGCCAAGGGCGAGGCCGCCAAGAAGGTACTGGTGGGGAAAAAGGCCGGCACGACGCAGACCGTCGAGGTGTGGAAGCTCGACCTCTCTAGCTACAAGTCCGTGAGCGACTTCGTCGTGAAGACTCAGACCTTAGACCGCCTAGATATCGTCGTCCACAATGCCGGCGTAGTCAAGGTGGAGCAGGAGATCAACCGGAGCACTGGGCACGACGAGGTCATCCAAGTCAACTACTTGTCTACCGCGCTCCTGACCATCCTCCTACTACCCGTGCTCAAAGAAAAGAACTCGCGGCAGAAACCCGGCCGCTTGGTCATTGTCTCGTCCGACGTCGCCTCCTGGGCCCAGTTCAAGGAGAAGACCTCGAACCCGCTGCTGCCAGCCTTCGACACGAACCAATTCTTCGACGGGCAAGACCGCTATTACACTTCGAAACTCCTCGGACAGATCTTCCTGTCCGAGCTGGAGAGGCACGTCCCGTCGTCGGGCGGCGTCGTCGTAAACTGCGCCAACCCTGGCCTGTGCTACGGGTCAGGGCTCAACAGGGACTCGAACGGTACCGGCGCCGGCTTGATATTCGGCGCCTTCAAGCGGGTCGTGGGCCGGTCTTGCGCCGCGGGCGCCTGGTCGCTGACCAACGCAGCCGTCAAGCACGGCGAAGAATCCCACTGCAAGTATATCGAGGAGGGGAAATTGCAACCGTAAGTGATGACCTAAATGAAACGTCCGTTATATTACCTATCCGACCACGTTCTTACTCTTCTGTGCCTCTCTCCTTCTAGGATGTCACCGCTCGTGTACACGGACGAAGGGAAGCAGATTGCGAAGTTGCTCTGGAAGGAGACGATGGATGAGCTTGCGTTTGCCAAAGTCGACGATATCATTGAAGGATTGAGCAAATAAGCCATCGATGGAGATTGGGCTCGATAATGCAAGGTGGTAATGTGGTAATAGTATGGCCGATGCCGGTTTAACCGCGGGCAGGGGGAGTTGGAGTTGGGATTTTCCTGTCGCCTCGTCGCAGCTTTTTACACTTCGCGTCCTAGATGGGAAGCGCTTCCCGAAACAATGCACATTCATCCCGGTTTCTTGTCGCCATACACACTTCCCCCCTGCGGTGATACTGCTCGTAAAGTTGGTTCGAGGCGGTCCAGGCGCTCCAACCATCCGATGTACGGTGTGAGAACCCTCTCAAACATCCGGATGAGTTACACCTCCACACTGATTTCGTCGCGCGATTTGTGCGGGTGGCTGCATGTAATAATGCATAACACGGAGGCCCCCCCCCTAATAACCACAGCAACCGCCCGTGTTCATACATATGTAGGTAATCATCCCTATACAGACTAGGCGGAGGTGTGTGGGACAGCGTTACGGGGAAGAGTCGCAGAGCATAGAGGCGTCGTAACGCTCCCGGGCAAGAGCTCTGCCTACGTACGTGGCTGTATAGGCTGCATAGTTTCATCTGGCATGCGCTCTATGCGATAATATCGTAGCGGGCGGCCGGTTTCGAAACAGAGTGGTGTGCTGCTATATGCAGTGTGTTCTGGATGGCTCCCGTGAGATTTTAGATCCACCTGTCTGCAAGAGCCGCATAAAATGCCGTCTGGCTACGTCGAATTTCCGGTCCTGGGAGCGGCACCGATCCTGAGAAGAATATTCTCGCCGTACGCAAACGTATTGCCGGCAGTCTCTACCCCGTACGCAATACAGTCCCACGATGGATGTTACCGGACACGCTTTCGTCATCGGAGGTTCGTATTACCTCCCAGTCGCTTGTGCGTCTCTCTCTCTCGACAGCTAGTAACCAGAACTAGGCAGCGGGATAGGCAAGGCGTGCGCTTTGGCCTTCGCGAAATACGGCTCGCGCAGAATCGTCGTCGCGGATATCAACCTCGAGGCCGCCGAAGCCGCTGTGGCCGCGTGCAGGGACGTGGCGCTGGATGCAACCTTCCACGCAGAAGCTATCGCGATCGACGTTACTGCTGAAGAGTCGGTAAAGGCGGCGATAGCACGCGCGCAAGAGGTGCTCGGGCGCATCGACTACTGTGTAAACAGCGCCGGTGTAAGCATTACATACCTACCTACATGCAGGCATACCCACAGCCGAACCTCGTACTCGTTTTCCATTACGCGATGCCATCATTCCCGCACGAGTCCTACTTGTGACTAACGACGAGCGACGTGGTCGCGATCTAGGTCGCCGTTCGGACGGCTTGCGAGGTGGCCGAGGCTAACGTCGACGAATTCGACGCCATGCTTCGGGTCAACGTGGCTGGGCCGTTTTTGGTTACGCGCGCCATGTCGGCCGTTATGAAGTCTCAGAGCCCAAACCCCGTTGACCCGTCCTCGCAGAGTCGCGGGGTCACCCGCGGCGCCATCGTCAACCTGGGCTCGGCCTCGTCATTCGCCGCGACGCCCAGGATGATCCAGTACACGACAGCTAAGCATGCAGTGGCCGGTTTGACAAAGAATGCCGGTTAGTGCCCGCCTGTAAGCCCCCGCTCGTGGGTGCGCGAAATGCCGATCGGGGGTTGCCTGTTTTCTGCGATGGTACCCTCCAACGCTGGGGGGTTTGGGGGGGAGAGACGCAGAGAGGGAGGTTCAGAATGGCGCCCCGTAATCAATACTGACTCTTGGCATTAGCACTCGATAATGCGGCTTACGGGATCCGAGTGAACAGCGTGTGTCCGTCTTGGGTCGACACCCCGATGGTTCGCCAGGCGATGGTGGACGTGCCCAACTTGCGGGACATGATCGAAACCTCGGTCCCATTGGGGCGCATAGCGCTCGCGGAAGAAGTGGCCGATGCGGTCATCTTCATGTGCAGCCCAAGATCCAGTTACGCGACGGGCTGCAATTTGATATTGGACGGAGGCACAACCCTGACCAGCCATGCGTAGAGGCGCTGAGATCGCGTACATGAGATCACTCATCAGCTATCTGAAACTTGCATATGCGGTTATGCTGATCGCCCCTATAGGGCTTCCCGTGCTTCCCGTACCTCCGATAGTAAGCTGGGGGGCATCTAGCGGATCACGAACGGGACGATACGCTTATTTCGCATGCGTGTCAGAAAGCGAGTGATATCTCTATAGTGATAATAGGTTAGGACTTAGGAGCTCTAGGCGGCCCGGCCGACTCTCCGTAGATCATCACCGCCCTTTCGGCGCATACCAAGCTTCTCCTCTGCTGTGTCACGCCGTAATCAGCATCCTAGTCGCGGACATCACCATCCCCCACGTAGGTGCTGGAGCAAGTTCGTCGGCAACGCCCCGGGCTTGGGCTAGGTATCTACCCCATACTCTAGAGAGTGCCTCGCTTCCGAGGAACTCCCAGATGCGGGGTTTGCAACTTGTATAACGGCGTCGGGTCGCATCTGGGTTCGTCGTATATCACTTCGCTCAGTTGTTTTTCACTCTCTCCCGTGACCACCTCTCCCCCCCTTTCTCCCCTCGCCTGCTCTAGTGTTACGCCGTTCACGTAGACTGAGATACCGCTCTTCTGCTCCATAATGTCTGAGCCAGCATCCACGCCCGCGGCCGCCCCTGCGCCTAGTCCTAGCATCGGTTACATCACCAATCTGTTCCCCGCTCCCGGGCTGAAGCAGCTCGCCAGGCACATCACTGGCCACAACGACGAGGGCAAGTCGGTCTTCCTGAGCTCCGACAATGGTGACCACTACCGAATCATGGGAGAGAAGCAGGCCGTTGCCAACATCCTCTACTCGACTCGGGAGACGCCTGTCGATCTAAACGACAACGTAGATATCGAAAAGGCCAAGAGCCAAGAGGTGCGTGCTGCGTCTAATACTCTGTGATATCTCCCTTCCAGGACGAATTCCCAACGTCCTCGACGATGCGGGCAACATTCTAACGAAGAGCCAACATCGGTAGCCGCCGCTGCACTACCACAACGGTACGGTGGTGCGCATGATCGACTTCGCGCCCGACGTGGAGTCGCCAATGCACCGTGCCGTGTCTCTCGACTACGGCATCGTGGTGGAGGGCACCTTCAAGCTGATCCTCGACTCGGGCGAGGAGAGGATCATGCACCAGGGAGACGTGAGCATCCAGCGGGCGACCGCGCATAAATGGCACAACATCTCGGGCAACGGCACCCAGCCGGGGCGCATGATGTGGATTCTGCTGGACTGCAAGGACGTCTACGTCAAGGGCAAGAAGATGGAGGGCTACCTCGGGGAGCTCACCCAGTACTACGAAGGCCGCGAGCCCTAACTCTGCAACGCTTAGCTTCGCCGCGCCAGTAGACAGATTCCATAGCTGCCATTGAGGGAAGAGCACGGGCGGGACGTTGAATAATGGCATTACTTCTGCCGCATATCCAAGCCCATTCGTGACTCGGTGATTTCTCTCCACCGTGCAACGCTCCAAACCAACGGCCATACGTACGCAGGTAGGTATACCGGAAGTGGTAATACCCGCAACCAGTATCACATTTCTATGATTCCTAGGCACCTAGGGTATTCTTGCGGGCTTGACAGTATCGAGCGTAGATACTCTAACTATCTAGATGGATGGCTCATCCTTGCGAGTCTCCCACGGGTCATCCCACGCGAGATAAAGATGTAAGCAATAGCTTCCAGCCAATCAGATAAACCGGCACGATAGAAAAGAGAAATTAAACAAAGTGGGTCCGCATGTGCTATATATAGGCTCGTTTAGTGGATCCAGTGACGTAATCATGGAACCGTGAGAAAGTACGATCTCCCGTCTCACACCGGGGGAAGGTGCGGGGGGAGGGCGAAGAAGGAAGCGACGCTCATCGCGGGTACTTAAGTACAAGATGCACGTGTCCAGCAGGGCGGAGGAAATGGACAGATTGTCGTCACGATAAATATATCTCCTGGCTTAACTACTTAAGATACCTAGCAGAATATGTAACGAGCGCATTTCTACCAATGTGTCCCCCTAGATCGTCAAACGTCAGACGCGTCCCTTTATCGCCGTGTTTCGGATAGCTGCCGCGCTCGGCCGGGTCGGTGCGCCACGGCGCTACGGGGTTGGGCGCCGGCGAGTGGTATTCCCCCTCCGCAGCGCGTGGGCTTTCTTCAGCTTGTCGAAGTTGAACATGGACCAGAACATCCCGTCCTGTGCGCGGAGGTCAGTCTCGAAGTCGCGACGCCCTGCTCGGAGGTGGGGGGGGGGGGGGGGACCGGCTGCTTACCCATATGGTCCGGAACGCGAGCGCGTCCAGCATGCGGATGATGAACGTCGCCTTTCCGTACCAGAACCACGCAGGCGGTGACGGCTTCAGGCTCTGCGCGACGACGTTGTGCGCGTACACGAAGCGGTCGGTCGTGTCTATCCGCTCCTCGCACGTGTCAGAGCATGTTGTCTTGTCTGCACCTCTTGAGATTCGTCTTACCGGGAGTTCTGCGTACGTGTTGCCGGAACTCGGCAGCGAGGGGAGCAAAGTACGAGTCTGTCCCGCGAGTCAGCGTGCCCTAACCAACTCGACGGATGCAGCTTACCCTCTGGGATTTCCCGGTCTGTGTCTCTCTTGAGAATGTTGGTGCCCACCTCCCCAGATATTATCTATTACCACGTCAGCATCTTAGTTTTCCGTCTCACCACAGCGGGAAGGACATCCGTACCGTGAGGACTTTGACGCTAAGTAGATTCGGGAGATGTTAGTGGACGCGAGCCTCTAGAAAATAGCTCTCATTCACGGCAGCTTACTCTAGCGGGGCCAGCTCGACGCGTAGGGTGTTGGACCAATGCTGCAGAGCCGCCTTCGTGGCATTGTACGACGCTAGAGCACCTTGTCAGATAATACCGAGAGTGAATAGCATCATGCTCCGTGTTTGGCTTACCTCCGTAGACGTATGGCACGACCCCCCCGATGGAACCGATGTTGACGATGGTGCCAGACGACTCGATCAACATGTCGTGGAAGTGCCGCACCATCCTCATGGGCCCAAAAACGTTGACGTCAAACATCGTCTGCACTGACCTGACCTCAGTGTCGATTGCTGTCATGGTGTAGCCTTAGAAACATTGCTTTAGCGTCGAGACCCTCTCTGGGCGAGGGGAGGGGAGGACTGAGTAGGCCCGTACATATTCCACTGGGAGGAGGTGAGCAAGTGAGAACAACCCTGGGATTATTCTCCAGGTATGGCTGTGAAGCTAGGCGCACTTACGCGTTATTAACAAGAATATCGAGGTACCCGTCGGTCAGAGCGAGAATGTTCTTCTTCAACTCCAGGATGGATGCCTCCTTCGTCACATCCAGCGGGAACCAGGTGATTCCCGCTTCAGAAAGATGCTCGCTGGACTCCGAAGGAAGAACTGTGGCAATAGCGTGGAGGCCCCGCTGAGAATACTCGCGGACGAGTGCCTCTCCAATGCCTCCTTGGCCACATCTACCAGGAAGAGATTCGTGTTAGTACTGTAGGATATGCGTTCCTGGAGTGACACCCTACCCTGTGACAAGAGCGAATTTCGACCTAGACGGCATAGCTAGGACGTCGATAAAGCGAATATCTCGGTGGGAGCAGAAAGAGAGACGGGGCGAGGATGCCGAGTACTCGAAGCAATTTGCATGGCTTTCACCCCCACACAGCTCAGGTCTTGATAGGAGATATCGTGTTAGTTCCACCCCCACATCGCAGAGCTCCTGATAGAAGATATCGCGGAATCTCCTTCCCCCCTTCAGGCAACCAGCTCAGGCTCCGCGTATGGGGTTGATGACGTGCATATCGAGCAATATTTCACCACGGGTCTCTGCTTGAATCCACCTGTGTTACGCCGATGATGAATGGCGGTGTGATGAACTCGGGCTTCCGGCGGTTGTCCATTCTAGATTATCCCGAGCTGCGTAATCTGACTGATAGCAATTAAGATGTGATGTGGTGTCGTGTTGAAGGGCCATGATAGAGGGTGTCACTCGCCTGAGTATAATATTACACGCCGGACTTATCTACCGCATGATGCGTGCTTACCCCGACCCAGAGATGCAGAATTATCCCACATCTGACATACATGTGCAACTCTGATCGAGTACGGCCTATACGTCTCCGAGACGCAGCCACAAGCCCGTCGAAACCCAGGGGAAGGTTGCTAGAGGACGCGGACTAGGAAACCAACCATAATTCTCTCTTTATCTCAAGTGGTATGGCCGTGGGGATAGACATACCTATTGGTCTTCGTATATGCTGTATGATACGGCTATATAGCTCCAAGCATCAACACAGAGACACAAGCGCAGTTCGTATATTAAATGTACTCCGTTCTTTAGCCGTGGCCTCCTGAAAACAACTAAGACAAAGTGTTGTTATAATCTTCACACTCACACCACATCTCAGCCTCTGCGCTACTATGCATACTGTTGAGATGCCAAGCTTCGCCGGAAGCCCTGCGGAACCAACGCTCAGACAGATAAATGGAAACGGCACTCTGAAGACTACTAACGGATTCACTAATGGCCTGAACGGCCATAAGGCTACTAACGGACACACCAATGGCCATACTAATGGAGCCCACGCCTTGGGGCAGGATATCAACGGGGAGGACCCGATCTGTATTGTGGGAATGGGTAAGCAAAGTCCGCATTGCTCAAATGAAAAAGAAGAAAACCTACTGAGTCATCCCGCCGCTAGCATGTCGCCTTCCCGGGGGGATTCGCTCGCCGTCAGACCTCTGGGACTTTCTGGTGCGCAAGAGGTCGGCCCAGGGGCCGGTGCCGCGCGAGCGATTCAACATCAAGGCGTTCTACCACCCGGACGGCAGCCGGTCGGGGGTCATGGACGCGGACGGCGGGTATTTCCTGCAGGAGGACGTGCGCCAGTTCGAGAACAGCTTCTTCGGTATCAACAACCTGGAGGCTACCTACATGGACCCGCAGCAGCGGAAGCTGCTGGAGGTCGTCTTCGAGTGCTTCGAGAACGCCGGGCTCTCCATGGAGGCTGTCGCCGGCGCCGATATCGGCGTGTACGTCGGCAACTTCACCGTCGATTACCAGATGATGCAGGCGCGGGATATAGACTACATGCATCGCCTCGGTGCTACTGGGTCCGGGACCGCGATCAGTACGTGTCCCCCCCCTCGCCGAAGCAATCTCCAGCCGGATTTGGCTCCCACGGGAGTTAACCGCTGACCTGATGACTTGCAGTGGCGAATAGGATCAGCCACGTATTCGACCTTCACGGACCTAGGTGAGCAGCCCACCCTAGGCCTTGATGGTGCTATTATCTGTGGCCGTCGCTGACAATAACGTCCCGCCAGTTTCGTCCTCGACACGGCGTGTTCTTCGTCGATCTACTGTCTCCACAATGCCGTCAGCGCCATCAGATCCGGCGAATGCAGCGGGGCCATTGTGGCCGGTGCCAACTTGATCACGTCCCCCGAACAGCACCTAGGCACGGCGAAAAGCGGCGTTCTTTCGCCGACCTCGACCTGCCACACCTTTGATGCCTCAGCAGATGGCTACGGTCGGGGAGAGGCAGTAAGCGCTGTATATTTGAAGCCTCTGTCTGCCGCCCTGCGCGATGGGGACAAGGTGTGGTCAGTTATCCGCAGTACCGCCATCAACGCGTAAGGCCCCCCTTATCTCTGTGGGTTGTTATGACGGCTTTACTAATCACCATGGCATAGCAACGGAAAAACACCTGGTATCACACAGCCAAGCTCTAAATTACAAGAGGAAGTTATACGGAAGGCATATGCTAGAGCTGGCCTCAGTTTCGACGACACAGATTACATAGAATGCCATGGAACTGGCACAGCGGTGGGGGATCCTATCGAAGTAGGCGGTTTGACGAACTGCTTTGGCCCCAGAGACCTGCCCTTAAAGATCGGCTCGGTAAGTCCTGTTCCCAAGCTCTGTCACGCCCTCTTTTCGTTTGGCACTTCCCTGTAATGATCGATTGTGATCTAACGCATCTTTCTTAAATCCAGGTCAAGACAAATCTCGGACATAGTGAGGCTGCGAGTGGCCTGACGTCCCTCATCAAAGTTGCGCTGGCCTTCCATAATGCTAAAATCCCGCCCTCATATGGTGTCACCAAATTAAACCCTAAGCGTGAGTTTCCGCTGTGTCTCCGAGAAACAGGGACAAGAGAACCTCGTATTTCCTAACCCTGCTTATTTCCAGTGCGCCTTTGGGAGGCAAATATGACTGTTGCGACGGAGGTCACCGACTGGCCCAGAACCCTACGAAGAGCGAGCATTAATTCCTTCGGATATGGAGGCGCGAATGCCCACACTATCCTCGAATCTGTTGAAAGTTACCTTAAAACGAGTCCACCAGAGCAAGGCCTACAGCCAGAAGAAGCAACCCAGGATAAACTAATAATTCTCCCGGTGTCTGCTGCGTCGACGAAATCCTTGGAGGTCCGGATTAAGCAGACCACAGATGCCATCCAGCACAGCCATAACCACGGCGTCAAAAGCCTGGCCTTCACTCTGGCCCAGCGCATGCCCCGACACCGCATCAAGGGGTTTCTTACCGCTAAGGCCAGGACAGACGGCAGCGCGGAATTTGTCCAGTCGGAAATAACAGAGCCGGTCGACCCAAGCTTCGCAAACCTGCCTTTTGCGTTCGTGTTTACTGGCCAAGGGGCACAGTATGCTGGCATGGCTCGGGAACTGCTCGAGAACAACGAGAGTTTCCTGCAGACCATCCGCGAGCTCGACGATGTCTTGCAAAGCTTACCGCCAAAAACGGCCCCCAAATGGACATTGGAGCAGACGATTCTGGACTCGCCCGAGGTCAGCCAGATCAATCACGTCACCCGCAGCCAGCCTATTTGCACCGCTGTGCAGATCGGGCTCGTAAATCTCCTCCAGGGCTGGGCAATTACTCCTTCTGCAACGGTCGGGCATTCTTCCGGTGAAATTGCCGCAGCCTACGCTGCAGGGCTGCTGACAAGCAAAGAGGCCATCCTCGCGGCATACTTCAGAGGCTTTGCCGTCGGCAAGCTGCAATCGCGAGGCACTATGGTTGCTGCTGGGCTCGGTCCGGAACCTGCTGAGGATCTCATCAAGGAGAAGGGACTACAGGGACAAGTCTGCGTGGCCTGCGTAAACTCGCCGCAGAGCGTTACGCTAAGCGGCTCCGAGGAGGGAGCGGACATCATCATATCCGAGCTTCAGAAGAACCAAACCTTCGCCCGCAAGCTGGAGACGAACGGAAGAGCCTACCACTCGCATCTAGTTAAAGAGATCGGCCAGCTATACGAAAATCTCCTGACCCCGTATCTGGAGAGGAGCAACAGAGTGTCTGATGTCGAAATGGTTTCGTCGGTCGGATACGACGGACCCCGAGATATTCTGCTCGGCGATAGGGCTACCACGGCTCGCTACTGGCGGGACAACCTAGAGAAATCGGTCCAGTTCAGTTCGGCGCTCGAAAAGCTGATAGGTGACAACAAGTACCATCTAGTCGAGTTAGGGCCTCACTCTGCCCTTAAGAGCCCAATACAGCAGATCCAAACGAAGACGAAAGGGAAGCAAAACCTCCTTCCCTATAGTTCAACGTTGGTCAGGGGCCAGGATGCCGACGTGTGCCTGAAGAAATTCGCAGGGAGGCTCTTCCAACATGGCTATTCTCTTGACTGGAATAATGTCAACGAGTTGAGCCGGCAGAATCAAATAATGCAACATAACATCCCCCCTTACCCTTGGGATTACTCCTCAGGTTTGCTGTGGGTCGAGATGCGGCCCAGCATTGATCTCCGCAACCGCCGATTTGCCCGCCATGAGCTTCTCGGATCGCTACAGCCGGCTGGAAATGGGATCGACTGGGCATGGCGCAATGTTCTCCAACTCGGCGAAGTCCCCTGGCTCTCTGAACACAAGGTCGAGGCCCAAGTTGTCTTCCCGGCGGTCGCCTACCTAGCGATGGCCATGGAGGCCGCATCCCAGGCACACGGGCTCAAGGACCCGTACACGGGCGTATATCTCAAGCCAAACACGACGTTTGAGTTCCGCAACGTCAGCTTTGGGACCGCCCTGGTGGTGCAGGATGATGCAGGTGTTGCTGGCAAAGGGACGGAGGTACACACGTTGTTGTCGTGGAGGAAGCTCTCTACCACCACCCAATCGGAGGACTGGTGCGACTTCGCCATATCATCGTGGGAGGACGGCCGGTCTGTGTTGCACTGTTCAGGCTCAATCCGAGTTAGCAACCCCGTCAAGCTTGAGGAGGTAACCACGGTTAGCAATACGAACGGGTTCGAAAAGCTGGGGATGAAGCCATGGTATAGCAAGCTTATTGAAGAGGGCATCAGTTTTGGACCCAACTTCCAAGCGCTGACCAGCCTGAGCACCGACGTTAGCCACGTCCGGACCGATGCCATCGCAACTACCAACCTGCGGGTCAAGGTCGGCAAAGAGACCGATACGACGTATCCAGTGCACCCAGTTACTATCGATGGAGTTATGCAGTCGGGTGTTATGGGAGGCACCGGAGGGAATGTGAGAGCACTCCGCGTGCATCTTCCGATCTTCATGCCCGAGTGCCGAATCCGATGTGTTGGAGAGTCAATCGAGGAGGAGGCATTTATCCATTCCCAATTTACCAGGACCGGTGTTTCGACGATCAGAATCAACTCCACCCTCCGGGATGCTCGGGGTACGCCCGTAGTAGACATAAAGAACTTGCGGTTGTCGATGTACACCGGAAAGGTAGCTCCAGAAATCAACACCAACCCGCAACTCCAGCGTCACCCGACCCTGCGCGTCAACTGGAAACCCGATATCATAAGCCTGTCTCCAGACGTACAGACGCAGCTAGACCGCTACATCGACAACTTCATCTTGCAACATCAACAGCCGGATCTGGTTGAGAGGGCCATCGTAGTGGGAGCGCTCCTAGATCTCCTAGGCCACAACAACCCGAGCATGCGTATCCTAGAGCTTGGGCCGGAATGTCAGTGCAAGAGGAAGCTCTGGCAAGATATCCTAGATATGGGGACAGCACTTCCACGCTGCCGATCTTGGAGTTCCGGCGATATCACCGGAGATAATGAGGTCGCAATAGAAGGCGACGTCTCAGGGCCATTCGACGGTCTCCTAATTTCCAAGGTAGGCATCCCCCGTTTTCTGTGCGCGGCGGCATACCCGGCTAACCTAGCTGTGATATAGCATTCCGTATTAGAGCAAGTCTGGGAGCAGGCTCCACAACAGGCGATCTCTCTAGTTGGCGATAACGGCACCATCATAACCCGCAAAACGAAAGCGGCTATATCTGCGCTCACCTCGGCCAATTTCACCGTTATAGAGGTGAAGGGAGAAATAATCCTGGCCGTTCGACAATCGGGCGCGAGACCATTGAAGGGCAAGGATGTTCTCATTGTGGTAAGTCTGCCGCTTTAACACCAGGATAGGCGTTCGAGTTACTTAGACCTACTTTTGCTAACTCCGAATTAGTCGAGGAACCCTTCACCCGTTCTGTCGAGCTTTACGGACACTCTGTCAACCTTTTTGAGAGAGGTTGCTAGCGCCTCTACAGTTCAGAATATTTCCCTTGCCGATATCTCCGGAGTCGAGATCTCATCCAAGACTATATGCATCTCCACGCTCGAGATAGAGAGAGAGTTTCTTGCCACCATGAGCCAGGAAGACATGGACAGCCTAAGGAAAATAACAGACGTTGTGACGAACCTTCTCTGGCTAACCGGTGCGAATATGCTGTCTGGAAACCCTGAACCTAACCTCACGCTCTCAAACGGACTCTCTCGAGCAATAATGCTTGAGCAGCCATCGCTTCGCTGGTCGCTACTGGATGTTGGAGATGCAAATAAGCTACCTACCCTTGTCCAAGCAATTTCCGAGAACTTGTCAAGGACTCTCACGACTTATGACCACATCGACGACAAGGAGTTCATCCTAGTGGATGGTCTTTTATACACAAGTCGGTTTGGGCCGGACCTTGGCATTAACGCGCTCTTCAGGAGGCGTGTCAAGGAACAAGAGCCGATCGAGAAGATTCCCCTATCCACTGTGGGATTGGCTCGGCTCGCCATCGGGAGACCGGGGGTTACCGACACGCTGCACCTCCAGCAGGTCCGCGAGGTGCCGACAGCCCCGCCGAGCGGGTTTATAGAAGTCGCCACACAGGCCGTCAGCCTTAATGCCAAAGACATCTACGCGATGAGCGGCCAAGTAGAGACACGAGAGGGAACAGCCGCACTGGAATTCGCTGGCGTCGTTACTGCCGTCGGCCCAGAAGTCGGGGGACTACTGCCTGGAGACCGAGTCGTGGTCATGGCCCCCCACCGCTTCGCCACGATTGAGCGTGTCCCGGCCTGGGCAGCACACAAGATGCTTCCGGAAGAAGACTTCGGTGTCTTGTGCACGCTTCCTGTAGTGTATACATCGGCCCTCTACGCGCTGCGCGATCGAGCGCATTTGCGTGCTGGCGAGTCGGTCCTGATCCATTCCGGCGCTGGGGCCTTCGGCATGGCTGCTATTAGCCTCGCTACACGCATTGGTGCTACGGTGTACACAACGGTCGGCTCTCAGGCCAAACGAGAATTCCTCGTGAACGAACTAGGTGTGGACGCCTCTCATATCTTCAGTTCTCGGGACAAGTCCTTCGCAGCGGATCTTAAGCACGCCACACATGGCCGAGGAGTGGACGTAGTAGTCAACTCCCTTGTCGGTGATCTCATGCACGCCAGCTGGGACTGCTTGGCTAGCTTCGGACGATTTGTTGAAATTGGCAAACGCGAGCTGGTGGACGCCGGAAAGCTAGAGAGTAAGTTACCCCCAAAATATCGCCAAACCCGGATTCTCGAGAGTTCGCCTCTGCCTTCCCCAGAAATGGTCGTATAATGGGCTGACTCCTAGCGTTATAGTGCACATGTTCTTGAAGAACACCACCTTCACAGCGTTCGATACCATGGACATCTTCTACCACGAGGACCAGTTCTACCGCGACGTGTGGATCAGGTACGTTAGACGTTCCGAATTTCAAAGGAAAAGAGGTAACAAGGCTGACGCCGTTGGGTTCTAAAATTTAAGTGCAACCAAGGAAGTGTTGGAAATGTACCGTTCCGGCCAGATCAAACCAGGACCAATTGCCAAGTTTGATGTCGCGGACATCTCACAGGCGTTCCATCACTTCTCTAAGAAGGATCGGATTGGGAAAGTAGTCGTGTCGCTCGAAAGTCCAAAGAGTCAAGTTCCGGTAAGTTTTAAGCATTCGTCTCCTTCTGTCCGCTGTTAGACATTAACATGGATAAATCAGGCCGCACCCGCAAAGTACTCGACGGTATTCGACCCTGAAAAGGTCTATCTCTTGATAGGTTGCTTGGGCGGCCTTGGTCGCAGCCTCAGTCGTTGGATGATGTCGCGCGGTGCTCGGAATTTCGTATTTCTCGGAAGGACTGGCAGCGACAAGCCTAGCGCGAGAGAGCTGGTTACCCGCCTAGAGAACTCTGGAGCCCATGTTACTGTGGTCCGGGGTGATATCTCGAATGCCGACCACGTCAAAGCTTCCGTGGAGGCCTGCGAAGCGACTGGAAAGCCTATAGGGGGCGTAGTACAAGCGGCGATGGGTCTTCACGAAGCCCTTTTTAGCCGTATGACAAACGAGGCGTGGCACACCGGCATACAACCAAAATGGAAGGGCACATGGAATCTCCACAACGCCCTCGAGGGCCACGACGACGCGCTGGATTTCTTTTTGCTAACTTCTTCCGTCTCGGGCAGCGTAGCAACCGCAACAGAGAGCAACTACTGTTCTGCGAACGGTTTCCTTGATGCCTTCGCTCGCTGGCGACGCAGCCAGGGCAAAAAGGCTGTTTCGATAGGGCTCGGAATGATCTCAGAAGTCGGCTATCTCCACGAGAACCCAGAAATAGCAGCCTTGCTCCTTCGAAAGGGGCTCCAGCCTCTGGACGAGGAGGAATTCTTGCAGGTGGTAGACCTTTCCCTGAGCGGACCGGGAGGCGAATACGCGGCGCGTGAGCCGAACCCCGACCTCGCACATGTGCTGACCGGGTTGGAGCCGCTTGGACTTCGAAAGCTGATGGCCCAGGGTTGGGATGTGACTAGCGGAAACATGCAAGACTCGCGTACCTCGATCTTATCTGCGGCGTTGCTAGCAGAGCTAGGAGATGATCAGTCGGGCAGTGCTCAGATAGGATTAGCGGATGCGCCGGCGTGGTTGAAGGCAGTGCCGGCAGGCATTGTAGCCTCGTTCGCTTCCGATGCCACAGCTGCATCGCTGTTTGATGCCGTCCTAAACATCATACGAAAACGGTTCTCGAGCTTCATTCTCACGCCCCTCGAGCAAATCGACAACAGCAGGCCGCTGGCACAATTCGGCATGGACAGCATGATCGGGGCGGAATTCCGAACTTGGATCTGGGGCACATTCAAAGTCGACATCCCTTTCCTCGACCTCCTCAGCAACCAAAAATCGCTAACGAACATAGCTGAGACTGTCGGAGCGAAAATCGGCGAGTCGTAGATTAGACACCGAGCATTGGCGTGCCCTCAGACAGTTCAGATGTAATTCCGAAATGTCTAGAATAGAGAGGGCAAGGCGCACTCCGGCCAAATTCGAGTCGAGTGCAAATATTAGATCCCTTCGTCATTCTCTCTTCTTCGGTTCGCGTTGGTGACGGAATCTTCCGAGGGCATTCATTCATGTTCGTATACATATAACGAACACGTAAAGGTTTCAATCTGCGAGACCTGCGCATCGAACGAGTGATGGGTTTGGCCTCATAGGAATTGATGGCTCGACTTGCAAAGGGACACAGTTGTTGTCTGTCAGTTAGGATGCAAAAAGACCGAGTTGCAAAGGGGGAAATTACTGAGAGGGGCGTGTTACTAATCAGGCCAAGATATCTACGTACAGGTGCTTATGTCAGCAGAATATCAGATCTTATCTTATCACCTATACCTGGATCTATTCCGGAAAAGGCAGGTACCCCTCCTCCTTTTTGACCCCTCCCCCTTTTTTATCCTTCCCCCTTTTCACACAGATTCTTTAATATTAAATCTGAGACTATTTTTCTGAGACAACCAATCAATGGGGCATGGTGTTGAAGTCATATTGGTAACAAAAGCAGAATATATCTAGTCTGGACGTCTAAGTCTACAAAGCCAACTGAATTCTACACGGAGTCAATACAAATTCCCGACTCCTCTAATCATACACCGCCTTCTGCCTTTTCGAGCAACCACTGTGCAGAGAAATCATCGGCTCTATTCTCGAGCCCCCAACTCTGCGCCCGAACCAGGCTAGCACGATACCCTCTACGGGTACCTCGTCGGGAGGGGGTTGTTGAAGGCGAAGACGTTCTTGGGGTCGTACTGGGCCTTAAGCTTCGCCAGGCGAGGCAGCTTGTTGGCCCCATAGATCTGCTCCAGCGTCTCGTCTCCGTGCGCGTAGTTAACGTACACAGACAGGCCCGAGTACCCGGAGACGGCCGCGAAGTCCTGGCGAAGCTCGCGGCCGAGCGCGTTGCCCGGCTCGTCGGAGCTGCTCCCCGCTTCGTCCAAGAGGATCTGGATGAGCCTACATGTCGCACAGATGGGTCAGCTATCACGTTTTATGTCCCAACATATGAATCACAAATCGGCGGGGAGAATATTCGTTGGGGTAATGGGGGGCCCTCGTGTGACACGTACAGGTAAGTGGCTGTGTCTCTCCAGGGGTACGCCGTAGCGTCATCGGGAACGGCGACGGCGGCTTCGTTGGGGAAGCTCTCGAGGAGGACGGAGGAACCCCGCGCGTCGGGATATTGAGCATAGAAGCTGCCCATCTTTCCAAATGCTTGGATGGCGGCAGAGGCCGAGAATCTGCGGAGGTTGGCGGAATAGATGCTGACTACCCTGTCGGGGATGCATGTCTCAGCATCGCCTCCGAAGCCCGCTTCTGTAGTGACACGGTTCCAGGGAATGTTATTGATAGTCAGCACCGACGGCTTGAGCGCTAACACCGGGGCCATTGCGCGCAGTGCTTCCTGTCGGGGCCCGGCGTACACCCAGCTAGCAGAGATTTGGGGCTACACTCGCTGTTAATATTCATACGTCTCACGACACGGTACTCCCCTCGGAAAACGCACCTGGTTAGTAGTACTATTGTAGAGTATCCCTGATGTCGCAGCAAGTTTAGCTGTCAAGGAAGAAGGAGAATTCTTCCGGTTGATCAACGACTCGACGGCATTGAAATAGGAAACGTTCTTCTCGGCCGGGAACATGACGTCGACAGTAGTGAAGCTCTCGATTCGGCGATGGAGCCTGAACGTAGCCGACGTGATGATGCCAAAGTTGGCTCCGGCACCCCGAATTCCCCAAAACAGGTCCGGGTTGGAGCGCTCAGACACATCCAAGACCTTCCCATCGGCGGTAACCAGACGCACGGAGACCAAGGCATCAATGATCAGACCATAGACACCGCCAAGTCGCCCGATACCGCCGCCGATGGTGACGCCAACCATACCAGGACAAGAGCAAGTCCCAGTTTCTGATAAGCGGTCAGTAAGACGAAGCAAGATGTGTTTTAGCAGGTTCTTACGTATTTGATAGCCAGCATTGTATACAATGTCAACGATGTCCCTAAAGCGGACACCTCCGCCGACGGTCAGAAGGTCGGAAGACTTGTCAACGGAAACACCGTCGAGTCGAGAGAGATCGATGGCGAGACCACTGTGAAGGTTTCCTAAGGTCGTTCCATAGCCGTGGCGACCCCCAGTAGCAAGGAGTGGGATTTTGTATGCCGTCGCTAATTTGACCTAGGAATCATTTAGGACACGTCCGCCCATTTTGTCTTTGGCAAACTTACTGCTTCGACCACGTCGGCCTCGGTTTCCGGGCTCACCGCAGCGGCGTACGTTGGTGGTCTGAAGACAGCCCATCTCTCGGTTACATTTTCAAAACTGGCGTCCCCTGGGAAAGACAACGTGGTTCCAGAAGACCAGTCGATGCTGCTGTCGTTGAAAACGGATTGTATATCGGTACGCAAACGGACAGCGGCGGCAAAGCCGCCACTGGCGAGCCCGATGCTAGCGAAAGCAACACTGTTAAGGAAGCGCATCTTGAAGAGACTTTCCTTGATGATGTGAAGGGTGAGCTGGCGTGGTGGGAAGTGAAATCGCCAAGGAGAGTGGGGATGGTATACTTATATAGGCGAGAAAGGACGTTGGAAGCTCACCTTCGTCGCCTTTGTAAGTGGGTAAGTTGGCAGTAAGTGGTGACCCTAGCATCGCCTGATAGTGCATAAGCCTCACTTCCTAGACGGAGTAGGTAATTCTAGCAGTGATCGAATGTTCACTCTCTCCTTGTCATGATGAATGGGTATCTCACTTCGAAGTCATCGGTCCTCGGGCCTCTACTCGGCCTTTGGGGCTGACGCGAGGCCTCTTGATGGCAGCGCATCAGCAACCAGCGGGCGAATTGCGCAATGTGAAGCCAAGGTGTAGTGGGCGCAGGGAGGAAAGAGTCCTCCCATTGTCGACTCGGCGGTCGCTGAGAATCTATATCCGAAGGTGTCTAAATTCGTCGTTACGAATGTGGCATGGGGCTTACTTCGTTGGCGGATTCAGGTCTCCCATAACTAACCTCTTCACATATCTACGGCAAAGACTCATGCAGGATTCCTATGCGAAGCTATTCTGGCGATCTGCTATCCCCGGGAAAGCACTCAAGAGCAGTATTATCCGACAAGGATATGGCATTGGATGGCGATGAACGATATTGTCCGAAGCTGCCGGTAGCTTGATGCGCACATGGCTGCCCTGGAGATGGTATTAGGTATGTTATCATATCAACCAATCTCAGCAGGCTAATATTACCAATGGCTTTCGAAGGAATTTTGGCTACGCCGCATGTTGGCGCTCGGGCTATTTCTCGAATGTCGTTGCTTGGCGCAGCACCGTCCCGGTCATAGGATTTTCTGACATAAGATACTATTCTATGCTATCGTATCCTCGCCTCTGCGGATTCCATCTGATGGTACTGCCCGGTCTGTGAACAGTCGTCTCTGTGTAACTGCATCCGTATGAAGTCAGCCACCACAAAGTCGTAGTCCCTGGGCCTAAACGCCCCGGGGAAAGGAGTCAAGTGACGAACGGCGATAACACGCCATGTCCATCAGAGTCATTTGACCGAACAGTCACGAATTTCACAGCGGCGGTGGCCTTCGAAAGGCCCACCAACTGCTGTCGGATTCTAACCAGTCCTGCGCCGCACAATGAAATTTTCAATGAGGGCGACTCTACGCCAGCAGTGAAGAAATCCGAGGCGTCTTCAATACAGCCGATGGTGTCGTGTCTCCATGCCTTGAGACCGCACCTAGCAGCTCGGAAACTAACTTAGCTTGTACATACCCTGTCTGTCATACCGAGAAGAGGCCTCAGTTGGTACGTGGCGTAGACTAACTACATCCTCTTCGACAAATTGATGCCAGGATGAAGAGCGAATATTAGTCTCAGACGTCCGGTCCTACCCCACACGTGGCGCTTCCAGCTGCTTTTATGACGAACGCGGCATCCAATTACTGCAACAACAAGACGAGCCAGTTTGGCAGGCCTCCATTTACAAACTACATTTTACAGGGGCCGTCGGGAGTTTTTGACGGGTATGTATACTGCTTATCTGTCGGGCTATCCTGTTCGTCTTTAGACAATGATCTATGCGAGGCTGCGTGGTGAGGTAAGTACTGGGTCTAAAACCCCTGGGAGCTGAAGGGCTGAACCTAGCTGTCAGTGGCTATTATTCGTCTCCTCAACAAGGATTATCACCTTGTGGCCCACAGGAGCGCCTTACGCCCTGTCGTCCAGCTACATGTAGGTACTATGTAGCGTTGTCTCGTTCCAGACCAGCTTATGCATGAGGGGTGTGAATATCTGCCAAGACAAAGGACATAAGGGAGTATCCAGGACACGGCCATGGAGTACATTTCGGGTGGCTTCTGCAGGAACATCCAAAGCCCTTGCATAATGCTCATGTGCCAAGTTGACCCCAGTTCCGCGCAACCGGTACAGACGGACCAATGGGGCGATGACAATGATATCTGACATCGATGACATATATCAGCCACCCTCATGCGGGTGAAGGGTCATATGTCGCTACATGGCCGCGTAACTAGAATCTGAGATATAGCCCTATCCCGGAGCAGCCGAGGAGGCAATAACCCCAGCGGATTTCAACGAACGGGTCCCTTTCCATCGCTCCCACATCCTGCCAGACCCCAAATCACTGGGCCGCTTACTTGGCGCACGTGGTCCGCTACCTGGCTGCTCAGGAGCCTGCTCGTCTTACGTCGGCGGCAGGGTGCTAGAGCGCCCACCCCTCCGGCAATCCTACAGGTAGATATGACAGGGGCTCGTAGGCAAATATCAAGCCTCTCGGAAGAGGAAGGTGGGAGACAGGCATAGGATCTGATTCAGGACTAGTATATTCATAGCTCTGAGCCACGACGCCACTTAAGCCCAGCAGGGTCTCGTTTTACACCATATTCGAACTCGTGGACGAGGGTTCATGCAGGCATTACGGTAGTGTTGATGCCGTTCGTAAGTCAAGCATCGTATGTTGGTTACCACAAACGCCTCTGCGTAAGTAGAGTCATTCCGAGCCAATCTCAGTAGCCAACACGAAAGCTCGGTGTCTCTTTAAGCCCTCTAGTAATTCCTCGTACGGGTTTTCGGCGAAGAAGAAGTGGGCGGCAAGGCTCATCCATAGCTCGAGTAATCTCACCATCAGCCGCCATACGCGAATAGCCGTATACGAAAAGCGTCGGCCAAGCCCGGCAGTGTTCGTAGGAGGGATAATACGTCTGCGATTATTATATATAACCTCTTTCGCTATTTGATATCACCATAGCTAGCAACTCATTAAGGATTGCTGCCTTGAATCTCACAAGTGTATTCACAAGATGGTTCGACTCTTTAGCCTCGCGGCTCTCAGCCTTACTCTTCTCCAGTCGCTAGTGACTGCGTCGCCATTTCCTTGCTTGAATGGCCACTGCTCCTATACGCGTGCCAACTTGACTCCGGAGATTGTAGCGCGTGAACTTGGTCCGCAGCTCTCGAGGAATTCCAGCATCTTTGGGCCCGACGATGCTCGCTGGGTTGAAGCTACGACGAGATACCAGGAGTATAACCGACCTCATATCTCTATGGTTGTGGAGCCCGCGCGCGAAGACGACATTCCCAAAATCGTGAGTCGGAGGAAACCCTTGAGTCTATGCAGGCTCCTCGGTTATGATATTCAAAATACTAATGGCTACCAGGTCAAATACGCCAACAAAAACAGCTTGGATTTTCTCACTGTCAACCGTGGACATTCCCTCTCTGGCTTCAATGGGAACTTCTCGGGAATTCAGATCAGCATGGATCTCCTCAGGGATATCACCATCAACAAAGGCGGGAAGACAGCGTGGTTTCAGGGCGGAACCTATGACCAGCAGGTCATAGACGAGCTTTTTGAACAGGGCTATGTTGCCAGTAAGGATGCCCCTTGAAAATACCCGCTTTCTGTTTACGCGGCAGCTGTTAACATTCATAACTTAGCCACTGGAAGCTGCTCCTGTGTGGGCATGATGGGCCCTGGGCTTGGCGGCGGTCATGGCCGCTACCAAGGCCGCTACGGCTTGATTAGCGATAACCTGGTGACTCTGCATGTCGTCTTGGCGGACGGGACTGCCATCACGGTCTCCGAGAAGTCCCACCCCGATCTACTATGGGCTATGAAAGGTGCCGGGCACAACTTCGGTATCGTGACGAGCTTTGAACTCAACATATATCCCAGGCTTGTGGATACATGGTACTATAGAAACTACGTCTGGACACAGGATAAGCTCGAGACGGTATTCGAGGAAATTAACAGATTCCACAACAACGGTACCGAGCCTGTCGACATGGCCTACGAAGTTGGTGTGTACACGATGAATTACAGCGTCAGCAGCACTGAGGTACGTGGAGATGACTCTTCAATGAGCACTCGCAATTTCTGCAATTATGTATATGCCGCTTGCTAACGACTGTGAATTACGTAGGCCGTTATTTGGTGGTCCTTTGCATACTCCGGCTCTCAGGAAGATGCTCAGAAATACCTGACGCCTTTTGACAACATCGAGGCTGTCAGCGTCGAGGACGGTAACGTTCCGTACCCGGAAATCCCCGGGCGCACGGGAAGTGGCCTCGACGATTTCGTCTGCAGCCCTGGTTACGACCACATGGTTGCCCAGGTTGGCACTTTCACTTGGAATGTCACGACCCAGCGACAGGTCTACGATCTTTTCAACCAAAAGATCCAAGAGCAGCCGGCGATGAATAGATCCTCTGTCACTATGGAAGGCTACTCCACGGAGGGTGTTAGGGCAGTTGACGCTAGAACCTCAGGATTCCCTTGGCGCGATGCTTACAACCATTTGGGGTGGGTTTCATGGTCCCCCATCCACTTGTAAAATGTCTACTAATACCGGGTGTTACTCTAGCTTCATCACGATCGCCTACCCGCCCGATGCTTCGTTGGACGAGTTCGCCCTCGAATGGAGGGTTCAGCACCGGGACCTGTGGAACCAAGGCCAGCCCGGGCGCCTCCCCACGACATACGTCAACTATGCCTGGGGCGATGAACCCATCGAATCCGTCTACGGTTACGAGCCTTGGCGGCTGGAGAAGCTTCGCTCGCTTAAGGCCAAGTACGATCCGCACGGCCGATTCAATCACTACAACCCCATCACCAGGGGTTAGCAGCCTGCATACTTGAATGTTCCCCCAGCCTTAGCGTGTTCGCCAAGATGAACAGATCGGGACTGCCATCGCAAAAGCCGTTTTCAAATTTATCATAGACCGTACCAACCATCCCAGGAACCCTATAGAGTGGTGGAAAGAAGGAAATGGTCTTTGTAAAAATATGAGTTTTATTTTAGATAAATAGTACTGACGCGTCACATATTATGGCCGTATGTGCTGTGCATTGATGAAGAATGAAATGATCAGCACTACATTTGCCCTTCGTCCCTTACTATGAATTATATCATCCCAGGGTCCCGTAGAGCGGATATTGTGCCCTTTTCTCATGCTTCTGCGTTCCGGTAATGGCGATCTAGATTCATGTGAGGGATGTGACCGGTTCAAGGCGCTCTGGGCAGCGGCTGACCCCACCAGAGCTGATCCAGTTGGACCGCTAGGCCCCTCGCCACCACCACTGCCACCACCGTCGTCATCCCTATCTATGTCCCTGCCATGTATGCCTGGGTATAGCAGTAGGAACACCGTCGACAAAGAAGCACGGCTTCATCATCCGGCAATAGATTATTTTACTAGATCCTTCTCCCTAGCATCGGCCCAAGAGGCTGAGCTTGGGGTAGACCGAATTTTCTATATAGGTAGACCAACAACGTATTCCAAGGTCGTTTTTAAGGTGTTCGTTTGCGAATATTTGATGCTTCGTCTAGCCGCCTAGTCTTGAATGAGAGCTACGAGAAATATCGGCTTGAAGTAGTAGAGCGCACGAAGGTCATCCCATAAACGTTCGAGAAATATTAGGCCGCCGCCCGACGCCACATAGCCAAACCAGAGGCCCAAGATGACCATGTGGTGGTGGTAATAGTGTACGTCATTATAAACTTCTAGTCGAGATCCGGCATTACGAGTTGGTAGATGGGTTGGAACGTCTGTTCCGTTACTGTACCCTAGCCTAACAGGTCACGTATAGCCCACTAGAGGTTCTAAGATATTGTACAGCGTTGAAATCAAAGAATCATAACTCTTACTACTACTAAGTGGCGGGAGGCTCGGTAGAGGACCTGCGCAATAGAAACATCGCCGGGCACCTTCTTCCGAATCCCGCTGGCGGGGGACGCAGCATCAGCTGTCTTCACAACTTAGTGTTTAGCCGCCCGCGCGAAGAAGTCTTCACCTAGATAGGCAGAAACTACACGGCTGTCAGGTGAAAATGTAGACGGCTACATCTCCCGAATAGGCTATGCAGGCTTAATATAAGGTAGGATTCCTACGTGATAACAGCGTATTTAGTAGTTGCAACAGCTGTAACTGGTTGTGGCCAGCTATTAGGTGGAACCCTGGAAAGAATTGTGAAGGGAAACAAGCAGGAAGCAGGACGAAATAAGTAACCAAGACACAACCGTCCAATTCAGCTCCTATGTGATCTATCGGTAATGATGGAGAAACGACCGTGAAGAAGTGGGTGTAGGACCCTCAACCCCCTGACCTTGTCGCTCTTGGCACACACCCCGTAACAGATCCGCCACAGCCCTATTTGTGGATCAGCACCATAAGCCTCTGAATCCACCCCCTCCGTGTGTGTAGTATATCCATATCTTGGCGCGGTTCTGATCATCGCTACTCTTCGTTTCTTACTGTGTACTTCTGCTTTTATCTCCTTCCGCACGCGTCCAACTGACAACTGGACAGCACTTCTTCTCTCTCCCTTCCCCCATGCACTGCCACGCATTATATCGCCTGAGGATTCCACGCAACACGGCAGTGGGTTGAGTGGACTGGACCAGCTTATCCGAACTCTTACTCGTTCAGTTTCGGTCTTTGGCCGGGTCCGATGTCCTAAGTGCCGGTTACCCGCTCCGCTGAACATCGGCCGAGGAGGTCCGCGATTAGACGCCAAGGCACAGGCGAGTGAGAAAATCAGCGGGTAGTAGGGAAGACCGAGCACAAAGTAGCTCTTGGAGAGTCATTCGCAGGTGGGATACAAGAGTAAGGGATACGAATCTCTGTGTAACGGTGGGATATACTAAGCGCGGGGGCTAACACGTATTCTAAGCCCTAAGACAAGGGTGGAATACCTCTAGGCTCCAAAATAGCGTGGCTGAGAACCTGAACGTTGGCTTAGGACGGAATTCGGAGTTGCTCGGCGGCCTCGCGATAGCGGGCCGCCGTCCCATCTTACGACGTGGCCGAGCGCTAGCCGTACTGGAGGGGGGCCGCGTAAGAAAGTCCTGAGTCCCCGATAAGGAGGGAGAGGCGGGGGAGAGGTGCGCAGCTCCGACAGGATTAATGCCAGCTCGCGCCGATTAGGCACGCCCTGTCCTCGATCAGCTGCCTCCTTGCTAGAGGCGTAGCAGGCTGAAGCTAGCAGGCTGAAGCATTAGAACAGCTATGGTGAGGCACAGCAGGGGCAGAGAGCATCTGGCTGGCTGCACCACGGCATCCCCTGAGTGTGTGAATCGTTAATCCATGATCGACCACGTGGGCGGGTTACATGCCCTGGGAGCCATAGGCGGGCGTTTTCTCTCCGTCAGCTGTTGGCATCGAACCACCTACGTAATCCTTCCTAGCCCGTGTTGCTGACGGGTATTTTTAGTCGGCTGGACGCGCTGAGGCATCGCCGTCTGCCAGGAACCCAGCTTGAGCGCGTAGCCTCCTGGCCCATGCTACCTGTGCGACCTATCCCCTAGGCACCGCCTGCTGAGGCCGCCGCCGTCCGTGGAGGATAGCGATGGCATGAGCCTAAAAGGGGCTTGCTATACCCTACCCGCCAGTATTCCGCCGCCTGTAGGCTCGCGGACAGGCCGGAAATGATTTCGAGCCTCTTTTGTCCTCGAATTCAGGGATCCTATGCCTCTCTTCCCTATCTTGGCTATGTGCGTAATGTTGGTGACTTCGTTGTTGGGACGCCTGAAGCGGCCCACGACGTCTCACACCGTGACAGTCATCTGGCTGTGGCTAAGTGTAAATTCCATTACGGTACGCGAATAACAACCTTTGTGGCGGTGTTCGTAAGCGTAGATATTTCTTGTCGATGACAGCTGATAGTTAAAGAATGACAGTACACCTCCATTACCTAGTGGTGAGCTAGCATACGTAGCATTATCAAATGTAGGATGGGATAGATAATCGAGAAGGAACAGGAACTACACGTCAGGACAACAGACAACCGTGATCTCCTTGCAGGCTTGCCTTGTTCATTTCAGTATGGTGTATACGTTTTTCAGACGAATTCCGTGGTGGTGAAGACAATGACACGAACTGCGTCGCCATGTGGTGGCTGGCCATTGCCGTCGCATCTCCATTCCAATCTGCCAGCTATTATGTACGGGGACCAGAAAGTCCAAAGATGGCCTTGCCTACGACCTGGTACTGATTTGATTCAGCTAGATATCCTCGCACTGCCTCCATTGTTCATGTTATGGAGCCTAGGTAGGCAGGGAAGCCGACAGCTCTACTCTCCTCCTGGAACCGAAGTCTCAATCGTCAGTTCTTGTAAAATAAACTCCGTAGATTTAGCGCGAGTAGGTGTTCTGAACACTGTTCTCTCACGCCAGGTTTCCAGCGATCATGTCGTCTTAGCAAGCTCGGCCTTGACCCAAGCCTCGAGTCCTCCCGCGGCAGACTCTATTCTATCGATCAGCGAGTCGAGCTGCTGTACGAGTCCAGAAAGCTCGTTCTCAGTGGTACGTGCTAGGCCGGTGCCGTACCCTGCGTCCACGCCGGACCAATCTTCAGGCGCCTTGTAGATGCCCGGGCCGGTGATAACGCCGCTGAGAGCGCTGGCAGCCACAACCTCGGGACTCGCGAGGTATGCCTCTGCGTCGCGCGACCCCATGCGCCCCTTGAAGTTGCGATTGCTAGCGCTGATGTGAGTCATTAATATTCAACTTAGATCTATCGTTCTTTTATTAAAACCCTAGCTCTTATTACAGAGTATGGGGATATACTTGAAAAAAATGGCTGTGGCCGTGAAGTTGCTCACTACTGTTATGTCGCGATACGGTCTGATAAAACAGTATGAATAAAACCACCTGTGGGTATTGTGGCTTTGGATAAGGTCTGTATTTAATGTAGATCAGCCTGGAGGCCGATGGATCGACTATCTGTTTGAGAATATTGATCACATGCAGACTTGCCATCGCATACGATGGAATATAATATCGTATTATTCGTGGCTGAGGCACAGCAGTGGCAACGAACCCTGAATATAGTCTGACCTTCAACTTCGCAGTAAGCCTGGTATCCCAGGGGTCCTACGTAGCCGTTCTATGCCACGGAAGCGCCGTTGCAAGCGCCCCGCCGACTTACTAGGCAGGCGAGTCACTTGACCGCAGCATCACAAGGTCTGGTTCGTACGGTCACATAGAAGAGGCAGGAGGGGGCCCCCTAGTGAGACAAAGTAGCACGTTGGTAGAATGTTTCATATAAACTACATAATAAAGTCGAACCACTCGTTTAAAAGGGGCACCGAAGAATATCATATAACAGAGTAGACGCGCCTTCGCACAGAGTATCCCTCTTGAACGACATCGGGTTCAGAAGGCACGTCAACGAAATATTTGGACCGTACCAACTCACCAGATCGATTACAGCTTATCCCACATGATGCATTTTCTGAGGACTGCCCCGGTGCTGGCGGCTCTTGCTGCAACCGTTTCCTCGGCCCCTTCAGGGGCGGGTCCCATCCCAGGGAATCTATCCTTCTACACTCCTTCATGGCCGGACTGGGATCAGTATGTGACTCGATGGTCGGCCTACGAAGCGCCCACTTTCTCTCTCGCATTCTTGCCCAACTCTGAAGAAGAGCTGTCTCAAGGCGTTCGTACCCACCCCTATCTTCTCCGGGTTACTCTTGTGGATACAATACTTACGAGACTTGTTTATCCGATCAGATAGCGTACCTAGCGAGAAGAAAGATGACGTATCTGGCAAAAGGAGGCGGCCATGGTTACAGCACTACGCTCGGAGTGGACCAGGATGTTGTCCAGGTTAACATGGAGAACTTTCGAAACGTCACTGTCCATCCCGACAATACCGTCACTGTTGGAGGTGGTGCCAGGATGCTCGACGTTGTAACTGCCTTGTATAATGCGGGCAGAGAAGTTAGTAAGTCAAAGCGCATTCGTTTCTCTCTTTCATATATAATACTAACCATAGGCTTCCCAGCTGTTGGATCCTACCCCTGTGTTGGTGCTACCGGTGCCATGTTAGGTGGTGGGTTAGGCCGACTCCAAGGCCTGCACGGACTGATGATCGACTCCCTGGAGCATGCCAGAATTGCTCTGTGGAACGGCACCATCATTGAGGCCTCAGAAAAAGTCAACTCGGACTTATTCTGGGGGCTGCGCGGGGCCGGCCATAACTTCGGTGTCGTCACCGAGTCTACGTATAGGACGTATCCTGGACAAGACAATCGCCACTACTATGCCGACATGGTATTCACCAGCGACTCGCTCGAGGGCGTGCTCAACGTTTACAAGGGCCTCATCGAGGAAGGCTTAGACGCGGCCGCGTCCCTTGCGCTGTCTTACCTATACGACGCCCAATCTATGAGTGTAAGTAGAATCCACCCTCGGCCTCACGAGAAGCGTCATTCCAACCTCCGGGCGGCGTTTGTTTCTCAAAGCACAGGACTAACCGCTTCTTCCGCGGCGCAGCCCCTCATCAACATGAACGTCGTCTACGCGCACAACGAGCAGAACGGCCGCGCCCTGTCTGCCAACTTCGCGTCGACCACAGGAAACGCCACGCACCCCATCACGCGCGTGTCGCTGGACGAGTCGTACATAACCTTCGCGGAGGTGCCCACGCGGGGGTCTAGCGACATCATCTGCCAGCGCGGGCACAACCAGGACATCCACCCGGTGACGGCGCGCGAGTTTTTCGACATCGGCGCGATGGTGGACCTGTACGCGTCGTTCGGGTCCTTCGTCCGGGAGCACCCGGCTGCCAACGGCTCCGTGCTGCTATTCGAGGCCGCCAACCCCCAGACCGTCGACGCCGTCCCCGACGCGGCTACCGCCTTCCCTCTCCGTGGCCGCTATATCCTCTCCAGCGTCATGTCCATGACCTGGGACGGTGACGACGAGACCGAGGCCATCAATGCCTGGGCCACCGCGGCTCGAGACACCCTCGCTAAGCCTGAGGTGTCCGGCAGCGATAGGCTTTACATCTACATGAACTATGCGAACGGCGACGAGTCGCTCTCCGCCCGTTACGGATACGACAAGTGGCGCCACGAGCGGTTGACTGGGCTCAAGCAGCGCTATGACCCCCACGGCTTTTTCAACGCCTACCACGCCATCCCGCTTAAGATGAGCGGTTGGAATTAGCAAAGGCATCCGGTCATGGAAAGGCGACGAAGGGAGTGGAAGTAGGGGTGGAGTGTTTAGACTGCCGGAATCGATTGTACAACTGTTCGTTTCTGTGGTAGTATCACTACTACTGATTTGTATTACTCGGCGAATGATTCAGGCTCTTAGCAATAAGCAGCCTCTGTTTTGATTATCATAGACCTGTTTTTATTGTATCATAGCTACTACCTAAATAAACACAATTAGAAAGGACATTTCTCCAGTGCAATTTAGAGTCTCCCTCTCGGGCCGAAATAATAATGGGAGAATGGCATCGAGGGCTAAGAGGCTCACTAGCGCGCTCCCCTTACGATATAAGACAGGGCCGTAGGAAAACATAAATTGTCATGCTTCTCCATTTATTAATAGCTACATATCTATTTTTCTACACGACAGGGAACTTGCTAGCATTTATAGGGGCGGCGTCACCTTTCCCGGTGCGCTACCGCCAACTACGGGGGTGGTCGAGTGGAGTGTCAAAACAGATGATAGGGGACACAGGCAAAGACAGTGGAACGGTGTTGGCACAACGTGGAGAGGAAGCACGCACGCCACTGAGAGAGGTGGTCAGGCGGACTTTTGGTGACCTCATACTTCACGCAGGAGCTACGGCGCGACGAGTCTAGCAACATCGAGATTCGTAAAGAAGCTGTTGGGGGTTATCATACCAGCCTCACATCCTGAGGCGATGGGCAGGTGGACAGCGGACTTGGAGGCCAAATGACTTGGCCACCGGATTTACAGTTATACTGTCCAATAACAGTCCGCACGCCTTCGTCTCGCGGTTGGGGGTTGGCGTTACCCGCCTGACCCGCAACGCGCTGTCCTATCTGTCCCCGATGTTGTACGGGTTAATAGGACGAGATCCTGCGGCGGTGATGTTATCTATGAGTGCACGTATAGAGAAGGCCATATGCACCAAGACATATACTGGAAGATGCAGTATCTGCCTAACGCGTTAGAAAGGTACTTTACAGTTAAACGGGAGCATGACTGTCTCGCTCCGACCGCGACCGACGTCTTATTGGGAGATGTGGTGAGCCAGTGTCTCAATATGTGGCTACACAGCCACCACACAAACGGGAATCGCCGACTTATGGATGGATATGCCTCAGGCCATGGTGCTTACCCGTAGCTGTCGTTCGTCGGGCGTACTTACAACCTACACCAGAGGGCCGTTCTCAGTTGGCATCGGTAAGCCGCTACGTCAGCAAGACTCTCGCCACCCAAGACTGTCATTCGGGCCTGTTCGGCTCGGCTCTCATACCCTCCCAGCTATACTAGTACAAGGGCTGGGCCGCTCGTCACTTTACGGGCTATCTAGGTCCAATGGGGCCGATATAAAAGGCCGAGGAGTCCTACCCGCCCAACTGACTACTACTCCCCGCCACAACTCGAGCGGACTCAGTGCGAGAATAAGGGCCAACACGCCTACACGGAGTGTGTGTGCCGTCTATCTCGCGCTATTGGGTGGTCAGCAATCGTTCTCGTGTAGGTTGCGCTATCTGCTGCGTCGCCGGAGGAACCGCCGTGCCCTACTCGCTCTACTCGCGCGCATAATATCTATTTGACAGCGCAATGCTTCTTTCCCGTCTCCGGCCGTGTTTTATGAGTCTAGCTCCGCATGGTGTATTAGCAACCGCTGGCTCCTAACATGTCGCAAGCCGACCTCTCATTCCTCTCTCCGGCAGAGCAGGCTAATATCCTTGACCAGCCTAGCATCCCCCCGCCTCCCGGTGTCGAATCCAACCTCGACAACCCTCCGAATGGCGACACCCTCACCCGTGTGGTAGTCGGCGTAGCTCTCGCCATATGTTTGGTCCTGGTCCTGTTTCGCCTGGCTGACCTCTGGACAAACTCGAGGAAATTTGGATTGAATGATTGTGGGTCATTCTCTAGACACGAAGCCGTGGCGGCCATCGCGATGCGATAAGAAGCTGATGATTTGCATGTCGCTAGTTTTGCTCATGATTTCATTCGTAAATCAACCCGCGAAAAGAATGCCGTCGCCGGCTGCGGTATGTAATAAACCGTACTGATAATCCGTCCAGGCTAGCTATGTGGCATATAGCTACTTCGTCCTCGATTCCACCAACAAGGTTGGCTATCTACTCCATCAGTGGGATGTCAGCGCGAGGGACATGATGTACCTATCTCGGGTAGGCCTTATTACTATATACTACACGTGTAGAGGATCGAAACTGACCGTCCTGGGCAGAACTTCATCATTGGATCAGACCTATTTGCTCTCTCGACGCTGACCATCAAGCTTGCTATTATCCTCGAATGGCTACGCATTTTCAACCCGACCGGTGCTCGCAATAAATTCTACTGGATAACCCTGGGTGTTCTATCGTTGCATCTTGTCTTTCACATTACGGCTCTTGTCGTGTACAATGTGTCCTGCCAGCCTTACGAGAAGAACTGGAACCCATTTATACCCGGGTCCTGCTTCGACAACCGATCGATCTATGTTATCTCTACCGTGGTCTTCCTCGTCATCGACGTATGCATTCTTCTTCTCCCTCAAAGAGCCATATGGGGGCTACAAATGCCCACGAGAAAGAAGCTAGGTGTGGCTAGCATGTTTATGGTAGGCGTATTGTGAGCTATCTACCCCAGCCCCTACTCGCTTTCTGGTGCATACGCTGATAGCAAGCACGACATTAGGGCTATCGCTTCAGTTGTCGCCAGGCTGGTTCTATCTGTCCAGTTGTACACCTCGACGGATCTTCTATATACCTTTAGTTCCTTGGGGATATTGGTTGTTGCCGAGATGGTCTGCGGGATCATCATTCTCTGCGCACTCTCCGTGCCGAAAATGTTCGGTCTCCTCCGTCTTCGTATAATAGGTCTCTGGAGCAATCACCGGGGCTCCTCGAGACAGGATAGAGTACAGGCCGGCAAGAGAACGGGTGCGGGTTACGACAATCCATACTTTCGATATTACAACCAGGATATCGAACCATTGGGATCTTACCGTTTGCACACGTTGGAATCTGCGAGGAGTGTCGACTACGATTCTCCTTCGAACCCGGGATCGCAGTCACATTCCCATGACGACAACTTGGTGACGCAGCGCACGACCGACTTCACCGCTGTTTCAGTCCAAGGCAACGATCATCCCGCCATCGATACGGCCCAACTCAATCACAAGCATCCAACGAATTCAAGACTTGTTTCGTAGGGAGTTCCATATCGGGATGTGCTAGTACCTATTATCGGATAACCCAGCATGTGGGAATACTAGCCTCCGTAGTGGAGTAATACGGTGGTACGCACTGTTCAATCAAGCTGCGAGATAAATAGAAGATATATCGCGATAAAAGCGACACTTGCTTTAGATATTCCAACCATAACTTAGGTGGCCGTTTCTGTCAAAAGACAACCGGTAGCCGTGTATATATATACACTCGGGAGTGGTACTGGTGGTGGGTGGTGGTGTCGAACGCCTGGGCAATGCCGCAAAAGCAGTTATTCCTTAGAAGATTAGTGAATTAGTGGGCGGTATTAGTGAGTGTTATAGCGCCCTTAGCGGACATGATAGCCCAAAAGGCTAGTCAGGAGGGGCAAGCTAAGCCTCGCCATCAATGGCCTTAAGCCTAGCATAGCAATGCACCCTAGGTAATAACCCCTTGTTCATCAAATCCTTTCCCAGAACAGCTTCACGCGAATGCCTGTCATCGCGTCGTAGTATAAATCCAAGTACGCGTTTCTGATCGAATGATACTCTCCAGACGGCAGAATCTGATGAAATATTACACTAGATGCCGCGATGGTATATCTCTGATTTTATTATTTGATGCCGTCGGCGCGCTGGCTTCTGCCGAACTCCAGAGGGTGGGTAAGGTGTGCTATTACGCAGCATCTATCTACCCGTCCAGCTCCGTTACTCAAGCCCGTGTCCGGCGCATACGCTGCTTGGAGGGTTTTCCGGGTCGCCATGCTGCACGCGGACAGCATAAACCAGCTGCTCGCTCTTCGCAGCGAAAAATTGATGGGCCTCAAGTTGATGGCACGTTGGTGCGTGATCTCAGGGTATGATTCTAGATGTCGTAAAGCTTTTTTCGTTATCATATTATGAAGGGATTTTCATATCTGTGGGGGATCTTGTGCCGCCGCTTTCTCGTCGGCTCTATCTCTAGAAGTCTAGTCTCATTGATAGACACGAGACTTGTAAATCCGCCATGTTTAGGAAAACTAGCTTCGCTAGATAGATCTCCAGTAGTGACCCGTCCGTCAAACGCTCGTTCCCTCTAAAGAGCGGCGAGCACAAACAGATGGCTACGACCGCAGTTCACAGAGGCACCAGGATCCCAACGTCTGGATATGCCTAGAGCCGAAGGGTCGATGCATCGTATGAAGGTCACGTTGCGAACGACTGCGACCACTCGAATATCAACAGAATCGTCGAAAATATCAGACGCCTTATCTACCTGAAATGTCTCCGCAGTTAAACGACAGCGTGTTTCAGTGGCTGCCTTGTTCTTTCAACTATTTTGTTCTAGTTCATTCATTCTGTGGCTTATTTTAGCAACGCAGATTCTTATTCAGTAGCGTCCAGCGCGGGGGGCTCATCTCAGTCCGAATCCCTACGAGATCCTGTAGCCTAGCCCAAGACTCTAGGGATGAGATCCTTAAATCCTCTCCTCGAGCCGACCGTGCCGCTGCTGCGAGTGGGGACGGCGATCTCGCCAAGGTCAGCTAAAACAAGGCATCAAGATGCGCCACGAGAGAGATATAAAACGATCGACATGGACGGAATGGCTTCGACTCGGGGACTAGAACACTTTGGAACTACTGAGAAACGACTTTTCGTTTTTGAGTATCAGCCACTAACATCAAACATGCTTCTCAAGACCGTTGCCGCCGTGGCATCACTTATGATAGCCACGGTGTGCGGCAAGGTTGTGAGGTATCCACGTCCGTCCATTTACCAGAAGTCGGCGCACTTCGGTTTGAAGGTAGACGGCACCGACATGTACACGGTCAGCTACGCGCGCTACGACTACGTCCAACTCTCGATGGAGGAGGGCAAGCCCACGGAATTCCGGATCCGCACGCTCGACAAGAAGCCCATTACCTCCTTCAGAATCACCCCGCAGAAGCTGCCCATCAGCGCGAAAGCCCAGGGCAACGAGCTCGTGTTCTCGGTCAAGAAGGCGCATTACCTCATCGTCAAGATCAACGACAAGAAGGAATTCGTCATATTGGCCGACCCCCTGGAGAAAGACGTGCCTAGCCCGTCGGGGAAGAACGTCTTCAACGTGCTCAACTTCGGCGCCGACGCCACCGGGGCCACGGTCACCAAGGGTATCCAGGCGGCCATGGACGCGGCGGCGAAGACGCCGGGCAGCGTCGTCTACGTCCCGCCGGGCCTCTACAGCATGGGGAACCTCCTCCTGCGCAACCGCACGTCGCTGTATCTCGCGGGCGGGTCGGTGCTGCGCTTCACGGGAAATCCGGCGGACTACAAGACCCTGTTCAAGAAGTCGGACCTGCACCCGGGCACGTGGTGGATCCAGACGGAGTTCGACTCGTTCGACATCAAGGTGTACGGGCGCGGGACGATCGACGGCAACGGGCGGGCGACGCGCGAGAACAAGTACATGGCGGACCTGCTGGTGCCGGCGGGGACGACCAACTTCCGGTGCGACGGGGTGCTGGTGCGGGACAGCTCGTTCTGGGCGGTGACGCCGATCCAGGTGACGGAGGCGACGATCACGAACATCAAGATCCTCAACCGGTTCGACGTGACGCAGGACGACGGGATCGACGTGATCGAGTCGACCAAGGTGCGGGTGCGGCGGGCGATCGCGATCGGCAAGGACGACAGCTTCTCGACCAAGACGTGGCCGGCGGACACGGGCACGACGGTGCCGTACCCGTACGCGCCGCGGGCGCAGCGCGACGTCTTCTTCGACGACTGCGTCGCGTGGTCGGACACGTACGGGTACAAGCTGGGGCAGGGCGTGCACGAGGACCAGGAGGCGATCACGTTCCAGAACGGGGTGGTGTACGACGCCGCGGTCGGCTTCGGCATCGACCACAAGTTCGGCTCGGCGACGGCGCGCCGCATCGCCTTCAAGAACATGGACGTCGAGCGCCTCCACGGCAACGCCCACGGCCAGGCCGCCTGGATGACCGTCTACGTCCAGAACACCGGCCGCGGCGTCGGCCCCGTCCGCGACGTCTGGGTCAAGAACGTCCGCGCCCGCGCCCGCGGCTCCCGCCCCGCCTTCCTCCAGGGCTACAACGCCTCCGCCATGGTCAGCGGCGTCACCCTCACCAACATCCGCATGGGCGCCGACGGCAAGCGCGCCACCTCGCTGAAGGAGATGAACATCCTCGAGACCAACTTCTCTGAGAACATCAAGGTCGTCAACTGAGGTGGGCGGGTCTGGGTACCCGGGGGGTTTCTCCGCATGCTTCGAGAGAATGAACCCTAGGTTGGGTTGTTGACCGAAGGGGGAGGGGAAGAAAAAAAAAAAGGGTGTTATTTTTGCTGTGTCTTGTACATACTTTGTTACTAACCTTGTATTGATCTCATCTTCTCATCTTGGCTGCATATGCCACGCTGTGGCTCGAACCACCCGATTCTTGGCCCTACATTCGGTGCAGGTACATACTCATAGATAAACCTCCCTCCAGGAGGTACCTAGTGCGGTGTCCATGGTAGTAGGCCTTTCGTAGCATTCCGTTTTTGATATTCCTTATGCTCATTGTCGGTTCCATGTATTCTGGTCGTTTGGCCATTCGTAGCCGTGCCTCCTTGTTTCGGGGGCATCAATATCGCGAACCTGGCCACCGCCAGGTAGGTACTTAATCGCGGTAATTAGGATTGAGGCGGAGCCTGGTCCTAGGGACGATCGACTTATTTATGAGACCGATTCTTCTACCTACTACTATACGTATAGTAGTATGCGTTGCCGAGACGAACCGGGACGGGGACTCATGTGGTGCCCAGTTCTATGTAGAGCCAGGCATTCCAACCCGACTTGCATCGTGGCTGGGTCAGACCAAGACATGTCCAAGCGCCGAAACAGTGGGGGGTAGGAGGTAATACCGTATTATTCACTCCTAGCTGAGACAACGTTGGCTGCCTTCGAAGGCTCCGCAGGAGTAGTCGTGCCACGACCCCCGAAAGCAGGCGACGGGGATCCGGGAAGACAGCTGCTGCCTAAAAGTGAGGTTGGAGGGGCGCATCTTCTACGCGTTGGGTATACTAATACCAATCAAGGTTGATGGAACGAAAAACAATTTGTAGGAATCATTGACAGGATATGTCTAGAGAATTGCGGATTGCATCGACGGTTTGCCGCCTTCGTGGTTCATATCTGGTGAACTCGTTCGATATGACTTTATGTGCCCGGTGCTCCGTGGACACAAAGATCCGAACAGGAGAGGGGGGGGGGGAACGACATGGAGAACGGCGGTATGGTCGCGCTACGAAATTTGGATCGGCTTGATTAATGGACACGCTCCTAGAGGGCACGCACAGGTACGGGTGACGACGGTATTATACATACCTACTTACGGTTGGTATTAAACGGGAGTGATCCCTCCAGGCGCTGGGGTTTCTTGTCAGACGCGGTCCGCAAACCCTCCCCCAAACTGCCAATTGAAGAGTTCAAGCTGGTGACACTTTGGTGCTACTATCTCCTGAGGTTCCGCTGTCGCGGTAACCAGTGGGTCTCACACAAGTCGAGTACGGTGGCTTTCGCCAGAATGAACATATGCGTATACGCGTAATGGCCCGGGACCGATCTCCTAGGCCCTCCTCGACCGATCGGATCCGATGGATACCGAGATCTGGTTGGTCTTCTCAGCAACCCACTCCAAACTGGCCAGCAGCAAAACATATCGATGCCGCAATGCTGGTTAGGGCTTCGTGTTCGTATGTAGGTACGGGCCGGTATCTCAGCCGTCGGTGTGGTTGTGGTTTTCTGGGCCACCTGGGCAGCGGCTTCAATACAATAGGTATTGGGTGTATCGACATGTCGGTGAGGCTCAACTGAGTGTCGATATCAGGTACGCGTCCGTGCGGGTGGTGTGTTTTTCGCGATGCGACTCGTCGTACGTTGAGAGGAAGGGGTAACAGGCAACGAGCAAGGTGTGTGTGTACTTCGAGCTTGTTGGCAGCTCCAGCGTTACCAGGCCTGCGGGGATAACCACGCGACGGCACGTCGCTATCTCGTCTCGAACCAGCACAGCGCCTATCTTTCGCGGTAACTCTGGTTCCAACTGCAGAGATGACAGGGACTAATGTTGGTAGGGAGGCAGGTTCGGTAGATATATTGCAGAGTCTCGTCCAGTGATATATCGCATCCATATGCCCCTCTCAAAAAAACCCTCCGACTATCCTTGTTCCTTGCTACGTGCCACGACCAACCGATTTCTCGCGGTTATAGCGACGCTGGACACACTAACCGGCCTTCTAATGTGCCCTCCACTTCGTCCACCTTGACAGGCTCTAGTGCCTACCTACGCATCCGATTCTCGTCACGTACTCGAGTACCTTCTCTTGGCAGAAGGGATAAGAGAGGGGCAGGCCCATGTGCAACGCGGGGCAATCCTGGGTCTGTCTTGGGTGGAAGTTGACGATGTAAAAAGTTGAGGTCCTCAAATATGCGTTGAGACGTGTCCTCGTTTCTCTCGCAGGTTCGTGGCTAAGGCGCATATGCTCTTGGTAATAGAGCCTGAGCCGGAAATTCACTGCGATGTCTTGACCATCTTACCTGCCTTACCGCCTCGACAAGCAGTGTAGGTATCTGTCATGTCGCATCGCTAGATGGCCAGCCTGGCATGCATATGGCCTCGACGATTTAGCTGTTTCTCAGACTAGCCCCGACCGAGGCTGCAGCGACCCGAACTAAGGAACGCAAGCCGCTTTTCGACGGTTCCCCTGGGCACTCTAGAGGTCGGTTCCTAGGGTTAGAGAGACCCCTGCAGACTTCGGCGGCGAATCAACACCCCCGGCTGGTACGGGTTTCGGTCCGCTACGAACTAATAGTCGACATATCATCAAGTGAGTGGAGATTTGTATTGTAGGAGACGCCTTGCTCCTTAACCACGACGAGGTTGACCGCCAGAATCATGATAAGTAAACATCAAAACACTGCAAGGAACCGTTCTACACTCTTCAGATTGGAAACCACGGACACAAGCTCCTTGTGGCGCACTGAAATTAATGTGACGGTTCTGCTGATTCCCTGTAGAGTTCGCTCGGGGGGTTGTTGGAGCTGTGATGTCTTCGCGTGTCTAGTCTAGGTAGAGAGTGCCGCCTTGCTGTGTGCCAAAAAGAAAAATCCCCAGATAATATCAGGCTCCCTTTCCACGCATCCTTAAGCACCTAACCCGTCCTGATCCCGCGCTTCCAAACCAATCTTCCTCGTCCTAAGCCTGCGGTGCCGGTTGGGCAGCGGCCAGAATCTTAGGCAGCCATTCGGCAGTGTACGCGCTGTCGGCGAACTCGATCAGATCATCGACCGTCTTGCCGTCTTCGCTGACCGTCACGATCCAGATGTACTCGTTCTGGTACACGCCGGCTTTCATCTCCGAGTACGACTCGAGGTGCATCGTCACCTTGCGCGTGACGACGTCGACGGCCGGTTCCTCTCCCTCGATGATGGAGAGCCGGAATGCCGAGGCTTGGGCCTGTATCATCTTCACCATCGCTGATAGGTAGGGCGGACCCTGTACCGGCTGCTTCAGGCTCGCGGGGAGGAGGCGGATCCTGCAGTTGGGACTACAGTAGCGCACGATTTCCACTTCGCTGAATTCGTTGAAAGACTGTAGGAAGAGCTTTGCAGTCTCCAGGATCTGCTCTCGCGTGGGCGACATTGCGATTCTGCGCGGCTTGTGTCTTAATTTTGTAGGTAGGTCGTGTAATATGACGATTGCTTTCCGTTTGGCTTGTTGGTGTGTCCGCTGTCGACTTCATGCATCGGTGACCAGGCAGAGTGGCACTCTTTATAGCCGCGTCCTCTTCTCATTCAGCTTGCTGCGAGTTATAATTGCGCGTCGATATACCTACCTAGATACATGGATCAGAACATCCTCTCTGTCTTATTCTAGTAGTAATGGGCCCGCTCTTACCACGTAATGCAGACTGCCCACTTGAAGCACCATATCAAGTTAAGCACATGCGATGCCCTGACGCTCCCGCCGGTTGAGCCAGCTCTTCTCCAGAGCTGCTGGGCTAGCGGATCCTCTGGCTAAGTTCCTTTCCAGGTTGACGGCACAGAAAGCCACGCGGGGGAGAAAATAGGGATAATCCCTGGTGCTTGGCAGCACACATGCATCCTATAGCTCGGGTGTAATCTAATAGTCTTGCGCCCCCGCAAATGCGGGTTGACCCAAGGCGCTCCCATCACTTTGTCCCTCTGCGCAGACAGACACTATCACATATTCTTCCGACGCATACCGACGTGCTCTTCTTAGTGTTCGACATTTATCCCTGCCGGTCCGTAGTCGCTGAGGAAATTTTTAACGATTAACTACCTACGCGCCAACTCGGTTTTCGTCGGTGGATTCGTCGAACTTGTCCTACACTCAGTCGTCTCACTGGAGGCGAGTTGGGTTCATCAGGCGTCCCTCATCTTATCGATTCGACTCACCGAACGTAATCTCGGTCCCTGCCGAAGCCGACCATTGCTAGCTGTACGGTTGGTCGTGGACAGTAATATATGAGAGGGTAGGAAAGGGCCAGCAGGTTCAATAAACGAAAGGACGCTTATAGCTAAGTGTCTAGCGGTGTGCTCTATCAAGTCTGCTTCGAAACACATCATCTGATGCATCCATATCCCACACTTCGGCGTCAAGAGATAAACTCCGATATCCTGGTTGTGTTGATTCATCTATCCCCTATTATCAAGTAGTCGCGCCATAAACCAGCATATGTCGTTGGAGCGGCTCGTCTGTCCGCCACCCCGCGCCCATTCGCACGTCTGATAGCACCTCGTGGTGGCGCCCGAGGGTTCGCTAGGGTGACCCGGAACGGGCCTTGACGATACTCGCTAAGAGAGACTCTGGGATGGGGTGGTTGAACATCATGGATTCACCATCGCTGGTGTTATCCTGGATCGTCAGTTTGTCAATGTCCCTCCACGTATCCACTTCGGAGACCGGCGAATTGAGCATAAGTGACCTCTGAAGCGACTTGTTCCGCTGGATGATTCTCTCCTTAGGCTCTACCTTTTTCAGCGCCGAATCGGTGGCCACATCGCCGGTGCTGTCGAGAGAGAGAGTAGCAGTGTCTTCGGAAGTTAGGGTGATGGTCCCATCGTCTTGAAAGGTACATCCGTTAGTATGTCTGGTGGGCAGGCAATGCGTCTTGGAGGTAGGGGATCGTACCCATGACTTCGCGGCCCTGAATGACGCCCTGTATACGTGGAATGTTGCTTGTTCCTACGACTGCCCTCATGGAAGCATTCAGATTCTCCAAAGCCTCCTTATTGACCTTTATCAAACCTTCCGAGTTGCGGACCAGGCCGACGTTGTATAGAAGGGTGTAAGATATCAGACGAACCTTGGAATGCCCAAGATCCTGCATGATGTTCTGGAGATTTGCCTTGTCTCCGGGGTCTGAGAACAGCGAGCTGGCGGCGCGCTCGGGAGTCCCTCGTTCCAGTGGCTGTATAGTCGACTGTAGATAACCCTTCAATTTCTTCCCGTGTCTGCCCACATCCTCGATCGCCCTCTGAACGTCTTCTATCTTCAGCGCCTGTTCGGCGCTGATCAGCCCCACCAACCGATTGATGCGGGAGACTTCACGTCCGTGTTGCCTGAGGAGCTGGCACAGATCCTTGTCGCTGCTGAGCGCGCTTATGAGCCGTTCGAGGAGGCCTAGAGATTGCTCTAGTGTAGCTTCGACTGTAGCCACAAGGTTAGACGCCTCCGCCTACGCCGATGTCAGTCTATCACGATACGCGATGTCGGGGCGTCAGACTCACCATCGCACCTATCACCGAAGGGCGGAAGCATTGATTAGAGGGTTGGAGGACAGGTTGATAGCTTTGGGGTCAGCCAAAATAAAAATTTTCGCCGCCTCAAAGATTAGAATGTGGCTGTTTGCATGTGACGGCTGGTGGGAGATTTCGTTGAAGCTAGGAAGACGCAGTTCTTGCGATATTTTACCGCCTTGGGCCAATACGCGATACTCTCGGCCATACTGTTTACAGTCATATACTGGTTAATTTCTTGTTACTCTTTTAGTCCCTCCATGTTGGTTCTTCGTTTTCCTATGGACTGATGTATGGAATCCATCACAATACGAATCAACCCAGCCAAGCATTCAAACCCACAGAATCGCAGGTAAATCTCTCCAATGAACTAGGCATGGCCACTGTCCTCGCCTTCGACCTTTATTTTCTTGCTCGAGGCCATCCTGTTGTCATCGGCGTCCTCGAGGGCCCGCTTCTTTCTAGATGGTGTAGCTTGTTGATCCGCTCCCTCCTTGTTCTCGAACCAACCCATTTTTTTGCATATCTGTCTAAACCTCTCCTTGGCCGACTTGCCGTCTTTCATATCAAGGGGTTTGGCGATACCATCCCAGTCGGTTAGCCGAGGCTTGCTTGTCGCATCGCAATTTTTGAAGATCACGTTGAGAATCTTCAACTCGACGGCAGTAATTTGAGACGCGCCATCGCCTCCGACGCAACCGGAGTCTTTGCGAGATTTACGAGGCATCTAAGAGGATGGATTTATCAGCAACGATAAGCCTGTCGATGAAAAGGAGACAGGGCAACTATGGCAGCCATCCGACTCCAAAACGCACCTTGTTCTGACTCGATGACGGAGACCGATTGAGGTAGCTCACCTGATTGTTATGCTATGCCCGAGTCCTAGGTGGTTCTTTATGTCGTGCGAGTGGTAGTGCTCAACCGATGGAATGTCGGTGATGCCAAGGTTGACGTGTGGAGGCTCCTGTGGAGAGTGGCAAGATGGACGTGATGATGTTGTGTGGTGAAGCGGGAGGATACAAGCTTGAACAGATTCTGATGTTTATAAACTGCGCGCAAAATATGGCTTGTTCCTTCCACGATCACTAGACTCGGTGCGCATACAAATAAGGCGGTTGAGTGGGCGACGATCAAGACGTTTGGGATGATCCCGAGGTGGCTAGGGAACAACATAACATACCAAGTATAGGAAAGACACTAGTAAGGAACATGTAAGACGAGGTATACTGTACACAAGGTTCAAACCTGTGGCTATTCCGCTTCGCTGAATATACTTAATAGTATATGAACTGCAACTTACATCGGAAAAAATATCGATGAGTTGCGATTATCTGGTATAATAGCATCTGACGATCATAGCGTAATAGGTCGATGGCCCCGCACAAGCAATCCAGGATATTTAAGACACTAGCGCGCTTCTTCGCGTCATCTAGGTCCCAGACGAGCGCCATGTCAGGACGTGGTATAGCACCGCAGCCAAGGATAGACGAGTTGTTAAAAGATGGTGGGTAGGTATAGGAGAGAGTCTGGAAGCTTCGAAGCCCGATTAGCTGAATCTCGAAGCAGCTAGGTGCTGAGAATATGATATTACACGCGCGTCATGGTGTCGATGAGCACAGCAAGGAATCTTGAGAGGTTCAAGGCGAAACCCGCGGGCATTATCCTCTGGGTAGTGATAGAAACTTATAAAGACTACGTGTATGGAATGACACATTTCCTGAGTCGTTCAATCCTCTTGCTTAAAAGTATTGTGCGTGTCTGCCAGGCGTCTTCGCCTCCCTCTAACAGTTTCACCTTTTGGAGCCACGACAATCACCCGCATCGTTGCCAGGCAGCGTATTTACGAACGCAATTGTCTCCCCAGAGGACGAAATCGAGAGGCCGATTATTCCTCCAGTCTGCTGGGGCTGGTTAGCGGGTTACACCAGTTCCTGTGTCTTGGTGAGCCAAGATCCACCGAGAAAGACCTGCTGGATCTCCGAGGCAAGGTGTGTCTTCCACATAGCTATGAAATGCAATCCGCGGAAACGCCTATGCTGAAAGTAATATCAGGCCATCTTCATCACGGGGGTGAACGCAGATCTATGGAAGAAGATCGCCTGGATCATCTATTCTCGGAATGCCAAGGTCTACATGATGGCGCGTTCTAAGGCGAGGACCCGAACGGCCATAAATACCATTAGAGTCACGATGCTTAAGTGTAGCGGGGAGTTGATCTTTATATACTTGGGCTTGGCCGGCCTCACCACCATGAAGGTATCGGCGGAAACACTCCTCCAAAGGGAGCAGAGACTCGGCGTGCTCTTCAGTGCGTCGAGTGCCCGGAGAAGGGTTCTAAGACGGCACAGGGCTACGAGCTGCAGTTGGGGGTGAACTGCGTGGGACCGTTCGCACTCACGAAGCTGCTCACGCCAATGCTTATGGCGGCGGCGGCGGCCCCCGGAAACGTGAGGGTGGCGTGGAAGCAGTCAGGGGGAGAATCAGTGATCCTGCGCGACTTCGACGAGCGCCTGCCGGCGATCACGACCAGCGGCGGCACGCTCGACCGCTGCGGCGCTAGCGAGCTTGGAAACTATCCAAAATGATACGAGGCGCTGGCAGATCACTTGCCATTTCCATCGCTGTTGTCCTGTCTTGGACAGCATGTCATACGAATTGACCATATATAGGTGTTGTTTACCGCTCTATGTACTTGGATCTTAGAACATCACAATGACGCTTGTTTTATAGCATAATGCTATGACTAGTAGTATACCGTCAACATCGCAACTAAGGTTATGAGGGGAGTATAAGGATCAGTGGGAGCACGTAAGGGCATTAACTGGTTGGCCCACGAGTCAGGATTTCTTAATGACCTGATTATGGGAGCCAGCTGGTTAACACTAAGTACATGCAGAAATTATTTCAAACCACCGCTCAGTCCTAACGCGCTCATAAAAAACATGACTTAGTTTAACCTTAGCTTTGCCTTGATTCAAGCGATCTGGGGAATCGTATAAATGGCTATATCGAAGCTTCAGAATAACTGGTGAATTAGTCATACGTTAAGCGAGTGAGCAGTGGCTATAGTATTGATAATTTGTCGTTCTAAACAGACGAAATGTTGAATGAGTGAATCCTTAGCTCCACCAACAGCCACCCAAGGATCATTTCCGAGAAGAAACAGGTTGCTGCTAGCTTGAGTGACCACTTTGTTACTCAAGTTATGCTCTTGACCTCGGCAGAGGAAAAGCAGTAATCCATTAATACTCAGAGTTCCCAATCCTGCTTACGCAAGCCAAAGACCGGGATATTGGCCGGGAACCCAACCCAGGAGTCACACCTAGCTCAGCGAAGCCAGTAGTACAGAGCCGCTGCATGTAAAGTTAGCTTGCACAAATGTTCGGAGCTTAGATTTCCGTACCTTGGTCGAGTGGCACTTGCTTCCACGACTTTGTTTCTTGCTCACGCGTCAGCATCCCGAACCTGGACAGCCTCGGAGACCAGACGCCGTAGACGCGTTCGTTCTTAGTGGCGCGGCCATCGACCTCAAGAATCTGGTCTGACACGTATATCTCACCCGTACCAACGCCATCCTCTGTGTCCCCAAGCTTTTCCCTTGCTTTCTGCATGTCTATCTCCGACACCTTGTCCTTGCAAACACGTACGCACCAAAAGGAGTCCTTGGGTTGTAAATGAATCCAGGGATTCTTTCCAAATTCGTACTCCAACTCACTCAGTGGTGTGAATACTGTGCGGTGCTTTGCCGGATCGAAAGTGAAGATGCTAACAAGTGTCTCTTCACCAATATTGCATTTCCCCAATGCCAAAGGCAAGCCGTTCCGGATAGCGTTGTAGATCCAAGCTATAATTGGACGGTCTTCTGCCAATTCACGATTATTCTCGCTTGTGTTCGACATTTCGGTCGGTGGCTCCGACATTCTAAGCAGCGCAATATCGACGCCTTTGGCGTCTGTGTACGTTAAGGCGTATGCCAAGCCGCGCTCTTCTCCTGTTGCATTAATAGCAACGCGCATTCGAGGAGTTGGCTTTTTTGTGAGAAAAGTGTCCTTGGCTATATGTGCTGGCCACCAGCCTTCCCCGTGGAACCATTCTTCCAACTCGCTCATGAAGTAGAATATCTCGTTTGGGGATCTGAATTGACGTCCCATGACTGCCGATACGATGAGCTCCAAAATGTCCCGACGGCCTAACGTCAAAAGCCGGCGAACCAGGAGCTGGAAGAGGAAGAGGAAGAATCTGCTCGCATGCTCTTCTCTGTTCCTTGCTTCACCCGACTGCTCCTGCTTGAGAATATCATCCCTTAGGCAGTCAAGTTCGTGAAAGGGTTCAATGTCCCAGAGTAGACCTTTGACAACAATTTTGCGGTTGAGGACTATGCATTTACTTCCATTCCTGAGTTGACTCCGGAATCGAGTATGTGGAGATTGACCCTGTAATAACATATTTAGGGGGATCTCATCGAATGGTAGCCATGAAGCTAGGTGCCCTGAAGGAAATTCTGTGTCCGTCTTCGAGGAAGCCCTTTGTGCCCATTCGGCCATGGTCCTTTCACCCAATAGAGGACTCAGGTCTCCATTGTATAGCGCCAGGGCAATGATGCAAGTAGAAAATGTGAGATTGGCTTTGGTGGCACTCTCGATATCGATTCGGTAAGGACAGTCGACGAGGTTTCCAATAATAGCGAGTTTGTCGGAAGACAGCGTACATCCTTTACGGATGAGGAGAGTGAAAGCAGCTGGAATTGACATGTTGAATTTACGGACTGTAGAAGGTGTACGTCTTGACTCTCTATTTAAACTACGCAGCGTTAGCTCTAAGAAACTGTGAGCAATTACCTGATCAGATAATTGATATTATGCCTTACCTTCCCATTCTCACCCACCAATGCATGGACTCAATGTTGTCGTCGGTCAGGATGAAGACTATTTCGCTAGGGTCCAGGGTACCAAAGAGGGGGTTGCCTGCAAGATTAGCGGTCATGGCACTATTGATTTTCATGTGAATAAGCTCGACAATTTGGCTGTGGTCCAGCTCCCACGCCCTCCGGACGCTCTGTGTGCGATGCTCGCCCTTGATGTTGTAAGCGGTGGCTTCGAATTCCCAGGCCTCTCCAGACACATCCACACCATCCTCCCAGCCGATCAGATATGCCAAATTGTCAGGTGGCGAGCTAGAAAGCTCTTGTATAGTCCATGCACGAGTGAACCATCTGTCCCCTACAATCCGTTCCCTCAGTTCCTCGTGAACCCCGAATTGGCGGATCCCTGGGATGGCATGCACGTCCTGGAGTGTCTGAACGTGACAATCCATAACCACCAACGTAACAGCGGCATTTCGATACACGAGGTGCATACTCTGAATACCCTTCTGTTTATCTTCTGGGTCATTCTGGTAAATGCACTCCTGGTCGATCCAGATCTTTCTTATGCCCTTGGCCGCTGCAAACTCCAGACCCCGGGACAGAATATCCAATGGTGCTGTGGTTCCTATTGTTTCGTAATTTCCTGGCTGGTTTCTGCAAGGGACTCGTATGCGTCGTCTGACTGGGTTGGCATCATATCGCCAGCGATAGGATATGGCAACATACGGTTCGCTTGTGGTCTGATCCCTATTGTTTTCGATAAGCTCGAAATCGTAATCCGGGTTTTCAGCGGCGACAACAAAGCGCAGATTCTGTGCCCACGATTCAATCGAAGAGGTGGGAAACATGAGCTTCTGGGCTTCCTCAATCTTTTCTAGTAGTTGACCCTCGGCGATGTTTTGCAAAACTTCTAGGGTGTCATCTTTCATATCCATCATAACACCTTTTTTCTTCAATAGCAGCTCCACGACCTCTGTATGCCCATTCCTAAGTGCCCATTGTAGAGCCGTCCCATTTGTACCGTTTGCCCCGACGAAGGCCCCTTTCTCTAACAGCAGTTGCACTACCGCCTTGTGCCCGTTGCACGCTGCAGAGACTAAGGCTGTGTCTCCATCCTTGTCTTCAGCCTCGAGGATGGCCACATTAATCCTGGGGTCCGAAAGCAACAATCGTACTACCGCTTCGTGTCCATGGCCAGCTGCAGCAATCAATGGTGTGACTCCATTTACTTTCATGTCTATGCTAGCGCCGTACTCGAATACTAGCAGATGTGCCACTGCCTCGTGTCCGTACTGAGCCGCATAGTACAGTGCTGTCCCTCCATCTTCATCTTTTCCATCAATTTCTGCCCCCTGCTCCAACAACATCTGCACCACTTCAACGAAGTCGAGAAGGGCGGCGTGCGGAAGTGAAGCCGGGCTATGGATCAGCGTAAACCCCAGCTTACTCAATTGAGCGGCTCGTTCAGGATGGTCACTAGGTGTGGCGGCTATGGCACTGTTGGCTTTGCGTATGGCCTGATCAAGATGGCTCTTGTTGCTTGTGCGGAGGAAAAGGAAAAAGTATATGGAGCTGAGGAACCAGTTTTGTTGTCCATCCTGGAAAGGCTCGTCTTCGTAAACCTGAGCAAGACTCTGCAGCTCTTCCAGACTCGATCCTTGAAGTGTTGTATTCATGTCCACTTGATCCTGAAAGAGACTATCCATCTTAACGGTAGTCGGATCGAATTGTAGATGATACGAAGTGTGTCGGCAGGAATGCCTGAATACCCGTCCGTGGTGTAGGTACCGGTCAGTGACGCAGAGTTAGATGATTTTATCGAAGAGAAATCCTTTCTGTAGAATATTAAGCTTGGAAACCTACGCAACTAAAGCTAATGAGCAAGGGCTGAGCCGAGTCAGGTCACTGTAACTGCCGGCGTATATGAGTTATGATTGAGAAGAGCTCCGCCCAGGACGATATGTAATAACAGACGAGCTCAACAGACTGAAGGGGGATACATGCTGCGGTAAGTTCTTAGGGAACACGGAAGCAAAGGCAGCAAAACAAATTAACAGGGCGAAGAAACTAGGTATCTGTATTAATTGTTACCGAGAAATTATTGGAGAGTTTATGTCACAGGTGGGTGCAGGAAACATTACATTTCTTCCTGTATGAAATTGATATCTTTATGTGCGCTGGGGTGTACCGTAATTGGCTTCCTTCAACGCCTGGGAAGTGTAATATGCATGTCTGCTGGGCGACGTGTAAGGCCTCTTCAACTATGAAGATTCACCATTGGGGCCCAAGCAGGCTACAGCCTTGTTGCATAGCCTTTGAGAGGCTATTAATGGGTAAACTTTGCCAAGTGGCGAATTGACTGGCAAAGGTGGTTCGGTCTCTAGTTTCCATAATGTCGTGACTGAGCCTTACTTGATAGCCTATGGCAATTATTTAACGAGTGAGTCGGGTGTTGATGTGAGAGACATTTTTTCCGCAGAGTAAGATCTTAACACGTGGGATCGAGCGTAGGGATGTCGGTTTTTTTTTTTTTAAAATATACCGCTGATATGTTGGCGCGTGTATTCAATAGCTCCAAGATAGCTACGGTACGCCCACGTTACAGTACCCTTTTCTAAACCGTTTAATAGTTACAGCTCGTAGTCAAGAAGCCCTGTTCTTTCCCTTGGTCAAGATGGCTTTTGACGAGGCTCTCTACGCCTCCTCTTTCTGCTAGCAGGAAACGGCACTGCCGTAGAAATACCAGCGAATCCTATAACGTAGTAGTCAAGGCGTCGCCTCAGACCGGGAGAGCTGTTCTTGGGCGTGTAGATAAGCCTGCTTCGACAGATCTTTAAATCTGGGCCAATGCTACAGACAATATTTCGGCGTACGTGATCGTCTGATTGTTACCCGCAACTGGTCCTTCGAAGCCATCCATAATACTACAACAGTCCTTTTGCGTCCTATGATATTAAACAACAACTGGATGGATGCCAAGGACGTATGCAGTGGTGCCCAACGCAACCATTAAAGCTCCAACTGGTTAGTTACTTTGGGACACAGACTGCCCTCCAGATTTTCAAAGCAGGCTGGCACACCTTGAGACCATTCCAGAATGGGCCTCGATTCCATTCGTCCTCCTACTTTTGTTCATATTTGCTATTTTCTTCGACACAGACCCAACCTCGTCTCTGCTCAGCCTGCCGAGGCGACCTGACTTGTTCTCGCTACCAGTTCCCCGACCCCGACGATTAGGACATCCGCCGCGAATTCCTTCCCGATCTAGTTCGCTAATTCCATGGGAACGAGCAAATAGGCCCCGGGGGCGTGCAGCGGCTGGCCCGCGTCGTTATCTTCGGGCTGGATGCCTAACGATCGTGGCGACTTTCACATCGGCGACTCCACAATCACCCCTACCCTCTCCTCGGCGGATTCAGCCTGACAGAACAGCGCCACGTAGCTAAGGCTATGCGTCGCTCCTAGAGAAGTGTGGAAGCCTCGAGCCTCGCTGAAGTGGCTAAAGAACAGCCGCTGCATTCCTCCCAGAGGCTCGAAGGATACGATGAGTATGTCGGCAGGGGTTTCTAGTCCTACTATTATTATCTGGCTGTCGTTGATGGGAGTGGTGGTGCGCCTAGTGTCACAGCAGATACCGAGAAGAGATAGAAACACCTCCTTCTCGATCTGAGCGAAGCCTCACAAGGCATCGACGCTTCTCTTAAGCGCTGCCGTTTCCGAAACGATACCAACTGCCCGCATTACGCCGAGATCGATAAATATCTCTTCCTGACCGCTATTTGAGCGGTATCAGGCCAATGAGTCCTGAAATGTGCAACCAGATGCATAGTTAGATTGGCCAGGGTTCCCGATGACCCCCGAGATGGGAAACAGGATAATGAAGAAGTCGAATTTTTGGAGGAGAACACGAAGGTTCCGGGAGGCTGCGACCTTCGAGAGGACTGTGGCATCCCATTGCGCACGCGTCATTTTCTCTAGGATCGAGTCCAGTATTCCAGTTAGCGGGCCAGGTTCGACATACGTTGAAAACCATCGCCGCGTTGCCACAGCCCCTAATCGGACATCGTTGCTGCGAACTCTTTAAGGACCCACCGAATCGAATCTAGAGAAGAAACATGGCACTTGGGCGCCTGAATGATACCGTTCTGCTTACACAGTCTCTTGGTAACCTCGGAGGCCTCCTCAGAGGCTACACCGGATCTTGATGAGATTATTAGGCTTTTTGCACCCGTGGTGGGCATCCATTCGACTACGGACCCTCCGACCCCCCTAAGCCCTCCCGCGATGAGATATGAGGCATTCTCGTCGAAGGCCCAGGTTCTACGATGGAGGAGTCGTTTCCTCGTCGTATCCTTTCAGCTGAAATCTAGTGTATAGGTAATACTTGAACTATAGGTAGTCGAAATGTCAACTTGAATTAGAATCATTGCGATATTCTTCCCGCTCTGTAAACACCGGAACGCATCTTAAGGTTTGGGATGGCCGAGAACGCCGTTGCCTAACAACCCCACAACCGTGGTGATCACCGTCCTAGCTAATAAGCTATTCCTGTGAAAAAGCAGGTGTCGAAGATCAACACATGTAAACATCATGTTGTTGGCGAACTGTGCTATCGGAAGTGACGCGTTCACAATCATGCCTTCCTTTCCGACCTCGGTAAATCGGCGGAAAAGAGCTATGCACTCTCAAGATGCGAGCCTTCGCCGACAGCGAGTTCATCGCTACGTCCATGCCATAATACCCACCCGTTACTCGCATGATGCCTTAGGTGAAGGTATTGTTTCCGTTGTAGAAAATTCGATCGGGCTGGATGTTGTATTGGTCCACGAGCACCTGTTTCTTATAGTCATAGCCCACCGTCGCATACATCCTGGTGCCGACGCTCTGAGCGAGCTGGATCGCGAGCTGGTCCGTAGCACCGGACGCTGAGAGGATCGAGATCTTCTCCTCTCTCTGCAACCGGACAATTTCGATTAACGAGTGCCACGTGGTAATCCCTAGATTGATTACGGTGCAGGCTTTCTCGAACGAGTCAGAGTCAAGGAGTTTGACGACGGCTCATTTATTAATACTGCGAGGATACGTCCACGTGGATTTGGGGACACATATGTAGACATAGTCGCCTGGCCGCACCGAGTGACCTGAGACACCTGCCTTACAATTCCGGCGGCATCAGACCCAAATCCCAAATCTTCCGGCCCCTTTACGGCGCTGAGTATCTCGCGGAAGTTGGCTTCCCAAGCCCTGGTCTCAACCTCGATAGGTAATGACCACTTACTCTTGGAATTAAACCCTGGTGGTATAACCCCTCTTGTTGGCGCGGCGCCTTACTATTAGTTCTAGTCTAGCTCTAGCGCTTCAACCGCGCCGGGGTAGCTGTCGAATTCATATAATTGAAGGAACCGAACCACTAAGCCAAAGCACCCAACCGGACCGGGCTCATAACTGTCGCGTAAAACGTAGACGCCTACATTGTACGCCTTGCGTATGTAGGCTTATATGGCTGGTTCAACTGCTACGTGACAATAGGCTATTTAAATAAGGGTATCGCGTAAAAAGGCGCGATCGTAGGTCTTAACGCGGTAGTCTGTAAAGGGGTACTCCGTAGAGGGGTAGCTTAGCTTAATCAAACCCGTCATTCTCCTGTGCCCGGCAGACCACTCTGTCCGCCACGATGGCCAGACCTGACGGATCTGGTTCCGGGTCGGCGGGCCGCTCATCCTCCTCGATAGCATGCTCCATAATTGATTCCGCGATACTACCAGCATCAGGTCCAAGTTCCTGAATAAACCCAAGCAGCATGTTCTTGTTGACTGTTGCGTAAAACGTAGACGCCTACATTTACGCTGTGCGGTATGTAGGCATATAAGGGCTGGTTAAACTGCTACATGACAAATGTCATGATGAAGAAATAGGCCGTTGGCAGGGGAGAAGAGTTCGTCGCGGGAGCCTGAGGTCTCGACGAAGTAGTAGGCGGCCGCGGCGTAATTTCGAAGGTGGGAGTTGAGCGCGGCCAGATCGGCCATGCTCCCTTGGACAGAATGCGTGTGGCTAGCCACGGCGTAACGCCGCTGCACCTTATCCGTAAGAATTTCGTACAGGCGATAAAAGTCTTCCGTGCTATCCAGCGCGGTCCGTACAAGCGGGTTAGTAAACCCCGAGACGGTGTGAAGCGATGCGAAGGAAAGGTCCTTCTCCGGTGATGGTGATGCTTTGGATCCGTCGTCTTCTTGCTGTGTTGTGTCTTGCTCTCACCGTCGTTGTTGTCACCCAGATCGACGTCCGGTCGTGCTCGACTTCTCCGTGCTCGACTTCTCCGTGCCCGACTTCTCCGTGCTCGAGGGCTGCGTCTCGTTCTTCTTGATCCAGTCCTGGACCTCGCCCCGGACCCGTCCCTTGTACACATCGTTATCATCGCAGCGCACGAGCAGGACCTTGAGGTAGGGTGTCCGCCGGAGGCCCGGTATCTGATGCCGCCGTTCCTTACCACTCATCGGTCTCACTGTGGCTGCTGCCCCGACCTCGAGCGTATCGGTGGTGCCGCGGCCAGCCACAGCGGCAGTCTAGAAGCCATCGTCAAGGCCTCCTTCACGCCAGGAGACACAGCACCGGGGGGGAGGAAGAGAGGAACTCGATGTGGAGGGTGCCGACCGGCCGTAAAGGGCCAGAGTGACTCTGCCAATGCAGATGTCGGAGGGGAAGGCGAGGGACTAAGCCTGGTGCCAGGAATTTGTGCAGATCATATGGATCGTAGTACTCGACTGTTCGGTGCCTTCGTCAATCGAGTTCGCCGTGGAAGCCATCTCCGGTAAGGAGAGGGGCTATGCTCAGGCAGAGATTGATCCATACCTGCGACTTTGGGTGTTGAGAAGGACTGTTCCATCGCCGGGGACAATCTGTCATTTGAGCGAAGTACCTGCCTTGTAGTTACCTAGTGACGCTGAGTAAGCCGGCTTCGGCTTCGTATTGGTGCACGTGACTGTACCCTGCACAAGAGGGAAGGCGGTGTGAAATTCTCGTGAATCTAGGTCGAACCATATGGCGAGGTTGGCAGAATAATTTTTTGGTCCCTTCGCCTGATGGCGACATCTTCGCGCGTAAGTGTGGAACGGGCCGAAGCAACGGAGGGGAGGAGCTGGTTATTCCCTGTTTCTGGCTGGCGCATCTTCCTCTCGATGGTAACCTTTAGTTTGTTGTCATTTTCACTCTTACTTCCGTGACCCTTTCCAACAGACAACCGGAAAACAACCGGAAAACAACCGGCCGGTCCACCAATGTCCGGAATACAGCCCCGGGAAGCTAGAGGTCCTCGACCAGCTGCGACTCCTACATAAACACTACTACGATGTAATTTCGACAAGCGAGGAGGCATCCGACTGCATTAAGTCGATGCGTGTTCGTGGTGCACCCACTATTGAGATCGTAGCCAGCTTTGCGCATGCTGTCGAGCTTCACAGTGGCAGCTGTGGTCAGTTTCCCCCCTCCCCACCCCTTCTTACCTCGACAGACGCAGCATGAAGCTGATGAGAGGATACTCAGAATAAATAGCTGCTACCAAACCCGAGGAGACGGTCAAACACATCGACAGTTGCCTAGATCTCCTCAAGGAAAGCCGCCCAACTGCCGTCGACCTTTCCAATGCCATCAATCTCCTCAAGACGACAGTACGACAAGCCCAAATCTCGAACGGTAAGCCGACTGCCACCAAGACCGCCATCATCCAGGCCGCAGAAAAAATGTTAGAAAAGGACCTGTAAAGCAACCTTTCGATCGACCATTTCGGCGCAGCCTGGCTCCAGGCCCAGCACAACGCAAGGCCGGATAACAAGATCTCCGTGCTCACGCACTGTAATATTGGCGCTGTTATTATAGGCACCGACCGCGTCATACGTAACGGTGACACAGCCAACAAGATCGGTACGTACTCGTTCGCAGTACTCGCGCGCTTCCACGGCATTAAGTTCGTCGTCGCCCCTACGACGAGCATCGATCTCGATACCGAGACCAGGTAGGGCATTAGGATCGAGTGGCGGAAAAAGGAGGAGCTAATGTAGATTCCGGGGCCGGTTATACGCGAGAACGGGACTATCGATGCTATCGTTACCGAAAGGGGGCCGTGATTGAGAATGAGGATAACCTCTTCAACTTTAGGGAAATTCTACCCGAGCGCCAGGCTCAGGCCATCGCTAGGAGGGAGAAGATGAAAGCGATGAAAGCGCCTGTCTCGTCTACATAAAACATTATAAAGTGGCGTATAATCATAAGTTATTAAACCTGAATTGAGTACCTTTCCTGTTTCCCTCCCTAGTTAGCTTCTGAGACCTGTTAGTAACGAACCAAGCCGCTGGAGATACCGCATATTAGCCACCGGGCTAGAGCTGATTCAATAATATCACTTACTCATACATCATCGATCTTACCTCGTACGTCAGTACAGAGAGTAGAGAGTAAGAGAGGAAGAGAGATGTAACTACTATATTTCGTACCGACCTTCTCTCTTCCCTTTGTTGATTACATTCGAGAACACGATATCATCCACCGGAAATGTCTCTCTTGTTATCCTTCGTTCAAGACCTGTCTCCAAAATTGGCAAAAGTGCTCTATGTACCCTGAGAAGCCCAGAGTCTAGATGATAGTCTCAATGACTGACAGTCAGAAGTCGCGGGGACGTTCGAAGGAATAGACGTGACCATCCTCGCTCGACCACTTCAGCAGACATGATCTTAAGACCCTCATTCGTTACTGGGTAGCCACCTAGGTTTCCATCCTACTCATCTTCATCCACCCCGCTCTCGCTAAGGTTGGACAGGTCATATTCTCCGCCGCCCTGGTGCTCTTCATCGTACCGCCGCTTCTTGAACCCCTCGACGCCCTCCTCCAGCTCACCAACAGTCAGCGCTTCGTGATCTAAATGCGCCACCAAGATGGTCTCAGGCCCATACAGATGCCGTTTATAGTCACCCTTCAGTCAGGTGCGGGATATCCGTACCGTAGTTAACAATAACTTTTTTCAAAGCCTGGAAATACTCGTTAGCAACGAGGACTACTACCCTTCTCCTCCAAGATGAGACAATAATAAAGCTTGCCGTCAGCATCACAGTCAGCATACACAGCACCACGTCCCCTCTTGCACTCGACAACCAGGGCCTCCTCGTCAACTTATTTCAGCGCCCGCTTGATAACCTTAATAGCCACCTGGTCTCCACCCTCCTCGGGTCCCGTCGCAACGCGGACATTCACCGCCGCCTCCGCCGCCTCTGGGATCACACTCACCGCCACGCCACCACTGATCAAGCCGATATTGATAGTCGCGTTCCCGAACTCCTCACTCCTCCCGAAGCCCGCATCCATAATAGCCCCGAGGCCCCTGACCAGGACCTCTATCGCGCTCTCCCCCAACAGCGGATACCCCGAGTGTCCGGCAACCCCATGAGCGCGCACCGTACACGCCGCATGCCCCCTATGGCCGCACGCAAGCTTGTTCTCCGTCGGCTCCCCGAAGACGGCAGCTCGGAAGCCCAGAGCGTGGTGCCCCCCCCACCCTGGACCGCACCCGAGAAGGCCCGCATTACTGCGGCGTCGTGCTCCTCGCCTACGACATAGAGGAGGGCCGCGTCCCCGTTGTGGATGGCGCCACTCCGCAGGACCTCTCGGACAGCGACCACCCGGGCCGCCACGCTCGCCTTGGCACCCACCCCGCCGCGGCCACGTATCGCCGTCGAGGCGTTGACGTCTGTGCCCTGTGCGCCGATCCGGTACGGGAGGAAAGGCGGCACGGTATCGATGTCCGATGTCACCAGCACCCCGGCGGCTGTCGGGTACGGCTTCAAACCGGGCCAGCCTATGACGTTGAGACGCTTGGGGTATCCGGGAATAGGCTGTAGGGTGGTTTTGAGCCCCTGCTGCTGGAGGTACTTGGCTAGGAAAACCGCGACGTCATGCTCGTTTCTGCTGATGGACTCGATCTCCACCAGGGACTTGTGCAGGCGTAGAAGGTCCTCTCAGTATGATGGCGCTGGGTTTTTCGTGTCCTGGGAGGTAGCAACAGATTGGGCGCTGGGTAGTCCAAGCGGACGCTGTGACTGGGCACTAATTGCGTAGCCTGCGAGGCCGAGGAGAGCAGAACATGCAGAATCCTTCATATTGGAAGCCCTCGCGTTTCGTAAATTTTGGTTGTCTCCCTTTATTTTACCCTTTACCCAGTTGGGTGTGAGCCGGGCGAGATTCAGATCCTGATTTGGGAAGCGTCTTGTCGCGATTCCGGAATTGCGAACATTGATTACCTAGATAACTGTATACGCCATCGGATGCCCGCAACTCCCCTTTCGGGGGGGTTCGACAAATACCTATTGATGGAAAAAGGAATCAAGTTTGAGGCAAAAGATCATGAGGTAAGTTCTCAGACAAGAATTTCGCCAGTGAAATTTACTCTCCCTCCTTTCCTTTCTTTCTTTCTTTCTTTCTTTCTTCTACGGAGGATTCGTGGGGACGAAGGTGGGAAAACGGCTGTAAGCAAGGGTTGCCTCCGACAGGAATAGATAGATGTATATTGAGATTTCTCAGTCCAGCAGGAGTAAGATTCTATAGTACAGCACGGGTAAGGCTGGTAATAATAATACTGATATAATGACGACAGTTAAGCTACTACCACCGTCTGGGAGGCCGGCTCGATTGGGCTAAAGGCCGTATCGACAGGCCGGGCCTCCTCCTCCTCCTCTGGACGAATCTCGAGAATCTCCCCGCCGGCCGGGACGGACAGCTCGGACAGGTTACCCTTCTTCCCAGCGCGCACGTCCTCAGCCAAATGGTCGAAATGCTGCTCAGCGTTAGCCCGAGAGTCGTGCTCGAGAACCCAGTCTGGTCGCCGCAGAACCAGAGCGTCGGGGTGCTCTCGCACGAAGTCACGCGTCCAGTTGATGTGGTGGTACTCGTTTCGGATCGATATGGACGACATGTGGACGACGTGCTGGCGGTTGAACCGGATGCGCTCAAATACGCGCAGCGCAAGCGGGACATCCCCCTTAGCCTTGTCCAGACAGACCGCGATCGCCGCCCCGTCCTCTACGGACTGTGAGGCGCCTTGTCCGGAGGTGGGCAGGTGGCAGTGTGCCGCGTCTCCGAGCACGATCACGCGCGGGTTCGGCTCAGAGGGGATCCAGGATTCGAGCGGGCCACGCCAGACGAGCTTGTAGTCCACCAGGCGTTCGTCGGGGGTGCGCCGGACAACTTCCTTGAGCAGCTCGCAGAAGCCGCCGTCGTCAAGGTATGCTAGGACGTCGGACTTCTTCCCTGGGAACGACCACGACTCGCCGATGTCGTGCTCGTCCTTGTGCGTGAGGACCCAGCCGAGATCGCGACCGCGGTTCCAGCTGTAGACGAGGGCATGCAGGTCTTTGCCTACCCACATGCCGGTGAAGTCGTGGTCCGGGTCGCAGAAGCGGCTCATGTAGATGTCCTTGCGCATCTCATCCGTCAGGGTGTAGAAGGCGCGGTAAATGGCGTAGCCCGAGTTCACCTTGTTGTCCGGGAGGTGCAGCACTTTTGTCCGGGCTAGCGATTTGGGGCCGTCGCAGCAGAGGACGACGTCGCCCGTGACGCGCAGGCCGCTCTGGCAGACGACGCCAACGGTGCGGTCGACGCCCTCGGTGCCGGCGTCCAGGTAGTCAACCACGGTCTCGCCGAGGTGGAGGACGACGCCGAGGCGCGCGGCGTAGTCGCTTATGACGGTGTGGAGCTCGCCGCGGTGGCCTGCGAACTGGCGGCGGGCGTGATGAGGATATTTCAGCCAGATGTCCTCGAAGAGGAGCTCCCCTTTGGCGTTGTAGAATTTGAAGGTGTCGTTGCGGTTGATGCAAATGGGGAGAAGCTGGTCGGCTATGCGGCCGTCGTCCCAGGACTCGATGATCATGCCGCCGTTGGCGAAGAAGTCGATGACGTCGCCTTGGGTGCGGGAGGTGGGATAGGGCTCGACTACGACCACGTCCATGCCGCGGAGACGGCACTCGATGGCGCAGGTGAGTCCGCAGAAGCCCAGGCCGACGATGACAACGCGTAGCCCGGGCGCGCCTGGGTTGGCGCCATCTGGCGCAACACTGCGGACATAGGGTTCGGTCATGGTGGAGGGAATGCTTGCTTGCTTGCTTGCTTGCTTGCTTGTCTTTGCCGGGTTGATGGAGAGGGTTGGGGTGGCTTGCTGACGATGGTACTCTTAACTATCTTCATCTCTTCACAAGATGGTCACCTGCCTCATGAAAGCGTTTCTTGGCTGCATTTCTGAATCTGAGATTGGCCTTGATGCATATAATTACTCCGAGTACCTACCTAATTACGCCGACTTTTTTCTCCGGAGACTCTGAGCCATCAGTTACTCCGCGAGCATACATGAAAACTGATAAGCAACACAGGGTTTAAAAGAAGCCCTCTTATTATTAGGCTGAGTATGTTTGGTATCACAGCCCAACACGTAACTCAGTCTGTAGAGAAGCGTTGCATTATCCAGGTTGTTCGTAGCACGTGACTTGCCTATGGCCTTGCCCCACTTGACGTCAAACAGTAAATAACCTCGTTTCTTCTCTACTATTTCCCTGTTCCGGTGACGGTTCTGCTTCTCCAATTTCGCCGCTTTCGAGGTATAACCACTGCCCCTCGGACAAACTAGCCTGGCTATCTGGATAGCCTATCCCCTACAACCAACTCTTATCGCCCAATGCGAAATTCATGCCCCGATGTCTCGCATTGAGGGGTCGAGAACGAGCCAGACAACAGAGTCGGTATTCGCGTCTGACAGATGATGCTCGCGTGCGAACTCTGCCGGAAGCGCAAGGTAAGGCGCCACTCCGTGTCGAAGGCCGACTGGTTCTAAATCTCCGTCTACAGGTCCGCTGCTCCGGATCGGCTCCGTGCACCAACTGCCAGCGTCAGATGAAGGAATGCTATTTCAACCACCACAGGCGACGCCGAGGACCGCGTCCCAAACGGGGATCCGTGCCGGACCTGGATGCCATGCGTGGTGCGGATGCGGATGCGAATGCGGCCGTTCCCGTCGTCAGTCCTGTCGGTTCGGTTTCCTGTTCATCGCTGTCTCTGCCTCCGGACTCCACATCTACATCGAGCCAGGGACTCGTCGTAGAGCGAGTTATCCCAATGAGCCTTGACCGTATGGGCACGTGGAGAGAGCGGCTGACCGAACTGTACGGAGGCGAGAGGTACTGCATCGATAGCCAGTGCGAGATTTCCGTCGACCTGGCACTGCATCTCATCTTTATCTTCTGCACGACTGTCAACAGCCAGCAAAACCAGATCGTATCCACTGCCGACTTTCTACAGCGGTTAGATGACGGCGAGGTGTCGAGGCATCTGTGCCATGCTATGTGTGCGCCTGCCTTTCGCTTCACGAGACACCAGGAAGGCACTGCGGCTTTGGCGTGTGCCGTTGCATCCGAGGCACGACAGGGTCTAGCTGGCTTGGAGACACCCGACTTCGACAAAGCACTGACCCTTGCTTTGCTATCCATGTACGAGATCCAGGAGGGGAACGGCCTACAAGCCTGGCAGGATATCAGTGAGCCACCCACCCAGGGAATGGAATATTCTAGTTGGCTGTTCTAGCTGATTTGCTAACATGAACAGCAACCGCGTTGAATTTGGTAGCTGTGCTGAAGCATGCTCCGGGGGCCCAGACGGACAGGGAGCTACAGATGCTGCATGGCTATCTTGCTACGTCCAGCGCACTCAACTCACTGGGGCAGGAGCTGCATGTGTCAACGGTGAAGTCCCGAGATCCAACCGATCTCCTGACGCGTCTTACGGACCTCCTTATGCGCTGTGCTTCGTTGTCGCGGAAGGATCTCACAGAATCAGACCCGGCACCGTGGGCAGAAGAGTCCGTCTTCATGGGATTAAGGAGGGAGGTAGACAGTCTGCAGGCTATGCACGCGGGTGACTTGTCATTCGAGGACGACGTCTTCGAGGGGCTTCTGCGGAACGGAGGAGCCGGAGAGTACGTTTTGAAGCTGGGCATGCTGTACGCCATGCGGATGCTTCTCGACCGGATCTTTCTTCCTGTCGCAACGGCTGGGAGCGAAAGCGCCCCAGGACGAGGTGGACAGAATTCGCGCGAAATCGTCTGGTTCCCGGGGCCTATGATTTTCTCACGTGGGAGAACTGCAAGCTGTGTTAAGAGCGCCCGGAGCGTAACTGTGCTGTGTCGATGTGTCTTGGATCACGGGATATTTCTCCTGGTAAGAGAACACTCTGGCCCTTTACCGACGGAATTTGAAACTAAACTTCGTAGCCCCCCTTTCTCGGATACGCTCTCTTCCTTGCTGGGCTAGTATTCCTCAACCAGCTGCGTGTCGAAGACGACGCTGGCAGATTGGAAGAATACATCGACTACTTGAAGACTGTCTTCACCGTCCTCGGGGCTATGCGATTGTTCTACCAGACTGCCAACAGCTGGGTGGACACGCTGTTCCGTGTACATGCCATGGATCTGGTGCCTGGGTCTGCCCTGGCGCACCCGGGCATGCTGTTCAGACGGTTCTTCAGCCGGTTCCTGCCCGTAGAGGAACCGCCGTACTGTACTTTGAGCACACTGCGGATCCCGTCAAGCCAGCCCTCAGACAGGGCGAAGGCGAGTGCGACAGAACGAGAACAGGATCTGCAAGATTACGCCCTAGCCATCGGAGACGCCATAGACGCCATGGATGACCCCCGGTTCTCTCACGATCCAGAGGCGGAAGAGGAAACAAACTCACAGATCGGAACAGCAGGCAGCGAGATGGCACGGAGACAGAAGCCGAGGCATAATGGGGACTCACACGTGGATTTGGCACTAGACGTCTCCTTTCCAAGGGGCGTTTTCTCGATCGACAAGGATGGTGTAGATATGCCTATCGATCTAATGGATACAGATGTATGTCCGGATCTGGATATCCTGGGCATGATTCCGCATTCAATGCTACTGGGGAACTGAAGGCGCGTAGGTTTGATATATACGTTTCCAGATAAGCTTCTTCTACTTCTCTTCTTTTCTCTTGTCTTTCTGGTCAACCTCAGCCTTATCTCTGGTCGAATCCGCCTGTTCCGCAGTCGACGGTACGCCCTCGATGACCCCCTTCTCAGCCTGATCCTCGAAAGGAACCTTGCTGTCAAACAGCGCACTGATCTCTTCCAACGTTTTGCCTGCTTTGATGTTAGCCCTTAAACAAGAAAGGACATAAGGACATGGGGACGGGCAGGTAGGCGAACCCTTTATCTCGACGAACAACCACCAGATTATGGCGATAATCCCGATGTTCCACGCCGCATTGATGGCATAGAAGCGCCATTCAAGATTCTCCAACGCTGTCGGCAAGGTGTAGGTCATCATGACTAAAAACCCATACCCGACACTCTGCGCCAGCCCGAGCCCGCTTGCCCGCTGGGAGTAGCGTAAGATCATAGGCGGATAGGCAAACAAGAGTATCATCCAGGTCCCAAACGAAGCAGACTGGAAGACGAACAAGAGAGCAACGCAGCCTATTCCGTACGAACGGCCGGACTGCACGAGACGGGATAGCACGGCCAAGAGTGCAAGACAGACGGTTATGAGGGTTGTGCCGAATAGCAGACTACGTTTGGCGCCCGCGTAGTCGCACGCCCAGATCCCGACGGCGACGGATACTGCGCCCCAGATGCAGAGGCCCAGGTTGATGTAGAGCGTCTCATGCACACCCATGTTTGCCTGCTGCAGCACGAGCGTGAGGAAGAACGGGAACGTGTTGGCCCCCGAGACCTGGCAAAATATATTAACGAGGACGGCTATGGCGAAACGCCGCCGGTCGGCCGCTGATGCTGCCAGTGTCGACCAGAAGCCGGTGTAGCCGTGGGCTTCGTGCGCGTGGTGCTCCTGTTTTATCGTCTGCACTATCTGGCCGTACTCTACTTCGACCACGGCTTCGCGGTCTGGATCCTGCAGGGTGTGCATGCGTTCTAGCACCTGCCGGGCTTCAGCCATACGGCCCTTATGGGCTAGCCACCGGGGGGACTCGGGCGCGAAAAGGAGGCACAGCAAGGAGAGGAGCGGCGCGGCCAGATCTCCCATCAGGGCGCCGCGCCAGCCCCAGTTGGAATCGATGTCGAAGACGACGATGGCGATTATGGCGCTGATGGTGCCGAAGATGGGGAGGCCTATTATTATGCAGTTCGTGAGCAGACCGTGCAGTTTTGCTGGTGTTGATTCCGCTACCAGGGCGGGGCCGGCTACTCCTGTTATCACGAGGGCGAGGCCCAGGATGAAGCGGCCGCCAAGGAGGGTGCCCTCTATTATATCAGGGTCAGGTTCAGGGTCAGAAGCAGAGACGGGGCCAGAGGCTTGGGTATGGGGTCTGCTGGCTTAGCCTACCGTTTGGAGCAGCAGACTGTATAGCTGCCCCGATCAAGGCTATGCAGTTTCCAATCACTAGGGCCCGTTTGCGGCCTACCCAGTCGAGTAACGGACCGGTAAAGGGGCCAACGAGGACGCCCCCAACGTTGACCATGGCTGTGTTCAGCCCGATCCACATCGAGTTCAGTTGGAAGTCTGCATGAGATGTCAGTTGAAAATAAAAAAAAAAGTGAGAAGTGTCGGAAAGTCCTAACAGTTCCTGAAGTTGTCGTTGAGGAGCAACTGGTTGATAATGCTGGCGTCATAAGCTAAATCGGCCATAGAGAACATAGCAGCCGTGACGCAGGCCGTGATGGCAAGCGTGGAGTTGAAGAAGAACATGTTGGCAAATGGCGTATATCCTGTTACCTTGCTTTCCGTGATTTGTTAATAACAGCGGAGGGCAGTAGAAGGTAGAAGACGGCCTTTTACGGCTGGCGAATTCTCATGGACACTTGTGATATCCCTATCTCCCATCTTGGCGTTGGGTCACAGGTTAAGCGTAGAGCCGGCATAGACTCGGAGTAATTCAGTCGGAGTATTCTTATCTAGCAGTCACCGCCCACTCAGACCCGGTGGTGGATTGGGAATTCTAAAGCGGCGAGGAGAATGTCGAAGACGTGGCAACCGAGCTAGCCGCCGCTGGAGTAACACCAGTTAGATTTAGAAGCCGCAGTTTTGCCCACTAATTATAATACCTTACTCACGCTCCGAATGAGACGACGTTCTTTACTTTCGCCACGGCTTCACAACGAGATGGATGTATGCGATGACGTTGCTTGCTGTGTTACCCAGGACGAGCTAGACACGACATCTATAAGGATATACCTCTCGCTCGGGGAACAGCTCGGAGTAATTGTCGTACGATAGCTTATAACTGAGCTGAGACTTTGCCCAGCTATGACTGACCTGACCCCAGTAAACGGTCTCTCATCCACATACATATCAAGCACCAGTATGGAAACGAAACTGTTTATCGGGAACAAGGTGAGTAGCCAGATGTTCTACTGCGATGCTGGGTGCTAATCATTCTCATCTCAGTTCGTCCCTGCCCGCTCGGGGGAAACGGTGACGATCAAAAACCCGTACGACCACTCCGTTGTATCGACAGTGCACTCCGCAGGCGCGTCAGACGTCGACGACGCGGTATCGGCAGCCTCAGCAGCATTTAAAACATGGCGCAGAACTAGCCCAGCCGAACGGTCCCGTCTGATGAACCGTCTGGCAGACCTTGTCGACGAGAAGGCTACTGCTCTCGCCCGCCTCGAGACCCTGGCCATGGGCGCACCCGCCGTCATAGCCAAGCACGGAGCCCACACGCTGGCGCAATATCTGCGGTACTACGCTGGCTGGACGGACAAGCTAGCCGGGGAGCTGTTCCCCGACGCCGACGAGGGCGTCTACCGATTGGTGTCGTACGAGCCTCTGGGCGTCTGCGCCGGCATCGCCGCCTGGAACGCCACCTTCCTGTTCGTAGCGTGGAAAATTGCACCTGCCATCGCGGCCGGGAACACCTTCATCTTCAAGGCGTCCGAGAAGTCACCGCTGGGCGTGCTGGCGCTGGGGAAGCTGGTGGTGGAGGCCGGGTTCCCGCCGGGGGTTATCAACTTCGTCAATGGGACGGGCGAGGCCGGACAGAGGCTGGCTTCTCATCTGGGCATCGCCAAGATCAGCTTCACGGGGTCTACGGAGACTGGACGCCTCGTGCAGATTGCGGCTGCCAGCAGCAATCTGAAACGGTGCACTCTGGAACTGGGGGGCAAGTCGGCTGCGATCGTATTTGACGATGCGTACATTGACGACGCGCTCGGCCATTTGTCCGACGGCTTCCTGTTCAACACTACCCAGGTGTGCGCTGCTACGACGCGGCTCTTGGTCCAGGACACGATTGCCGACTCGTTCGTGACGAAGCTGAAGGACCGGTTCGAGGCCGTGCTTGCTCGGGCGGGAGATCCAGACGCCCCAGGGACTTTCCTCGGCCCCGTCGCGGACGAGGCGCAGTTCAATCGCATCATGGGATTCCTGGAGCAGGCTGCGAAGCAGGGCATACAGCTCCTCACGGGCGGCGGTCGGCACGGCGAGCAGGGATACTTTGTCCAGCCTACCATTCTCATTGATCCGCCGTTGGATAGCGTCGCGTACCGGGAGGAGATCTTCGGGCCCGTTTTGTGCGTGCGCAGGTTCCACACAGAGGAGGAGGCGGTTGATCTGGCGAACGATACGACGTACGGACTCGCAGCGGCTGTGTACACGGCCGACATCAGCCGTGCACTTCGCGTCAGCGGCGAGCTTCGGGCCGGAAGCGTGGGCATCAACCAGGGCGTCGTGCCTGATATCCGGGTTCCCTTCGGTGGGCTGAAAGGGAGCGGTTACGGTCGGGAGAGCGGGCGTGCAGGCCTGTTGTCGTATCTAGATAGCAAGACGGTCTCGATCAGGGCGATAGCACGGTAGATGGGTATGTAATTATACGTTAATACGAACTCCGCATCTTGCATGGTTTTATTGCAGGTAGGTAGCCACCAATCAACAACAATCCCTCACGCCCTCGCGATAGAAAGAAACCCCTGTTGTTAATGCCATCCAACCCGCTTCCTTCTCTTATCTTTCCCTCCTCTTGCCCGTACTCACGACAATCTCGCACTCGCTCCCATGTCTCGATCACTTCCTGAGCTGGTGATTCCGAATCCGTCCGGCAGCTGCTGGACCTGCATCGACGAAGGCCTCGCCATCTGCGACAGGAAGCTTCCCGCCTGCAGCCGCTGTCTGGCCGAGAAGAGACACTGCGCAGGGTATCACGTCCGGCTGTGCGTGTTAGCAAGGCCTAAACATGTCTATCGACGTCCCTCTGCCCCCTCAACCGTCTCTTCGCTGGGCCTGCCACCGAAGGAAGATCGGCTGCTACGGCACTTTACCAGTGAGCCACTGCTTTACTTCCTATTACTTCCTCCTCCCTTCTCCTCGCCTCTCTCCCCAGGAGGCTAACGGCCTAGATAACATTGCCCGGGTGATCATCGCGGTCGACTACGACGGAAACGGGTACCGTCGTCTCGCAGCCATAGCCCTGGCGGATGACGCGCTCCTCAACGCCCTCCTGGCCCTCTCGGCATCCCACCTAAACCGCTCGCAGAAGCGCACAGACAACACGCCCAGACTATACCTGCGACAGGCCCTGCAGCACTTGCAGACGCGCCTGCAGAAGCCAGCGCAGTCGCGGTCCGAGCTGACCATAACGACCATGTGGATATTGCTCCTGTTCGAAGTCTGTCCCAACCCCCTCCCCCCTCCCCCTTTCAACCTGTCTTATCACCACACCCACCACCTTGACAAATACAGTCCTCTGACGACAGAAGCTCTGGGAGGATGGCAGGGAATGGAAGCGACACTACGACGGCATCCTAGCTTGGATCCGTGGCCGGGATGCCGATGGCAGCATGGACGGATTCCTGACTAGTGCCGTTGCTGCATCGGCACTCCAAGTGCTCCTGCACAGCTCGGGCGCTACGCGGGAGCAGAGCTTTCGGTTTCTAGACTCCGTGGCCATGCAATGCCAGGAGGGCACTATCGATGTTATAATCGGGTGCTCACTGGACACTCACAAGCTGATCGTATGCTCTCTCACCCTGTGTGTGTGTCTGTCTGTCTGTCTTTATGCAGCTAACAGAGAGGCCAGATGGAAGCGGCGCATCTGCACGAGAAGATGCGGCTGGCCAAGGTTACGCGAGAGGAGAAGCTGCTACAAAGGGCCTACCACGAGTCGGTAGAGCTACAAAGCCGCATCCGCACAGCGCACACGCCGCTCGTGACGAGATTCAGCTTGCTTGCCTACAGCCGCTCCCAGTCCGCCCTCTCGCCGGCCGACCGGCTGGAAGAGGCTTCGGTGCACGAGGCAGCCCGGGCGGCAGCCGATATATTCAGGCTCGCGCTGCAGGTCTACGTGTACCGGATCGCGCATGAGCCGACGACCGACTGTCCGACGGAGATCCAGGACGTCATCAACTCGGCTTTCGAACGCCTGGCTCTCGTCCCGGATACGGTCGGGCCGGGCGTCTTCCTGGGCTGGGCCCTCGTCGTGCTGGGGTCCGAGATTGATGCCCTGGACAGACGGGAGCACATCAAGCGCCGGCTGCAGAGCTTGACCCTGCTGGCGCTGAACCAGGGGCTGCTTGGTCTACGGGTTCTGAAGGAAGTATGGCGCCGTCGGGATGCACGCGTCACGGGACGAGGCATCAAGAAATGCAGATGGCAAGAAGTCATGGAGGACTTGGGCATAGATTTAGCCTTAGTATGAGTAGATATTTATCATACATACAAACAGACAGACAGACAGACAGATAATCTACTCCTGCTTCTTTCGCTGCAGGGAAACCCGCATACCGCTTTGGATAGTGAAGAAGTGGTTCGTGACGGAGACATCGGCGTCCTCCCATTGCATGTGGTACCGCATCACTATCGCCGGAATCAGCTTCGTGATCTCCAGCAGGGAGATGTGCTGTCCGGAGCACATGTGTCGGCCAGCGCCGAAAGGGATCCAGGCGCGGTTCATGGCTGCCAGCTGCGCAGGTGACGACAGCAGCCAGCGGTCCGGGCGGTAGGTTTCCGGGTCCGGGAAGATGTCTGGGTCCCGGTGGATGATCCAGGGGTTGATGCCTACGTCGATGCCGGCGTCGACGCGGTACTGCCGTTTGCCGTCTGATAGTAGGCCGCCCGCATCCGGGACCGCGCGAGAGAGCAACATGCCGACGGACGGGTGCAGCCGCATGGACTCCCGGATGACGGCCGTGAGGTACGGCACCCTGGAGGCGACCGCGTAGGACACGGGCGTCTCCGGCGTGATCCCGGCCTGTCGCAGCTCCTCGAGGAGACGCGCCAGGACGTCCGGGTTGTCGATGAGGTGGCGGAGGGCGGCGCGGAGCGCGGTGGAGGTCGTGTCGCCGCCGGCCATGATGTTGCCGATCGCGTGCGCGTTGATTTCCCTGTCGTTGATCGCGCTCGGGCTCTTGGCCTGGTTGCGGAGGAGCGTCATGAGGAATGTGGCCTGGGCCGTCTCGTGCTCGGCCTCCAGGATGCGCTTCTCCGCGTCCTGGCGCTGCGCGACCGCTATGCTCAGTATCTCGTCCAAGATGGAGTCGCCCGAGATCGCTAGGAATCTGGACAGGTACGGATTCCCGAGCAGGAACTTGTGCGCCCATGGAACCTGGCCGCACTGGTGATTGAAGTTAGTTTTGGGGGGGGATTCGATGGCGTCGGTTCTCGTCTAGGTCCACCACTATTACTTACACACGCAAAGTAAGCTATGCCGTCCTGCACGTGCTTGCAGAACCCCTTGGAGTCGCCCTGGGAGATGAAGTCCAAGTCGGCGCCGAAAGTGACGGTGAAGATGGCGTCCATGGAGAAGAAATGCATGTACTCTCCTATATCGCAAGTCTTGCCCGTCTCAACGTACGTCGCGTCCAGATGGTTGAATAGTCTGGCTATCACCCCGTCCACTAGCGGCTCTAGCTGTATCAGAGCCTTCAAAGAGTACGCGTTGGCCGAGTTTCGCTTCATGCGTGCGTGCAGTGTTTTGTCGGCCAGAACAAACGGGTCTGGCAAGATGCCCTCCTCATCGTAGAGCCGGACGGGGTCGTAGAAGCTGGATTTGTAGAACTGCGAGCTGATGCCGTAGATCTGATCCAGCTGCGAGACGTCCGAGACGGAGACGAGGCCCGGTGCGACCCGGACTATCTTCCCATATTTCTTATGCAGGGCTAGATCGTCCAGATGCGAGCTTCCTCGGTAGACGGACCAGAGACGGGGGAGCACGGAGATGGAGTTCAGGAGAGGGCCGGGGACTGACGACAGCCTGTAGCGGTTTCGTAGCAGCCAGAGAACGAGACATAATGGCAGGATCCAGGCATTCCGGAGAGCAGTCTCGATGAGAGCCATCTTGTCTTGCACCTGAAAACTAGTAGTATTATTGCTATTACTATTCTTTTCTCTTTTACTTTTTTCACCTGGTCTAAGTAGTGGCTCTATACAGCTTTGAGTATCACGGTGTTGCTGATATGCATATATCGGGATAAATAGATATACTGGATTACTGTAATTATCCGAGCTATGCCAAGGTATCTCGGACAATTGAACTTATCCGTACTAACCGGTATCTAGCAGTAGGACGGATATTCCAACCTTCTTGCCTATCTCTGATACCGATGCCCAGGGCCGAGTCTCGAGACCGATTTCTGAGACGGCGACGAGGCAAAGCCGAGTAGCCGCTATCCATGCCACCGTAAAGCAAGGTTCTATATAATTCTTACGTATAGGTTATAAAATAGCGGAATGCTAGCTGCGGGCTGTTGACGCCTTCAGGACCGTAATCACACATAGTCTACACCGCGATCCACACTCGCGCCCTATTAACGAACGAGTAGAACGTTCACCATGTCTATGACATTCACCCTCCATGCTGCTCCTAGCACTACCGCGAGCACTGCCGGCTATCTGAAGCTGGTAGCCCCCCGAATCGAAGCCTTCACCCGAGACACCCCCGTCTCAGAGATCATCGACTCCATCAAGCTAAACGGCGGCGCCCGCATTAAAGGCTTCCTCACCCCTGAAGAAGTGGCCTCTGCCGCCTCTGCCGTCCGTCCCCACCTCGACGCAGCCGGGTACGCACGGCCCGACGACCAGACCAAGCGCCTGGGCCGTCTGCCGGAATATGCGCCGGCCCTGACAGAGAAGATCCTGACCGACAGCCTCTACCTGTCCGTGATGGACACCTTCCTGTCCGTCACGCACACGTCTTGGCTGGGCGACAAACAGTTCGTCGTGACAGAGAAGCCCATCGTGGCCATGTCGTCCATATTCGAAGTCGGCCCCGGCATGCACATGCAGGACCTCCATCGCGACGACGCGATCTGGTACACCTCGCGGCCAGCCATCGAGGCCTCCCAGTACAAGTTCGGCCGCGACACGACCATCAGCTTTTTCATCGCGGGCTCACGGACCACGCGCGCCAACGGGGCGACGCGCGTCGTTCCCGGCAGCCACCTGCAGCGGAGCGACGAGCGGCCGAACCAGTCACAGGCCATCGATGCCGAGCTGGACGCGGGCGATGCCTTCTTCATGCTCTCGAGCGTGTACCACGGTGCTGGCCAGAACTCGACCGAGGACGAGAAGCGCCTGGTGTACGCACTGTTCATGCAGCAGCCGCATCTCCGGCAGGAGGAGAACTTCGCGCTCTATCTTCCGCATGACATCGTCAGGGCGTACCCACTGGAGGTTCAGCGGCGTCTGGGGTACGACGTCGCCCTGCCCAACCTCGGCTGGGTCGACCATGCGTCGCCGCTCGAGAGCGTCCTCAAGCAGAAGGGGGCCGACAGACGGGCGATCCCGGGGTATAACCCCATAGAGGGAGTGGCTGACGGGCGTGCTGAGCACGCTCACGAGTCGAGGGTGCAGTAGTTGGGTTTTGCTCGCTCGGAGAAATAGGATGGATGCGAGCAAGTGCAGATAGCCGAAGATTAGTTTCATAAGGCCGGGTCCACCTCTCGCTCTCTCACTCTTACCTGTTTTGTATTGCTCGTAAACATCGTTGTCATGCGGCGCGAGGAACCAGATGTGGAAAATCTCGGGTATGCCGGCTCGGGGGCACGGCAGACGACCCCTTCATCGTCTACCGGCTCTCCAATGATCCCTACAACCCCCAGAACCTGCTACTCTCCTGCCGCATCCGTGGGCGCTCCTCGTGATAGACCCCATCGTGCTCCTCGTCTCGCTCTCCGCGGCCATCGTGTACGCGACCCTGCACATGCTCTCCGCGGCGTACCCTATCACCTTCCGGGAAATGCGCGGTTGGTCTGCAGGCACCAAAAGCGGAAAGTGACATTCACCTGAGCTGGCGAGGCGGGGAGGGGAGGCAGGGTAGGGCCAAGCCGGGCTCTCCTGGTTCGCGTGGACGAGCGTGCCGCCCGCCGACTGGGTGATCTGCCTGCTGGGCACCACGGTGTTCAGCTTCGGCAACGTGCTGCGGTAGCTGAGCGCCGTCAGCGACCTCGTAGACGCCTATCTCGTCTACACCGCCTCCTGCATGGCTGCCTCATCCGTGCTGCGATCCCTGCTCGGGGTCGCGTTTCCCCTCTCCACGCGCAGCATGCACGATGCGCTGGGGACCCCGCCTTTCCGGCCTTGGCCTGCGTGCTGCTCCCCTTTCTATTTCCCCTTTCTGTTTCCCCGCAATGGATCACCAGGCGGCATTGCCGTTATGGGGCCAAAGGCACAGGCTAACCGTGGATAAGACGGACGGGTTCTGGCCTCGGCCTGCGTGCCGTTACCCTTTCTGCTTCCCCCGCAATGGAGCCCGCATCAGGTGGCATTGCCATTATGCGGCCAAGGCGCAGGCTACCGTGGATCAGATGGACGGGTTCGGCCCCATGTAGGTACTTTGTTGAGGTCGGAGAATTGGCGGTTGATAGGGCGACGGGGATCCGTCGCTCTGAAATTCTCCGAGACCCGTCGCGGTTATATGGGTAATACTTCCTCTTTCGGTTCAAGGCCACGCTTATGAGCACTGGATAGACCTGAAATACAGCACTATGAGCACTAAATGGACCTGAAATATCGCACTATGAGCACTAAATGGACCTGAGATACAGCGCCACGTTAGCGCTTATGGGCGCTGTATCGATTCAAAGTTCCAGCACTCATGAATAATACCACGTACCTACGACGTGTCGGAGTGCGTCCCTATCTTTCTTCAAAGGCGTCACGGTCAGGATACTATACAATACAAAGCTCGTCAGGATCTTTATATACGTACGGCTTTTAGTACTAGTTGATAATGGAGACGGCTATAGATCAAATTGTCGCATTTCACGAGGATATCCTCCTCCAGAAGGCGAATTTGTATCCCGGGACGCTCTATTTAAATCTATTACTTAGACCAGGAGAGCTACGTTGGAACTGAGGTTGCTCTGCAGTGGGAGCAACGGAAGGTAGGAAGAAGAGGATGAAATGAATGACTTAGGTAGCTAACTAGGAAGGAAATGAATAAAGGAGCTGGGAGCTAGGTTAGGTAAGCGAGCAACCAGAGAAGAAGTAGAGAGCTGTGTATAGGTGGCTCTCTACGTGACAAAATCGATTAACGCGTGGGAGGCGCCGAGAAGCCACGCGTTCATAGATGGGCGGTTGACTAGAGAAAAGTTTGGTAAGTAGATGGTTATATATTTATGTCATCGTCGTGCTAAACCCCCAAACCTCTCGAGGTAGTGGATGCGGAAAACGACAACCTGGGGGACTGGTTGCCAATCTTCAGTCATAGTTAAGGAGTCTCTTGATAAGAGTACTTGGACCTTACCGTATTCGTTAGATCGACGGTTCTCTTTACATAACCACGAACTAAGCTGACACCCGTCTACTTACCCGGTTCATTGAGTTTTCTCTGAACAGGACGCATTTTAGTTCACAAGTCTTGTAAACGATGACACTGCCCTTAAGGACATTTGAATCTATCTACGTCAGAATACCACTTTTATCGCGACTTAGTAGGATATCTACAATCGTATTGCAGGTATAAGGCGAGAGATCTATGAAGGACAAAGTTCTGTCAACGCACTTGTCAACTAACTAGACCGCGAAGGTTTCTAGAGCCAACTACAGTTAGATTCTAAAAACCGTGTGAACCCTATTCTATTCGCCCACCCAGACTCACTTCCATACCTTCATGCCTACCCTGACGTCCTGATACTGGACTATATGTATAAGACAGACAAGTACGGGATGCCACTCTTAGACGTGATTGGAGTCAATGCTTGCCAACGGTTTTTCTGTATTGCTTTTGCATTCTTCGGTAACGAGACCGAGGGTAATTACCTTTGGGCTATAAAACAACCAGGGTCGCTTTATGAGCTATGTAATACAACTCTTCCATCTGTATGTAATCTTAACAGATCAGTGTATTGCATGTATGAACGCTGTCGCTACCTGCTTCCCATCTGCTGCCCGGTTGTTATGCTCATGGCATACTACTACCTACGCAAGACAGAAGGTTGATGCTGTGCCGTTTTCGCCGTCTCGCGAAGAGACCCCTTTACCGTACGCGGGTTGGCGCAGGTGGAAAAGGGGAGGGAGCGCGCTGGGTGCTGGGGGGCCAGGGCATGCATCTGGGCTCGTCGAGAAAATCCCGAGGCCCCTTCCACCGTCTCGATATGGTAGGCCCCTGTTTGGCGGCTGAATCGCAGGTGGCATCGGTATGGAATAGGTATTAAGCGTGTGTACGTGTCTCGAGACTTGCGTGGACAGAGATACAATAGACGAAGAGTATTGATGGTTCGCTTGGGTAAGTAGATGTGTTTCCGGGAAGAGCAACACAGAGAACAGGTATATCAGGAACCCCCGGGGGGGTGTCTACTCGGGCAGCGCCGCGACCTGCTGCAGCCAGCGCTCCAAGTCGGCGACGACGCGGTCGCCGAGGGCGACGTCGAAGATGCACTCCTGCCAGCTGCAGGCGACGCGCAGGCCCTCGCCGGCGACCGTCATCGTCGCGATCATGGGCGCCGCCTGCGTCGTCTCGGCGCTGACCGCGAACTGCGCGCGGCGCAGCGCCCACGCCCTCGCGTCGCCCTCGGCCTCGCCCCCGTCCTCCTCCTCCGCCTCCTCCCGTTGCGGCCGCGCCCCGATCGCCCCTAGGTTCGTCACGAACCAGGAGCACTGCCGCGGCCGCCGCGCCGTGTCGCGCATCTGCGCCTGCCAGTCGCCCACGAACTTCGTGATCCCGACCTGGTCATTCCGGACGCCGGCCTCGAGCCTGCGCGCGATGTTGGCGCGGACCGCCGCCGCGACCTCCCAGACGCGTTTGAGCGCCGCCGCGCCCAGCGCGCCCTTGCCCTCGCCCTCGCCCTCCTCCGCGCGCGACCGCCGCCGCGCCAAACTCGTGCGTCCGCAGCGTCACGCAGTTGCTCATAGCGCGGTGGGGCGCTGGCGCCGGGATGAAGCGCCGCAAGTTGACGGCGGTGAGGCTCTGGAAGCCCGGGGCGCGGGCGCGCGCGACGCGCGACGCGAGCGACGCGAGGGCCAGCACGTGCAGCAGCCCCGTCAGCGTGGTGCGGCGGCGGCGGCACGCCGCGAGCACGCGGGCTAGCGCCGCGCCGCCGACGCCGTGCGCACCGGCGCCCAGCTCGCCAGCGTCTCGCTGCGCCAGAACGCGGCCGGCCGCAGCTCCTGCCACAGCGTCTTCGCCGCAAACGACACGTCGACCGGGAGCTTCACGGCCCGCTCGATCGGCGGCGGCAGGTCCGGCGGCGACGCGGGCAGCGCGAGGGCGCGGCTCGCTGCGTCGCGCCCTGCCGTGCTTGTCCTCGCCGCGTCGAAGCTCCGCAGCAGGGTTTCGTGGAAGATCTTGCCGCTCATGCCGTCCGCGTGCGGGTGGTTCCAGGTAAACAGGATCTCCACGAAGTCCGTCTGCTCCTGGTGCAGCAGGGTGATCTTCCAGCCTGGCCGCTTCTCGAGGTCTGGGAATCTAGCGTCGAGCTGGGACATGGTGGTTTCTCGTAACACGTCTTCGAATTCTGACGACCGGTCGAGGAAGCGCCAGGTGAGGTGCTCGTCCAGATCGAGGCTTTCCAGCTGGACCCAGGTAGGCTTTCTCGAATCGGCATCGGCGATCCCTACTTGCAACGTGGGATGCTGCAGGACCGCGTCGCAGATCGCGGCCTCGACGGTGCTGACGAGCCGAGGGCGGGCGTCCGAGCCGGCGAGGTAGGCGGGGATTACATAGCGGCCGGAGACAGAGGTTCCACGATATTGGTCCAGCATATACATGGCTAGTTGGTACATATCACTGCCCTGGTTAGGCACGAGGTCGGTTATAATAGCGAAAGGACTTACATGTTGCCTAGTTGGCGGAGCCGCTTGAGTTTTGCCATTCCCGGCGGTGAAACCTCCTGGCTCTGAGCCATGGAGATGGTGGGTAAATGCTGCTACAGGTCTAGCTTAGAGACCATGCAGTTCTACTTCAAGAAAGATGAAAGTAGAAAGCGAGATAGAACAGTTCCGCATGAATGATTTTCGGGGACGTCGCGGATGGTGGGTAAGACAAAGATCGGTTTTACAACGTTGGGCCGCAGAAGTTTGTTGTAGTTCAGTGAGTAAACCCCCTGATAGACCTGACGAATACCCTCTACTGAGGCAAAGATGCACACGTCAGTCCATTTTGCAGGCGGCTAGGCAGAGGGTATCGAATCCTACATTATTTACAGGAGACCGTTGAAGCGAGATAGTGTTAGGCGTAACATGCGATAGGCGGAAGAGCCGGCGACAACCCCAACTAGGAATAAGAAGCTCGGGTTCAGCGCCTGCCCCAGGAACCGTGAATTGGGTTGTTTTGTCGTTATCTTCGGGGGCCTTATTGAAACCCTTGCCGTCATTCTACGTCTAGCATTGCTATATATTATAAGAAACCCCATATTGACGATGTTTCTTTCGTGTTCGCGCCCATTAATGAAACGCCACAGTGAAGAACCTTGAGCCTTTCTTATACGTAAGCAGCACTCGATAACCCGAGCCGGTCAGACTCGCGAGCTGACTTGGCTACAGGGCCTCCATCTCCTGTCGCTATTCTATGGCGTCAGCATCGTATTACTCAAACTCGCCATTCCCATCGATTAGTTGCGCGTCTTCGTGCCGCCAGGCCAACACATGCCATATCTTAGACGGTCCACTGCCTGACCTAGAGCGATGTTATGTACCAAGTACATGTCCGGCACGTTGCTCGAAATCATCCAGTGCTCGCCGTCAGAGAAGATCCAGAATCAAGTATACGTCGGCGGTAATTAGCTGTTCGATCAAGCGAACAACTTCGCCTCAGCCCTCATCAACCTCGTTCTCGACATCGGCATCCTAGCCCTGCTGCGGTGGATTATCCAGAGGCCGCAGATGGCGACGACCAAGAAGCTCAGCGTGTCATTTCTGTTTGGGATAGGAGTCTTGCCAATGAACTTCATGGCTCCGGGTCTAAGTCTTTACTTGCTGGCGCTTCCTCCTTCATATGGCGCCACTGCCTGCGGGCTCGCCCATCTCGTATCGCTGGTAGAAATCCTTCATGACGCTGACGCAGTCTACTACACGATCGACGTCGGCCGCTAGGGTGTGGGCGAAATTTCTGCCGGCTTCTTGGCCATAGGGACCCTTTCCGTATCTCAAGAACTTCCTCTGAGTTCGCTTCTCATCGACGTCTATTTCCGTAACCCATATGTACACAAAGAGATCGTAAATGTACCCTCAGAGCTAAGTACCTTCGCAAGCATGTCTTTTAGAGTATCTACTCCTTTTCCTGGCCTCGCAAGTAGTACTCCTTCCCACCCGGCGCAACCAGTTCCCCTTCATCTTCACATCCACATAGACACGCATCGCCAGATGCCCCTGTGCTGGGAGGGTTCTAGATGCTACCCATACTCTGGACTTATACGTACACACTCCGTAGCATGTGTCTCGTAGAAGAACCTGTAGAAGCCTCCATATCCGAACAGGCCAATATAGGCGTCTACATTCTCACGTGACGATATATATGTTTGTATGTTTGCCCCAGTCTTTTCCGTCGGTGGCCGAAAAGACCAACCTCGGCGCCATGCATTTGTCGCCATACCATCCTATCCCTACCTAGTGAAGAGTCAGCTGCGTGTCACCCCCCTCCGTACTACCCACCGGATCTCCAGGGGAGTAGCAGTGCGTCACGAGAGCGACTGTCGGAACGGGTGGTGCTCGCCGAGTGCTCGGCCGGTGCAGATATAGCCTATAGGCGTCTGTAGGACGTCCTGGGTCTTACGCAGGAGCGTGAGCCACTCGAGGAGGAACATGGTAGGCTCATCCGCGAACGACGTGGGGTCGTCGGCGCCGCCTTGGTCCACAAGCCGAATCCGCCCGTATCGTGCCGTCAGTTGGTCTGCTGCGTCCGACGACGACGACGACGACGATCGCAGATACTGGGCCAGCGCGTCCCAGTCCCCTAGGTCGACATACAGGCGCCCGCCGATAATCCCGACGTCAAAGAGGAACCAATCCGGGAACCGGTGCTCCGACGGCAGCGGCGGTAGGCTGTAGTACTGGAGCTGGTTGAACGGCAGCATCCCCTTCGTGACAGGCGCGGCGTACGCGATCAGGTGAACTCGGCTCCTGTCACCGGCCAGCCGGATCTTCGGTATGAGGAGCTCCGCTTCTTCGGGGATTATGACCAGTCCGGTTTGCGTCGTCGGACTCCAGAGGATCCATTCGACAGGACGCTGTTTTGAGTCATCGTTGTTAGCACACTCGCTCCTCTTCACATATCAACAAATACTCACCAAAAAGTTATCCGCTCCATTTTCCGTATTTCTCGTGTGTCTAATCGTCTTCCCAAATTCGGCCGAGACGAACATGGTCGACTTGGTTTCGCGGACGCCAAACTGCTTTCCGACGTTTGTCTTTGCCACGTACGCGAACGCGTGTTCGAACCCGTAGCCTTCCACGGTGGCTTTCGCCCTTTTTAGGGTTCCCGTGGCTACAAACTCCAAGATGGTAGGATGGAGGCCGGGGAACGACAAGGCCTCAAATCGTAGCTGTTTCTGCACCTGGATCACCTGCTCGACCTGGATTTGTTGCACTTCGCGTTCCTGCTCTACCTCTTCCAAAGCGCCTATCGTAACTCCGTCGTGGCCGCTGCGCGCTCCCAACTCGTTTACGAACGCCTGCAGCTGCGGGGAAACCATATGACCAGAGGGACTCGCAGAAGAGCCGGTTGATTCCCCACCATAGAGCTGATCTAGCGTCTGGTATTCTGGCTGCCGCAGGACCTTGAGCAGCCTGTCGCGGTCCCTGCCGTCGGTGAGAAAGTCAGGGTGCTGGCACTCCGCGTCGATACGCCGGCAGAAGTCTACGCCCTGCGCGGTGTACAAACCCCGCAGGTCTTCGTTTACGAGGCAGGTCTGCTCGAGAAGCCAAGAGATAACGTGCGAGGAATTTGGCAGTCCATTATATATGCCGCAGAACTTTCGGATGCCCTGGTCGACCTCGGGTGGTGCAAAAAAAGTGACTCTCTGCGTCGTACCGAGTTGACGTAATCTCATAGCAGCTACAAAGACGGTTAGCATGGCGATACAAAAGGTATCCCGACGGTGGTGGGAGTGCGGGAGAGGGAAGACAAGCTCTGAGTGTGGTCACAGCCAAACGCGAGATACTAACCTTGCATCGTGTAGTCTTTTGTTTGCTTCAACGCCAAGGTTACAGCGGCATGAGCGTCTGTCGGAAATTTCATATCTACGCCGCGCGTGTGGGCTTGATCGAGATAGACGACGCATTTGCTGAGATCGTCTACGAAAGGCGTTGTAAGAAGCGGGACGTCTTCCTTCACTGCAACATTGCGGTAGTGCACCATAGCTCTGTTATCACTGCCAAAGTAGACAGCGGCCTTGGCGTCGCCGTCTTTTCTTAGCCATGCTTGGGCGAGCGATCTATTATCCATTTCGAGGATGTAGGCTCCGGCATCTATGAGAATGCGGATTCGGCTGCGACCTAGTTCGCAGAGGAGATCTTCCTCCGTCAAGCGTTTCCCCGCAGAGTTTGCAGTGACCTCGTAACCACGGTTTCGTTCCTGCAAAAGGTACGAAAGCACCTCCGCACTGGTCTGCCGCAAACTTGGGAGGTCGTCTTGCTTAATGGTTAGGGGAAGCATGGATCGGTTATCGTTCGTTCCACTGAATCCCGTGGTTTTAGCCGTGTGCTGCTTCTCATGAGAATGGAGCGGTATGTCCCAGGCGGAAGCCTGTAACTTGACCTCGAATTGCTTTGCGTGTACGGGGAAGACGAAATGGTTCAGATAATGATTGATCACGACCCGGTCCAACTTTAGATGTTCCCACAGCCTCTCGATCTGCCCACTGTCATCCCTGTTGATGACATTCCAGTGGTGAAGTGACTCTGGCAAGTTGATGGACCCGGAAATCCACTCCTCGTATCGCGCGCTCGGGTCGTCGGATTCTAATACCTGCTTCAATCCTTGCCGGAACTGTTCGCGCGTTAAACCGCTATAGTAGAACGACAAACAGGTAAACAAGATAGCCACGTCGGGGTGGCCAAACTCGGACTGCTCGGATGGAACACCCTTGGCCTCGAAGGGAACGGCCACGGGGTGGCGACCCGGATGTAGGCCATATTGCACATTCCAGCGCTTGCTTAGGCACAGGAATAGGATCCTGTCCACGAGCAGACCTCGGATAACAAGAAATATCTTGTACGCCGCCTGGGGGTTGGCGAACGCCTTCGCTGCCTGCTGGAACGAGCGCTCGTCAAATTTCTTCTCTGATAAAATTCGTCGGATTGTTTCTTGCTGATCGTAGAAGCTCAGATCCGCAGGGCGAAGTAACATCATCCGTCCAGCGCATATATCGTCCAGTATCAGACTGTGCGCGAAATCTTCCACCTCGCTATTGAGGATATGTACGATGGGGAAGGACCCTGGCCGCCGCAGCACCTCGATGCCACGGAATGTTCTCCGTAAGTCAGCGATGTGATCAACTACCAACGACAGCAATTCCTGTGCCACGTGCCATCGGAACGGGTGCCCATCAACAGTGGTTTCGCGGCCGCTAGGATAGTTCAGTTGTGTCTTGACCGACAACGTGAAGTCGCACTCGTCTAGGACGTCGCGACAGTGGCCTTCTAACCAACGCTGGAAACCAATCATCTGGCTCGCAGCCTCGACCTTCTTGTCGGCAAGATGCTGCCATCCGCCCAGCTTGTACGATAAAAGATTCTCGTGGCTGGTGAGAATTAGGCCACGTAAGCCACGTGTCTCGCGATGGAGATCTTCGTACAGCTGCAGCATTTCCGGCGTCGTCGGTAGTTTCCGGGAGAAAGGGATGTGACGGACCTCGCGCCCCACGAGATCTCCCAGGCGAGATTGTGCCGTCTGGGCGGTTTGCATTAGTAGCGCTTTAGGGACGACCAAGCGGGCGAGGTTGTTGCCGTTGGCCAGGACAGATACCACCATCGGCATGATGCAAGAGGTCTTGCCTGAGAGGGGGATCAGTACCGGTCACAAAGCCGAGAACGATACATTCCGTGGAATATAACACTTACCTTTTCCCATATTCATCTGCAGCACGCTATTCTGCATCGACCGCGGCGCGATAATTGCCCGCGCAACATCTACCTGCTCAGCGCGGATAAGAAAGTTACCATCGATTTCTATCAACAACCAGTCAGGAACCTCGAGGGGTGCCCAATTCTCGTGCCCCGGGTTTCGTAACTCCTCCGCTAACAGTCGTTGGTCCTGTTGAGGGTTGTTTTGTTCCCAGTGAGCAGTTATCTGTTCTCGCTGAGCAATGTGGGTGATCCTTTCTAGCCTTTGCAGAATGGTGACAGCCAACCCATAGTTCACCAGAGCCTCTTTCATTGATGGCCCGAAGCGATGGGCAGCCGAGGACCTCAGCAACGTGAGTACTTCTACTGGTGACGTGCACGGCCAGAGAGCACCAAGCTGTAGCCATTTGGATCGAGGATCTGAGCTAGCGATGGAACTAGAGATTTTATCGAAATATGATGTAGCCGTCTCACCAGCTTGTCCAAGAGCTCGTTTCAGCACCCCGACATGCGGTGTCGAAACCTTCCCATCAGCTGATTGGCTCATATCTTTAAGAGATTCCAGGCTCTCCAAGAGGTCGCCAGCGTACTGTTGGCGCATCTGATCGCTGGTCTTTGCGAAGTTGCTTACAATAATTCCAAGCTCCGTAGCTTCGGGGGTGGATCTTTTCACGTTCGGCATAGTAGTAGTGTTCGTATCTCTGAAAGGGCAACTACTATCAGGGGTGTTCAGTATTGGCCCTCGTTTCGTCACCAAATCCAAGGCAATAGATGGGATAGGGCGCGCATGCTTTTGAGCACCGAATTCTGGGGTAGATAACCTCCATTCGATCAGGGCGGAACCATACCACAGACCCCTAAGTGAGTCGAGTATCTTTTGGGTTTTCTGGACATAGATACCCAATTCGCGATTCTTTCGCCGGCGCTCCCATTCATGCTGAATCTCCTGCAGCGCCGAGAGGGGATCAAGAACCTCGAGGGGAAGGCCTTCCACTGACAAACAATCGGCAGGATGTGGCCACTGCGATGAAAAATGCGCGGCGAGCTGCATGTTCTCTTCCGCACACCGAAGCTCGTGTTCTCGAGCATTTCTTCCGGCTTGGTCTCGAATTGTCCCCGCTCGATAGGATGCTGACCTAAATTCGGGATAGACGGGTGTGATAAGCTTTTGTAAAAGGTCCAGAGACGGCTTTTCACGAGATTTGAAGTTTTCAAAGCAGTCGTGTTGAGGAGGCTGCAAACTCTTAAGTCTATCAACCACGGCAAATGCGGCAAGCGGGCGGATAGCATCCAGGTCAGCTTCAGGGTTAAAGGCTAGAAGCCCCAGACGGAACAACAGGGGAGTTGTATGCTCTGCAAAGCGACAGCGGTTAACGAGACTTCCCCACTGCTCACTAATAGGCTCTTCGATTTGGTTGACGAGTGGCTCTATGCTAGCTGTCGAGTGTGTCTCGTCATGGAACCCACCCACAACCTCACTAGACTCGAGAATCGATCGCAAGTTTGTCTGCATGGTTAAGGACTCGCAGCCCGTCAAGATTAATCGGCAGATCTCGTAAACATTTAAGGCCTTTGACGTCGCTCTGCGGTCACGCGGCGTGTAAGGTGTAGTCGGCATCGATTCCGTTGCCGTGTCTGTGCTCGGCCGTCTATAAAGATTCTGGTGGGCCTCGCCACGACGTTGGAGATGCGTGGGCTCCTTAACGATATAGTTATCTGAGCTGGCGTTGGAGAACACACCGATCTTTCTTGATTTCTCAGTAATATCTCGGACCAAGGCTTTATATCCATCGTGTTGAATAGTCGTAGACAATTCATCATCCCACGACACTGTTTGGAGACGCTTGATCTCAGGGGGATAGTATTCTCTGCGAGGGGCTAGCCGCTCTAAGATATTCAAAATTCGATATGCCTGACACCCTAGTGGAGTCCATGGCTGAGCGGATCCGGAGCGAAGAATTAAAAAGGACTCTTCCGTACCCGTCCTCCGGGTCAAAGGATCAGGAAGGCAAAACGACGTGAGAGCATGATATAGGGCCTTCAGATATACTAGGCGCGGCTCAGGGGGGCAGGATAGTCGACCCAAGATATCGTCTATCTTATACCTTTCGTACCCATAAGCCTTCTCTATATGCACATAAACATGCATTCCGTGCCGCACCCACGTCGTATCCCCGGAAGGCACGATGATACTCCTCTTTCGAGTAAACTCATCCCGTAGCACAAGCTTGCTACGGAGGCCGTACCAAGTGCCAGCATCCTGGTCCAAATCGACTTCTGCATGTAATTGTCGGCAGTAGAGGAGGCCATGGTAGGTTACGTAGAAAGACAATTCCAAAAGGGGTAAATGCACTGCCAGCTTGCCTTTTGGAGGTTGGAATACAGTTATCCTCTCTGGCCGCTCGATATGCTCGAGCACCTTGGCGACCTGGAGGAATACGTCCGACTTCGGGTCGACAAGGCGGACACTAGGTTCGCCGCCACGAGTTGCCTGGCGTTCTCGTACATTGATAGACCAATTTCGTGGCCGCGAACCCCAGAAGTTAGGGGCCCGCCGGACATCCAAATTCCCGGTTCGCAGGTTAAGCCAATGTGCACAGTTATCAATGAGTTCGGAGGGAAGATCGAAGTCATCCGGGCCTCGGAACCTCTCCATCGGTACGAACTCGAGCAATTCGTTGTCCCATCCCAAAGCACGGATAATAACTTGTTTATCACGTACGCCAAAGTGAACTTCCTGCTCCTCGAAATAAGCAAGGCAATAGCTCATGCCAGACAGCGGTGAAGGGTATGTTAGAAGGTGCTGATTCTCAAATAGTTTCTTGACAGCCGAGCTATCCAAGATCTCTAGCGGCAGCTTCCCACACGGCTTGCCGTTGAGCAGAAGATGGCCTTCGACAACATTGTGATGTACCACTTGACTGAATCTATAGTAACCCTGCCCCCCCGAGGAGGTAGCAACGATCCATCGCTCGTTAGGTGCGGCAAGGAATTGCCACTGTGAGAACGCTCTAGTGGTATTATCCGAGCCAGCCCACCATCTGCTGATTCCGGCCCCAACACTCGCAGGGTGATGGGCTACGGCAGTCTTCAATGGTGTCTTGAGGTGATATGCCATTTTTGCGTCGCGGAGAAGCATTCTTTTTAAATTTTGTGGCAATTTAGCAATACTGCCTAGCATGTTCTCCTGCAATGCCACCGACGCCACAACCCAAGTGACGAAATCCTCCGCGTTTATCGCCTCCTCGAGTTCGGCGTAGATGCCAAAGGTTCGTCTACATAGCAAAGCTGCGCAGAAGCCGTACGTTGCGATACGCTGGGCCGCACCAGCATCGGTTGTCGTACGGAGATCCCGGCGTAGGGAGATGGTCCAATCTTGCGTGGCCTTTCGGGCCTTGCCAAGCAAGGTTCTGGCGCGGTCTCTCGAGACTCCAGAAGACAGCTCGAACAAGCGTATGATCAGAGTAATGAGCAAATCCATATAGTGGTGCTCGCGCCAATTATCCAAGATAGTGTGGAGGCGCCTCTCGATCACTTCCACGAGGCGATGTACGAAGGCAGGCTCCTTAAATATGACGTGAGCCGCCCGCAGAGGTTCATCCGGAAGCCGAGGACCGGCTTGGACAGCAAGCTGGCACATGACACGAGTCGCTTCCTCATTGCTGAAGTTGAGGTTCGACGAACCCATTTCGACTAGGATGTTGGGCCAGCGACGAACCTTGCCAGCCAGTAATTTCTGGTATGCCGAAAACTCGTGAATCGACATATCGGACGGACATAGACATTGGTTGGCCTGTGCTTGATAAGATGACGGCCCGTCGACGATGGGAGGGGGGTGCTTAGCCTCCGGCAAGATCGTAGTTTGAAGCTCACGGGGGACTTGAATTCCGCAGAGGCGCTGAAGCGTTAAAGGGTTCTTCAAATTCTTGACCCAGAGCTGGGAGGTGTGGTCGTATAATTCATATTCTGCAGCGAGGGGCAGTAATAGGCAAGACAGCCGGACCTTGCCACTATTAAACTTGTAGTGAGTCTGGTGAAAGGTCTTGATTCTCGACGCAAATGAGACCCCTTTGACTTCTGCTGACATGTACGACCGGAGCCCTGCGGAATTCCTCAGTTCGATTTCCGGGGTTTTGCAACCGATCGGGCGGTCCGGATATGCCAGTGTGCGTAGAATTTGCCAACTTGCATCGCGATATGCGGAAAGGTAGGCCGGAATTGCAAGCTCGAATACCACCGCCGCCCTAGCTGGTGCACTGGAAGGGAGAAAGTCCTCATGCACCTGGATTTTCAAGCGATTTCGTACCCGCCAATGCCAACACCTCTTACAACCCGCTACATTGCGCTGGCCGTCTCTCCAAGAGCAGCGGCAGACGTTCTCTGAAATGCCTGTTGTGTGTGTATCGTACTCGCCACAGGCCCTCTCCCATTCCTCTTCCTTGTTGTTGCGAGCATAATTTGATGCGCTCTGAATACGCGATTCCAGAGAACGCATCTCAGTCGATTGGGTGGCATATCGCGTAGCCAGACAATTACGATCAATATCGTCGAAGATACCACCATATCGAGATTCTGACTGTCGACGAGATAAGTATATCTGTATACGCTGGAGGCGACGCATCTGAGACATGGTGGGGAGCTGGAGGACATCCAGGAGATCTGGTCCAAATACGGGCCTGTACTCTCGGAGGAGAGGGCATACCGCAACGGCACACTGATCAAGGTGCGTCCAAAGGGTAAAAATACTCAGGATAAACACGCTCATCTGCTCTGGATCGCCGCTGTACGTGTCCTTGATCTCGGTAAGCATGGCATCAATCCGCGTAGCAATAAAGGTGCAGCGATCCTCAAATAGGCGTGTGGTCCCTTGGCCAGGCTGCTCATCAAGGTTCGCGCGCTCCTCGTTAGACGCAAGCCGAAACGCACCATCCGTAAATGCCTGTGCTTGCTGGACAGCCGTGTCTAACGGACGGGGGAGATCGAAGGATGAAATACCCGGCTGTTGAGATGGTCGGTGAGACAGTAGGTGATCGAGATACTGCCCGCTGTTTGTAAGGGACAGCTTTAAGGCAGACTCGGGTACAAGATGGGGGAGCGTGTGAATATGCCGAGTCGTCGCCCGCTTGAAAGACTTCCAGGCATTCTCGACCTGTGATGTGGCCTCTTGAATTGTACTATGTATTATAGGGCCAAGCTGATCAAAAAGGGGCTGGCATGCAACAGCGTCTTGTGATGTCATCCCAGTCTTTTCTGTTTCTAGTTTTGCCATACGGCGGCAAAGCTTGGCGCGAAGCATGATGGTCAACTCCGGGTTGAGGCTCCCAGCGCACTCTTTCAAAAGACCCGCGAGAAGAAGAGAGATGACGAACTTGTAGCTTATTCGGCCGCGTATGTTACCGAGACGCAAACTGAGTTGGCGTTGGGCGGCAACACGTAGGACTAGCCAAAATGGTAGCCTCCGCCACGGCAATTCGGCCTTGAGAATATGAACCTCGTCTCTCACTCGCTTCCGAAGCAAGGGAGGCTCGAAGTAATCTCCCATCGCCTCAAGAAGTGGTATAAGCATCTGCGTAATCAGAGCCGGGTCGGTCGTATCTCTAGTCTCAATCACGGATACCTTGGCCTTCCTGGTGGAGGCCTGGAGGTTGTATAGAGACTCGATGCTGGCTTGCTCAAGAAAGGCTGCTAGGCTCTGCTGGAATTCTGTGTCTTTAAACACAGCGAGGGGAAGTCGGGCAGAACGTCCAGGAAAATCCCATTCTAACGTATGAGATGCGGCGAGAACCCTCTCAGAGATGGCTGAGGCCTCGAATGCCTCGAAGACAACGCAATCCCCGTCGTCACTGTTTGATAGTAAACAAGAAGGTCCTCGCTCGGAGGCGATTGTAGGCATTGTACTAACCAGGCCTCACGGCGGATAAGCACGGCAGCATTTTGTTGAACGACATGCAATATCAACATGTCATTGGGCTGAATCTTCTTAAAATATGCCATCATTATAGAACTCTCAAGACCGCCCGAGTTCAGATTGAGACAGGCAAGAAGAGAGGTACGGAGGGCGCGGAATGCCTCTGCCCAAGGCGTTTTGATAAGTTTAGTAGCGGCATCATCGGTGGCAGTAAGGAATCGCGTCAATATTTCGTACGATATATTTTCAAGATCTGAATCTTGCTCCCCGGGGACCCGAGGGGGGAGGACAAGATGGTTGAAGACATCCTCGAGTAAAGTCATATTCAGGAGTGATACGAAAGTGCTTCGGCAGATAGCGTTACGGATTTGCTAAGTCGTGCCTCAGGATGGGGGATACAATATCGGTTTAGATGATTATATGAGAGAGGAAATTAATGGCCGGGATTGGTAAAAATAGGGTGTGGGGGGGGGGGTTAACGAGTGCAATGATGGTCCCGAGACTTGCTGGACGGTTCTTGGTGAGTCATCAATTTGTCTTGATCACGGGCTGCTCGCGGCGCCTACGGGGACGTGATGGGAAGCTGCATTCCTGAGGCTTGCCTGCCGCTTTTCGAGTCCGAGTTGGCCGAGCAGAGAGAGCAGGTTGGCCATGGATGGGGCGATAGAGTCATGGCCAGGCTCGAAACTACAGGCTGTCGAGCTTCAGTTCCGTTGCCTGCAGAGCCGAACTGTAGCCTAGGGCAGCGGTACACCGCCGAGAGGCAACCGAGGAGCGGCGACGACTAAGGAGGTCAGGATCAGGCTGGAAAGGACCGAGGAGTACAAAGCTGACGCAGGTTGGGAGGCTGAGACTCGAGATATCTCATGTTGTCACTGTGTAGCATATGCACTCAGCCGTTTCTGGAGACGCAGTCACCAGAATTACGACCTGCCAACGTGCGTGTCCAACGCCCCGGTTAGAACTGGCCGGAAATGCGTAAGGATATCATCCCTCATAAGACGGTTCTACGAGAACCGAAAAGAAGACTTCGAAGGCGCAGAAAAACGAACGAAAGAACAGAAACCCCGAAGGTCATATGACGGTAGAGAGGAGGGACGTAAGCAGGTGCGTGTTGTATTGGTGAAGTCGGATAGCTTATAGGGTACCTCTTCTGAGGCGCTACGCGCAGGTACTAATCAATATCCTTACAGCGTGAATTGAGTGATGAGAATAAGTATACTAGGTACCTAAGGTACCCTATCCTTCGGTACCTACAGGCAGAAAGGTAGGTACCTACAGGTAGGTAGGTAGAGGTACCTAGGTGGTATCTGAGACCTGCCTAACAGGTAGGGTACACAACCTAGCTCCACGCACCGACCAGTTTTCGAACCTCAGAGGGCTTTTATGGCCGAATAGACCCGGCCTTCACGCCTTCAGGCATTCGGTCAGTTCGAAACGATACAGAGAAGATTAGCATGGCCCCTATACTAAGGATGACACGCTACATCAAAGGCTACATCAAAGAGATGCTAAGCATTTTTTTGCAACTTTTTTAGCCCTCGCCCCCTCGCCCCTCGCATCGCGAACCATTTTAGATCTTCGGCTATCAGGTCTTCCTCATCATATCCATTACGAAATCCATCCATTTTTCGACGCCGTGGTTTTCCCTTCTATGTAGTATCATAAGCTACGCCCTCCCTCTGTCGGGTACAGGCAGGTGGTTACGAGGCTTGGGCCTACGCTGCATACCTAGGTAATACTCAATATGCCTAAGGTAGGACTTATCTCCCCCACGCGCCTCTACAGCCTCCGCATGCGGCCCTTGCGCATCTGACCTCTTGATTCCCAATCGTTACCCCCTCTTCTACTGGCTCCTTACCGTGGACTCAAGCCTCCAAAACTTGTGTGCTGCAGGACGACGAAACGGGACGCGGCATGGGGGAGGTAGGTCGCGAATATAACACCTTATGGTAGAGACGCGCAGGGATACAACCCTGATATCCCACCAGCGGTCCTCACTCAGGCATTTTCCCTATTTCGACCCAACGCAACCTGATTTACACCTGGATCCACATGGCCGGCTTGTTTACGACCTCTTCATGGACGGGCCTAGGAGTGGACAGCTCGTTACACACAGCCTCGCCTCCGCGTTTGACAGTCCGACATGGCAGCCAACACCAGGCCATGCGACGGCACCGTCTCAATGTGTGCTGGCCGTCGTTCTACAATTCGAACCGCCTCCCATCCCGGTTCCGAGAGGTGTTGGAAGAGTCAACCACGGAACCGCGGCCAAAGGCAGAAAGGCAGCTAGGCGAATATTGTCTCCTCGCGCTTCCCGTCTTACGATTCCGACTCGTCGCACGACGAGGCACGTACGCGCCCGACGGGAGCCGGCTGTGAAACAGACCAACGTTGCCTGCAAACGCGATCGGGGGACCGGCCTGTCAGGCTGCGACGACTAGGAAAACAAAACAACACAACACTGTGCACAACAAGAACCTCCAGCGGAGCCACATCAGCGCCATGCGCAGTGCATCTGCATCTAGACCTCATGCAGGTGATTTAATCTGATTTTCGCTCTATCCCACGGTTCCAATGATATGAAATTTCCCTACACACATGATGACGCACCGGTCCGACAGTAACAAAGATTTTTGCTAATTTGCTAACGCGTCCAATGGCATCTTTTATGGCCACCGAAGATGGCAAGCTGTTCCCAGTCGAGCACCAGCGGCCGCTCTAAGTCCCCTGCCAAACGTAGCCCAGCTTCCGCTCTTTCAGTCTCTTAGACTTCGAAGATCATCAGTGGACCTCACAGGTCTCGTACCCGGCTGTTGTGAGGAGTGTTTAGACCACGACCCCTGGGCACGTTGCTTTGTGTACTCATATTTACGAGTCATCGAGTCTAATACACAGAGTGCCATGCCTTCTTGAGAGCCGTCAGTGTGGGGCGCCTTTACAATGCTCAGTCCATCCACTGAGCCCAGTATTACAGTCTTGAGTGTCTTCCCATCCCCACACTTCCTACCCGGCATATTACAGGTATTATTGGTAACATGAGTCTTGCCCGTGAGTAACAAAGGGATTATCAAGTCATGTACCGAAGCCAAATCTGGGGAAAGCAACAATGCCTTGGGGGGGATGCCAAGAGATCGAAAACGTAACCAGGGACTAGGACCCCGACGATCCTTAGTTAATTCATAGCTTCTGCTCGGGATGATCAACAACCCCGCCTTTTGTAATCCCTCCCAAATGGAGAGGACAAGAGAGGTTATGAAGTCGGTACACCATCACATATCTCAAGAAAGAATAGTACGAATTTCACAATAATAACAAGTTGATGAATGTTGAGCAGAATTGTAGTAATGAAGATTTACAGTAGGTAACAACTGCTTAACTATGCAATTGTTAGACATGCTGCTTATGTAAGCATCTTCTCCCCCTATTTGTAAGTGCCGACATCTCCTTGAGGCTCAACTACCACCTGGCATCAAGCGGGATACGAACAGTATGGTAGCTCGGTCTTTTCTCGCAAGGAGCTGTTGACGGGCTTTCTAAGAGCATCGCTGAAGGATCCGCTTCTCTTCCCAAAAGTAGTGATGCAAAGCCCGGTGCCGGCCAGCGAACTATCGTCAAGTTCCTGGGTGAAAGCAGAGCAACAACCGACCGTCTCCCTATGTACCACCAAATGTTGAAAAAACACATCCTTTACGCTGAAGCACTATTCTAAGGGTTCCGAGACGAAGAAGTATTTTGGAAAGGAGCGGTGTAACCGAGCCAGACGACTAACATTGATTCCTAATCCGGTTACGGGTCACGATAAGAAGCACTAGGTAATTGAATCTTCGTGACGCCGTACGAGCACTCTTAAAACATGACCGGAATAAGAACGAATGAGACCGCGAGGAAACAGAGAAACGTGGCCCATGTTGAAGCAATTTCAGGATTAAGAGGCAGGCCTGGGATGACACCTTCAGGGCAGACGAGAAATAAAACTGAACGCAAAGCCCATATAAATGAATGCAGATTAAAAATACATCATGTCTTAGCAACATTGCACCATTGCTTATACTTTCCAAGCCCAGAGAATATAATAAACAGACGAATTACGTTGACGTTCGGTCACCAGCTGATCAGACACCACTAGATAGATATCTACGCGCATGTGCTTCTGTGGCATTATAGGGGATCATACAGGGTGAGCGTCTCGGCGTCCTCGCGCATTCGGACTAATAAGTAGCGTACAGTTACGCATGAGAGCCGTCAAGGCAAAAGGCCAAACGAAACATATGATACAACACAGGGTGACTAGAGCTACGGCATCCCGTTACTCTCTCCCACCACGCGAGTTGAAGGCTCCCCCCGTCTATCCCGTGAATTACTATTAACCTGTTTTCGTCGCGAATTGCTCGATTCCTCCCGGGGCCCGGGAGCGCCTAACATCTACTACCGCTACACATCTCCGTCGCGATCCGGGGGGGAGAACCCGCTCGTTCCCTCGGCGCAACCCAAGGCCGATCGAGTTAGGCCTCGAACACCAACACGACGCCGTCGTCCCCGGCCGTCACGATCCGCTCGCCGGTCGCGCCCTGGACGAAGCCCAGCACGCCGCCTCCCTCGCCGTCGCCCCTGTGACCCCGCCACTCGCCGACGAGGCTCGGGTCGGCGGGCGCGCTCGCCCCCCCGGGGCGGCTGCCGCCGCTCGCGCCCTCCGCTGCCGCGGCGCCGGCGCCGGCGCCCGCCCGCAGGTCCCACCGGCGGACGACGCCGTCCATGCCGCAGCTGGTCAGCAGCCAGCCGTCGGCGGTGCCGCCGGGCACGAACTCGACCTTGACCACGCTGAACTCGTCGTGCGCGGCGCGCAGGTGCCGCCGCGCCGCGAACCGCCGCGCCGTGTCGTACACCGCCACGCTGCCGTCGACGCTCCCGGCCGCCAGCAGCGTCCGCGGCGGCGGCGCGAAGCTCAGCGTCTCGATCCCATCCGACTGGGTCTGCAGGTCCGCAAGGATCTGGCCCCCCTGCGCGCCGCCGGCGTCCGATCCCTTCGCCTTCGCCTTGCTCGGCCGGCTCGGCGTCGCGTGGTCGCCCGCCGCGGCGCCCTCGCCGAGGCGCGGCAGCCCGACGATCTTGATGGCGCCGCCGCCGCCGCCGACCGCCACGAACGCGGACCGCGGGTCGACCGCCACCGAGTAGAGGCCGCCGTCGACGGCGAAGCGCTGGTCCTGGGTGGTCAGCGACACGACGGTCTGGCCGTTGTCGTTGGCGAGGCCGCGGGCGGCGGCGATGCCCCAGACGTCCCAGACGTAGAGGGACCCGTCCTCGGACACGGTGGCGAGGAGGGCGCCGTCGGGAGACCAGGCGCCGGCCGTGCACGGGCCCGTGTGCAGGAAGTAGCTCTGGACGATCTGGAGGGGGCTCGCAGGGTCCGTCTCCGGGCCGACGATGTCGTAGACCCAGACGGAGCCGTCCGAGGCGCCGAGCGCGACCACGTTCGGGTGCGCGGTCGTCGCCGGGCACGGCGCGAGCCAGTTCACCTCGGGCACCTCCTGCGACTCGCCCGCGAACGCGAACGACGGCGTGTTGCGCGCATCAAGCGCCACCCGGTACGCGCGCAGGCGCCCATCGAGGCCTCCCGACACCAGGAACTCGCCTCGCGGAAGCGTGAAGGCTAGCGTGTTTATCGAGTCTGTGTGTCCGTCGATCGTGAACAGTGGTTTCAGCTCGATGCTCCGGGCCTCGGTGGGCCCCGACGGATCCGCATTGTAGCTCGCGGGAAGCAGCGGCCTCCCCACTACGGGGCTCGTGTCGAAGACGTAGCCGCGTCCCGGGGTGTCGTCGCCCTCGCCCTCGCTGCCGCCCGTCGCGATCAGGGACGGCTGGGTCGGGTGCTGGGCGATGGCGAACACCGAGTCCTTGTGGGCGTCGAAGTAGGCTACGCTGTCGTTCTGCAGGTTGATCTCCTCGGGCTCGTCATCGTCGGAGTCCATCGCCACATCGCCCTCGGTGTCCACGATCTCCTCCAGCGCGTCGTCCGCGTCGAGCAATTCCGGCGTGTCATCCAGGTCGTCCTGGTGCGGGGCAGACATGGCGAGTCGGTTGAGTGTTCGATGCCGATATTTCTTACAGTTTCTCTCTCGAGTTTGAGCGAAGCGGATTTGAGTAGGCGGTAATGAACTTGGCAGGTAAGCGAGTCTCCTATGAGAACTTGAACACCGGAAAGGTATATGCGATATCGAAGAGAAAACGAAAAGCTTCGACGTGCTTGATAATCAGTCCGACTTTTTTTATTGCGCTTTTGATGGTGGGGTAACATCCCACCGACCGGCACCCGCCACCATGCCGCCGTCTTACATTAGTCAGTGGACCACCACCGGCCGCATCAAACAGAGGGAATTGTCAGAGGCGACAGGCATCACATATAGCAGACGAAACCAAAAGAGATGTAGATAGATGTATATACAACAGAATAGCTAGTGCTTTATATACGTATTGTACGATCACAACGTAACCCCAGACTCCGCTCGATGCAAACGAGACGCCTTCCCCCATTGTGGAGCGAACCATCAACAAATGCACAACTCCCGAAGCCGCAACAACACTCATTATTACCAGTGTACCTATCGCAGCTGATCAGGTCTTTCCATTTCGCGAAGGTCAAAGACGTGCTCCATGCTCAATGCCCCGTCACCGTGCCGACGAGATTCATAACCAAACATATCGTCATGACGCAAACACCGTATACAGCTAAGGCCAGTGCCGCTGCCCTCAGAAACTCGGGGTTTAGATGCTCCATGTCCCATCTCCACTTCCGCCGCCACCTAAGCGGGAATTTCGAGTTTCTACCACTCGCTGCGCTGGGGACACTATCCACGCTGCCGCCCAACAGGCCGTCGTCTCCCGCACCCTCATCTTCCGAGTCGGTGCCGGGCTGCGACAGGGCATCATCGTCCTCTTTCGTCAGGCGTTGATGGTGGATTGAATGCGGGTCTGAGATCTTGTAATAGAACAGTCCCGGGAGGATGAAACTAATGCTTGTACTACCTGTGGAGCCTACGTAGGCTAATACCCGTTCGAGGGAGACCACTGTGAGTGCCACGATGTAACCTAGAATTAAGATTATCGTCGTCAAGGTAGCGAAGCGCATGTCCGACATAGGGGCGCCGGAGCCGTGGTCGGATCGCGCCTGGGCAGTGGGAAGAATTAACCGACCGCCGGGCGAGCCCGTCGATGCTTGTGGGCGGGACGAGTCCTTCGGACGCCATTTGAGGACGGCGTCTACGGACGCTCGGCACGGGTGTATCTGCAGGGGGACAGAAAATGTGACTAGGACGACAATGGCCGCTTTTGCAATTGTCGAGGCAACTGATGCAGGATCTGTCGTATATCTGTTAGTTTTGCATAGAGGAGTCGGAGTAAGCTAAGAGGAGCCGTAGTAGACATACACATAGATACGATATTACCGTTCACATCGTTGCCGAATGTGAGGTACCCAGTAATGGCGACCAGCACATAAATGCCAGCAGCGGAGCCAATGCTAGAAGATATAACCCCCATTATACTTGATGCGTTGTCAGCGCTGCCAGTACCGCAAAACCATGCGTGTGGGGACACCTTACTTCCGGGGAGAGTTATCATTAATCTCGTTGAGGATGGAGAACATGTTTTGGTGGCAGGTGTACGCGAAGATAACCACGGGCAAGCTGGCGAGAGCCTCCACGGGACCTCCCCAAGAGACGAATCGGATCTTATCCTTAGGCGCAAGGACATCCGAGGCGAAATGATAGACAACAAGAACGATAAGGTAGCCGATAGAAATCAGGGCCACGATGCTAGTGTATTTGAGGGAGTCTAGGCGCCGCAAGAAGCTCAACGGGATGATGACCAACATGAAGACGGTGATCCAGAAATTGCGATCCATGAGGTAAGGCATATCGGCGGTCCTCGAATCGAACCCTTCGACGACGCCAGGCATCAGATCACCGATGATGATCATATATGACACAGCGACCCCGAAGCACTTAATAGCGATGGCGGCGTCGAAAATGACAGCGGCGTTCGGGTATGTCATCTGGGATAGGGCGAAGAAAGACGAAGACCCACGGTCGAGATAACGGGCACATCGGGATTGAAGGTATAAGCCGAAGGCAGACGTCATGCCCGACCATATGATCACCATAGTCCCGAAGACCATGCCGAAGTGCGACATGGCCGAAGGCATCGCGAGCGTGCCCGCACCGACAACTATGAGAGTATTCTAGTCAGCTTGCCGAGCGCGACTACTCAGCGCAGCGACGCGAGCAGAGCGCGGGACCTGATGACGTACTGGTATTGAGGAGATTGATGACGCTGCTAACCATCGTCGCCTGTCCTCCGCCCTCCTTCTGGCGGGCGCGGGTCCGTTTTTGCCTAGATGCGAGATCCCGGTTAGCCAGGAGTAATGACGTCGCCGGCGTGGCGGGATTACGCACCTCGTCATCTCGCCAGTCGAGGAGGACCCCTCTTCAGAGATGGTCGAGTAATTCGGCATAGCCTGAGAGGCTCTGTAGGCATCAAATTGTTATATTCCCGGGCAGCGAGGAGCTGCGCCAACGACTCGAGTACCGCAATGGTGGTCACGTAGCGTCGTTTTATGCTGGTCGGCTGCTCGTCCGAACGGTGGCTGGTACTCCTGTGCGTTGCGTGCTCGTGCCGGCGATTCCGCGATTCGGATTCGAAACGAACGTATACGACGGGCTATGTATGTAGCGACGCGGCAGACGCAGCGACAATGGGTATCGCACGCAGGTATACTCGCTGTCGGCAAATTGACACGTATATAGGGGCGACCGGCGGTTTGAACGCAAGTAGCGGTATGACGAGGGTCTTTCTCGTCGTTGTTGAGGCTGGAAATTTGTGTGGGAGCCAGGCCAGCCAACTTCCCGCTGGCAGCTGACAAAGGAGTCAAATCAATCCAAGCCACCCAAGCAATCCGGCCACGTCGGGCCATTGGGTGACGGGCGCCGTGCTGGCAAGTCGAGCCCACCGAGGGCCAATCAGCTCAGTCCTTACCCAGTGCCGGTCCAGGCACCCACAACTAGCAGCGGTCTCGTTAGTTGGGTCAGGCACCGCGTTCCACTGAACGCAGCGCCTATCCAGGCCTCTTTAGGTACTACGTCGCAGATGGCGGGGCTACCCAGTACTACCCAACGTAGTAGCATATCATATTACTGGGTAGTGGCATAGTACCAAGTATTAGGTATTTGGTATTAGTAGGTACCTAATACTTGATAATGGGTAGCGTGCACGTCGTGGGGCGCGGTTGCGGCGGCACAACATCACCTAATTAGCTAATAATGATGGGTCTTGGCCTAGGCCTACCCGGAATCTACCTCACTTACCCGCATCATCACCAAAATCTGTCACAAGCATTACGTCCAGTGCGTTGAGAACCGCAATTGATCACGAACCGAGCAGCCTTAGGCTTCACGTAGGTCCTTTAGATTGCAGCCAACTGTATCCCCCCCCCCTTTACGACACCGCCCCCGAACCTGCTACTCCTCATCACTACCACGGGTCATGAACCAGGTCGCATAGATAGCAATATCTACCAACAGGATGGACTCCACCGAACCTACGCTCGATGGCACAACGCTGTCTACCGTCTCTCTTCTTGAGGCGCGGCTTCTGCGCATCGAACATGCCCTACTCGGCCACACGGTCCAGCAGCCAAAAACGTCGGCTATCGAAAGCGTCCATGAGCTCGAGCACCGGTTTGGATCCCTCCTACAACGGGTGCGTGTCTACGCCGAGCTTCTCAGACTCTGTACGCCGACCTTCCCCTTTCCTCCCGCAGATGACCGCGTCGGCGTGCTACAATGCAAATTGCCCTACTTCTAGCGCTCGGCATCAGGTACCCGCCGGCGTCTCAATGTCACTTAGCTAATCGCTTCCTCGCGCCCAGACAAATCCCACCCGACCCTCTTCCGGCCTCCACCGCCCTTCAAGCCGCCCTCCGAGCTGTCGGCTGACGCGGTGCGCGCCATTGTGCTCGCCGCCGCCTCCTCGTACCCGGCAACGGCATCTGCATTAACGGCCATCTCGGACACGCCCGTGCCGGACCCGGCGCAGACGGCCGCTTTGGCCGCGCTGTTGCCGCGCATGAAGGCGATAGAGGCGATCCAGCTGGCTCAGGCTGCCCAGGTCGCCGAGCTGCGCGCGCGCAGCGAAGCCGTCGTGCGCCGCTGGTACGAGCGCGACGTCATGGGCTACTCGAGCTTCGTAGCCGGCGTCGAGGGTCGGGTCGAGAGGGCCGAGCGGCACGTCAAGAGGATCGAGAAACTTAGGAGCGAGGTCTGAGGCGTGGACCGGCGGAACGAGACATGTCAAGTCACCATCGGCCGCATCATGGCATATAACGTCTCCGACACCTCTCTCTCGGAATTTGTGGCGGCGATGTCGATTAAGGAAGCTAGGTATCCGCAATCCAGGGATAAAGACCAGCGGAATCCGCCGCTGTTATAATCGAGGTCTAGGCGAACGCCACCTCACGTTGAGGTGGATTGGGTGGACCGGACCATGCTCGCCCCGCCATTTCGGCATTGATTTGAATATCATGCGGCGACGTCTAAATTAGATGGAGATGCTAATACAGACGCGATGCACCAATGGTACCGCCATTACAGCCGTCGCCGTTATCGATCGGACTGGCTGGCCCGAGTCTTATAGAGAGGGCAATTTAACTAGCGAGAGGCTGCGCTGCAATGGTCCTGTCGTGCTATCGGGGATCGCTGTTGTTTCTGAGCCGAGGATGAGCGGTTATGCCGTCGCCCGCTCATTAGCGATGGCGCCAACACGCAAATTGCCCCCATAAATTTAGATCATGCGTGCGGACGCGGTTGTGGTCCTTGCATGTAACGATGCATTCATGTTCATAAACACAAGCGGAGTCTCGAAACGCCAAGCCGCGGCTTGGTTGGGGCCAGCTCCACGGTGAATCTGCCACCTTGCCCACTTGGGCCGGCAAGTCGGGAACAGATGACAGAGGCCTCTTAGAACCAACTCACTGGCTTGGTGGCCGCACGAGATGTGGCAGTCGAACGCACGCAGCCTCGAGGGCCGTTCATCCCTACGATGGCTGCCGTTTCGCGGCACGGACGACGATGGTGGCGACGTGGGCCACGTGTGGTGTAGGTGTGTGTGTTTGTGTTTATGACTGTGTGTCAGTGTCAGATCCCAAGATCGCGGTTCGAGGAGAGCCGATGAGAGTTGGGTGTAAACTACCACCACCATACTATGTAGTACTGCTGCTATTTACAACGCTTTGGCGCACACCGCCTACGCCGCGTGCTTCAGAATCCGTCTACGCCGCAGCGGGATCAGCAGTTTGATACAATCCGGCTTTGGCGCTAAGAGACTCATTCCTCTTTGTTCCTGTCGCGCCATGCCTATGGGATCTGTTCTCAAAATATGTGTAGGATCGCGAAAATGTACATGAGAGCAGGCAGTCGTAGTTTGGGAGAGAGCATGGGCAGACTTTGCACCCCTAGCCACGGCTTGCTGGCTTTCTGACTTGCTCTCTCGCGTGTCTGCTTCGGATATAGACGCATCTCTTGACGACTATATGAAAAGCGTGAAGAGCTTCAAGGGCGAGTCGCGGGACGACTAGCTGTGGGTACATTCATGCCTAAGTACATACGTACGGTGCTACTATGCCGCAGGAAGACGCTGCTCACTACTAGTGGGTCCGAGTATGATCGGAGCCCGGATCCGCGCCCCAACGCTCGGAGAGCCTCCGATGATGCTGACGCTGACGCTGAGACCAGGGGGGGAGGAGGCTATTCGCTAAGAAAGGCGCCCAGCGTTGCTCTGGTGTGCGCAACCCGGTAAGATTCCCGAGCCAACAAACCGCCCATTGCATGCATAGAGACCGCAGGGAAGATCGAAGCGTCCAGACTCGGGTAGCGGAAAGCACTGGGTGGTGAAGCGTGCTCCGGAAGAACGCGCACCGAATTGGTTGTGATCTGATGATCGGAGGCTCTCGCACACACACGGCTACAACCTCACCCTCTATGCCGCTGGGAGGGAGGTCTGTGCGGGCCAGAACTTTCACGAACTTGTTACGGTTGCGAGACAATTCGTCGTCGCCGCACAGGTATAGAGGGATGTTATTAGGGAGCGGGGTCTCGCTCAAATATCTGACCGAGACAACACCCAAACCTTTCTAGCCAGCGTACCGATATCGTTGGTGTATCAGGTGCACGCATGGCCAGTAACTACTACGTAAGTAATATGATAACTGCGAGAAGAAAGAATCGCAGCTTTCAATCGCCTCCCTGTATTACCCTGACCGAACGCTATTACCTACGTATTGTCAAGACGGGCGACGGAAGTGAAGACTCCCTAAACCCCTCCACTCGTCATCACTTTATGAGGTTTAGTATTATTCAACAGACGTGTGTCTCTGACGGTTGATCTGTGGGGGGGGGATCTTGGCTCGACCTGCGGGCCTCGATGAAACATGCCGCAGGGAGAGCAGATCACCGACTCGAAGCATCCTGTGGTTCAGGCAAGACGACCGGGCACATCGAGTAAATCGCATGCGTAGAAGCTAGCCACATAGAAGTCAGAGGAGTTCCTATCCCCTTACATCGCTGCGAACCTCACTTGCGGTACTGCGGGAGGACCCTGTCTACCCGCACCCAAGGGCAGAAAAATCTCACAAGCTGCCACGGAACCACGCCACGCCCGATCTATCTCCTTTGCCCGTCTCATCTCGAGATGCTGTCACCTCGCATAGCCTATCACTAGCGGGAAGGCGTCGAAACGCCCGACATCCGGTACTCCCCAGGTATGTTAGAGCTTCGGCTCGGAGAACTATAGGCTGCTGGCTTTCGGGGACGGGGTTAGTTCTATCACGTAAAGTATTCTGTGACGTGTGTGTGATTGCGTTACAACGAAGTGGAGTGAGGAGCGAAGGGGGGGCACGTTAGCTGCGAAGGGCAGTCAGATCCGCGGTATCGTGGGCAGCACCAGCGGCGCCATTCCTCAGCATTGACCAGCCGACAAAGAATCCAGGACGAGGAAAACACATGGTCCCGAGAGGAAGAGAAACGAAACGAACACTCCGCGGGAGAAGGCCGGGGACAAAAATAATGCGCAGGGCGAGGGGAACAATTGCGTAGGTACCTACTATGCCGTAGGAAGCTTAGGATGGCATTCCAATCCAGCTACGCCAGCAGCCAGGTCCAATTGCTTGTCTAATGTGCGTATGTAACGTAAGTAGGTATTTTGGTCTGTCCCGGCCATCAGCCACACACACTCGACGATGGAAGCAAAAAATACACACATCCAGCCGGTACGTATTGGCAACGAGAGCAGGGGAAGAACAGGAAGAGGTAGGTAATGGCAGGGCAAGAAATTCGGTGCCGAGGGGCCCATTCGCAATCCCCTTTTCTTGGAAGGTTGGCCAAGCCGTCGAATCCCAGGCGGATCTCAAACGACTTACACCGGCTTCACCCATGCGATGACTCCGTATTTTTCCTTCCTTCCTTTCCTTTTCTTGCCTCGCTTTTTCTTGTTCGCTTGCCTAGCAGCAGGCATGCGACAGGGCACGAGTGACGGATATACGCATACCACTAGTATCGCCAGGTACAAATTGCGATGACAGCTAGCCGGTCGACCATCACCACCTCGATGACCTCGATCACAGCATTCCACGCCATCGCCGTCACTAGAGCAGAGCCCAAGCCTGGGAAGCAGTCGTGTTCCTGCTTTAGCGCTTAGTCCGCGCGAGAGCCGGCGGACGATCGCCAATGTGGATGGGTTGTGGAAGGGTTGCGTAAGTGGGTGTGTACGAGTAGAGGATGGTGGCGCGAGCGGGAGAGTCGATAAGCAACCCTCGACATCGAGTAGGTATTTGGCGTAACCGCTGCCGAGCAGATGTCGAGAGGCGAAGAAGACCAGCCCAATGGAAGGAGGACGGTCGTTGCGTCGCTGGTTTGACGGGGATTTGCTGGAAGCCAATGGAGGACGCAGCTGGTTGAGATTCCCCCGGTCGAGAGCAGCTGGGGTTGGGACCAGAGACAAGAAAGAGGGAAAAGATTGAGGATTACCTAGGCAGGCTACTAACCCAAAGGGGAAAACGGTCGTGGCCTGCGACGGGCGTGATTCGCCGGCGAGGTCGCGCTGCGGGCTGGATTTCGTACCTACTTGACTTGAGTCTCTCTCTGGCGTGCCGTAGCCGGTGGTGCTAATACAGTACGAAGATCCAATTTCCCCGAGTACACGAGGCCAGCCTGGGGACGTCGCTACATGTGCTTGTATCGCTGCCAAATGCGACACCCCATGTACCTCTCGCGGCCGTCGACCAATCGCCAATTAGCTCACTGGAGTCGCGCGCACGCACACATCCGTCTTCCGTCGCTTCCACGCTCTCCCCTCTGCATACGTGCAGCACCGTCGACCTTGGCCGCTACATTGCACCAGGTAGATATGTCTGGCGCTACGGGCCAGGCGAGGTACCTCTCAACCGAGGCGCCACCGATAGCTACCTCGACCCGTAGGTGCGCTACCTCTGCATTTTGTATATTCCGTCTGTTCAACCTTCTCCTGCGCTACTGGTGTTACACACACACGCGTACGTACCTGCTAATAGGTCAGGTACCTAAGGCAGGTATGTAGGTACCTAATGTGCCTGCCCAGGGGTGACCATCACATCGAGCCCTTAGACAGCTACATCTGAGGTAAGGTACCTAATTTAGCGCGTCAGCCAGGTATTGTACCTACCTCCTACCTAACATACCTACCTACCTAGGTAGGTACCTCCTGCGTGCCTCCTTACATCCTACCCGATGTACATACGTACCTATGTACGTCCATATGTGTATACGTACACGCGCTCTCCGTTCGCCCAACGCCCTCCACTCATTCCCCCTTCCCCATTTCGACGGGATTGGTTGGACGGGATTGGACGGCGTGCGACTAGCTTGGTCTGATGGATCGAATTGATTGGATTGATCGATATTCCTTTCGCCTTTTTTCTTTTCTTTTTTTCCCTCACCACACGCCCTCTCAAACTCCACGCCCCCTTCCTCCCCCTCAGGCACCCGAGCACATCGGCCCAGGCACCGGAATACATGTACGTATATGTACATACCCTGATGTACCTACCTTAGGTACCTCCTACCTCCTCTAGTAGGTATGAGGTACGTACCAACTCCTTCCCCCCCCATACCCATCCCCCATCCCTTCCACGAGAGCCAACCCTACCACCTGCCTGCCGTCCTCGCCTGGTGAACCTCCTACCTCTCTTACTGTTACTACTGCGACCCTACTTGCTACTTACTACCTCTCTTCTCGTGCCTATCCCTCCTTTCCTTCTACTCTCTTTTATCCCACATCCCCTCCCCTCCGACCCCCGTCATCGCGAAGACGAGCCTATTCTGTCAAATCATTCCCTTCGATTCTCAGCCGGGCATTGCAACCGTGGAACGACCCAACTTCGCTTCTCACGACGTACATATATCAGTGGCCAGTGTTTTACAGCGCTAGAGGGTTTTTGCGCCGCCGGGAACTGCGACAAGACAAGAGCTGGGAACCGTATGTTGGAGCGAAAGGGAAGAAGGGACGATATAAAAAAAGAGAGACGAGGTCAATCTATCCCGGCGGAAGTAAAATAGTGTAGGGGAAAAGACGGAGAGGAGGAACCGCGAAAGGGCAGCAGGAGTGTGGTCGAACACTCAACGCTCCTCGTCACCTCTCGCGTCATCGTCCGCCTCGTTGGCCCGCCTATCTGTCCGCCTATCGCGATATCCTCATATGGCAGACGATTAAATTCTCACCAGTCTTGACTTCTCCCCGTCCCCATCATCAGTCGAAAGGCCGTACCCTCTATCTATCGCTCTCGCTCGCCGGGGCCAACTCAGAGGCATTTCGGTAGCATCACTCTCGGCTCCTCTTTCGAACCGCATCCGCTTTCTCCACCTCCCCCCGGCCGATATTTGGTGCTTTTTGGCCGATTGGACTTGAGGCCGTACGTATATTGCGAAATTACATTCCCTTTCTCGATTTCCTTTTTTCCTTTCCGTTATCGAAGGCGCTTTGGAGGAAGTCAGTCCTGTATTGTCCTTCTCCCGGTGGTGGGTGCAATCGAATCGCCCCTCCAGCGGCGGCCGCATATTCCACACATACTTGATCGTCGGCCGTCCACTGTACTGAGGGACGCGGCTTGATCACCTGCGGCTTCATTTAGCGGCTTTCCCTGCTCTAAGACGCCCGCGTTCGGCGGCGCTTGCAACCATCTATCCGTTTAGTCTTTTGTGAGGCTTTCCTAACCTTCTCTTGGGCACTTCAATTCTAGTCACCCCTTTAAGAAATTACATTCCACCCTGCCGTCCCGCCTCTCTCGGGTCATCAGGCGAATCTACTTATCGACTTTCGTCTCTGCAACCCTTCTCGACTCAGCCACACTTCCTGAACGGGCGATCAACAAACCTGCCTATAGCCCCCCCCCCCCCCCCCCTACTACTACTCTTGGCATCTGTCCTTACGCTCCATGTCCGAGGACCCAAGACCCAACCACAGCTCGTCAGGTTACCATTGTTAATTACACCACCCGCTCATAGGGTAGCTCCTCTTCCTTATGCCCCCGTACGGTTCTCTGCATTCTCCATCGTTGCGCAAAATGGAACAATCTAGGGGAAGCTACGGCCGCAGGGGCATAAACATGTCCAACGTTCTAGGTGACCCCTTTGCCCTAGCCACGATATCTATAGCAGTGGTATGTTGAATTCGTCTCCCCGTCCGGGACGATCGTCACGCTAACTACGGAGTCAATCGTCAGCTTGCATGGGTTATTTCCTTCGTCAGTTCCATCATCGCCCAGGTACAAGCCGTACCCAGAAACCCCTTCCCGCCATATTCCTGGTTCGCTATTGTCTTCACACTTCCCTTAATAGGCGGCATTTTCGTTGTAGTTGCATCCGATTGCATCCAAACCTATCACGTCGCTATCGTGGGCTACTTGGCTTGCGGGCTCGTTGCTACTACCTCCTCCGTGAACGCGTTGGTATATTCCCCCGAGGGGGCGAGGGAGGCCGCTGCCGCCGGGTTTATCCTGCTTTCTATGGTGAATGTAAGTACGGAGGTGTGGTTTTCGTCTTGGACACCGAAAAGCAAAATTAGCATGCGTCCAGACCATGCGTCGGACAATAATATGCTAACGCGATACTTTGCAGATCGCGTGGATCTTTTACTTCGGATCCGCTCCATCGGCCGTACCCCGCGCATATCTAGACTCTTTCGCGCTCGCAAAGGAATCGAAAACCAACCGACAGACTATGAACGGTGGATATGGTGTCCGTCCGGAAACATCCACCTCTGTGCAACCGCCGCAGATGTATACCTCGGCACAGCTCAATGGGTTCGAAAACCCGTCCCCCGTCGGCGGATTCAACGGCAACGCCATTCGAAATTCGCAGGCCGTTCCCGGCTTATCCAGCTCCGGAAACAAATCGACACCCCCAGGACAGACCGAGGCCGAGATTGCCGCGCCGACCGAATACCCATATCGCGCGAAGGCCATATACAGCTACGAAGCGAACCCTGACGACGCGAATGAGATTTCATTCACGAAGCACGAGATATTAGAAGTGAGCGACGTTAGCGGCAGGTGGTGGCAGGCGAGGAAAGAGAACGGCGAGACGGGCATAGCGCCCAGCAACTACCTCATACTATTATGAGCCGACTAGCTCCCGGGGAAATTTTGTATGGCCCTCGACCTATTGGGATGCAATATTGGAACACTCCCCCAAAATCATGAGATGGGTTTTGTGACCAGTTGTAACTTGGTATGGGCTTTTTACTTTTTAGAGAAGACGCGCGCGACAAAATATTGGGCCACGGGGCACGCGTTGGAGTATAACCGGGGGGGTATTATAACTGCTGGATGTAGCTTTTTTGTCTGTTGCTGTTGCTTCTAACTTCTATTTTGCTATTTTTGTAGGGCCTTGACGTTTCTACTATTCTTCCGCAATGGTCGGTGTTGTGTTTATTGTCTTTTTTCAAACCCCCAATCTCTCGCTCTCTCCCGCTTTCACTAGGTCCCCTCCCCCTTCCGCCACTCACTATACATGATGCTACATGGCAATAGGCTTTATGTAGGGAGGGAATGGAGGCGGGGTAATATTTGCTGCTCTAGGCCATGAATAGGGGAAAGTGGACCGCCGCCAACATCGGAAAAGGAGCCATACTATGAGGATTACCGCCGCCACTATATAAGATGCTAACCAGGAGGAATCGCTACACCCAAGGGTCGTGAGCGGGGAAAGATTTCAGAACCAAAACGTTGTTTCTATATCTTTTGTTTTTCTCAATTTTCCTGGCGGTTTGGAAGGGAACCGGGACCTTTAACGAACGTCACGCGCGCGTACTAATCTTCTTCTGTCCTTTCGGTTCGCGTATATATCTTCTCATGCAGTTACCACGACCGTCTCCAACCGATCAGTTGCTCAGGAGCCGAGAAGGCTGCACACGCAGATACGTGTGCCCACCTATATGTGTAGTTTATACCAGATTTGTAGCCAGGGCAAGAGTAGGGACTCAAGGGATGGTCTAGGAATGGGGGGTCGGGAATCGGTCATTTTTTGACGCCACTCTCCCTTATTATTCCCTCGATGTGCCTGTGTATTCGCATATATATGACAACCTACCCTTGTATCGTATTCACAGTATTCCAATCTCTGGAAGTGTATGCGAAAATGAAATCTGGACAACAGAAGAGACGAGACGAGGGTGAATGTGAGAAGGAAATAATAGGGGATGAGTAGGGGAGGGGGGGGGTTCAATTGGGAGAAGGATTAAAACTGGACTACGATAGTGTAAATTGGTTCGAAGCGAGTGGGTGGGGTGGAAATTATTATGAAAAGGAAGGAAAGGGAAGCGGGAAAAGGATTAATGCTAGCACACGATTTGATTCCCGCGATGAAACGCCATTCGATCTGTATGCATCGCGGATATACAGTGTAGGGCAATTAGCAAAGGTGAGGACGGAAGTCACATAGGCAAGTCAGTGTGCTCTTTTTTGCCTATAACCCTATTGGCGTAGATGTCGTTTATACCTATCACGTATACAGTCCCCCTTCGTCCGTATCATCCCAGGATCAATTGGGATATTAGTTAAGTTTGCCTATCGGTCGGGTGGGCAGCGGCCGCAACTCGTCGTCCCTTTTCTGCCGGATGCCGGTTACATCTGGGGTATAATACGCATGCGAACACGCGATGCTGGGGTATTGTAGGTATATCCACACGTCGGCAGCTGGGCCCTACCTCCTCTTCTCCGACCTGCAGTTCTATGGCGCACTCCCGCCAGTTAACACATGTCTCAGAAGTCCACATATCTAATTTGCCACATGTCTCGAGGAGGCTGTGCAAAAAGAACCAACAGGTGATCGGCGTGGTGATGTGTAGATGACCTCCTCTCCGTCGCAACGGCTGAGCGAAAGTAGCTATACATATGGGCAGAGGTAGTTAGGGCGTCTTTTTTTGTTGTTGTTGTTGTTGTTGTAGTGGCTTCCAGTCCGCCGCAACTAGCACCCCTAGCCGTACTAAACACGGCCTTGGGAGGAGGAGGGGAGGCAAGGATAACCAAGCGATCCATCGCCATTCCCGCGCTCCTCGACCCCAACACCCGCCGGTGTCTCGCTCACGTCCCGCCGGCCGCGGCGGCTGTCGTCGTCTCGAGCCTCTTGCGCAGCTCGCGCTCCTTCTGGAGGACCTCGAGCTCGAGGCGCTCGACGCCGTAGCGCAGGGCCTCGCGGCGCTGGCGGACGGCGCGGGCGCGGAACGCGGCCTCGCCGGCGAGACGGTGGGGGTGGGGGGCGCCGCGCGGCTGCTGCTGGCGCGCTGCTGCCTTCTTCTTCTGGCCGGAGGCGTCGCCGCCGCCGCCGCCGCCGTCGAGCCGGCCCTGCTGCAGCTCGGCGCGCGCGCGCAGCGCCTCGACGCGCCGCTCCGCCCGCGCCACGTGCGCGTCCGCGCGGTCCAGCAGCGCCGCGATCGCCGGCCCGATCTCGTCGCGCAGCGATGCCTCCGCGCGCGCCAGCGCCGGCTGCGGTATCAGCTCGTAGTGCTGCCGCGGGTGGGTTAGCTTGCGCTGTGTGTGTGTGGGAGGGGAGAGAGGGGGGAGAGGGGGCAGACGCACGCGCACGCTCTTGAGCACGTGCCCGAGCCGCGGGAAATCCGCCACGCCGGCGCCCAGCGTCGACACCGACGACTCCAGGTACGAGAGCGACGTGCGCAGCGCGGCCACGCAGTCCGCGTACGAGGCCGTGCTGGTCGAGGACGCCATCGCGAGTCGGGCGCCGCCCCAGCGCGTTGGTGGTCGGACGGCTGGTTGAGGAGGCTGAGCTGTGGCTGGTTCGGCGCGATTTGGTAGGTAAGGGAAGATCGGGAGCCCGGAGGAAGAGCTCGGTCGAGGGGCGGGTTCTTGGTGACGGGGGTTGTTGTGACAAGGGACAGTGGTGATGGATATGGTAGTCGTGGTGTCGTAGGTGGTTGACTTAGGCCTGAGCTGTATGGGTAAGGTAAAATTGATAGGCATTACCTCTCTAGGGTGTGGAGAGCTGGGTAATGCGGGGCATCCTGGGTAACGGCGGCCAAGAGTTGGGTAACTCAGATCACATGACCCGTCACTCGACCCCTGTTACCTCTTCATGTTCAGTCTCTGCCCCTTTATTCCTTAGCATGGATAGGGTATGATTACCTTGTCATCCATATCAATGCCTCTAAATGACCCAACTTTAATGTAATTCCGTCCTTACACACATTCGCAGCCTCGCTGTATCTGACTGACGTGATTTGAGGGAGGTGTCAGATCTAAACAACGGGGACTTCGAGCCTCGTCCTCACCGAAACAGGTACTAGACCGAGTAGCAGGCCTAAGTTGCCGATAAAGCAAAGCAACCGTGGTAGTATTCGTGGAGAAAGTCGCAACGCCTGCCTTACCGAACATTCCAAGACCTGCGGGGATATGTCTTGGCTCAGATGTCTCCCACATCAATCTAGACCTAGGTATAACCGTCGTCTTGAGGACGTATCGGATACCTACTTCGAACCCATGGTTGCGACGCAATGAAACCTTCGAGCTAGACGAAGCCACTGAAGGGATAACAGGCTTGTATTGGCCGCGCTGTATACGTTTCAACTTCCTCATTGGTCTTTAGAATATATTGAAGCGCCGTCCGGGTCCGGCTAATCTCTCCATGTTGATGCCCCCCGACCAGCCTTGGTCATGGGTTTCGATTAGTCTCTAACAAGGGCGAACCGCGGGGTAAATACGACACAACGCTTACCTATAATGACCCTACTTAACCTTCGAGCCCTCGAGACGGACGAGTAGGGACACGGCAGATCCGTCTTGGCGCTGCAAATCCCCCAAGTTCAGGAAACCTTGGCCTTGATCAAAGCCCGCTGCGGTACGAAGCCGTGGAGATGGTATACCCTTGTTTATCTCAACATCTGCCGACGAAGGGGGGATGAGAGAGAGTTGGAGTTGCCCTCGCGCCTCCGTGGCGTGTGGCTATCATCAAGAAACAAGGCATTATTACCGGTCGAACATAGGGATCAGACATCTAGGCTAACTTGTTAATACCCACCTTCCTCCTCCTTTCGTCGCGCTTGAAGACAAAAATTCTGCTCCCTCCCTCTCTTCCTGTTACGTTATACTCTCCCTGGACTATTATCCCGTTATGGCACGTAAGCTGGCGGGAATTCTCGGAAACCAGGGTCCGTCGCACCTGGTCCGAAGCCACGCGCACGAGGAAGACGTGCCCGGGACCGTCAATGTCCGCGCTGTTGGTTCGTGGTAACTCTCAGAAGCGGGTTCCACTGGGTCTCGAAATCGAGCTGACGACGGTGTGGTTCTCCTGCGCAGAGGGCGACGACGCCTACCACGGCCAAGCACTGTTCCCCGTTCCGGCTGAAGACCCCAACGACCCCTTGCAAGTATGTCACCCATCCCCCTTCCCCCTCTACTTGGGCAGAATGTACCAGCGATCGTAATTCCGGACGGTAAGAGACCGGCTAAGAAGATTCTCTTAGTGGCCTAAAGTGAAGAAGATCACCATTCTGCTGGTCATCTGCGCCTACTCTTTCCTCGGTAATGCGGCGTTGTTGGGGCCGGGCCCGTACCTGACGCTCTGGGCGTCGACGTTCGGTATCTCGACTAGCGAGGCGTCGACCCTCATATCGTACCCAAACCTCGCGTACGGCCTCGGCTCCTTCTTCCTGGTGCCGCTGTACCTCAAGATCGGGCGGCGGCCCGTCATGCTGGGCTCCCTGCTAGCTGTCAGTGGCCCCACGCCCGTCCGCCGCTGCAGCGAACTTCGCGGCGCCGATTCCCGCCGTTGCTGACTTTGAAGTCCTTGCCTGGATATCTGTAGTTCATCGCGGGCCTCGCCGGCTGCGCCCAGGCCAACGATTTCGGCGGGCTCATGGCCGCGCGCATCGTGCACTGCTTCGGCGCGGGCATATGCGAGGCATTACCCGTGCAGCTCGTCAACGACATATTCTTCCTGCACGAGCGCGGGAAGCACATCGGCTACTACACCTGTACGAGAAAACCACTCCCATTCCTTCTTTCTCTTCGCCGCTCGCCCGCCCCTGCTGTCCCGCTAACTAACCATGCGCTACTATCGAACTGCAGTCGGTCTGTGCTTTGCAGCGATGGCTACGATCCCGGCGGCCTACATGCTGCCGACGCGGTACTCGTGGCGGCTCTTCTTCTACGTCATGCTCGCCTTCGCCTGCGCGCTGTTCGTCCTCGCGTTCCTGTTCGTCGAGGAGACGTCGTACGACCGGCCGGCGCACGCGGCGCGGCCGCAGGGCACTCCCGAGCGCTCCGACGGCGAGGCCGCGGGCAACGCGCCCGACAAGCCTAGCGAGGCGGCCGTCGAGCTGGCGCCGGATACGCCGCCGCGAAAGCGGTTCCTGGCCACGCTGAGCCCGTGGGGCCGCGTCGACCCGGACGTCCACGCGTTCACGCTGATGTGGCGGTCCTTCACGTACTTCCTCGTCCCCCAGGTGGTCTGGGTGATCACGTCGTTTGGGACCATCATCGGCCTTGGCGCTCTGGCCTTTAACTACGTGTTTCCCATCAAGATCACGGCGCCCCCCTATAACTGGCCGTCGGTACGTGTGCCCCGCGCATCCCGATCGCTACTGCGGTTGCACATCGTCGTAACCTGCTAGCTAACTAACTGGTTCTCGTACTACAGTCAAGCTCTGGTGTGCAGTCGCTCGGATCGCTCCTCGGGTTCCTCCTCGCGCTCCCGTTCACGTCGTCGTCGGACCGGCTCGCGGGGTACCTGACGAGACGTAACGATGGCATCCGCGAGGCCGAGATGAGGCTGGGTGTGATGCTGCCGGCTATGGTTATAGGCCCCGTCGGGCTGCTCGTGTACGGCCTCACTGCCGAATTGGACTTGCACTGGATAGGGTACTTCTTCGGGTCCGGCTTGGTGTCTTTCGGCGGATACTTCTACTACTGCTTCACGCTCGTATACGCCGTCGACTCGTACAACAGCAACACATCTGAGATGCTCATCGCAATCAACATCGGCAAGCAGGCAGTGAGCTTCGGGCTCGGCTACGGCGTGCTTGACTGGGTGATGGAGAGCGGCTACGCTGCCGTTATTTCTGGAGCGTTCGGCGGAGTGTTGCTGGTGAATAACATGATGCTTATCGTATTTATGTTGAGGGGCAAGCGTATTCGGCAGTTTATGGCGACATCCTGGTTAGCGAAGCTGCATGGTAGAAGGGGCGCGAGCAGCACAGGAGTCTTATAAAAAGTAGGCATATGTACGGCACAGTCATCCCAGTCATCCCAGTGTTGAAGAGTCTGTTGGTCTCTGTCTAATCTGTACTTGTTTATTTGGAGACAGAAAGGCTGATGATTATCCCTTAACTTTCTCAGCTCTATTCTGTCCACCTCGCCGCCTCAGAATAATAGACACGTTTTCGTCATGCGCGGTTAGTTTTTTCCCCAGCTCCTATATCTCTTCGTACGTTGCGACCGCCGCCGTGATCTTGGTTCCGGGCGCTACCAGCTGTCTCATTACACAGAATGGACCGCTGTCTAGTGCAATCCACCCGTGTGTTTTGGATCGGAAAACTCTACCTAATAGGCGGAAATTGGGAGATGAAGTCCATGACGTCGTTTAGGGACGCTCCCCGCAGGCGGTTGGTGCTGTCTTGGCGCCCCTGTCCTGTACGGGAGCTGCCGGCAACAGAATCCTGAAACCGACCGATCTCATCAACAGCAAGGGAAACCGAGTAGGCCATCCTTGACTTGTGCTGTCTTCACTGTTCTTATCTAATAGAAGTTATGCTGGTGTTAACAAGTATTTCTTCTAGGGTTCACGGTGCCTTGCCTTTCTTATTCCGTTGGGAGCTGAGTCGACGCTGGGGTAACGAGTGTGGCATACTAGTTCGGAAGCTTTCCTCGGGGAGGAACTGATTACCTGGTCACTCACTTTCATCTACTTTCCACCCCTCGTTTCTGGTTCTGAGGAACGAATCATGGACAAGTATGTGAAGAGGGTAGATGTGCTCTACGGAGATGACACAAATTCGATTGATGGTGAAAACGTAAACAAAGGCTTCAAAGGTGATCTAATTACAGTAGAATATGCTCTAGCGATCGTCCTAGCCTTGAGGGGCTAATGGGGATGTCTGTGCCTAGGAAAACCCGTCTATCTCGTCGCCAGATATATGTCAAACCGCGAGGAGGCTGCTCATACCTTCTCTTTGCATGTGACGTTCCTAGAGGACCTTAGCGCCTATGACATATTCAAGGGCGACGGCTCGGAATTTTTTCGCTGCCTGCATGTGCATTACTATCCAACTAATAATGGAAAGAAGGTTATTAGGTCCGTCTATCTGAGGGAATCTCCCATGGATGATGGACATACAGATGACCTGAACTATTACAGACCAGGGAGATTTCTGTACTTGTGCTGGACACTCAAAGAGTAACTTGCTCTCTGTTGGATAAGCTTGCATGGGGTGCTTTATGTGCGAGTTCGTTTGTTGATTTGATTATGGGGCGGCATACAACCCATGTAGCAACATTGACCGTTGTGTTTGTCGTTACATAGGTATTGAATACTTGTCATATTAAAAAGGGGCCTTGGTGTTAGATTTGATTTAATATCCGGGCCTGTTCCAACGCTATCTTGAAACCGCAAGATAGAAGTAAATAATAGTGCCTTGTCAGGGCCCTGGAAAGACTTGTGTTAATGTTCTGGGTGTTGCGTAAAGAAGTAAACGACTACGCTCATGCCTCGAAGAACAAAGTTGAAATATGTAATTCAATATACTGTTGTATTTTGTACATGATGGCGTCCTTGTGTTAATTATAGTTATATAGCGGAGAATACCCTAGAGACCTTAAGGGAGACTCGGGATTCTAGTTCAACAAATATAGAAACGCAACTACTAGGTTGCGCTCTATTATCAGTGCCGTAGCATCGTGGACCCGATAAGCGTCTTGGCATCAACCGCGACTCGAGTTAACCGGCGAATAGAAGTAAAATATCAAAATAACGTCATCTCATGGTAGGATCTCATCGTTGCGTACAGGAAACTAACAATGACAGGGTACCTTGTTGGAGTTGAGCCTCAGATGGCCGCTTACCTAAGCACAACAGTTATCTATCGTGGCTTAGATGTAGATACCTCCCCTTCTCCTAGCTAGTCAAGTAGTAACTAAATACCTGTTCGTCGTTTGATTAACTCATTTAACTACGAGAACCCCAATTCATAAGGACCGGTTACATTATTAAGGTCATAATATCTGTAGAGGTAAGTGTGACTGCCTACAACTCCGTACAGTACAATGCTTCTTCTAAATAGCTTCGAGAATTAAACTACTACAGGTAATATCGTGTGCTAGAGTTTAAAGGGGGTTCTAGCCTTACGGCATTCTTCTAAATTAACTTCAATTATATTATTCAAGCAGCATTTCTTACGTGAAACGCTGCATTCGACGCCCTATTCGTACTTCGAATTATTATGCTTAGTCTATTTGCGTTGAAGACCTTACGTGGGCACTGGAGATAAGACTGCATTATTTATCTAAGATGATGTGAGAGGTATTATTTCATCGCTATTATGCACTAGGAAAGGTACTGATATAGCGTATTCATTTACCAAAAGTACTCTGAGGGAAACTAGTATACGATATGGAATGTTACTGTTATTAGTCATCCATCCTCGTATATGCGAGCCACGGAAATCCCATTTAAATACACACCGCCTGGTGGTAGGACTTGAAATACAGAAGACATACGCGTAATGAGCAGGCTGAAAGCGAGAGACAGCTGGATTAAGTATAGCGGCGGCGACCTTGTCGCCACTTCGGGGAGGCAACAAATCAGCTTCGTGAGCTACTACGCACACTGCCAGCCTAATGCAGCAAGTCTTTCCACATAGAACGAAACAACACGAGAAGTTCTGCAGCGGCGCCCGCCAGCCACAGTACAGCCTCATGAGAAAAATGATCTGGGGGAAAATAGCACATCTGTATATTCTCTAATCGGCAGGGGCACACTATGAGGGCATACCTAATCTCCGGTCAGATAACAGCTGTCATCCTGACCCATCAGTCACGGTTGACGACTCCCCTAGTTAACCACTTCCTGGCCGGTCTCACCCATCTATTCGTATGCCTTCCTCATACGGTATCATGATCAGATTATATCTCCGGCATGTCGTAGTTACCAGGGCTGAAGGGCACAAGAAATCCCTAGTGCGTGCAGTTAGATATCTGCCGGAAAAGCTAACCGGCATGAAATTCAGCGCCTCACCAGTCAACATAACGGAAGTCGGGACTCGTGTCCCACCTGGGGCGCCCGCCTGGGGTGCCCGCCTGACCAATCCTGGCGACGCCGTGATGGGGATGAGCCGGAAGCGTTCCGAGACGGATGGTTAGAACGAGGCTATGACAAATCTATCAGAAAGACTCACTGTGAGTGTTATTAATAAGGTCACACTGGCAGTACGTTGGGGTTGGCTACACGGCGACATGCAAGTCCCAGTACCCTCCTAGTACATAATATATAACTCAAGTGGATGCTCGTACTCGTATGCCTCGGCTTCGTATTTCCGATGTCGATAAGCCTACCATGCACCTAAGGCATAACAACGTCTGCATGCAACGTCTTACACTTTTGAAATGCACATCAAGTTCGCCGCACGAGAGGAGAGCTGAAGAGGTACTTGGGTTGTATGGGTGCTACGATGCCAGCCTCGGTGAGCGGTACCGTAGATCCCGTAATTTCAACATTCACTAACCGCCCGCCCCGGCACCTGTTTCCTATATGAGACATTCAACCTTGTCGACAGTACTGACACAGTTATATATCACTTCTTGCTCCTGGATAGATCGATTCGCGATGAATATATCGACACCAAAAAACTAACGGCTTCCATTTCGTCACGCCGACCACACATCAGCTCTGTTAAGTAGTCGACATGTATTAGACCTCGTTACAAAGGATTTGGAGAAAACCTGACTTTTCATTAGGGATTCCAATATCGGCAACGACCTTCGTGGGATAGGCGCGTGGGCTTATGCCCAGAATGTCGGAACGTCCAACAAACGCAGGGAGGATGATGACACGAAGACGCCTCATAAGGTCGAACCACCCAAAGACACATCTGATCCTCAACAGCCACAGTCACCAATACTCGAAAGGGGTTCCTCTACTAAGAAGGTGTAGCCGGTACGATAGTGTTTCATGCGGCCAATGCCTACATAGGGAGATTTTAATCTTGTTTCTAGGAACTGACCCGGTACTACGCCCGACGGAAATTATTCGGTTATAAATATTCGCTGATGCCAAGCGTCCGAGTTAACCTTCTTTCGAAACTCAGCGGCTCCCACAAATCCAAGCAATTGTATTATTAATAATATTCTCTATGCCGAGTTAAATATTTCTGCAAAAATGCCTGTGCGTGGTAGAAAACGACAGTAAGCCTATTATCACGTGAAAACGTAGATGTCTACATTTCTCTAGTGGTTTTGAAACTGAGGTAGCATTCCCTGCGTGGCACATTCCTAAATAGGGTATTCCGAAACTCGGTGTAGAGCGATAGAACTACGTAAGAAAATTTCTCCTTCCATTGCTAATCTTCCGTGCTTTGTTAGTCAATTTACTTCCTGTCGCGTAGGAGTTGAGCCTCAAGTGACTTAAAAAGACTGCCCATACATGGAAGAATACGTCCGCTTACCTAAGCAACTTATCTCAGTTCTATTTCTTTTCCACTTTCTACTTAATCAACTAAATTGACAGAGGCAAACTCACTGGCCACTCCAAAGCTGACAACCTTCTATCCCTTGCTCCATGTTTACCCTAGTTATCCTCCTTTAGCTCTGGGATACTTGTCGGTCGTATGGCTGTGTGCCGCGGCAAAGAGCCTAGTTTAATCTACCATTGCAATCCGTTCTTAAATATTAACATCACTAGAAAAAGCCGCCCCATTCAGCATCAACAAAACGATCAAGCCAAAGCTCGCACGAGCGGCTCGGCCTTCTCATCCCATATCACTAAGTATTTCTTGCGACAATTTCACTTACCATTTTCCCGTCTTTGTATTGTCCGCTCGCCACTCATCAATAGGTGCGGTTCAAGGAAACCGTGCGCGCCTCCTTCCCGCGACGTTGTCTCCAAGAGAGGCCGACGGCCCCGGACAAAGGGATATTAAAGACAACTTTTCACCGGCGGAGCTGCGCAAGGACCATGGAAGGAATCCGTCTTTTTGGTGCATGGCAGGCGCTACAATGGCCAGGAAGCCCGTAGTCCGTCCCATTCGACATTGTCGGCCGCGAGAAGCCAAGCAGAGGGCATACAGGCAGCGGGGATACATATTCGGGGCCGGCCGCAGGGCCACGAGAGTCAGACCCAGCCCTCCATCTCTTTCTCTCCCCCTCTCTCTGTCTCTCTCTCAAGGCCAGCGAGTAGCCCACCCACCTCCTCGATCGCCTGCGACCGACGCAGCGCTCGGCGACTCTCCCTCCCACCAACCCCCTATCCACCCCCCAGCCGCCCTTCGCGAAAGACACGTAATGACCAGCCCGCCGGCGACCCCTCAGCGCACGCCCCTGCCCTCGCACCCGGGGGCCCGCAAGCCGCCCGCGACGAGTCCTCCCGCGCGGGCGGGCAGCGCCTTCTCGCCGATCAACGCCGCGCGAGAGCCTGCTGCCCCGCCGCCGCCGTCGCCGTCGCCGTCGCCGTCCCCGCCGCCCAAGCCCCGCCGCAAAGGCCGCACGAAGGCGATCACGAGCTGCGAGCGGTGCCGGCGCGCGCACATCAAGTGCGTCGGGCGCGGCGGCGGCAGCACCGGCGCCGCCTGCGAGACGTGCGCGCGGCGCGGCGCGGCCCACGCCTGCAGCTTCGTGGCGCGCCCCGCGCCCCGCGACGCCGCGCCACGGCGAGAACCAGAACACGACGAGGAGGATGAGGAAGGGCCGGCGCTGCGCCCGGTGAAGGCGGACCCCGGAAGCCGGAGGGCAGAGGTCGAGAGGGCCGGGGCCAGGCCCGGGACCAGGCCCGCGGACAAACGCGACTCGGACCCCGAGCGTGCCCGCGAGCGCGAGCGCCGCCGCCGCCGGAGACTGCGGGCCCTCGCCGAGTCGGTCTTGGCGCGCGTCGAAGCCGCGGCGGACGTCAGTTGATGTGGGGTCCGTGGAGGAGAAAACCGGGGTTGGGTGTCAATCACGTGGTTTTCGGGCCGGGCCGTGGTCCCGTGCTTTTTGGGGTGGAGATTGTGAGCAATGGGGAACCGCAAATGTGGGGATCTAACGGGCTTCGGGATTTAGTATTTTGGATTCGGGGATGTAATAATGTAGAAGAGGAGGATTAGCAGGCTGACAACGACAGATTCACCCTTTGTTCCATTTTGGTCTGCAATGTCTATGGCGCGTTCGGTGTAGCTTTGCTGGTTCGGCGATCGGTGCTACTTGGCATCCAGATGGCAGATATTATTAATCAACTTTCCGTATTATCGTCGTGGCGTGTTCCCATAATAACTTCAGCCCCATTCCCGTATCAAGTTTATAACCATTTATACGTGATGAAACTGAGTTTGTCCTTAACTCTCTTTATTCTCTTCGTCTACTTAGGGCCAAGCATCCGTCTTGCTGTACATTTCTTCTCGTCCACAGTAAACGGATATCTCCGCCCTCTCTTCTAGGCAGACAGGTACTATTCGGCACTTGCATTTTTCCTACAAGTCGGCCGTCATGTCTACGAGTAAGAGGACTGCTGATCTTGAGCCCCGCGAGATCCCCAACTACATGTGAAAATCATACGCCTAGCACGGCGCTTCCCCCGCGCTACGGCCAGGTTACGGTTTCGTCGACTCCTCTAAATTCTCAAAGTGGAAAGACGGTGCACCGGGTACGGCCGATGCAGCTGACCCTGGGAGATCACCACTCCATGGTTCTCCGCTCACGACATTGCTTACGTTGTCCGGTTTGACCTCGAACACGCTCACGGCACCGCAACGAGGCTGCAACATGTGAGTCAGCACCGGGATCATCTCGGTAAGTGCCTTCCGCTCGTCAAAGGGCAGGCGTGTGTTGAGAACGACGCTCTTGGTCTCGCCGGAATCGAGTCGGTCCTTCAGGCCCCTAATGAAGGGCATCGCGCGCTTCGTCTCTTTCTTGTCTATCTTTTTGCCGATGCTATTCATATCGATGAGCCCTAGCTCTTCGAGGGCGCTGCTCACCAGACTGATACATCTATCTTGCCAGTCTGGGAGTGCAGTCGTGAAGAAGATGGCCACCTTGAACGGCTTTTTCGGGTCGAACCCACCGACCTTCTTGCCCTTGGCGAGCTTTTTCTGCTGGTGCGCCTCGGCCGCTGTCACGTTGGACATGGTGTTCTGTATATAGCTCAGGGTTGCGAGCCACGCTGCATCGGCCGGTGCTGTCTCGGGCCAACACTCGGTTAATATGCTGTTCTTATGATTCAGCACCTCGAGCCAAACGTATTCGGCCCAGTGCGGGGCGATGGGGGTTAGGACGAGAGCTTGAAGCTCGGCGTAGCGACGGATAAGCTTGCGGTGCATCGGTATTCCCGCTGCTTTTGTGGCATCCCGGTAGAAATCTCTGGCACTAGTCAGGTCGTAAAAGCCGGACCTCAGCACGTTTTTGAAGAGATACTGGTCATATTGTGACTTGGTCTCGGCAACAAGCTGGTTCATATGGTGCTCAAAGAGCGTGTCCCAGAAGAATGGCTCTGAGTCCTCGCTACGCAGCGCCGCCTCCCCTTCATTGCCCTGCAGCACGTCTTGCAGCCATTTTCTCAGTTCGTAAAGCTTCAGAATCGTCTTGTTAGCGACACTCTCTTCGAAGTTCGCGTCGTCAATGCTATCTCCCGCGTTCGCGAGCGCGATCCGGGCCGCGTCGGTACCATACTTCTCGACGGACTCGTGGAGGGTGAGGAAGTTGCCCGTGCTCTTGCTCATCTTCTCGCCGTTTAGCAGAAGATGGCCGTTGGCTCGTATGCCGCGGGGCCAGTATTCGGAAGGCCATATGGCGATGTGGTTGTAGAGGAAGAAGGTAAGGTGGTTCTGGATGAGATCTTTCCCAGACGTGCGCAGGTCTAAGGGATACCAGTATTCGAATTCACGGCGCATAGCGTGCAGGGTCTCCAATGGAATGCCGTTGCCATCCTCTGGGACCTGCTCTGAGCGAGCCATGAGATAATTCCATACGGCATCCGTCATCTGGTGCGGCAAAATGCGTCCAATTCCGGGCTCTTTGCCATATAGATCGCTATGCAGGTAGTGAGCTACGGTATAATACGCTTGATAGATAGTGCTATCGCTAAGAGACTCGACTAGGAAATCGGGGTCCCAAGGGAGTTTGGAGCCCAGTCCGTAGGACCGTGCGCACGCCCACTGGCTTAACCAACCGAGGGTAGATTCGAATTGCCGTTTTACTTCGGTGGAAAACGTGTTGAGGTCGCCCTCTAGGTGCTGAAGCACCTGATCACACCATGCACCGTCACCGCCGTTCTCATCCGTGCCATAGTTCAGGTACCACTGGTCTAGATGCGCGGCGACGCATTCATCTTTGGACCGGCTGATAACGAGGCCGTCAGGCTCGGCGTAGGGGAAGGCATCCCCCTTTTCGATGAGGTGCTTCTGGACGAGTCCTTTGGCTTCCTGCACCGTCTTCCCCGAGAATTCGCCGTAGATCATGACACCCTGGTAAAATCCTTCCTTGTAGGCGACCTCCTTGGCTTCGGGAAGTCGTGGGTCTTTGGGGGAGACGATCTTCATCCTAGTGACCAATTCGGGTGCGGTAAGCTTTCCGTACGTTGGCGTTTCAATGATGGGCAAGATTTCCAAAGCGGCCCACTCCTTTTTGATACCGTAGTAGTCAGGCTTGTTAGACAATTCGACCGTCATGGCGTAGTCGTCGGGGCTATCGGATGGCACGCTACCCAGAGTCGTCAGCTCTCGGCCTCTTGTCACGTTGTGCGTTTCATACATACCATGTTACCACGCCGGTTCCCTTGGTTTCCTTTACCGTCTCCATAGGCAATACGCGAACACCATTGTTGTGCACTGACAGGGGCGCGTTTACCAAGGTGCCAATAACGTCTGCGCCGTTCAGCTCCACCACCTTATCGTACTCGCCCCATTTCGCAAAGGTGTCGGGTTGAAACGCGATGTTGCGGGCCGCCCGTTCGGTTACGAATAGGTACTCCTTCTCCTTAGCAGTGGCGAAGACACCATATTTGACCTTGGAACCGACGAAGCAACATGTTTGTCCGTACATGGTTTCAGGACGGAGCGTCGCGGCGACGAAGTATACCTGCGCATCGGATGGCAGGCCTGCGGCTTGAACCTTGCTCTTGCTCGCCTCAGACCACTCCAGAACCCGCATCTTGATGGCCGTATACTCCTGGACGGTGACGCCCTCGCCCTCGCTGCGATCGTGGTCCATGCACGCCTGCTTGTCTTTCGGCGAGTAGACTGTATAACGTTTCCCAAACTTAACCTTGCCGAGCTGTTTGAGCTGATTCATCTGCCAACGCACGAAGGAGTCGTAGAACGGGTTAGCGTCCGTCGTTACGAACGAGCGGCGCCAGTCCACACCGAGGCCGAAGTTTGTAGCATCACGGATTGCCATCTCCGGGAAGACGTGCACCCAGTGCAATGGGTCGGCAAACAGGTGTATCTCCTCGCGGGGGATACCCTGGGCGAGCATAATCTGGAACTGGTACTTGGCCTTTGCTGTTTTCGCCGAGGCCTTGCTCTTATTCGAACTGAACTTGGCAACGTCCTCTGATTTTTCTTTGCTTCCCCCCTTGTTGGCTGTGTCCTCTTCTTCGCCCTCAAGCTCGTCGTAGCGCTCAAAGTTCTTGCCGAAGAGCTCTACTTCCGTCGTCAAGCGGTCGGCGCAGGCCTTGATCGGCATACCGGTGCAGTGGAAGGCGAACGGAAAGAGGGCCTGCTTGCCTTGCATCCGGGCGTATCGTGTGGCAAACTCGGCCTTCGATATGGTGAAGGCGTGTCCCAAATGCAAACTGCCATTGCTGTAAGGGTAGGGGACCGTAGCGAAGAACTTGGGCCGCTGAGCGCGCAGCTCCGCGGGTGACAAGCTATGGAAGGGAACGTCGGTTATGCTGGGCGCATTCAATTCGAAAACCTTGCCGTCGGCCCAGGATTTCTGGTACTTTTTCTCGATCTCGATGAGGGCGTCGCGCTTTTGCGTCTGTAGGCAATTTGCAGTTAGACCAGCTGGACCCTGGCAGCGGGCACGAGAGAGGGGCACGGCGTACGTTCTCGATCTTCAATGACTTGTCGGGCCCGTCATTTGCATCTTCGGTTGCCATCTTGAACAAGAAGAAGAAGAGGGCAAACTAAGGGCCCCCGACGGATCGAAGAAGTGCTGGAGAGTGGAATGGGTAGACGACCGGTTGAGTCACAGTCTCGTACGCTTGAAAGTTGCGGGCCGAAAAGAGGATGGACGAGGGAGAGATGGAGGGGCATATTTTTTACAGTGTGCCAGACCCCACAAGTCGCCGGGGGATGACTAATTCGCTTATCGATAAAGAAGACCCTAAAGGTTGGGACTGCCAAGATACAGGGAGTTAGTACCCGCTCGATGGTGGTAGAACAGCGAAGAAACCAGCCCTCAACGTCTTCTATTACGCAGCTGGCTATTTGGGGTTCTTGTTATAACTGGGTGGCCTAGAAGACTGCAACTGGTGTGATTCGTGTGGTGCACCAACGCATTTGGACATTGTTGCAATAATTCTCTAACTGCTATTGTACAATCATACAAGGCCCCCGGTAACTAACCACAAGTCTTCGCTTCAGTTTCCACCAATCATAGTTTCCATTCTATTACCACCTACCCAAGTTACCGCCAAGACACACCCGCTCAAGAGGGCAACAGAAAGTGCAAATAAGTTCTACAACCGCATACACTCCTCTAACCATAGGCGGCAGTGTTGTGTATAAGTATGCTATATTCAGGACAACTTTGCACTACCACACGACAACATAAAAAAATGAAGGTTACGTTTCTCCTTCAAGAACTGTCAGCATTTATCTCGGTACACCTTAGCAAACTAGTTCCATTCCAGCAACTCAACTCGACAGAGGCTCTTTATAAAGCCCTCTCCACTTCACCATGTCTACAACACAGCATCCTCGCCAACCATACCCGGATACGCGCGTACATCTAATTTATACGCACAGCCTCCACCCGTTTCTGCCTCCTCCCTATCCGTAGACCCAGGGACGTCGAGCTCCGCAACCTAGGCCCGAATTAAGCCAGTGCCACCCTATATACAACGGATCAGGGACCACGAGAGCTGACCCGGGGGTAGCCAACGATGCCTGGCGGCGGATCTGGAACGCTGCGCTCCGCACCCTCCCTCGTTTTCCCATCGTCCGGGGCTAGATGCGGCGGTTGATCGCGGGGCGTCGCTGCGCGCGCTGCCCAGGCGCCGGCTACGCTCGCGCTCAGCACCCAGGTCGAGGGCGAAAACTCCCAATTGGCCGCACTGGGGAGGGGGGCGTCGCAGCCGGCGCGGTCGACCCGTTTTATCCGAAGCCAGCCTTTGGGGGGCGAGCCCACGAGGCCTTCAGGCTAAACGCCGCGCCCGAGGGGGGAACCAGGAGAGCCCGGAGAAGCGCAGACGTCGCGCAACGTGCCTACATAAATAGCAGGGCGTTGGATCTTAGGGTGGGAAGCGAGGAAGTGTCGCAGTCGCCAAAACGCATCGGTTAGCCCGCCTATCACGCCTCCCACCCGGTCGCCAGTCGTCACTTACTACCACCACTACCACGATGCTGTCCTCTCTCGTCCTCGCCGCCGTCGCGCTGATCCCGCGGGTCTTCGCCGCGCCGCCGGTCACGGCCCCCCGGCTCGGTGACCTGCTGCACGGCAGCGAGAACGCGATCCAGGCCCGGCAGGGCGGCTACTTCTGGTCCTCGTGGTCCGAGGGTGGCGGCTCGTTCCGCTGCAATAACGGCGCAGGCAGCGCCTACAGCGTCACCTGGCAGAGCAGCGGCGGGGCCAGCGGCTTCGTGTGCGGCAAGGGGTGGAGCCCCGGAGGCAACAGGTAGGCAGGCCACTCGATCCCTCTCCGCCCCTTTTCTCCACCACTGTCCCGTCTCGTCGCGTAGAAGAAGAGAGAGAGAGAGAGAAAGAGAGAGAGAGAGAGAAAGAGAGAGAGAGAGAGAAAGAGAGAGAGAGAGAGAAAGAGAGAGAGAGAGAGAAAGAGAGAGAGAGAGAGAAAGAGAGAGAGAGAGAGAAAGAGAGAGAGAGAGAGAAAGAGAGAGAGAGAGAGAAAGAGAGAGAGAGAGAGAAAGAGAGAGAGAGAGAGAAAGAGAGAGAGAGTAGACGGATGGTATGGGTACGCGTGCTGACGGCAGGGGAAACCTCCCTTCTTTCCCAGGGCGGTCAAGTACTCGGGCACGTACGCGCCCCAGGGGCCCAGCTACCTGGCGGTGTACGGGTGGACGCGCAACCCGCTGATCGAGTACTACGTGGTGGACGCGCACGGCGATCTGCTCCCGAACGAGCCCTGGACGGCCAAGGGCAACTTCACCTCCGACGAGGGCACCTACCTTGTGTACACCAGCACCCGCGTCAACAAACCCTCCATCATCGGCACCACCACCTTCCAGCAGTACTGGTCCGTCCGCACCGAGCAGCGCGTCGGCGGCACCATCACCACCGGCCGCCACTTCGACGAGTGGGCCAAGCTCGGCATGCGGCTCGGCTACCACGACTACAGTAAGTATTTCTCCTGCCCCTCCTCTTCTTTTTCTTTTTCGTCCGGGTTTTAGTTTTTTCGTTTCTTGTTACACGCTAGCCTGTTTTCTGCTATAAGACAAAATCCTTTGGGAGCCTTCGTGGTTTCGTACTCACACGCGGTGTTTCTCTGTAGTGATCCTTGCCACAGAGGGGTATACCAGCGGGTCGATCACAAGCAATGGGACTGCCTCTATCACTTTGGGTTGAGAGAGGACTATCCCTACACTATATCAGGTACCTAGTCCACCGACTCTTGTATCATATCGCTCTATAATATTATGCTATATCAATCGGTGCTGTTGGTGATTTGTGCTGTCTTACAAGTCCATTCATATCATACCAAGGTAAGAGCCTAGAGAGAGGGCAGGGTCTTCTCGAACTCGACTGCGTGATACGAATAGTCTACACATCACAGATTACTAAAGTAGCATCGCACCCTAAGTGTTGTGTCATATTCTCGGCGGCTCGGAACCCGCCAGCAATGATATAAAGGTGTGCTAAAGAAGAATAATCCCCAACAGCTACGATCGAAGAATCAAATGAGCGTATATCCTCCTCCCCCTCCCCCTCCTCCCCTCTCTATTTCTTTTCCCTAGTTACGATTTCCTAGTTGTGCAAGCTATTTCCCCCTCCTTCTTCGTCTTCTTGAGGACGAGTGGTGGTAATATTTGCTCTTCGGGTTCGCTTGAGGAGATGTAATACCAAAACGGAACACGCACCCCCAATCCCCTAAACTACCCCGAGAGTCTCGAGACCTTCACTTCCGGACGCAGGTAAGCAATCCGCCCCGGTAAGCACTCCCTGCGTAGCGTAGGGTTAGCCAGCCCATCGTCTTTCGGTCAGCGGTATTAGAGGATTAATACTTATGCCCAGATACAAGCGAGGACGAATCAGAGGGTCCAGAGTAGTATTTACAGCTCGACCCTTCTTTGTGGCTGCAGTTGTTGGGGCAGTTGCACGCCGGCTCTATGTCACGGAGATGATGATATCAACTTTTAACCTTTTATCATCTCAAAATGCACAATACCACAAAGTGCACGAACCTGGACCGGTGGCGATGAGAGCAGCTCTTATTGCCTGGCTAGAAAACAGAAGCGCAGCAGTAAAGAAGAGGGTGGCCTTGAAGGGCATGTTGGCGAATTTGGCTTTCTCTGGGGAAAGAGTAAACGAGTAGTTTCGAAGGTACTAGTGTTTAGTTATCGTCGAAGTTGTAAATACGTATGGAGAAAAGACGACTCAACAGGACCGGTGCCGTCGATTCCCTTTTATACACATATCGCCTCCCTATAACCTAGGTCCTTCAACAGACTATTCTTGGGTCATCACGCCGTATCGTATCCCAAGTATAGCTTCTAGTAAGAGAGTTCCAGCTCTTGAAAGTCTCTTCTACTCGCGCCTCAATCCTATCCAAATTCTGAATCCGTGCTAATATCAGCGATCTTCAGTTGGCAGGGTGAGAAAATCAGCATTGGGTACGGAAAAAAACATAGTGTTGAAAATCTGCGTCCACTTTTAACCAGTTACCAACGCATTGACTAAGTAAATCCTTCTTGCGCTATTCGGCGAGAAAGATGAAGACAACGTTCCCGAGAGTCAGCTACGCGGCCTCACCTCAACTCAAAAGTCGTGGCGGGTGATGACGACAGTCGAGCGAAGGATGGAAACATACACCTCCATCCCCTGGTACCAATTTATGCGTGGCGATCCTTCGCTATCCCGCGTCCCGTTACCGTATCCAAGGCCTCCGATCGCCTTATGATTAGCACAGGGAGGCGCCAATGAGTCTGCTTCTACCACTCGACGAGCAGGTAGGCCGTGGCTATGAATGTCCCAGCGGTGGCAAGCGCCAGTCCTCTGCGTTGATCTGCGAGCAAATTTCCGTATACCCTATCTAGGACTGGAAAGGCAGAGTCGGTTATTCCTGGGTCTCGAACTTCCAATCGGAATTAGAGAGACAGGACTTATCCGAATGGACTCAGAGCTTTCGGCATCATATAAGCCTGTACGAAAGTAGCGAAAAGAGGGCGGGGTCGGTGGGGTAGGGAGCATAATTAGGGATGGCATCTTGACTCTCCCGTCCCAGACGCACGCACTCGCACAGATTCAATCTAACCCTAGTTATTCAGTTTATAAAATTTGTCTCGTCATTGCCGTACAGGATGTATACAATCTCCCAACAGTTTCCCGTCCGTCTATCTCGCCCTCTACTCATCATCTCACTGCCCTTGGCCTGAACCCCTATATTCGGTTCGCTCGCTCCCGTCTAGTCCCTGTCGTCCGGGTGGAAGACGAGCGCCCTTATCTCGATGCTCTGGCGGGACGGGGTGCCGTCGGGCGTGTTCGGGTCGGCGAAGGCGGTGTGCGGCACGCGGCGGGCGCGGCCGTCGGTCTTGCTGTCGAAGCACTTGATGAGCAGCACCTCGTCGGTGTCGAGCCCGTACTTGTAGTACCACCGGTGCGCCGGCGTGTGCCGCACCGCGAACGTCTCGCCGCGCCGGTTCGGGTAGATGAGCGGGATCGCCACCAGCTCCTCCTCCCCGACCGACGACGCGTCCGCGATCGCCAGCGGGTCCCGCAGCACCTGCCGGATCGGCCGCCACACGTTGATGATCTGCACCCGCCCCTTCAGCAGCTCCGCCGCCTCCTCCGCCGGCAGGTGGTGCGGCACCCGCGACAGCGCCGCGCTGTACGTCTGGTCGATGTGCACCCGGTTCACCGGCCCCCGCAGCGCCCGGCTCCGGTCCGCGGCCGCCCGCTGGTCTGCCGGGTTCCGCCGGATCGTGTGGTCAAAGATGAAGATCTTGGACGCGCCGGTGCTGGTGTTCAAGTTAGTCCAGGCCGTAGTAGAAGGGTGCGTAGAAGGGTGCGTATGTGAGAAGTTGGTGGCACGTGACTAAGCAACGTGTCCCAGGAATATGAAGACGCCGATATTGGTTGTATGCGCATACGGGCATATCTAGGTCTCTCCGGTCCGCAGCGTGGCAAAATGGGAAGCAAAGCATCGAAACTGGAAAAGAAAGGCGACACATACACATCCTTCAGCAGCTGCTCGGTCTCCGGGTAGTACACGGCCTTGATATGGTCGTCGTCGGCGAAGTCCTTCTCCTGGGCGGTGTGGCGGTAGTACTGGAAGCCGTTGCCGTCGAGCGTGAACTCGGCCTCCCGGCCCGAGACGTCGGTAATGTGGACCTTGTGTGCCGACGTCGGCCGCTCGTAAGTCTCGGGCTTGTCGACGTAGGTCGGGTGCGGCGGCGAGCCGTCCTCAGGGTCCTTGTAGTAGTGCAGTTCCGTGTCGACGTCATGCCGCAACGGGGGCGCAGGTTCAGCGGCGAGTCCAGCCGCGGCAAATGACGGGGCGGCAGTGGGGAGCTGTACGTCGGGCGAGGCCATTATGTGCTGCTTGGGGGCGCTATCTTCGCCTTTCTTTCAACCCGTAGCTGGGTGTGTCTGGGTAAGTCCCTAGGTCAGGTGGGTGAAGCACTCGCTCTTGTACGTTCCTCCTTTTAGGAAGAATGAGTGGAGACGTGTTATAGAAGTGTGAAGGGAGGCGGGTCGGGCGTTTCCTCTTATATAGGGACGGTCTGTATCTAGACGGCTGCAGACGGGTACCGGGGGGGTAGACAGGGGAGCAAGTCGCTTTGTTCGTCGGGACGTCGGGATGTGACCTCATATATACTGCCTATCGCGGCTCGACCTCTATCGCCTAGCAGTCAGACGGGAGTTGTAGCTCCAACGGTTCCCCGCAAGCACGCAATTCTCACCAGTGGGTTGCGACAGTAGCTTCAAACCAGTCGCTCTACATCCAGCCAACGGGTCGACACCAGCTTACCAGAATCTGGACCCCTCCAGTCAGTAGATGCAGATTATAAATCCTCGTCTATTTGTAATCCTTCCGTTTTCTACAGAGCTGTTTCGACATCGCGTCACTCCGAACCGCTATGCTCCCTAGCTTATTGGTGCGAGGCGCGGTGCACGTTGCTACGATTGCTACTGGAGATTTCTCCACCTCCACTATCCACCATCCTCGGTTCATCCGAACGCCGTACAATCGGATTACTCAACTTCAGGCACCCGCGTCAGGACGGTGATGGCCGTCCCGTCGTCTAATACGTCGGGCTTCTCCTCGAGCCTGTATCGGCCCAGTCGGGGCAATATCACTGTCCAAACCAACCAGTACACGACACCAAATACGAGTCTGCAAATTGGTAAGCGGCTGTGCTTAGAAATAGGAACCGGCATAATAGGAGTGAGAATCGTCTGATCTCAATTTACGCTGCCGGTCAGGGGGTTTGCACGGGTAACGGGACCACTTACATGCCGACGCCAACGATGGCGTAAGTCGCGTAGAAAAGTCCGCCGGGTTTCGGATGCGACGGGGGGAAGAAAGGCGCAGCAAGCAGAGCGAGGCACAGCAAGCTCCTGAAGATCACGGCCGGAATCCAGGCTTTGAACGGCCTCTTCAATTCCGGTCGCTTATACCGCAGCCAGATAAGCCCTATCGATGTCGCCAGTGCGAATACCTGCCCCGGATACCCTTCCACCTCCAGTATAAACGAGTACACCTCGCTCGAGGGTGGGAGTGCGATGACTAGTACGGAGGGGATGTAGTGCACGATGAGACCGCCCATCGGCGCGTTGAACGGCTTGGATGAGGAGAGATATCTCGCGTAGGGTAAGAAGCCGGCGCGGGCAATTTCCTGGTTAAGACGTGCCTGGACACACATTAGAAATCACTCGCCTCCAATGCCGGCACCGCCCTGACTAGCGGGAGAGGGGAAGGGAGAACTCTGAGGCCTTACCACGGCGAATGTGACGACCATCACGTTGCCCGCAGCCGAGAGGGCGACAGCCAGCGGCAAAAATCTCTTGCCGACGTTCGGGCCAAACGTGCGCTCGAAGAAGAGAGCGGCGACAAGTTGGCCGCTCTGCTTGATCTCGTCAACCGGCACCACCGCGAAATAGGCGAGATTCGCGAGCAGGTAGAGGAAGCAGGCCGTCACGAGGGCCGTAAGCGAGACCGACTTTAGGGTTCTAACCGGGTCCTTCACCTCGTTCATAACGTTGTTCAAGTTAGACAGCCCGGCGTAGGAGTAGAAGACCTTGAACAGGGACGTCGCGATGGTTCCTAGGTTCCAGTCGCTCCCCTCCCACAGCCCATCCCAGTCCCGAATGCCCACCCGCTCATTTCCCAGGCCCTCCTGCTCGGGGCGGAATAGTACGACGTAGAGGGCAGCGAGGACCATGAACAGGACCAGCCCGACCTTGATCCAGCCGAGGAAATTCTGGATGCGGATGCCGGCCCTGTACCAGCAGCCGTGGATGATGGTGATGACGGTTATGAGCCCGACGGCCAGGGCCTTCTTGGAGAAGTCGCGTGTCTCGACGTCGAATACGAAGTGGACGTACTGGCTGAAGATGATGCAGTTGCTCGCGGTAAAGCCGAGGAGGACGGCTTGTACGGCGATCATGGTCGAGGCGAAGAAGCGCGGACGGGGGTAAGTGAATTCGAGGTAGACCTTGTCGCCGCCAGACCGGGGCAGCATGCACCCGTACTCCAGCGACACGGCCAGGCCGCAGGCGACGACAACGGCGCCCAGGACCCAGAGCGAGAGGGAGAGGCCGACGCTGCCGACGGAGGTCAGGATGACGCCCGGGACGGCGAAGATGCCGCTGCCGATGACGCGGGATATGGCGATGATGTAGGCGCTCTTCCAGTCGATATTGCGGCCCAGGACAGATTCCTCCGGGAGGACGTCGTCTTCAATATTGCCGAATTCGGGTTGGGAGGTGGTCGAGCCGGCCTCGTCGGCTTCGCTCGAGGGTTTGCGGATGGAGGACGATGTCGAAGATGCTCGCTCTGCCGTGCCCGCCGCTTCGGCAGCGGACGGCCCTAGCAAGGGACTATCTTCCCGGTACAGAGGGGCCATCGGTGCGTATCGGAAAACGCGGCGTGTCAGCAAAGAGACCGAGAGGGAAATGGAGACGAGAGACGCGCGTAGCCCCAGTACTAGAGTGTTTCGCGGGACGTGTATAAGTGTAGCACAACTCGTCAGACGGCTTTCGTATTGACTTATCTAACAGCAAGCTATCATCGGGGTAAATACATAGGTAATGATATAGGCTAGAGACAGACGCAAGTGTAACGATTCGAAATGGCGAGTCGACAAGATATGTATGGGGGTTTCGACGTGGGGGGATAAGACGAAAAGGAGGATTGGTGAGAAGCCGCCGTACTACCTCCATGCAGCGGGCGTGTAGACGCCTCGCAGTGGACGGGTAGGTGTAGGCGTAGGTGTAGGTGCGGTGTGCAGGCCAAGGTATGTGTGTATCTGGGAGTATTCGGCGGTGACTACAGGTAGGTAGTAATCGTCGTAGGAGCGTGCAATGTCGGACGAATAAGTCTGCGTGCCCGACGCCATCTGGCGATGCGAATCCAGGCGGCTTTCCACGAAGGCAGGTCTTGTAGGCAGGTCTGTAGGCAGGGATCTATCATCTATCCAGGCAAACGACACCTAATACCTGGGGCAGCCGTGAGTACCGACCTGCCCGAGAGGGGATCTCAGGGAGACGATTGCTGACAAAAGCAGGAGAGAGGCGTGCGAGGGCGTGCGAGGGCGTGCGAGGGCACGTAGCGCGTGAGGGTGTCCCGCGCCCGTCCGCTGCGCGAGGACTCGAGGGCGTGAGAAGTTGCGCAATCTCGCGTGTTTCACCCGTACCGGCCTCTAGTCCTCGCACGCCATATTCCTCACGCCTTGCACCACCCCCCCTAAAGAAACCGGCAGGGCATCTCGCATCCTGGCGCCATCAGCCAAATTCCGAGCCGGCCGATTGGCGCTCTCCCTCTCGGGTGCTGGATGTCTTGTGTCTTCTGTTTCGGGCTGGGGATCGCAAGGGCGCCCAATGGCAGCTGTATTATAGCATATTACACTTGGTATAATCCTATCCGAAGGAGAATGGTAACGTGCGACCCTATATTACCCATGTTACAGCACCGTAGCCCAACGTGCGCTATTGATACCTACATCACACACACACACACACACACACAATGCGTGCCTCTTCTCTTCCTCTGCAATCCCTCTTACGAACCCTCCCCAGACTTCCAGGTGGATATCGCCTTCACACATTGTCTCCCGTCTCGAATAAGATGCAACCACCCCGGGAGTTATGCAGGTAGGTAGTTAGCACCCCGCAGAGCCCCTCCATTACCTAGTTACCATCCCCGCGTCGTCGCAACTCTACCCTCTACTCAACTCGGCAGCAGGGGATCGTCGAAACGCTGATTCGGCTCCGCCATCCGATTCCTATTGCCTTGCTACCCCGAATACTACGGCTACGTTCGTCAGACGCCATTCTCGCACCTCGGACGACGTGAACTGCCTGCCGTCGCAAGGCACGTAGGTACGTCATCGCCGCAGACGGACGCATCCGCGCTTGTCGAAGCCTTTTTCTCCACAGAATTCGCTCTCGCTGCAACCCCCCGGCTCTTAGCATAACAGCTCGCAGACACCTATAATACCGACGGTAACTTGATCGCCAATGCAACCCCTCCCCCCTCGCATGCTCTCCCGTCTAACGTTATACCTACACATTCGGCGCAACATAATACAGCCCTAATCCCACGCCTCGGTTCAGCCCACCCGGCTCCTATCGCGTGCCCCACGGCACCAAGGGCTTGTCGTCGACGAGACCAAGCATCACTCATACGCACGCGACAACTCTCACAGCCGCTAGCTAGCACTGCCCTCACCCCCTGTCGTCCCGTTCGTAGACAGAACTTCCCGCCATTTCCACCTACAAGCAAGACAAGGCTCGAGACGGGATGCCTGTGGCGCAAATGTGTCGCAATGCAAACGCTGTCAAATCGCGAGCTAAACACCGCGTTTTTCGCGTGTCTGCAGATTCCGACACCTTCGTCCTGGAGCCAGCACTCGACATTACTCCCGTCTCAAGGCAGGAGGCCGGTTACGCGTAGACAATTCTAAATTACCTATCTTCCGCCAAGAGGCAGTACTTACCTACCGAGGTATACCTACGGATGCACGCCCTCGCGCTTACGCGGCCGAGACTGTGTCGCGTTAGATACCTAGCTTCCTGTTTCTCCTTGCCACTTTCCCAGCCATGACTAGGCGCGGCACCCCGATCAGAGGAAACAGGTATATAATTCGCTCCCAGTGGCTGCATAGTAGTAGTAGTAGTAGTAGTAGTAGTAGTAGTAGTAGTAGTAGTAGTAGTAGTAGTAGTAGTAGTAGTAGTAGTAGTAGTAGTAGTACCTAGTATTTAACGCCTGCCTATGGTTATCCTGTGACCCCTCGTGGGGTACTAGGGGCGTGCTAAGCTAGGATATTTACAGCATTTTAGCCCCCCTACCAATTTAGCAACCCGGTTCTCATATCGCGGTTCACGCGGTTCAAGCTGCATCCTCCCTCCTCCATGTGAGGGCAGTTCCCGGTTCTTTTTGGTGGCGGACCTTAGTCCTAGTTGGCCGCAGTTTAAGGACTTTACATGATGAACCTCCAAATCACACTTTTCCGTAGACACCCTTCCCTCCCGGGTACCTCCCGGCTCGGAAATGCCATGCAGCGCGCCGAATAAATACTTATCACCTTTTCCATCCTCTCGCCATAGTAACGCCGTCCGTATGCTCACACGCACCCCCTCAAGCCGCCGGACCCCACAGCCCGTCCGCGAGCTCGTCACCGACGTCGAGCCCGCGGAACCCGTCCTCGACGGTCCACGCGCGCCCCTTCTCGAGCGGGTGGAGGAACGCGCACGCGCGCCCGACCACGAGCAGGCCGGGCGGGCGGCTGCCCTCCTGCTCGACGGCCTCGGCCACGCGGTCTAGCGTCGTGCGGATGACGCGCTGGTCGGGGCAGCTCGCGCGCTCGACCACCGCGCACGACGTGTCGCGCGGCCAGAGGGCGCGGGCCGGCTTGTCCCCCGCCACTCCTGCCTCCGCCTCCGTGTGCGCCGTCAGCTCCCGCACCAGGTCCCCGACGCGGTGCAGCGCCATCAGGAACACGGCGGTGCGGCCGGGGACGAACTCGGGAGGGTCGGGGGCGCGGCCCTTCTTCCCCGTGCCCGTGCACACTAGGATCTGGTCCGCGACGTCGCGCTGCGTCGGCGGTATTCCCGCGAGCAGGGGCGCCGCGAGCGCCGACGTCACTCCCGGGAGCACGACGACGCGGCCGTCCGCGACGCGCGCCCCGTGGCGCGCGAAGAACGCGACTTCCTCGCCGCCGCGCCCGTACACGTACGGGTCGCCCTGCTTGAGCCGCAGCACCGTCTTGCCGCTCTGGAACGCTTCCAGAGCGAGCGCGAGCAGCTCCTCCTGCGCCGCCTCTGCGTTTCCCGGGAACTTGCGCGCGATGTGCACCGGTGTCCGCCGCGGCACCAGCTCTAGCACTCCCGCTGGCACCAGCTTGTCTGCCAGCACCAGGTCCGCCGCCCGCAGCGCCCGGTACGTCGCCCGCGTCAGCAGGTCTGGGTGTCCCGGCCCGGACCCGGCGAGGATGATACGCCCGATACGCGGTGCGGGAGGCGGTAGGGAGGAGGAGAGCGAGGACGGAGAGGAAGCCGAGGCGGACTCGGCCGATGCGGAAGGAGCGCCGGTATTGCCCAGGCCCTCATACGACTTTAGCATATCTGTGACGTCGTCATCCGTGATGGTCGCGAGCCGCTTGAGCGGCCAGTACTCGCAGATCTGACTGAGCCAGCGCATGCGCCTGTTCTTGGCGGCTTCGAGGTCAGCCTCGGTCACGAGCCTGTTGAAGGCGGCGGACTGGCCGACCGAGTCGTCGTCGTCTCCATCGGCAGCGAGGGCGGCGTGCAGCAGGTGGTCCTCCTCCTGGATGCGACGGCGCGCGTCGCCGAGCCGGCGGCAGGCGTCGCCCAGATTCGGGGGCAGCGCGGCGGCGACCTCGCGGCGGATCCTCGACGCGAGCTTGCAGCCGCGGCCGTTAGTCGTGACACCGATCTGCAGCGGCCCGTCGACGTGCGTCGACAGCAGCGCGAAGGTACACAGCTGCGGCGCATCAACCACGTTCACAGGAATTCGATGGCGCTTGCACAGCGTCGATATGTGAATGCCTAAGCAAAGAGGGCGCCGTGCCGGTTAGCCAATTAGAGCCCCGCGCGACGAAGAACTCTACTAGGAAACTTCGTACTTAGCGGCTCCCGCGGTCCCGAGGTGACGAAGACGGCATCGACGACGTGGCCGATCTCCTCCCTCCCGAGAGCGAACAGGTGCTCGTCTCGGAACGGCTCCCGCAGCCACTTCACCTCACCATCGTCGACACGCTTCCGCAGCGCGTAGTGCAGCTCGGCCTCGCCGGGCGCAACGAGAACGGGAGACGCGCCTGCACTCAGGGACTGCGTGCACCGGGCGGCGGCCAGCGGGTTCGATCCGATAACAAGGTGGACGTGAGCGCGAGCGTCGGTCGCCGTCAACAGGGACACGTGAGGATTGCCATTGCTGGCGCAGGCACTCATTGTCGGTATATGCGCCTGACCCCCTGGTGATGTCGGAGGGGGGTGAGCAGGCCGAGGAGAGACGATGGACAAGGTGGAAGTAGGTTATGCGGTTATGGCTGCAGGTCTTCGTAACAGAGTTCCCGAAGACCTTCTATCTGACAACTGACGGATTATAAAAGGAAGTAAGTGAATATATTAAAGCCCAGGGTGAGAGTCTCCCAACCAGCGTCGAAGCTGTATATCTCTCACGAGGGGAAAAAAAACAGACAAGAATCCGAAAAGGCGCTTCCGGTAGGGAGGATATAGCGAAGCAGGTATTGCGAGCTAGCCACTTAGTAAATCCGCGGGGAGGCGATGCAATACGTAAACTAGCATATAGACCTTACCTAAGTCACGGCTTGCCAGCGATGTCGCCATGGCGCGCCCGGCCGGGGAGCTGACAGGGACCGATTCCCGGGATTCGTCGCCGCCATTTCTACTGCGCAGGTGCCTTCTTTGGAGGGGCAGGCGGGGCAGCCCAGCTATGACGCAATTCCACTTACCGCTGATACCTGTCGTATCTGGCCAATCAGCGACGGCGTATTTGCTCCGATAAGCTGGTTCGCTTGGCGGGCGTCGTGCCGGCAGCCCCCGCCGTTTGACCGACTTCCGCGGACTCTGACCGGAGATCTCGAAGTTAATAGCTGCCTACCTTAGGTCATCCTTCGTATTTCCTCATCGCCCGTGATTCCAAGTCTAGCATGAGAGGTCCGGAGAGAATCGCTCTGGAAGTGGGCGGTCGACTGCACAGATGCGACAGTGGCCGTAGAGCCCAGACTTGGATTCGAATAGGGTGCTGTGCAGCCCAAGGACCCAAATATTCATACACGTAGCGAGTAGAACAACCTATACGTTCAGCCTCTTCTCTTCCTCTTTTCCGCGTCCTAACCCTTCGTAATCCTGATAGCCGTCGCGGGAGTTAGGACTGCCCCCTCCCCCGTCATGTACAAAAGCCACCTAGCCATTGCGCCTAGTTAGCTATACCTACCTACCTATGCCTATAATCCTAGTCGGCAAGACCGCAAACCCGGCAACCGCACACACATACCCAATCGGCCGCCTGACAATATGTTGCATGTGCGCGTGCGCGCGTACGCTTACTACAATTCCGCTTCGTCCTCCGCCTCCGCCTCCAACTCGAGCTCCCTCAGCAGGTCCTCCGTCATCCTCGGCTTCCGTCCGCCCTTCGTCCGTCTCGGCGTCGGCGGTCGGTACTGGCCGCCTATCCCCGTCGTGCTGTAGATCCCGCGCTCGTCGGCGTTGAACTCGATCACCTGCTGTCGCCCCAGCGCCGCCTGGCGCGACCGCACCCCGCCGTCGTTCGGCGCCACGCCCCCCTTCCCGAGCCGCACCGGCCGTGCCACCCGCGTCTTCGCCCCCAGCGCCCACAGGTCCCCCCACTGCGCCTTGCGCGCGTCGTGGTACGCCACCAGGCTGAAGCTCTTCGGCACCGTCCACCGTTCAATCGTCCCCATCGGCGTGCACAGGTCCATCGTCACGTGGCCTCGCCGCTTCAACGGCGGCATGATGTTCCGCGGCAGCGTCAGCGGATCTGGTGCCGTTGTCGCCTTTTCGTAGCCCCGGAAGGCCTGTGCGGTGAAGTCATATTTACTCGCGAGGAACGGCGAAGCTTCTTCCGCTTTTGGCACCGTTCCGCGCTGGATCGCGACGAAACTGAAGTCGACATCCCCGTGGTTCCGATGTGAAGCGCCTAAGAGCTTCTGGAGGAACAGTGGGCGGATGTACCGTTGGCTAAAATGGCAGAAATCCTTTCGCCCGCCACTGCGACCGGGCGTCAAGTACATCGGACATTGTTTATGGTTCGTGCAGGGGGCTATTATCATGCCCGGCTCCTGGATTCGTCGGCCGCCTACCTCGATGGCTTCGGGCCGGGGGCCTGAATTGACCGGGAAAATGAACTCGGTCAGCAATCGAGATCGGACGTCCGCCACCGCCTCGAAGCCCCGTGGATGGCCTTTCTCTAGGACGATGAGAACACCGCCATCGGGCGACAGCAATTCCCACAGGTTGTCTAATAAGTCCTTTCGTTGATATTCTAGCTTCAGGGGCATGAACAAGTGGGAGGCGATAATGACGTCGAACGACTTCCTCGGCAATGTCTTGTCGCCAGTATCCAAGGACTCGGTGCCCCCACCGGAATGCAGATAGTCCGGCAATCGCGGGAGGAAGGTGGTGTTGTGAAGAAACCTCGAGATCCGGTGCCGTAGGTGATCGGAGCCGACCACGGCCGTCTTCTTGCCCGGTAGCGGCGGTGTGGGTGTCGTATTTCCTTCTCCGCCGCCAAACTTGAGCTCCCACTCAGCCGTCAGAACTTGCTCCCACGCTACCAGGCCTGCCCCGCCGCCGCCGACATCGAGGACGCGAGGACCCTCGCCCTCGCCTCTGACCAAAAGCTTAGAGAGCCACTCGGAACCTAGACGCTTACGGACCTCGACCAGTATTCCCATCACCGAAGCATACATACCAGGAAGGTTTGCCGCGAGAAAGGCGTCGGCATTTATCTCCGTCATTTTGTGGAGGCCCGCCCCCAAAGCGACCCCCAGCTGTGGGATATTCTTCATCATTGGGGTGGCGACGGAATGCGGGAGGCCGAGTCCGCCGAAAACCTTCTCGGCAGCCTCCCTGACGTGGCTGATATCCGTCCGATTGAGTAGCTCAGAAATTGGATATACAAAATCTTGCTTGGGAAGATGAACAGTAGTGGGGCTCGTTCTCCAGTGACCCAACTTTGTCCATTCGTGGACGCGGTCGGCCATGGAGTCAAATAGCACATCTGGTTGGCTGTCTCCTTCCTCCTCTTCGGGGTCCTCTTCCTCTTCCTTTTCCTCTTCTTCTTCAACCCCTTCCTCCTCCTCAATTGCCTGAATTCTGGACTTTTCAAAATCTTTCTGTAGTTTCAGGAGGACATCGAATTCCCTTTGGCTCTTGGCGATGGCATTGATGTGAACGAGCCCAGCGTCGGAAGGCAGTTCTGGCAGCACCTCTAAATCCGGTAACTGTACGTTTGGGGTATGTCCCGTATTCGTAGGGAGAGGGGTCGGGGTCTCGGCTGCGGAAACGGATTCTTCTACTTGGTCATTGGCCACGGAAATAGATTCTTCTACCTGGTCAGGGGCCACGGAAACAGATTCTCCTACCTGGCCACCGGCCGCGGAGACGAACTCTTCTACCTGGTCGCCGGCCGTGGAGGCGGATTCTTCTACCTGGCCTTCGGCCGCCTCTTGCACCAGTATTGTCTGCGCCAGCTTCTCTGCGAGTTCTACGGGGTCGATATCATCGGTGGGAATGCCCACATCTTCTGGTCGCGTCTCACGCAGGGGCGGTCCGTAGAGTCGCTCGTACAGCACGTATTCCCTCTCGGTCAGGTAACCCTTTGGTAAGGTGTCGCCGAATGCCTGCTTCGCCTGTCGCACCGTAAGCTCGATTTCTTGGAGTTCCTGTGCACTAGGTTCCGGCTGTGGTTCCGGTTTCGGTTCCGGTTGTACGTCTTGGTGCCGACGCCTCGACTCGGAGAAAAGGCGCGCGCTGCCGTATCGTTTCCTCTGGCTTAGGGTGAACGTGCGAAGGCTTCGAATGGTCGAGGGCGTAGGCCGGGGTCGGCATCGCAGGGGATCGCTGCGTCGACCAGCAAAGCCGTTCTCGAACAGATAGAGAAGCCGGGTCCTGCACTGAGGACACGGCCCCTGTGCCCTCGCAGCATATAGCATGGTTCGCCGTCGGTACTATCGACCCAATCTCCTGTTCAAGCCGTAGGCGAATTGATAGAGGACAGTACCGACGACTCGTGGTGTTTAGGGGGATTTAGGGGGAGGGGAGGGGGGGTTGAATTGTAATCAGTAATAGGTAACGAAATTTTGGAGGTTTATTGGAGGGGGTTTGGATCTGCAGATAGGTAGGCTAATTGGGTCCGTGCACCGATAGCTTCCACCCAGTCAAATCGCTTACAAAGGTAAGCTACATCGGTACATCGACAGAGAGCGCGGGTTGGAGGTCGTAGGGAAGATAGGATAGCATAGATTCATGGACATAAGTCCGGCCCGCGCATCCCATCCCAGCCGTCCTCTCTTCATCTGTCTCTTGTCTTTCCCCTTCCCCTTTTTCGTTTTATTTACCTACCTAACTCTTAGAACCCCCCCTTTGTTCCACTATCCTCACCATTAATCCCTATGAACACCTTCGCAAATATCCATCAAACGGGTCGTACTTCCTACCGGGATGTCCTACTCCTACTTGTTGTCGAGATCGGACAGTGTTTTGAACCCGCTAGAGCGAGCCGCACCGCCCGGCTTCTGACCTTTGGCTTGGATCGGCTGAGGCGGCGCCCTCGGCTTGTTGACGTTGAAGTCCGAATTCTCGGCTGCCTTGTAAGGATCGAACTGCGCCCGTCAGCTTCATGCTCAGATCACACGGGGGAAGGAGGGCGGAGAAACACTATATATAGCTCCGCCAGGGAAGGGGAAGTGAGAAAGGGTATCATACGCTAAACAGCGACGTGAAGTATAGCCCAAAGAAGGTCAAGATAGCGCTCAAGATGGAGAACAGGCCAAATGTCCGGCCGCTCAACGTCTGTCCGCCTCGTCTCGCCAGTGTCGCGCCAGAGGGCGATGCTGACGTGCCCCCCAGGGTGCGCCCGGGGGTCTTGAAGGAGGCTCCAGGGGCGCTTGTGCCGGCCAGCTTGACGGCCTTCTCGACGGCGTTGGTTAGGGCGGGGGGGTTGGCGCCCTGGATGGTCTCGATGACGGAGCCGCTCTTGAAGACGAGGAAGGTGGGCATCGCGCGCACGCCGTGGGCCTGGGCGATGGACTGCTGGCTGTCGACGTCGACCTTGCAGAATGTGATCTTGCCCGGCTTCGAGTACTTGGTCGACAGCGATTCGAACGTCGGCGCGATCATCTTGCAGGGACCGCACCAGTCGGCGTAGACTATTCCGTTGTTCGGCGCATCGGTAAGCATCCCAGCACGTCACCAACAGCAGCAAAAGGGCGGATGGCCGGGTTCACTCACAGTCAGCGACCACGACGGTCGAGGACCCCAAGATGCGCTGCCACTCATTTGGCGAGCCGACGTGTACGGTAGGGCTCATTTCGGTAGGGAGGTAGGTATAGTGGTTCGTTGAAGAGGTATAGTCGCGCGATGTTTCGTGGTTGATAGGCAGGTTGATGGGTTGTAGGTGGATCTTTTGGCCGATGACGAACGGAGGCAGATTCGTCGAGAACCCACGGTCAACCTGTCCACTCCGGGCCCTTGTTGTCATGGTACCTAAGTACCTACTAGGTACCTGTACTCAAGAGCTACCCCTAAGTGGGGCGACCCACAATGACTGCTCCATAATGGTGCCATACCTAATATAGAAGGCGGTATATCAGGCGGTGGGTTTTTTCTGGCAGAATCTTCGCAAAAGTCAATTTACCTAGCAGAAGTCAAGCCGAAGAAAAAAAAGGGAAAAAGAGGAGGGTGAAAAATAACAACTCCTCAACAACCTCAATTGGCAGGGTACGTTGCGCGAATGTCGTGCGTCGTAACCTAACAATCGCTTGACATTCACATCGCTCTCCTCTCGCAGGCTCAAGATGGACAGCTCCGAACAGGATAGGCAGAAGGTAAGCGAATAGTACCTACCTACCCGCCTACCATCAGGTAGGTATTACCAAAGCGAAGCATCTCTAAATCGCTCGCGTTGCTGCGGTTGGTCCACCGCCGACAAGCCAATATGGGGAGAGGGAGTCGAAGCTAACCTCAAACCAAGAAGCGTCGGCTCGCCAGGGACGGTGAGTACGCCAACACCTCGAAGCCCACTTCCTCCTTCAGGCCAGCCGGGGGCCGGCATTGGACCATCTCGGTCGCCATCCCGGGCAGCATCCTCTCCACGTTAGCCTCCCTCCATCCTCCCTCCCCCAGCATCAACTCCGCTCACGCGTCACAACCCCTCACAGCAGCTGCGGGCGCGACGACCAGCGAGCCGCCGTCGTGTCGCGCGTCGCGCGGGCCGCCGCCGTCTTCGGCGTCGACGAGATCGTCGTGTACGACGACTCGCCGGCTGGCTCGCGCCCGCGCGCTGTCGACCCCGCGGCCTACGCCGGCGACGTCGACCCTTGCGGGTACATCGAACACCTCCTCCGGTACCTCGAGGCCCCGCCCTTCATGCGCCGTGTCCTCTTTCCCGTCCACCCAAACCTGCGCGGCGCCGGCGTCCTCATCGGTCTCGACATCCCCTCCCACCCCCACCCCTCCGGCCGCCTCCCCTACTGCGAGGGTATCACCACTGCCGGCACCCTGCCCCCTTCCGGGAGCGACGCCGCCACCGCTGGCGCCTCCAGTGGCGATGGAGGAGGGGACGGCAGGAAAAAGCGAAAACATCCAAAAGAGGCAGAGAAAAACTACACGCTTGTCGACGTCGGCGGCAAAAGCCCCGTCGTCCTCGCCGGCCACAATATAGCTCCAAACACCCGTGTTACCCTGCACCTCAACCCAGACGACCCGTTGCGCGGCGAGCTCGTCGCCCCGGGAGCCCCACGCGAGGACGGCGGCTACTACTGGGGCTTCTCGGTGCGGCGTTGCGCGTCTTTGTCCGCCATCTTCGAGGGCTGCGCCTTCGACGGCGGGTACGACCTCAGCATTGGCACATCCGAGCGCGGCCAGCCCGTGTCCGAGGCCTTCCCCGACACACCCAAAAAGAAGAAAGGTTCCGAATTCAGCCACCTGCTCGTCGTCTTCGGCGGCCCCCGCGGCATCGAGTACGCCGCCGAGAACGACGCCCAGCTCCAGGACATGGGTATTGTAAGGGGCAAGACGAAGGAACTTTTCGATCATTGGGTCAACATCCTACCGGGCCAAGACAGCAGGAGTATCAGGACGGAAGAGGCGCTCCTTATCGGACTCACGAGCCTACGGAGGTTATGGGAAGGAGGACAATAATGTTGGGGACGCCGTGGGCGCGACGTAACACCAATGATCGGAAGCAGTTTTTTCTTTTTTCTGTTGAGAACTCGATACATTATCGCATTGTACAGGCAAGCTGCTGATATATACCCTGCCGCATCCCTATATACCCACGGCTATACACGACTCTTTAGAGGCGCGGCCCAATCTTTGACATATCCGTATCGTCGGCCTTCAACTCCCATCCCTTTCCGCGGAAGCGCTTAGGCCAGATGCCGTTCCGTCCGGGCGCCAGGATACCGTTGGGGTCCAACACATCCTTGATCGTCTCGTTGAACCGCATGAAGGCTGAGTCGTTCCAGTTATACGTGCCGGCCACCTGATCCGCGAAGAGCAGATGGGTACGGTACTCGCCAAATCCCTTCCCGGCACACTCAGCAATTACCTCTCGCATGAGTCGCACAGCCCGGGCCTTCATGTCGGCGTCGGCCCGGTTGTAGATGATATTGGTGATGTAGTGGATCTCGCGGCCAGCCACGCACAGCGTCGGGAACAGATCGAAGCCGTGACGCTTGTGTGCCGCCACGATAAGCTCGTGGATCGTTCGCGCATCCTTGCCCCTAGTAGGTGCGATGGGGGAAAAGAACAGATGGCCTGCGTTGGGAACCCAGTTCAACCAATCGAGCTCCTTGAGCACCGGCACGCCCGAGCAGACAACTGTAACACTCAAGTCAGTATTCCCTTTTCAAGTGGCGAGCCAGGGAGGGCACGTAGGAATCCGCAAGGACAGGGCATGTGAGGGAATAAGCAACCTAGATAGGCAGCACGTACGGGCACGGTCGTGGAGATAATGGTCCTTTGGCAAATCGGAAGGCAGGTAGAATTTTGAGCCGGGGACCTGTCCGAACGAGGCCTTGATCGTTTCGAGCTGGGAGGCGATCGACTCGCGCGTCCCGTACTGGGTACCGTAGAACACCCAAGAGCAGTCTCCTAGGGGCATCTTAGAGGCGGCAGCCCGGATCTCTTCGCGCGTCATCGGCTGGGTTCCCGAGTGGAAATCCGCCTTGGTCTTGCCCGTGACGTTCAGCTCCTGGATGACGTGCCGCAGCTGCGGGATGTTGCCCAGGATCCGCTTCTGCGCCAGCGGCCGGATGATGTCTACGATCTGTTCAAAGTCCTCGTCGCGCGGGAAGGTGAAGATGTAGGACTGGTGCTCGGTCTCCGGCATCAGATGGAATCCCATCTTCGTCACGATGCCGAAGTTACTCTGGGAAAAGATGCCGTCGATGGAGGGGCCAAAGGCGTGCTGGAACGACTGCCAGGTCGGGTTGTCTGTCCCGTTGGGGCCGGGCATGGCACCCATGCCGGTGCGAAGCAACTCGCCGTTAGGTAGGACCACTTCCATACCGCAGTGGTTCGCGAAATGGTCGCCGTAGGGCGTGTACCCAACCCCGCGGTCGATGGCATTGCCGAGAACGCTGCCGCCACCCAAATCCGGGGTGTCGATCCATAGCGGGAGGTTTAGCTTCTGGATTTCTTCGTAGAGCTTGAAATATGTGACGCCAGGCTCCACGACGCAGCTGGCATTCTCGCCGTCGACCTTCAGGACCTTGTGCATCCGTCTGCCGAGATCCACAACCACGGCTCCGGGTATCCGAGGGGCCGCGCCGCCATAGCCTAAATTCCTACCGATGGAGATGGGATATATGGGAATTCCGAACTTGTTAGCCCAACGCACCGTGGCTTGGACCTCCTCCGTAGATCCAGGATACACCGTCGCGCTGGACACGAGCTCCTCCTGATCGACGATGTGGTAAGCATCGTGCGTATTCGGGTGCTCGATGTACCATCCATCTACTAGAGGTTTGTCGTTGAGTTCCACGTTTCCGCTGCCAATTGCGCCGCGTAGCTCCCTGACTGCCGTATCGAAGCTCTCCTGCGAGACACCCGGCGGGAGGCGGAGCGCACGCTTCCTCGGCTGGCTGGCCGGGAGCGTGTGGTTGGAGAAGAGACGAGCTCTAACCTCTTGCGCCTCCTTGCTTAGCCGTTTGGGCGTTCCGCTATGCTTCTCGTCTAGGGTCGGGACAGGTCCCAGTGCCTCGTGTCCTGCCATGATGCTGCTGAGTCTTCCAATCGTCTACGTCCTCCTCGTCCTCGGATAGCTCTCTACCATATTCACCTTCCCACTACCTACAGAATCCCGCCCTTTAAGTATTATTTCAGCATCCCCTGCTGCGCTACCAGATCCGAGGTGAACCCCTTTCAGCGCTGCTCGGCACTAGTCGTGGCCCCAAATCGTGGTGTAAGTGGGGTTGGGATGGGGGAACCTTCGGCAGATGCGTCCCTGGATCCTCTCATACAGTGTGATATCCCACACGCCGGCTATTCATAAATTTTCCCAAATTTCGGTGTCTTAGATCTGCATTAAATAGTCGTAATTGGCCCGCTGCATGTCTCTAGACCCCCAAGTGTGACGAGGCTCGGGTCGCAGAAACTGGATTTACCTCCACGATGACTGTCAACGTTGAGCAAAAGGAGCCCATCAAAGGTGCGTAACCTAGACCACGGGGGCAGAGAGAGACCCTTCCCTTTTCATCGCGTCAGTGAACTCGGTTCTCGGAGCAGACCTTGCTAAGTTCTGTTTCCCAGCGATCGTTATCGGCGCCGGTCTCGGTGGTTGCGCCTGCGCACTCGCGCTCAAGCACCACGGACACTCGGTCGTCGTCTACGAGAGGCTGAAGGGGTTCCGACGACTGGGTGACTCTCTAGGCTATGGAGAGAACGCGCTCAAGTTGCTCGAGCGCTGGGGCGGCAGCTCGCTGTACAAGCGCCTGACCAGCATCGGCAACCAGGCCCCCAACATGCAAATCCGACGGTGGCATGACGGTAAGATCCTAGCCCAGCAGCCACTCATGGATATGGCGGGTTACATCGGGCACCGCGGGGATTATCACGAGGCCTTTATCCAGGCCGTGAAAGATGCCGGTATCGAGATCCGCATGGGCTATGAGGTGGTGACCTACGACGAGTCTAAGCCCAGCGTCACCTTCGCTGACGGTACCGAGGACACGGCGGATATCGTAGTGGGTGCCGACGGGATCAAGTCGCGTGCTAGAGAGCAGGTCCTGGGCTTCGAGGACGCACCCAAGAGCAGCGGGTATTCCTGCTACCGGGCGTATTTCCCCGGCAGACACCTACGGGAGGACCCTCTGTGCCGCGAGTTCGTAGACCACGATTGCGTCAACATCTGGTACGTGGACCCGTAGATATCCGTACACGGGTAGATCCCGCAAACCACGACCTCGAGATCAAGAGCTAAAAGTAGCAACGCTTAGGATCGGACCGGACACGCACCTCGTGCAGAACACGCTGCGGAACGGAGACGAATTTAACTGGATCGTCACGCGGAAGTTATCGCACGAAGCGGACATGGTGATCAAAGAGTCGTGGTTTCAGGAGGGCAACATGGACGAGGTCAAGAAGTCGCTGGAGGGCTTGGATCCTCGCATCCTCGCGGCCGTTAATAAGACGGAGTCCTGCCTCGACTGGAAGATCTGCTACCGCGATCCCTTGCCCACGTGGGTCTCGCGGAGCCACCGCATCGCGCTGCTAGGCGATAGTTGCCATCCCCACCTACCGACGAGTGCTCAGGGAGCCAGCCAAGCGACAGAGAGCGCAGCTGTGCTTGCGGTCTGCTTGAAGCTGGCCGGAAAAGACAATGTGCCGTTAGCAGTAAGCATTCCCCTCCTCCTCCTCCTCCTCCTCCTCCTCCTCCTCCTCCTCTTTTTCTATCCTTGCATATTTCCCCCCTCTCGTCGTCCAGTCCAGCTTTTCTTTTTCTTCTTTTTTTGTTCTTTTCCCAGACAGATCTGTTTCGGCAGACGGCATCGGTTTAAGAGAGTGGGGAAGGCGAGCGCATGCATGTTTGGAGCGAATGACGCGACTGACCGGCATGGATGTGTATGCAGACGCGAGTGTACGAGAAGATCCGGTTCGGGCGAACACGACAAAGCCAGACGAACGGGGCGGACCTGCGGGACCGGTGGCATAACGCGCTCAAGCACGTAGCAGAGGGAGTGGAGATCGACCCGGATTCGATCAAGATGCGCAACCGTTGGCTGTACGCATACGACGCCGAGGCCGACACCTACGCGCGCTGGGACGAGGTGTCAGCCCAGGTGGCAGAGGAGTTGAGGACGGGAAATATCACGCCGCTGTGCTAACTGGCCCAGTGTTCTGTCTCTTGTTTCGCCTTTCTAGGGGAGGCCTGCTCGTGCCTACGCCTACCTCATTATATGGTCTAGTTCGTGTATCTGTATATTGCTGTTCTCCTCTCTTCGACTACGCACTTGCGCCGAAGGTCGCAAACCGGTCTAGCAAATCTCATGTGTCTCATCCCAACCTCCAACCGTGTTAAATGAAACCCCCTGCTTTATACCGAGCTCTATCCCTGTTACTTAACGCAGGTATTATATCCGCGGGTATATCTCCTCGTATTATATCCCACCAAAAAAAATCTATCACAAGGGAGTAGGACATTTAAGTTCATTTTGCTTTCATTTTATTATATGTAAGCTAGACTACCCCTTCGCGAGCCACCCCTTCGCGAGTGTCACGGTTTTAAGAGCTGTTCGCTGGGTAAAAGCCGTATGTTAATGAACTAAAGCTAGACGAGGAGAAAAAGGAAGAAAAAAGGTGCGCCGTATGGGCCGCACCTATAACAGCTGGCCTTATCCTCCGTAGGTACTGAGGGCCTGATTACGTGCTATGCCCTGGTACTAGTCAGGGCCCTACTATGGGCATAGCCTATTACATAAGGTCCCCTCCCGGAAAAAAAAAAAAAGTGCGCCCTGCCGCCCTTTTCTTCGGCGTCTAGCCCTGATAACCTAACCCGTTTTCTCCGCGCCTTAGGATGCGTACCGCATCCTTAGGTGCTGCCTCCGTTCCCCGGGGTACGCTACTCGCTCCCCGGGTTGCTAACTCCGCCGCCTAGGGTACTAGTATATCCCTAGGCCTCCTCCTCTTCCGTTTCGTTCGTTTCCCGGGGTATTAATGCCCCCCGGGTATGGCCTCTTTCCTCTCTTCCCCGGCGGTTATACTATACCCCGGGGTCTCCTCTTCCGCCGTTTCCTTCCCGGGGCCTTTCGTCTCCCGGGGTACTATACCGGGCGCCTCTAGCCCTCCGGCGCTCTTCCCCCGGGTCCTACTCTTTCCCGGGATCTCCTCCTCCGTAGGTTTCCCGGGTTTCTTTACTAACCGGGTACGCTTTCCCGGTAACTACTCCTCCCGAGAGCCTCCCTTTCTTTATCCTTCTTTTCCTAGGGTACTACCGGCGTTCCGGGTACTATTTAGCCCCCCGGTATACCATTCCCCTAGGGCCGCCGTTTCCGTCTCCCGGGTTACGTTATCCGCTTCCCGGGTTGCTATCTTCGTTCCCCGGGGTACTGCTGCTCCTCGGGAGCTGCTAGTCCCGATCCTCCTATTAAACCGTAAAGCTCTAAAGCCCCGCGTACGAAGTCGCTATTATAGGGCGCCTGCTAGGTCTAGCTTAGCTCCCGTAGCCACGGGATCGTCGGTCCGTTTGCCGCCGTTTAAAGACCCTCGTTTATCTTCCGCTAGCGGAGCTAAGGGCTCCGCCTGAGAGCGTACTAAGGCGCGCTCTCCCGTCTGCTGCTAAGAGGCCTGGGCCTCTCCTGCCGTTTAGAGGCCAGGGGCCTATCCTTCCGTTCTATTAGCGGAGCCGCGAGGCTCTGCCGGAGGACGTGCTAAGGTACGCCGTCCCTGCTCGTTTAAAGACTATCGTCTATCTTCCGCTGGCGGATCCCGTCGGATCCGCTGGAGGACGTATTAGAATACGCCGTCCGATTCGTTTAAAGACTATCGTCTATCGTCCGCTGGCGGAGTCTGAAGGGCTCCGCCTGAGGGCGCGCGGGGGCGCGCCCTTCCGTCTGCTGCTGGCGCCGCTAGCGCCCTTGTCGATGCTGCTGAGAGACCGGTGGTTTCTCCGAAAACCGCTAGTACCTCTGGTGCCCTTGTCGAAGTGCTGTTATCCTAGCCGAAACCTTGATGTATTTCCTGTTATTCTAACGCCGTTCCTTCCTTATGTTACGCCTCGGGCGTTCTTAACTCGCGCCTCGGGCGCGGCTTAACTCCGTGAGCGCTATGCTCTAGCGCTCTACCATCTTTCTCCGGAAAAAAATTTTCCGCCGTTTTCAGCCGTAGATTTCGTCGATTTCGTCGTTCTTTTATCTCGAAATTACCGTCTGAATCTGCGTTTTCTCGGGGTTATCGGTCGTTTTCTTTTCGAGTTATTTTATATCGGTCCTCGTCCGTGGTTACTACCGGCGCGTATATCCAAAAGCTAATACCGCCTTTCTAACTACTAACTTAGCCGGCGTAAACGCTGGTATCGCCTTTCCTACTACTAATCCCGCGTGCTAAGATACTATCTCGTCGGTCCTCTTCCGTAGGTACTGCCGGCGCGTATGTCTAAAACTAATACCGCCTTTCTAACTACTAACTTAGCCGGCGTAAACGCTAGTATCGCCTTTCCTACTGCTAATCCCGCGCGTAAGATATTACTGCTATCGTCGGTCCTCTTCGTAAGGGCTACCGGCGCGTATATCTAAAAGCTAATACCGCCTTTCCGACTACTAGCTTAGCACCGCTTTTCTAAGGGCTATATCGCCGTTCCTACTGCTAATTCCGCTCGCTAAGATGCTACTTCCGTAAAACGATAAAAGAAGGTTAGTCTAGCTTTTTATTACGGTTTTAAGAGCTATTCGCTAGGTAAAAGCCGTATATTAATAAACTAAAGCTAAACGAGGAGAAAAAGGAAGAAAAAAGGTACGCCGTATAGGCCGTACCTATAATAACTGGCCTTATCCTCCGTAGGTACTGAGGGCCTGATTACGTACTATGCCCTAGCACTAGCCAGGGCCCTACTATGGGCATAGCCCATTATAGCGAGCCGGGTATTTTGTATGGGTTTACATACAAACGATTTATCCCTGTAAAAAACCGGGAAAAAATCGGAAAAATCGGAAATTTACTTACGTAATTAATTAGCTTGATTAAATCAACATATGAATTTTTCGAATTTTTCGCTTAGTAATATAAGAGATTATTTACGATTTAAGGTTTTTTGAAACTGTACTAACAGTTTACCATATAACTTATTAGTAAATCTGTTAACTGTGCTCATATCGACATGTTTACCTATTTTTTTACGGCAATAAAGTGGGTCTATTACCTAATACTTTATTTTATAAATAGAAAAATGGCTAGTATTAAGTAATCTAATTTTTATTCTTTGGTTTCGTTTTTATTTAATATATTATTTTAAAAAAACTACGTTTTTGAACAGGTTAAAACTTTCTCAAATCGTACCATCTGTCACAGGACCACGGGCCACCCCCCCGCGGGCCACCCTGCTCCCCACCAAAAAACGGAAAAAGTCGCTATTTTCAAATACGTATAACGTTATGAATATAAGGATTTAAAGGTTATAAGTTATATCAATCGAATTGCCTTTTTAAGCTCTTTAAGTAAATATAAGTTATATAATACCGAACAGGGTTATCATCTAAATATAGACGGTAAAACTAAGAGGAAAGTTTTGAAAATATATAATAATTTTAAGTTTATAAATAATGAACCGATATTAAATTATTTTTTAAAATAAATTTAATTTTTAAAATTAGTTATATATATATAATATATATATATATATATACTTCTAAAAATATCTATATTAATATATATAATATAATATTTAATATAATATTATAATATTATAATATACCTATTTCTCTTTAGCATTCTACATATGAAACTTAAGATATAAAATATATATAATATAATTTATTTTCTTTGTTACTATCTATATATAACAGGTTATAAAAATTATAATTTTGAAGTTTTTTTTCATAATCTTTTTACAATGAAAATATCAATATATTTTATTAATACTTATATAAATAATAAAAATTCTTTTCGATTTACATTACGTAATATTCATACTATAATATTATATTTATGACTTATATAATAATATAAATGAAGAAAACCTTCTTTAAATTAAATAAATATATTTATTATTAATTTAATATTATATATTATGTATATTTATAAATAAATTCTTACATATATCGTTTCAAATAATCTTAAAATAAATAGTATTTAACTTTTAATTAAGTAATATATATATAGGTATATTTTATTTATAAATAAAATATAAACCTAGTTAAAAAATAATTAATTATATAACTTTTTATTTAGCAAAATTTTAATATATTTCAATAGCTTGTTATCTTTACTATAACTTTAAAATATATACTTTAAATATATATTATATATAAATATAGATATTTAAAACATAATAAGTAATATTTCATAAATTATATATTATATAACGTTATAATATTAAAGAAATATATATATTATTATCAAGATTATATACCTTTTCCATTTAATTATTACATTTAATATATAAGTATTCTTAATACTTTTCATTATATACCTTTTAAAAGAGTAGGTAAGATTTATGAAAATATTATCGTTATAATTTTAAAGCTTTATTCAATAAATATAATTAATTTTTAATAAGTAAATATTATTATAAGATATAAAAATCTTATATCTATATTAAGTAAAGAATCCTACTCGTTATAAGCCGTGATATCTAAAGAAACTTATATCAATCTAAAGAGCTTAAAAAGACAATTCGACTGATATAACTTATAACCTTTAAATCCTTATATTCATAACGTTATGCGTGTTTGAAAATAGCGACTTTTTCCGTTTTTTGGTGGGGAGCAGGGTGGCCCGCGGGGGGGTGGCCCGTGGTCCTGTGACAGATGGTACCTATTTTCACAGTAAGACTTCCACCTTTCCGACTGTCCTATTTTTCCATACAAAGAGGTTCTAAAAAAGAACACTAAAAATCAACGTTTTTAAGACTTATTTAATTTAATAAAAATCAAAAAAATAAAATGAAAAAAGTTTACGTAATCTTAACCATCATTCTATCCATAGTATAAAGGATTAGGTAATAGACCCACTTTATTACCGTGAAAAAAATAGGTCAAGAGGCCGATATAGAGCATAGTTAACAGATTTACTAATAAGTTATATGGTAAACTGTTAGTGCAGTTTCAAAAAACCTTAAATCGTAAATAATTTCTTATATTACTAAGCGAAAAATTCGAAAAATTCATATGTTGATTTAATCAAGCTAATTAATTACGTAAGTAAATTTCCGATTTTTCCGATTTTTTTCCCGGTTTTTTACAGGGATAAATCGTTTGTATGTAAACCCATACAAAATACCCGGCTCGCGAAGGGGTGGCTCGTGAAGCGGTAACCTAACTTATCTTCGACAACGACTCACAATCAGCTTTTTAAGAAACACAATACCAAAAAAGCAGACAGATCTTAAGAAACGATCCTCCGAAGCACACATTATAAGACATCCTAGATGCTGTATCTAAGTATTAACAGTTCTTATGGCAATGTTAAGCATATGCTCCGCGTATCCCACTGGTTTATGACGCCTCCTTAAAAGTGCTTGTCCCCATGGCCGATCGACTACGATGCGGCTCGCAGGCCTTTCCTACACGTGGCAAGTTCCCTTTAAATTGAGGCCCGCCGGATCTCCGACCACTCTTCGGCCACAGCGGCCCCGTCGTAGCTAGTAGGTAGGTATTAAGATTATATCTTTAGGTCACGTGTATTATACCCCAGCTCTCACTGAATTTATCTCGTAAGACACCACAGATTGTTCCCGATGGTTTCGAAACTCGGATTTCCCTACAAGTGCGAGGTCTGTTCCAAGGCCTAAGGAACGGCCCACACGGCCACCCGGATTGTTCTCACAAACCCGTTCTCCTGTCGTCTCGCGATTTCTCCCCTTTATCGTCGACGTCAACTCTGCTTCCCGCAAACCACGTGTGGGGCTTCCCCCTACATTGAAGAATCTCGACAACATGGCCCAAGACCGCCAGACTGTTATTAGCCGTGATGACAAGAAGAGAATCATCACTAAAGCCATCAAGCCGTTCAAGAATCTGGACTACCGGGGAGTAGACATGGCTAAAAAGTGGCCGCAACAGCGCATCTTGAACGAAGCTGCTGCGCTGCAGTTCATCAGAGACAGCACGACCATCCCTGTTCCGGCCGTCATTGCAGTTGGTGAAGGGCCAGATGGTTTCTTCGTCACAACCGAGCTCATCGACGGCATCCCGCTCGCTGACATCGGAGAGAGGTGTGAGGTGCCAACCCTGCCTGGCCACGAGAAAACCAAGTGCTCGGCGTGCCAGGCAACAGCGATTGCGAATGCAAAGACCTTCGTCGAAGAGACGGTCCTCCCTCAGCTCAGAAAGCTAACATCGCACACGACTGGTCTCGACGGATTTGTTAATCCGCCGCCTTGGGTGACTGAAGTGGACAGGAGGGAGTCCTGGGACACGAAGACGTCCGCTGTGCCGGAGTTTGTCTTTTGTCACGGCGACCTCGGGCCTTATAATATCATGGTCGACCCATTTACCCTGATGGTAACAGGCTTGATCGACTTCGAGAATTCTGGCTATTTCCCCTCCGAGTTCCTTGAGCAGTGGGCTATTGACGTAAAAGGATACTATAAGATGTACAAAACCATGTATGAAAGTCCGGCTGAGCTTAGCAGACTCACCATGGCTCTTCAGTCATAGCGGAACCTGGTCACAATAAGGCGGTTAGGCCAGAATACTATCTTAAGATACCTCTGTACCATTCACGCGGCACCTATAAGTTGGGAAATTGAGTCTTATATCCTAATTGAATCTATACCAACACGTGATAAGGGACGGTAAAGCTCTTATTGAAAGAGCATATCGCCCTCAAATGTCGACTCAAATCCTTGTACACAGAAATGAACGATATGAGAAATAGAACCACCAACATTTCTGCGCCCCCAAATTCGTCCAAACAACATCGTGAAATTTCCAGAATCCAACATCTGGCGTGGTAGAGGCCTTTCCAACGTACCTAGTGTTGGAACTCTTCTCGGAGACTGGGGACATCGCTCGGTCCTTTGTTGCTAAGGTCAGAACGAAGCAAAAGGCTCGTGGGGACTACGACGTCTATCAGAGCCGCTTACATCGAGGCCGAGATTGGCGGAGCATACTTGTAAATTCACCCTCGCTTGTTTCCACTCTGCCGACAATATCGAACCCGAACTTTGCATATAATCGAACCCCAGCTGGGGAAGCCATGACGAAAGCAGGCCACCCCAGTCTGTCTATTTCCTCACAGACTCGCTCCAACATCTTAGAGCCAAGGCCCTGACGCTGATGGTCGGGATGCACCGACATGAATGTCAAACCTGACAAGGACTATGTCAGTTATTGAGAGTAAGCCTTGTAGGAGTGACGTACGGCAAACTTCGCCCAATCCTATCAAGACTCGTTCCCGCTCTTTTCTCAAATCCCTCGAGATACTTAACCATGCAGAGAGTTCCAAAGTTTCCGGGACGAGACGCCGCCCCTGGGCATGTTGAACAGGATTACCTGATTTCGTCACGGTATGTCGCCGATTTTCCATCGCCCACCCACAGAAACCTAGCGGGGTGCCATCAGTAGCACATATTTGAAGGAACTTGTCTGTCTGCCGTCTCAAGGCATCCCTCAACCCTTCGGCATACCATTGTACAATCTCAGTCTGTTGAGCTTCTGTCATGTCTGCCCAGGGAGGAAACATCAAGCGATACAATGGGCCATGTTGCATTGCTGGAAGATCGATTCGTCGCACAATACGTTCCGCATCAGGTATCTGGACGGTAGCGATAGTAGCCTCCATTTGGATGGAGATAGTGATAGCGATTGAGGGGTGATAGAAACTGAGGGAGGAAAGAAAAAAGGCATCAGCAGTCAAGTGGCAGCGTCAATGGCTGCGTATGAGGACACTGTCGTACATGGGTCTCATCTCAGAGACTCGATACGTGTGGGGGAACAGTTCCAATACGATTTACTATGGAGTTGGTGCTGTTGAGAATTTGAACTCTTACTTCTAGTAAGGATTGATTTGATTTATTTTGGTTCCTGCTAATGTTAAAGAGTAAAACTTAATTCTGAAAAGTGGAATAACAAATAAATTTAAATTAATATTAATTTCATGTGCAATGATAAATTTCTTGTTATCGTAAAGTTTTTAATTTTTAATATATATTCTTTTTCACTAAGGATTAAAAAATTAACTAAAAGGACAAAATAATATTCTCTTTCTTTTTTAACTAGTTTAATAAGTACTTTAGTTCTCGTAATTAACCTTTGTATAACCGGATAGGGCTATAAAAGCATTTCTATATCCTATAATACATAGGTACGTGATACCAGTAGGTAATCGCAACGTAAAGGTTACGAATTGTCAAACTGTAATTAACCTTAACTTGACACGCCCTTGATACCTTACGGGAGGTTACAGAATAGCCTTGACAGGCGGTTCCTACAGGCGTTGACTACTACTACTACTACTACTACTAATACCTACCTACCCACCTAACCTCCCTCTTCTATCCGCCGGTAGACAGTCAGGCTCGTAGAAAAGGCACGCATTTACACAGGTCAATTGAGAGAAATCCCGAGCATCACTTACTCATACACATCCAGATCGTGTCCTATGCAGAGAACATACCACCGTAATGGAGGCTAACACTAGGTAAATTTTAAACCCATAGGCAAGTCAAATCTTTGCTCATCGTAAACTCCCTATACACCCACCTCCTTACTCCTCCCCGCCTAGATGCTGTGTCCATCCGGCTTCACCAACGTACACGATACTATAACCTGCGACCTCGAGCCCTCCTAGATCTTCCCTCGAACGCCCCATACCCGTTCCCCGTTCCCCTTTCCCACTTCCCCTCCCCGCCCCCACCTCCCCTATCCCCCCCCAATTTCTGCAGAGTCCCTGGATCCACCGCACCTCGCGCGCGGTGGACCCGGCCCGTATCGACGATCACCGCTCACCTCTCGTCGTGCCCCGTCACCTCCACGATGGGGGGTTTTGTAACCCCTTACTAACGCGGGGCGGAAACGCGGGGAGGGGGCTGCGGGGAACGCGTAGCTGCGACAGGCGGCCACCTGCGGTCAGCTATTAATAAGGGTCCAGCGCCGCTAGGGAGTTGTTGCGAGGGGCGCTAACGGGAGGGGAGGATGGGTCAGCAATGTGGCATGTGGGAGGGTGGGAGGACTCGCGCGCGAGAGAGAAGGGGGGTGCTGGCCGGCAGAGCACGTCGCGCTGCGTGCAGGACGAGAAGGGCGGGCGTCGCGGCAAGCCTGCGCGGCGGATAGCAGAGGCAGGCAAGTTAGTATATGGCACCCTCGGCTCGTTAACGCCGAAGCAGACACCAGCCGGTTTCCCGGGCGTTCTCCGATGTCGAGGGCGCTCGCTCGACTCGGCAACGCCCTCTTCTCACACCCGCGGCCCCGAGAATGTTAAGCGTCAAGCCCAGAAACTAAAGTGTGGCCCATTTGCCTCGGTACTCGCGAGGGTGGAACTGCTCACTCCTCTAGCTACACGGCAGGCTCAACTTCGGCCGGGTCGCCCGCTGTTATACGGGGCAAAGAAGGGGTTGTGAATCCTAATGGGCGGTAGAGCTGGCCAGCAATAAGTGAGACTTACTAGAAACTCAGGCGGCAAAGCGCAACTCATAGTCCTAGTTGCCGGACACGCAAAGACACGATGTCCCCCCGAGTACCACAATTGGGGGTGCGGTTTCCGTGGTATGCTGTAGTCAGTTCATATCTATTACTTTTGCCATTTTCCACCTAACCAGCTTCGGGAGGGGGCATATTCGACTCCTTCTCCAAGCATACCAATATCTTTCTTTTCGATCTTATAGTTAACAATTTATCAACCAACGTCCTCGTCGCTTTTTAGCCAAGTACCTACCTGTATGTTTGCTATGAGCAAGCTGGAAGCGGCCGCGGACTTCGACGTTCTGCCTTTCCCCTAGGACGCCTTCTTTCGGAGGCTCTTCCGGGTGACAAGCCGGGTGGACTCCTGGCTCTGGAGCGATTCCTTGCTCGCAAGGCCCCCGTAAAGAGATATATCCATTGTTCACTTTCTAATTTGTCTCCTTTTCCGAGCGGTCGAGATTCATCAGGCCCGTCGGAATACATCGGTCAATGAATTCACTTCTTCACACTCCCACTAACACGGCCATGCCCTCACGCATTCACGCATTCAATGCGCCTATTTCTATATCTTCAACGGGAACGGCCCCGACATAGCGACTGGTGTGTTAGTCTCCGTCTCCCACCACCTCCGCGTAGGTATTACCTACCGTAAGAACTAGCTTATCATGACTGATATATACGACATTCGACTCTTTCTCTGTACAATACTCTCTTGTAATCCCCCTCCGTGCTCTTTCCTGAAATTTGGCCTTCAGCAATGGTACCCACCTACGACTGAATTGTCTGATTACCGGGGTTCCCTTTCAGGATCAAACAGGCTTATATGAGTGTGTAGGTAACCTGGCGCAAAGGCCATGACCGTCGCTGGTGTCAAGATGAGTAAGGTGACGCATGAGCTGCTAAGGACGTCTGTTTAATTCCTGCCATCTTCATTGATAACGAGTTGTCGACGGCACCTAGAACGGCCCGGGATTGGGCGATGGATATGCCCCAGTGGCGTTCTAGTGTAAAGTGACCACGCCTCAGGCATCGCGATAATGCGAAGGGGGTGGCTCACCTATTCATGATGCAGAAGAAAGGAAATGAGACCACCGGACCGCGAGGAATAAGATCCGGTTAACAAAGGACGGATAAGAGCCAAACAAAAAAAAAATGACCACCCTGGGGCTCGAACCCAGAATCTCCTGATAACTTGTCAAGCTTGTTTGGATCAAGCTCGGTCGTAGTCAGACGCCTTACCATTGGGCCAAGCGGCCGTTGTAGTTTTCGCAATCGGACTGTGCGAGCACCCGATTCGATACACCCAGCTGGCTTATTCCGGTTCAAGACTTGCTCCGCAAAGCTTTCCTCCGGCTTTTCGCGCCGCCGACAGGTGCCTTGCCGACTTGGGCTTAGGCCGACTAGACCTCAACGACATCCCTTTTTTTTTAAGCAAGCAAGGCCGACTTCTGTCCCTGATGCGGCTCAGAAACTCGCACCCCTAACCCTTTCGTCTCCCTTTTTCTGTTTCCTGTCACGTATCCGCTATTAGCAGGCGTTGGGAGAGGCACAAAACATTTTCTCTCAGACGAGGTACCTCGAGGTATGCTTGGTATCAAGGCCTAAGCCAAGGGATGAAGACAAAGAGGATAAGAAGATGGGGACTGGGGGCGCTGATGTGGGGATTCAGACTCCTGTGTAATTGTGCCTCGGTTGATTCGACGAGGGAAATAAAGGGGCGGCGAATGGGTACTAGGCAAGGGAATCGCACATCAAGGCACATTCTGCTGGTAGTAAGGCTTACTGCAAATGGCGGTTGTGTCCACCATCGCAATCCTTTGTACGCCCCTTGGGTTACGTAGAAGGGGACTGGTACGCAGGTTAGATGCAGACCCCTCCTTTCCATCGAACACTCACGTACTCACTTACGTACTCTCTCATCGCCTTCGTGATGAGAGGCGCTGTCGGACTTGTAAGCCGGTCAGAACTAGGGATAACTTGCGGGACGAGATGGGTCATGAGGCCGCTTGTAAAAGAAAAGAGAAAAAGAGGATACTACAGAATACTGCTTGAACCAGCCAGTAAATGAACCGTCTGCATATTTCTACCTGTCTTCTAGAGAATAACGAGTACCTGGGAAATTGTTTAAAAAAAACAAGGGAATACCAATTCTGGCTGACTATGTATATATCTACTACACCCATCCCCAACATCAGCGGTGCTCTCTCTCTACCTCTCTTATCGAGAGACTTATGCGCGACTGCACTCCTCTCCCCTATCCGTCCTTCCCAATTTATATACACACAGGCCGTGGAACGGAGAAAGCCCTTCATTATACCCTATAATCCCACATCACCATCACTGTCACTGTCACCGTCACCGTCACCGTCACCGTCACCGCCGTTACGTGCTTGCTTGCTTCTTGTGGCATGTTGTCACGTCCTCGTCCCTCCGTCTCGCTTTCTCCCTTCCCCGGCCTCCCCAAAATCCAACCCTAGTCTTTTTATAAAGAAATCCCTTCATCGTTCTCCCTACCGCCGCCCGTCGGCCAAGATACAAACCAGGCAAGAGCAAGGATGGGAAAAATGAACGGACGAGAAGAAGGGCACGGGAGCAAACAGCAGTCTCTGCCGAAATCTCTCCGCACCCTCTCCCCCCTTGGTAGTGTAGCAACAATAGCCGACATGTTGGTAGCGTAACGGGGGTTTGCCCCGAGAACGACAAGTGATGGCATGCGCACGTCTGAAAAGGCGACAGTGCGGGAAACGCGAAGAAATGCTGTTTTGACTCTTTAGTCGACATTGTCATCCCATCATAGGAGTGCCCCGCGGACTCCATGCATCCTTAAAACGCCAACGCCTTCGCAAATTGCAAGTGGAAAAAAAAGATTCAAACGGCCCGTCTAGAATGTTCGGATCGGTTGGCTGAGCTGGTGATAACCACCGTAGTGTCGTAAATCGCCCCTCCGAGATCGAGCTTGTGCACCAACCGCCCGGGATATCACGTCGAATGGATTAAAAATAATTTGAGCCAATGCGCTATCTTACAAGGCCCACCTAACAGCTGTTAGACGAGTGCTTCTCATTCACTCTCATGAATATGATTATCCTTGTGGAACGCAAATGCCGACTTGAAGGACTTGCCCCGTGTGCGTCTTCTTATCCGGTTGACAATTCCGGTGCCTTCCGGTGGCGGAGACACACTGGTATGAGTCGACTCGAGCCTGCTCAACCTGGCCGCCGAAGTGAATTCGTTGGACATTTCGTAGCTCTGCCGCACCCGATCCATCGAGGCCCGCATACGGTCATAAGAAGGGCGGACACGATCGAACGACGGTCGTACTGGTGGTTCCGGAGGCGGATCCACTGGCTGCTGCACAGGCATATCCATCGTCGAAGGCTCGTCGTGGCGGGTATAATTAGTACCATCGCTACCGTTTTGGCTCCGAGTATTATGTCCAGTGACAGAGGGTTCGGCGACAGAAGGTTCGGCGACAGAAGGCGGATAGATAGGTCGGAGATCCTCGTCCACACTCGCAAATTGCTGATGTCGCCTGACTCGGGAGGACTGGGACGAGCTGGACGAGGTAGACTTGACGGCAGCATCACTCGGTTCTTCCTTGAGTAGTTGGTCAAACTTGCCCATGGTGACCTGCTCCCGGATGATATCGACATCACGGGGCCAATAGACTTTGCGAAGAGCCTTGATGGCATAGCGAGGAGCTAGACAGATGATCGGAGTCGCGATCAGCACGGCCCAGAACGAAGCCTCGCTATAGATCTGGGGAGCCGCGTGATAAAATGGGCCGGCGAACGTCGACGTGGTATAGACGCCCGTCCAGAAGAAGACCAGCACGTCACTTATAATGATAATCAGGACCGTGAGCCAATCCCATCGGTACGTGTTGATGAGGATGTAGAGATTGATCGTAATGACGATCGGATGGGCAATGTAAGCGCCGAATCGCAGTCTATCTCCGACGTCTAATCCGTTTCCGGTCACGGCCGAGGTTGGCGAAAAGGCCAAGTACGGGATGAAGAAGCCTATGACGCTCTGATAGGCACCGTCGAACATGTACAGCCTGTTCGCGGTTAGCAGGCGGAACAATAACGGGAGGGGTCGAGGAGAAGGGGCATTACCAAAACTTATGTTGAGTCCATTCTAGACGCTCGATACCACGACGATAGAGTTGGGGAACGGCTAGGGAGACCGCATCCGAGACATCTTGGTCGAGGACGCCGATGACAATGGGAGGTACCGAAGTGAAGATGAGGTTGAAAAGAATGATGTACGTGTACTCGAAGAGGTACGTGATATCGAAGTTGCAGAAGCACTGGAACCATAGAATGGTCAACGTCCAGATCATGTTCTTGTAGAAGAAGTTGGCAATCGCTTCGGCCATCCTACGGTAGGACCAGCGACCGTGAACTAGGACTAATCGTTGCAGGAACCGGAATTGACCGATGGCGTAGTCGGCCGACATGACGGCTTGACGACCCTCGACACCAGCAATGCCCACACCGACATCCGCCTCTTGAATCATAGCAACGTCGTTGGCGCCATCTCCGATAGACAGCGTCATCACGTCGAGGCCGTGCTTGACCATGGCCACAACTGCGGCTTTCTGGGCCGGGCTGACACGGCAGCACAGGACGGAGGCGCATTGCTTGCACAGAAGTAGGAACTTCTGCTTTAGGCTATTATGGAGTACCCACCGGAGCGTGAATCCATCGATGACGAGGGCGTGGGTGGGTGCTGGTGGCTCGTGGTTCTTCATCGCGTGGGCCAGGTCCTCGTCGCTGCCGGTAATACCGAAGGTCTTCAGGTGCTTATCGAGTTCCGCCTCAAGACGGCCCAGGAAAACTTCGTCAGTGGTGTTACCGGACTCATCTTCGTCCACCTTGAGGGTGATGAGCTCCATGTCGTTATTCAGTAGATTGCACGAAAACCCGATGTTGATGGCGGTCTCGACCTTGTCTCCCGTGAGCACCCACAGCTTGATTCCTGCTCTCCCAAGCAGTTCGATTGTGTCGGGCACTCCGTCTTGCAGTCGGTCTTCGATGGCCGTCCCGCCAAGGAGGGTCAGTTCCTGTTCGATCTTGTCGGCAACTTCCTCTAGCTTCTCCTCTCGGTCTTGCAAGGCGGTGGCGGCCTTATCGTGCTCTTTGCGCCACTCGAGATACTCGTGCTCAGAAAGCACGCGCTGGGCTATGCACAGAGTCCGCAAGCCTTCTCGGGCGAACATTTCGAGGTGCTCGGCGGTGGTCTTGCGAAGCTCGGCCTGCTCGCCACGCTTGAGGCGAGAGTAGATAATGCTATCTGCGCCCTTGCAGAAGAGGATGATCCGACCATCAGGCATCTTGACGATGGCACTCATTCGTTTCCGACTAGAGTTGAACTCGATCGTATTCAGGACCGGGTACTGCCTTTCCTGGCCCATAACGTTCAATCTGATACCGTCGCTCGTCTGGCCGAGAACGGTAAACCCCATGTCGCGAGCAGTCGACACGAGAGCGGCTTCGTCGGGCGATTGTGCTTTGAACTCGATCTTCGGGGGGTCACCGGGAACGCGGTCTGCTATAACGGTATGGCACAGGGCCAAGGCCAGCATAAAATGTGCGTTCGCCTGTTTTTGCTCCTCCCCCGACTCGCCTCGCAAGTCGTCGACGAAATCGGGTGCGATGAAAGTTAGATCCTCCGCATGTAGATAGGGGTTGTCGTGGATTTTTCGTAACCCATCCAAGGCGTGAATCTTTCCCGCGGCGATCTGTTCTCTAGCTCTAGCAGCTTCCTTGACCACATCGATACCCAAGCGCTTCTGCATGCCGGCCTGCGCCTCCGTGTACGCCTCGCCATAAGGTTGACCATTTATAGTCGCCTTCTTGAATTCCATAACGTTCTGGGTAAGAGTACCCGTCTTGTCCGAGAAGATATATTCAATCTGACCAAGGTCGTCTGAGATATTCCATGACTTCGGAACACATGGATAATCAATCTCCTCATAATACATCTCGACATCACTATAAATGAAGATAGCTTGCAACGTTCGTATAATCTCCAAGGTGATGTATAGCGAGATGGGAACCAAGTTTTGAAAGACGATGAGAGTGGCCCAGAAAGTGATGAAACCAGTCATTGCCGCCGTTCCGCCGATGGCACCGTAGTCAAACCACGAAGTTGAGGCGTCGCTCTTCGACCACGATACGCCGTTGACGAGGGCGGACAAAAGGCACAGAGCACCGAGAATACCGAAGTTGCAGATAACGTTAAAGTTCAGCTCCCGAGCGATGCGCGCACGCTTACTAGGTGTAATGCCGGCGTTCATCATGATCTTGGTGTCGTGGCCGGTGAACAGGACGACGCCGAGGACCCAGTCGGTATTCCTCAGGTTGCAACCTCGGAGGAGAACATTGTCGATGGAAATTGGCTCAGACATCTCGGTCGGCCCGTTAGGTAACATCTGGTCCCACTTGATGGCGCCGTTATACTTGTACAGGTTCGGTTGAGGCGGCTCGCTCTCGATAAGAAATTCAGCGCGCTCGCAGTCCTTCGCGTGCTTCAATGTCCGTCCGCACCGAAGTGCCTGGCGAACCTTCAGATTCGTTTCCCCGTCCAAGTTCTTCGTCTCCACATAGCAGGCACCGTCCGAATCCGACGTAGCCAAGACAATGACATCCGCCGGAAGCTCGTCATCGTTATAGAGTCGCACAAAATCGCCAACCTGGAGATTCTTCCAGTGATCCTTGTGAAATCTCGCTCGGCCTGTAGGCGGAAGATCGTAGTTAATCAGGTCACCTTTCACTCTAGCGAGGGTTTCCGGCTCGTCAGGATTAAAGGAATGCCCAGAAGCCGGGCGCTCAGACACGTCAAGCAAGTCCTTTTGGGTGACCTGGGGGGGCAAGGGCGACGCGACGGGCGTCATCTGGATTTCTTCGTAGGCGGATACGTACGATGTCCTATCGGTACGAGGGGAGATCATCGACTCCCGGCGGGTCGCCTTGGTTTCGACAGAGAGGCGCGGAACCGACGAGCGTTCCAGTGCGTTCTTGTTCTTGACATCCTTATTCCATAAACCTTGGGTCGCACGCCACAGGGCGCCGAGGTACTTCGAGGTAGCTTTCTTGATTCTCCGCCATAGCGAGACGTTGTCTTCTGCAACGTTGACATTATTCCAGCCGATTAGGCGATGCACGGGGGCGTTGTTCAATTCGTTGTCGAGAATCGTCCTGCGATAATCTTCGATCGCGTCTTTGATGGCTGTCACGGCAATGATGAATATCAGAGGCACCGCGTTGAGGCCCGGGTTAACTCCTCCAAAGATGGGGAAAATCTAGAAAGCCAGTTTGGCATTGGTGAGATCCTCGGTCAAAACGCATGCGACCCAGAAGACGGCTTACCACAAGAATCACCATAAACAGGAAGAAGATGTTGGCAATGTTGTGGAACTGGTTCCACAAGTTCTTCGGGATGAAAGAGAGCGGCGTGTACTTGGCCGTCCGGATCTTGTTGCGCGAATACGTGCGGATGGGATTGCCCTCGTCGTCCTTCATCTCGTCAGGCAGCGGCAGATTGAAGTACACCGTCCTCCCTCCGCTCTCAGCCCCCGAGGTGGTGCTCTTCGCATCGGCCTCCTCGGCCGCGGGGGCACTGTCGCTCTGGACATGGCCGTCGGCCACAGATTGGCTACCGTCCGAGTTGCGTTTCTTCTCCGTCGACCCCGTCCTCTTGTGCAGCTTGTCCATCAAGGAGATCCGCTTGAGGCTGCTGCTCTTCACCGTGAGCTTGCGAGTGGCCCATCTCGATCTGTTGGTCGCTAAGTCGACAGGGCCGTTTCCTGCGTCGTCGCCTTTCGCCATGTTGGAGCTGCGGGCAGAGCCCGTTCAACCCGATGTGTCCGCCAGACCGGCCTCCCGAGGCCACAATGCTCTGCCGCGCCCAAGCCGTCGAGGTGGTGCTGCTAGCCGAGTGTCCGGTGCGGAAGCAGGGCAATTGGAGCAGATAGCGTAGAGGGGAACAGAGCCGCCGGAGCAGAGAGAAATCGAGGTTTCGTGAGGGCTACTACTCTGCAGACGTCTGCATCGAGAGGGAGGGGGAGGAGTGAGGGCGGCCTTGTCGCCTTGGTTTCTGGATCCCTTGTTGGGTTACGGGGGGGCGGCGATCGTGTTGTTGATAGCATTAAGGACAGAACTGGGAAGGGAACAATGGAAGTTTTTGATTGATCGCTTCGTCGGAAGGGTCGGGGAACGAGAGATACACCGACCACTGTGCTAGCACGGTGGCCCAGGCTTAGAAGGTGCGTGAGATGCCGGTCCTACGTAAAGGCAGGTTACCACGTACCTACGTGTGTAGATAGGTACATATGTCCCAGGTACCTCCCGCCGCCGAGACAAGGTACCTGACTGCCCCAATCTGACCCAGAAGAGGTACCAATGGTACCTGGCATTGGGTACCGTGCCTCGTCCAGGTACATATCAGGGTACAACATGGTCGATCTGCCTTCCGCCGGAGGATAGTCATAGGTACCCAAGGCAGGCACCTAGGTAGGTTAGGTTAGGTAGCGTCGCAGTAGGTACCTACCTGTCGGAGCCTGTAGTGCTATACTTGTCGGATACAACGGGTCTCCGCGCCCTCGGCATACCAACCCACCGCCTGGTCCTCGTACCTCCTCGGTCACCGTTTAGCGTTGCCAACCCTTACATACATGCACCACCACACCAACTTCCCGCTAGGCTCGATACAAGGACCCAGCAACATTCTCGGGCGCGACAAGGGGCTCCCTGAGGCAAAGGCACCACAAGCCTTGTCAACGCGCGAATCCCTTTCAGACTGAATCACCAAGACATTGGCACAATTTGTGCCACCCAAGTAATATTAATAGATGCCGTGTCGCTGTTGCTTACATGTACACATGCCTACCTACGTATGTGCCCCTATGCGGTAGCATCTCACCGGTATCTCCCACGCAGGGAGCCCCGGGGACGTTCTTCTTTTTCGCCGTTGTCAGGAATGGAGAGCATTTCGAGCAGCTATGCTGCGGGAGGGACCGAAGACCGCGTCGCCAGCTGCTATCCAAGTGGCAAAGCGCCATGGCGTCGTGCATTGTCGCTTATGATTGCGGCGCGCCATACGAGGTTGGCTGTATAAGTCGTTCTAGATGCTGCCGATGCATTGAGGGTTAATTAAGAAGAGGCAACCCGGTAGAGGGAGGTACAAAGTGGGCGTGATTGGAAATCAACATTCTGCCTGGGTACCTGTATGTGTGTTATCAACCACACACGGAGCGGGCAACGGTACACAGGTGTTTCTGACAGTTCTGCGTCTGAACCGCCGAGAACCTCCCTGCTACGCACCCCTCGATAACTTTCCTTGAAGTTATCTCTCGCACTCGGCGCTGCATACCCAGCAAAATATCCGAGTAGTGCTTTCAAGTAGCCTTTTCTTCCTCTATGAGTACTGCCGCACACGGAAGTGGGGGCACTCAGGGTGTGTGTATCTGCATCGGGTTCTGTGGTCGGAGGGAGTCGGTGCCCAGGTTTTGTGTATGTTGCATAGGCGAGCTATTGTGGCTGTTCACCCCGTGCCTGGCAAATCCGGTTTGCACTGTAGCGCCAATTTCATTTCTCGACTGCGCGACGCCCTACCGACCCCCCTCCCTCCCTGTGCTGCCGCTAACAAATCCCCCCTTGTCTTATGCCGTCAAAGAAAATGCCTCCAACGCGACGATCTCGCCTACGATCATTTTCTTATGCAGGGTGAGAATCCTCACGATACCACCCCGTCCGCCAAAGGTCGGTCGAGTCTGCACGTGGAAAAGATTCATAAAAACACACATGTGGCTACGGATCTAGCCATGAGATCGAGACTATTGGAAAATACCTTGGTGGTTTGGTGGGTGGAACACCGTACGGCCCAAGTCCCTCTCCAGCTTACTACAGCAACAAGTGGGTAGTGCTAAGACCTATTATCGCCGGCGGAAATATAGAGAGACGCGGCCCTGGGAATTCACCCAAAACATTCTTCTGTCTGCCAATGCACGTAGTATACCAACACCAACACGCGTTTAACGCCTACCACTCCTTAACACACATAAAGCCCTGCCTCCCTCCCCCTCCCTCTCTCTAGAGCATTCCACCCCTCTACCCTTCCCCTGCGGCTGAATTTGCTAATCACCTCTCGGCAACGGCCCGGACGGTTGCCGACCCCTGAAACTTGCACTCGCCGAAGCGTTGCACTATAGCAGCGTGATAGGCTTTTACGTCGGCGCGGCTCGCTATATGTCGACGCGGCGTTCATGGGTATTTATCACACCTTGATATTATCCCGTTCGTGGTGGCCCGGTCAGTCTTGGGCCCGGTTTCCAGAATTTCGCACGGCTCCTCTTTCAAATCAGGAAAAAGAACCGGAGATAAACAAGAGCCAAGCATCGTCATTACCGTCACTACCGGTGTTACCACAGGTAGGTAACAGGTACATTGGGTTCCTGTACTATACTATATAGCTCAGCCCCCGTCGGCGCTACGCACCGGTTACACGCTACTCTGCGGGTTTCCGTGAAGCCGCCGTCTTTTGCTTCCACGAGATCTATTTCTCTTCTAGCGGCGAGACGACGTCAAATCATAAAACTCAGCCCTTCGACAGCAGGCTATGCACGGCCCATCATACAATTGGCGCGGCAGGCTCCCATGTGCTAACAAAAGCGAAGAAGAGGGAAACGCAGAGGAAAAAGGAGAGGACCTGTCGCACTCACCCTCCATCCCGTACACCAAGTGATGTTTCGTGTCTAGGTGGCCAAAAGTAGGTTAGGCCGGCATCGCGTACCTGGATTGCGCTGGCACCTAGCATGAACAATTCCAGGCTGTTGAGTGACGGATGAACTAGCAGAACGTTTCCATTTCCTGCCTCCCCGCGAGCGCTCCGCCAATAACGCCAAATGCAGTTCCGAATCGATTTATTGGTTTCTCTCCCTCCCTCCGCTTCGTTTGCCCGTCCGTCCCGCACTCCTGGATCGTTTAACGCACATCATAGTGGAAGTATCTTGGAGGGTTTAGGGGGGGCGGGGAGGGGGGATCGAGGGGCACAGCCGGGGTGTAAGAGATCCTTCAGGAGGCGGAACTCCAACCAACCGACTAATACATACGTGTACATACTTGCCAGTAATGGTTACCCCCTACTTCTACCCCTGGACGCCTTCGCTCAATGTCACTTCTGCCGTCACGGGAATCTGGCAACTTGCCTTCTTATCGACTAGTACACCGCCTACTAGTAGGAGACAAGTAGTAAGTCGGGCATGCATGTATTTCTATATATACACTTAGCATTCCGCAGTGCCCTTCTCTTATGGCGCTAGAAACCGCCCGAGTCAAGACTTGAGTATCGAATCGAGCTATGCACATACGTACAGTACCTTTATATTATATCGGGCTAAAATCCCGTCTCAGTTCCGTCTGTGAATAGCGAACCGCTGCCCACCTAAATTGCAGAGTGTCGATATTCAGACATAGGACCATAAAACTCCTATCCTTCGTACTTACATTAACCCTACGTTAAACCTACACCAACTACGCCATTACGCTGTCCCCGGCGTCACAATAAAGTAGGGTATCCCTTCAGGAGCTCATCCTACCACGTACTACGTATGTATACGCAGGTAGGTACATCTAAAAGTCGAGGTGTGCCACACATTGGCTCCTTCAATGGTTCGGGCCGACCGGGGGGAGGCTATATACTCATAATGTATACCTGTATTACATAGGTAGGAGGTAATCTGACGTCCTCGCGGTATTCATAGCGGCCAGCTCATACCCCTTTTTCATTTTTGGTGACGGCGATAGTAGCGATGGCTGGGAGGGCCGTTCAACTCCGTGTTCGTCGTGTACTTCCATGCTAATGCCTAATATATGCTCATCGACATGAGCATCACCATCAACATCCCGCATCATGTTTATTTGCTCACTTTGACTCGCGCCGAGTGGCCTGTCCGAATTCAGGCCAATGGCATGCACATTTACACTACATATATGCATGCGTTATGTTGGTAGTTGATAAGAGATCATTAAGTCCGCCGGGCACTCCCCACTCGGGCGAGTCGCCATGGCGTTATCGCGAACTCCGCCGGGTCCCCCCTCCATAAGTGTTTTGCGTCTCGGAAGCAAACTGGTTGGAGGAGAATGGTCTAATGACGCGGCGCCCACCAAACTGGAAATGCGCTGCCACCGCCCCCGCCTCAACGCCTCGGCTCCGTCGCCCGCAGTCATATCTTGGGTACGGAAATAAGGATGTGTATGGCGCGAGCTACACGCCGTAGTGTCCCGTGTCCATAATGCGTCCTCGTATTTCACATGACTCGACTCATATATCAGACTAGCATAATTGAAAAACCGGGTCGCTGCCCGATGCTAGAGGTAATCGCGATAGCTCTCCTAGAATGTAGGATGCTTAAAAGCTCGCCCCCCGCACATACTCTGAAGAGCTACCTAGACCTACCTACTACGACTAACCTTGAGTGCTCATAAGTACGTTCAACTGAGCACTCCGGCGGCAGATCATCCGGTAGATCCCAGAGTTAAGGAGTTGCCGGAATCGTCAAAGTCGCACTCGACTACCATCAGTCTTGACATAGCACGAGGTACGTAGCAGATAGATTAAAAGTTGCTAAAGGTCTATTATGTTATGTAGGTAGTATATGTAGGTAGTATATGTAGGTAGTATGGCTAGGTTACAGTGCCTCTTGAGCAGTGTCATCACGACGGGTTTCAGTATTCCGTCCGCTCTCAATACAACGTACGTATACATATAATACCTACATACAACACACACCTCAACATCCGCTTCCCCTTTTCGCGCCGCTAGCTGATGCCAAGTAATCTCCCTCCCTTATACATACCGTATGTAGGTGCAGCCGGAATCCTACAAAAAAAAAAGGAGAAAAGGAGAGCGTGCGCCTACTAGTATGTACACATGCAGATCTGGCTTCTACGTACCTGCGTACAACGCATACCGATCAACCAGGGACCCACCGTATGTACCTAGCAAGTTCAGCCTTGGCGGGCTATCTATAGACACGTGAGAATAGCGGGCGAGTCCCATCGATTGGCCATCATTGGGAAGCGGCCGGATGAGGTAACGTGTACGGGGCGGGATGTGAGATTGTGAGATGCATTGAAGGATTGGGGATTGTCGCTATCTCGCCCCCAAAACAAGACTCGCCAAAAGAAGAAATACAGAATACACACAGGACTCGGTCTCGGTCTCGGTCAGGTTGCAACGGGAAACCACCCGAGACCCCTAAGAGTGACATATCACCGGCTCGATCTCTGCCCCACCCCCCGGTCTCCTACCAGCCCCAGCCCCGTCGCCCTTTTTGCGCACCCGTATACCTTGCAGGTACTGTGCGTCGCTCTCTTTTCTAGCGGCGAGGAGAGGTACCGTCGAGGTAGCGGTCACCGGGATACCGACACTTGCCCATCCGGCTAGCTCCCGTATCAAGGGAAACCTTCCGCAGTTTGATGATTTGGAAGGCACGCCTATTAGTGCCACCTAACGTAGTAGGCATGTACGTCCTAACTGCCTCCTACCTAAGGTGCCTAATAAGAGGTAGGTACCTAGATACCCAGGTACCTACTTAATATCTCCCACTGCATCTTCAACTAATCGAATTGTAGGTGTAGGTACCTAGTATGTATTATCTACCTACATCCTATACGTGGAGGCAGGCGCCCAGGTACCTACAACCTAAATTCGACAGGTGTCTGAGGTGCCTACCCACTTAACTCCTGCTTAAGGTACTGGGCACGACGCAACGCTCGAGGTCGTCAACCTCCACGAGTTACATAGAAAGGTACATATCTAGACCTACACAGGGTGCAGTACTGGCAGGTACCTCTTACCCTCACCCGAAGTACCAAAGCCCAAGGCAATACCTCTGTTCGACAGTGTCGCCGTAGTGGCACGGCAGCCGCAACTGGACCCAACACGCTTCGTCTGAGCGCGGAAGGCGCAGAGCCAGGCGGGCCCACATCTGTGCGACGCGTCTCCACCGTTCGTTGGGCGGATTCCCAGTGATGGAGAACTGACGGTACTTGGTACTTCTCCCACGTACCGCCCGCCACACGTCCACGGTCTCCGTGCCCGACACGCCGACACGCCGACATGCCTCCTACACACCCACACGCCTGGTTGATTCGGGGCTCGGGGTCGAACGAGAGCACGAGATAGCAAATTGCCGCCCGCCGCTAGCGTCGCGCCGGTACTGACGAGCCAGCAGGGCACACATGTCGAACGGCAATATGTCCATGCTCCGGAACCGTGACATAAGGGGCTTCTTCACCAAGGCCGCCGTCCCCGGTCCAGGCCGCGCATCCCAATCCCAGTCAGCCGCGTCACCGCAGCGAGAACGGGCTCCGCCCTCATCTCCTGCCACGCGCCCGGAACCCACACCAAAACCCGTCCTTCGGACCGAGGAGGTTAGGTGCTCCGATGATGAGGACGGCGACTCGGACGACTCCCTCGAGTCCATCACCGCCTTCATAGAGCGGAAGCGCGGCCCCCTCGCCCCGGTCTCCGCGGCCAAGAGGATAGCTTCCACATCGACTCCCGTGAAGTCTCCGTTGGCCGTACAGCCGAAGCACAAATACGATCTCAAGTACTTGGTCAACCATACGCGGCAGTCCGACCGCGCCGACGAGAGCGCCAGACGGGCTGATGAACTCATCAACCAAATCGACGACGAAGATGGCAATATCGACGACGGGGCGCCGCACCTCACAGACGTGCAGAAGAATCCGGCACTGCTGCACAAGACCGCCAAGGCGCTCCTCCACGGCGACGAGGAAGAAGCCAAAGGCGACAAGCTCTTGAGGGCCATGAACCGCACCCGAGCCGACGGCGTTCGCAGGGCGCACTACTTCTTCAACGTCGAGAAGCCCCTGTTCAAACCTCCGCGGAAGGTCTTTCCCGAGTGGGAGGCGGGAGGGTGTTGGCGCTTCCTGGCGGACCCACGCACGCGGAACCAAGCCATCATCCTCGGCCTACCCCACGCGATGCTGGTCAAGGGCAGGACACTGCCGGACGAGCTCTTCCTCTGGGTTCTGGACGAGGTCTGCGTGGAGAGGAACGCGCAGCTGCGCACGCAGTACTGCAACATCGTGGCTCTATGCTCTGGCAGCGTCGCCCGCCTCGTCGACGACGCGCGGTTGTACACCATGCTTGCGCAGATCGGCGGCCCCAAGCACGCCTTCCTCGAAGAGGGGGACGGGGACACCAAGCTCCAAAGCCTACCCAGGACCGAGGATCCGTACCCAGGTAGGGACTGGGCGGGTCTCGCGGCGTTCCTGGGCCTCGTGGAACGCATAGCCCCGAATCTAAGCGCGCCCAACGCCATAGGTGCCGTCCAGCTTTTGCTACGGATGGGCCTCGACCCCGTCATCAGTACTATGGTCCGTGCCGAACACGCCGCCGCGATAGAGGCCCTCGTCGGAGCGTTGCCCAAGTCTGGGACGCGCCAATGGAACGATTCTGTAGGCTAACCACTCCTTTAATTCTCTGTCCTTTTCCCTCTCGTCCGAACCCGCCCCTTTCCCTTATCCTATCCCGCACCCTCATTATCTCCCGCATACGCCTACGAGCTAGCCTAACTTCCTGTACACGTGTGACAAAACCAAGACTAACAGCCATCGCCCCTCTTCCTCCAGTGCGGAACTTTAGCCTCGTACCTCCTATCCATCGTCGACTCCCCCGAGCACCGGATCCTGCCCATCAGCCGCATACCGGCCACCACGTCGAAGCTGCAGGACCTACGCCGACGCCTCGCGGCCGCGGTGCTCTTCCCTTCGCTCGTCCTCATCCCCGCCAGCGGCACCAGCAGCATCACCACCCGGCCGGTCGACGACGCCCTCGCGCCCGCCGACATCCTGCACCGCCTCGAGCAGCCCGACTTCCGCGTCGGCCCGGACGCCGACTACGACCAGCTGCGGGCGCTCTTCGCGCTCGTCGACACGGCCGTGGGCGGGGGCGGATTCCTGCGACCGTCGCCCTCGGCCTCGCCCCTGTCCTCCATTACTACCACTACCGCCTCGTCCCCGGCCGGCCCCGGCGAAAAGCCCACTTCGGCGAACGGCCCCCGGAGCGCGGCTGGCGGCGGCGGCGGCGGCGACGCGGCGGACGCGGCGGTGGACGCGCTGGCGGCGCGGCTCAAGGCGGCGCACGACCGGATCCACGACAGCGCGCTGCTGGAGCGCAAGGTGGCCAAGGCGTCGATCGACGTGGTGGCGAAGCGGCTGGCGTACGCGGTGCGGTCGCGGCCGCCGCCCAAGACGAGCATCTTCGACCACGACGGCGAGCGCGAGCGCGAGCGCGAGGCCCGCCAGGCGGCCGACCTGCCGCGCCAGCGCGCCTTCATGAAGAGCTGGGCCGCGGGGCGGCGCGAGCGCGAGAAGGAGAGGGAGAGCGGCAGCGGCAGCGGTAGCGGGAGTGCGAGCACGAGCACGAGCGGGAGCGGGAGCGGGAGCAGGAGGGAGGGCCTGAGGGGTGGCGGGGCGGGGAGAGGAAGAAGGGGGTGGTTAAGGTAGATGGCTAAGAGGGAGAGGGTGGTGGAGGAGATGCTGAGATGGGAGTTAGTATATTAATGGGTTGCTATATCGATCGAGTAGACGGATAGATGGGGAACAGAGCGGACGGGGGGGATAGACGACGTCCACCAGACGACGTCGCTAGCTTCCACCTCGAGGAGTCTAGATAGCTACGTGCTCCCTCTGTCGGCGCGATAGGTAGAGTGTGCTCGGAGCTAAGGAAGGGTGCTATTATACGTGGATATCTAACGCACACGTCGATTCTTATAGAACGAACTTCCCCCTTCCTCTTCCTGTCTACCTTGACGATGATTGCGTAGCAGCGTCCCTCTATTCCCGTGCTTCTAAGACGATTTATACCACCAGTATAGAGATAAGATAGAGACGGGGGGGGGGGGGGGGGGGGTGAGGTAGACAGCGAGGCAGGCGGGCTAAGCGGACCGAGTACGCACGTAGCATGCCGCGTCTACCCGGCCCCGATTTACTGCCTCCCGGTGCGAGCAGCGGCTACGAGATCAAGAACCCCTTCGTCTCCTTTCTATCACCCTCCCCGCCCCCGGATTCCCCTATCTAGATGGAGGAGGGGTGAGGTAGTACCTGTCTGTGTGTATGTATGTACGTGTGTAATGTGTCTGCGCATGTGTGCGACGCTCCTAATATCTCTCTCCTTGCTTCTCCCGTTCGTCACCCCCCCCGCCCCCCTCTTCGCTAAGGCCTTCCCCTCCTTCTCGCAGACAGACGTCCGACCCTGGTTTGCTCGACTTATCCGGGTTCCGCAGCCCAGCCACCCCGCGCTGAATACGGGCCGTCGAGTGCGCGTGCAGCCGGCGAGGTTGGGCGCGGGAGGGGGTGTGGCCGCGACGGTGAGGAATTCGTCCGCCCGCGGATCGTGTCGAACAAGCCAGCCGCCTAGCCCGGCCGAGTTCGGGCCCCCCCCCCCCCTTAGTCGTAGAATTTGCGGTTCGGATTCTCGCCGAACAGCGTCCGCCGCACGGCGGGCAGGCTGCTCGACTGCAGCAGCAGCAGCCGCTCGTCGAAGGTGTTGTTGATCTCGATCTTGCCCTGGCCGCCGACGATGACGACGCCTCCGGAGCTGTGGCCGAACGCGGATTGTACTTAGCACGCTGTGCCTTGGGGAGTAGCGAGGGGTGTCGCGGCGCGAGAGGAAAGAAAGGATAGGTAAAATTGCTCAGCAAAGGGGGGGAAGCAAAAAACTCACCTGCCCTCTGGGAGCGGATTCGCCTCGTCAATGGTGACCTTGGTGTCGAAGCCGGTGTTGCTCTTGTACTCCTTTTCAGCGTCGGTGATGGCGGGGCGGAGGATGTCGTAGTCGGCCTTGCGGACGCGGGCCTGGATTTCGGGCTCCTCGAGGGCGTAGAGGCCCTCGAGGAGGAGGTTCTTGAGGGTGACGCGGTAGCGGGCGGGGTCGGCGGTGCCGTCGGAGAGGCGGGCGGCGGCGGCGGCGAAGATGTCGTCGAGCAGCTGCTGGCGGGCGGCGAGGACCTTGAGGCGGGTCTTGTTGGCGACGGTGGAGCGGGTGATCTGCTGGGACATGCTGGCCTGCTTCAGCTTCTTGGCGTGGGCGGCGTCGATCGAGTCGGTCTCCTCGCGCACGAGCCTCGACTTTTCTATGCTGAATTCCTCGTTCGCCTTGATCTCGATCTCGTGCGCTTTCTCTAGGGCCTCCTGCTTGATGAACGCGGTCATCTTGCGGAGCTCTTGCTCGACCTGCCTCGTTGCGGTTTCGCCGGATTAGCATGGCATCGTATCGCGGCTGCCCTGGGTTGTTTTGGATTCCGGGGAGGGGATTCAACCCCCTTGGATATTTCTATTTTCCACTTTTCGGGTCGGGGAGAGGGTGCAGCGGCTTGCGGTCAGGGCGAAGCTATTTACCTGGTCATCGGACAAGGCGTGGACTTGCGACATCTTGGGAGAATATGAGGGTATTCGGAGCTCGGGATAAGGGCGAAGGGCGACTGAGGGGGGTAAAGGAGGCCGATAGGACGGGGTGCTCTCAGTCGGTGGTGCAGTCAATGGATGGTGGATGGGGGGGTTGGTAGAAGCAGAGCGGAGGCTAAAGAGATGCAGTGGTGGTGTAGCTGAAGGCTGGGGAGGCGGGCAGCTCTTTTTCCGGCAGCAAATGAAGCCTCAATGTGATATGCTAGGATGGGTTGTTTTGGCACATGAGATTGAGGTACGAGGGACGGGCTGGCGGAATGCGTTACATAATCGGCTGGACGGGCTATTTAGTACATCATACACGTACTATAAGAATAAAATAAGGCCCGAATTATTCTGCTTCGCAGAATAATTCGGGCTTATTTTTAACGTAAACGCTAAAAATAATAACCTATCCGAAGGATAGAGAGATATAGAAAGTATACTTAGTTTATTTAATATTAATTTTTAAAGCTACGAACTTTATTTATTATAGAAAACCTAGAAAACGTAAGAAATTATATATAGAAAACTTATAGTTCATACGAAACTATCTTTTATAAATTCGAAATTAATTTAAATTTTTACGTTAACGTATATTATATTAAATAAAGCGTATATTATTTACGATAAAAAACGTATATAGTAAAACGAATTTAAAAAGAATAAAATATAAAAGAAATCTAGTATAGAAAAATTTTTTTAAAGTTAAAATTACGTAGGTACGTAATTTCTATATTAAAAAAGGACGCTATGCCTAATAAAACTACGAAACCCTTAAACTTATATCTTTATTACTTCTTTTTACGTTTCTTTTCTACTTTTTTCTACGTATCCGTATTTTTTTCTCGTAATATACGTAGGATTTCTCGTAATAATTCGTTATTAAAAAGAGCGTTAATATCTAATCCTTATTGCTTTATAACCCGCTCTTCCGTCTTCCGGATTACCTTTTTAGTTTTCTTATAGATTTTATTAAAAGCCTACTTTAAATTAGAATTTCTACGCTAGCGTACTTTATTACGTATTAACGTACCTTTTTATTAATTTTTTTAAAATCGAAAGCTTTTTTTAATTCTATAAATTTAACAAGCTCTAGCTCGGCCTCCCGGGGTACCTTAACGTAAGCGTAATAGCCTTTATAGTAATAATAATAGCGATTATTTTTTATACTTATTAATTATCGCGTATACGTAACTTTTCGCGTTTTCTACGCTATTTTATATACCGGTTCTTTTTACGTAGGCGTTCGCTTATAATCGATTAATTCGTTTAAAGTATACCTTATAAGGTAACGCTCTTTCCTCGTTACCGTCGTCGTCGCTACCGTCGTCGCTACCGTCGTCGTTATCGTCGTCGTCGTCGTCGTCGCTATTAATAAAGGAGCGGACTCGGTTTATAAGTAGATTTTATATAATAAAATTAACGCCTACGTATATTATTACTTAATCGCGTATTTTTTTTTATACTATAAAGTTCGTAAAGTATAACTTACTTTATAAGGTATATTAAAAGGGGAAAGGTCGTTACCGCCGCCGGCGGCCGCTAGGCTGCTAATATTACCTATCGTAATATTAATACTAGCTACGCGGTAGGCGTCGTTAGCCGATAATTAATCGAAGCCTAGGTTAGCGAGCTCGGTAATCGAAATCCTAGATACTACTTTAATTAACTAAATCTATTACGCGCGTATTAAATTTCTTACTTTTTTTAACTACTTTAATCTTATTTCATTAAATAAAATACTACGAAATATCGTTAGCGTTCGTTTTAAGCTTAATTAGCTATATACGAAGGTTTAAACTTACGTAGTTATAAAAGGAATAAGAGGCGTAAGGAAAAAGGAAAGGAAATAATAAAAGTAATTAATAATAGGAAATAGGTTATTTTATTTCGTAAATAAGGAAGCGTTATAGGAAGTCGCGATTAAAGGAAGGTACGGCGCTAGTTACTAAGGAAGTCGCGATATTTTTATACGTTAGGAAGAAGCGGCGTACTTTAGGAAACGCTCCGTAATTAAAACAAGAAAAACGTATTCTTATATAGAAAATAATATATCTACGTTACTTTTATATCCGTATTCTTTACTTTTACGCGGTTTAGCTATATAAAAATTAATTAAAGTATTATAAACTATACTCGCTCGATAGAATTAACGTATATACGCTACTCCTATTCGTTATTTATAGCGCTAGAGTACGTTATTTATAAGGATATCGTAATAGGTATAAAGGTTAAGTAAATAATTATATACGTAAACGAAGATCTTTATCTTTTAGCTTAGCTTTTATACTTACGAAATATATATTAGCTTAAATATTAGCGAACGTAAAAAGAAACTTATTATTTATTAGCTCCTTATATACCGTATTCCTATAAAACGGCTCGTCGAATATTAGGCCTTATAACGAGGTAACCCTAGAGTAAGCGACGTAATTTAACCCTAACGCGAATTCCTTTTCTATAATTCTAACGATAACGTAAAGAATAATAATATCCTACGCTTTATAAACGGTTATTACGTATGAAATAATTAAAGGGAATTATTTTCGTATATAGGAGATATCTTTATAATCGAATTCCTAGCGCTCGCGTAATATTAGTACTACCTTTTTCCCTCGAGAATCGCGTAGCTTATTTCCTTAAGTATCTTTAAACCCGGGTCCGTCGTAATCGTCGAAAGTTATTATAACTACTACTAGCGGCTCGCGTTTAGGATTAACGCCTTACGCTTAACTTATATCGTAAATAAAGCCTTAGGAGCTATTTATAAGTCGTATTTCGGAAGAGATATTACGTAATAATATTACTCGAGCGCCTATATAGAGTAATAGCTTAGAGAAGAGATTACCGGTTAAGTCGTTAGACGCGTTTAACGCTCCTCGGCCGTAATAAATAACGTACGTTTAAATAACTAGCGAATTAAGCGTTACGAAATAGTTAAAATTATATTAAAGTACCTCTTTACGCGTAAAGTATATACGTACCGCTTCTTTAAAGCCGAAACGATCTTACTTAGTTAGTACCGCGGCTATTCTCGTAGATAAAAGCTAAAACGACTCGGCGGAAACTTACGCTAAGCGTAATTCGTTTAACGCTTTTCGAAAAGGCGCTTAGTCCTTACTTACCTAGCGCTAAACTACCGATAGAAATACCGACTTAAAAAAAGCTTTATACGTATTATAGCCGACGAGTTCGTTTACCGAAAGATACGTCGAATTAAAAGTATAAATAGGCTTTAATAATACTAGGGGTAATTAAAAGAAGTCGCCGATTAAGATTATATTTACGTTATTAAAAACCCGCGAGCTACGCGGAAATATCTACCGTAAACGACGGTTAATAAACCTAAGTATACGTAGCCTTAATATATTCTTTTCGTCGATAATTAAATAGTAAAGGTTAGTAAGGCGTCGTTATACTTTAGCGAAAGCGTTATTAGAAAGCGGCTTAAAGCTACGCTTTACGGGTAAACGAAGGAAAGAATATATCGTCCTTCCGCGAATGTTATTATTCGTAGCGTTAGTTAAGGTAGTAAGGGCTACCGAGTCCTAAGTAAGAGCCTAGCGAACGTAAGAAGTTAAAATCTTAATTAGATACGATTTTTTAATACCGCTACTACCGTCGATTTAAAATAGGAACTAGTCTTAATTACGACTTTATACGTAGCCGAAAACGATATCGTAAATTAGCCTTTGTTCTAAATTTAACGTATTACGGGTATTTAAAGGAACGATCTCCTGCTCCGGCGTATCCGTAGTACTTATTATTTCGCGCTAATAAGTAAAATTATAAAAATAAGGATACTTATATCGGGCTACGTATATAGCTTAATCGTAATTTACGTCGATATCTCTATTCCTAAATACGTTAAATATTTCCTACGTAAGCGCTTAATTCGGGAATAAACGCGTTAATTTAACCTAGTCCTTTTCGTTTAAAACCTACTCTTCTTCCTCTAGAAGCTCGAACTTCTCTTCGTCGGGTTCGGAAAAGTCGCCGTAGTAGTTATCTTCGTATTAATAGATTACTTAATATCGCGTATACGCTAATATATACGTTAAAAATTAAGTACCGTTAATTAAAAGTAACTCGTTCTCGCTAATATATAAATAATTTAATATAAACTTAACGCGGTAAAACGACTCTAACTCGCTAGGGCCTTTATTTACGCGGTAAATAAGGTAATAATTAAATATACGCTTTTCTACGTTACGTTAGAAAAGGCGCTAATCGTAAGCGTATAACTTATTAAAATTCTAGATCGATACGAAGCGAAAGAAACTTAATTTAATAACCTTTAATACCTTTAAATCGCGCTAAAAATACTTCTTATAAGCATTACGCCCGTTAGAAACGTCGCTAATGTAATAGGCTATGCCCATAGTAGGGCCCTGGCTAGTGCTAGGGCATAGTACGTAATTAGGCCCTTAGTACCTACGGCGGATAAGGCTAGCTGTCGTAAGTATAGCCTATAGGGCATACTTTCTTTCTTTTTCTCCTCGTCTAGCTTTAGTTTATTAACATACGGCTTTTACCTACCGAATAGCTCTTAAAACCGTAACAAAAAGCTAGACCAACCTTCTTTTATCGTTTTTACGGAAGTAGTAATATCGAAGCGAGCGGAATTAGCAGTAGGAACGGCGATATAGCAATAAAGGAAGCGGTAGCTAGCAAAGTTAGTAGTTAGAAAGGCGGTATTAGCTTTTAGATATACGCGCCGGTAGTACCTACGAAAGAAGACCGACGAAAGGTAACGATAGCGGCAGACCAGCATATCTTAGTACGCGGGATTAGCAGTAGGAAAGGCGATGCCGTACGGTAAAGTCAGTAGTTGGAAAGGCGGTATTAACTTGGATATACGCGCCGGTAGTACCTACGAAAGAGAACCGATATAAGATAACCGAAGAAAACGACCGATAGCCCCGAGAAAACGCAGATTTAAACGGTAATTTCGAAATAAAGGAACGACGAAATCGACGAAATTTACGGCTAAAAACGGCGGAAAATTTTTTTCCGGAAAAAGATGGTAAAGCGCTAGAGTATAGCGCTTATCGACGAGTTAAGAACGCCCGAGGCGTAATATAAAGAAGGAACGGCGTTAGAATAGTAGGAAATATATTAAGGTTTCGGCTAGGATAATAGTACTTCGATAAGGGTACTAAAGGTACTAGCGGTTTACGGAGAGACTACCGGTTTCTTAGTATCGATAGGGGTGCTAGCGGCGCTAGTAATAAACGGGAAGGCGCGCTTCCGCGCGCCTTTAGGCGGAGCCCTTAGCTCCGCTAGCGGTATACGATAGACGATGGTTTT